ACTGGAATGTTAAATTGCCTCTGTGTCTGTATATATATGTTGTATGTCTATGGCATTGAATGTTTGCTATGTATATGTGCATTGTAATCTGCCCTGAGTTCCCTGCGGGGTGAGAAGGGCAGAATTTAACATGATCGTGAGGTCAGGAGTATTGGTGGCCGGGAGGGTCTTGGTGGCCGGGAGGGCCTTTGCACAACTAAGACTCGTGCGCCAACTGCGACCGTACCTCGGGAAGGCGGATCTGGCCAAGGTGGTCCATGCCTTAGTCACCTCTAGACTGGATTACTGCAATGCACTCTACGTGGGGCTGCCCTTGAAAACGGCCCGGAAATTTCAGATGATCCAACGGGCGGCAGCCAGGTTGTTAACTGGGGCTCCTTACAGGGAGCGGTCAACCCTCCTGTTCAAGGAGCTCCACTGGCTGCCATTCATTTTCCGGACCCAATTCAAGGTGCAGGTTCTTACCTACAAAGCCCTGAACGGTTTGGGACCTGCCTACCTGCGTGACCGCATCTCTGTATACGAACCCACACGATCTCTTCGATCATCCGGGGAGGCCCTGCTCTTCCCACCAGCATCGCAGGCGCGCTTGGTGGGGACGAGAGAGAGGGCCTTTTCGGTGGTGGCCCCTCGACTCTGGAACTCACTCCCTAAGGACATCAGGCAAGCCCCAACTCTGGCAGTCTTTAGGAGGAGTTTGAAGACGTGGTTGTTCCAGTGTGCCTTCCCAGAATAATGATCTCATAGCACTTTGTCCTCCAAAGCACTTTACATATTAGGTCTGTTTGTATGTTTTCCACAAACGCCACTTTCACCTTTTCGCCCATGTCCTGGCACTATTTCCAATTTTAATTTTACATTTGGCCTTCCCATAGTTTTAATTGTGTGTTGTCTTATTGTTAATGTTTCGTTATTTTATTGTCTATGTTTTATTTTAATTGCTTGTATTGTTGTATTTGGGCTCGGCCTCATGTAAGCCGCACCGAGTCCCTTGGGGAGATGGTAGCGGGGTACAAATAAAGTATTATTATTATTATTATTATTATTATTATTATTATTATTATTATATTGTGCTCCAAAACTCTGTCTGTCTAGCTTGACGTGTTCATTCTCTGTAACTTTTTTCCGGCTTGTGATCCCACCAGTTCTTTGTCACAGCATTATTATTATTATTATATCCCAAATGAGTCGATTATCTTCCGATCAGCTTTCTTCATCATCCAGCAACCAAACACAGAAGCGGGAAATACGATGACATGATGATGGGCCAATTCTAACTTCAGTGGTCAATTATATATCTTTACATCCCAGGATTTTGCCTAGTTCCTTTTCAATGCCCTTTCAAGTGGGTGCACCCACACTGTAGAATTAATGCAGTTTGGCACCACTTGGATTTTCATAGGATGCGCCTCCAGTGTAGAATGAATGAAGTTTGACACCACTTCAATTGCCATGACTTCATGGACAGGCTCTATCAAGGTAGCCCTAAGTCTACAAGACTTGAGCAGGACTGTTGAGGATAGGCATGGAGGTCTCTCATTCAGAAGTCAAACACCACATTTGGAACCCTGGGAGTTGTAGTTTGGAGAGGGACCGGCACTTTTGGGCAGGGAAGGCTTAAGATAGTGGTTCTCAACCTGGGGGTCACGAGGGGGTCAGAGGGGTCTCCAAAGACCATCAGAAAGCACAGTATTTGTTGGTCATGGGGGCTGTGTGGGAAGTTTGGCCCAATTCTATCATTTGTGGGGTTCAGAATGCTCTTTGATTTTAGGTGAACTATACATCCCAGCAACTACAACTCCCAAATGTCAAGGTCTATTTTCCCCAAAGCCCGACTGCTCAGGGAGGGAAGGATACTAGAGACAAAGTTGAAGTACTTTGGCCACATCATGAGGAGACAGCAAAGCCTAGAGAAGACAATTATGCTGGGGAAAGTGGAAGGTAAAAGGAAGAGGGGCCGACCAAGGGCAAGATGGATGGAGGGATGGCATCCTTGAAGTGACTGGACTGACCTTGAAGGAGCTGGGGGTGGTGACGGCCAACAGGGAGCTCTGGTGTGGGCTGGTCCATGAGGTCACGAAGAGTCGGAGACGACTGAACGAATGAACAACAATTTCTTTTTCTATCTGTGTTTATATTTGGGCATATTGAGTATTCGTGCCAAGTTTGGTCCAGATCCATCATTGTTTGAGTCCACAGTGCTCTCTAGATGTAGGTGAACTACAACTCCCAAACTCAAGGTCAATGCCCACCAAACACTTCTAGTGTTTTCTGTTGGTCATGGGAGTTCTGTGTGCCAAGTTGGTTCAATTCCATCATTGGTGAGTTCAGAATGCTCTTTGATTGTAGGTGAACTATAAATCCCAGCAACTAGAACTTCCAAATGACAAAATCAATCCCCTGCAACCACACCAGTATTCAAATTTGGGCATATCAGGTATGTGTGCCAAATTTGGTCCAGTGAATGAAAATATATCCTGCATATATGACGATACATAACAGTTGCAAAATTACAGTTATGAAGTAGCAATGGAAATAATGTTATGGTTGGGGGTCACCACAACATGAGGAACTGTATTAAGGGGTCGCAGCATTAGGAAGGTTGGGAACCACTGGCTTAAGACCTTGTAGAACTACAAATCCCAGAATTCTAGAGTGGAGAGCCATCCTTTAGAGAGCCTGCTTTCCCTCTCCCAAGCCTCTAAGCCAGAGTGAGGATGGTTGCCACGTCATCGCCCTCCTCCCCCGCCCCCCGCCCCCCGCCCCCGTCCAAAGCCATTGGAATTCCGAAGAGAGCGAAGAAGACAAAGAGGGCGCTGATTGGCCAATCCCAGCCTCTGTCTCCGCCAATCGCCTTCGGCTCCGTGAAAACTTATGGCGCGCCTCTTCCTTCGGCGGGGCTTCTTTCGGGCTTTTCCGGAGGAGCCTGCCGAAGGCTTTGAGGCCAAATCCTGCTCCCTTTTCAGGACAATCGGGATGGAAAGAGTCCCAGCTGGGAGTTGCTAAGCTGTAAATCTTGGCAGGACTTGCAGCTTTGATGAGGCCATGCCTAGGTTTACTCAGAAGTAAGTCCCACTGACTTTATTGGGATTTAGTCACATCTCTGAATCTTAATTTAATTTGCAAGATCTTAAAGTCAGAGGGGGAGTGTGCATTCCCATTCTTTTAAACATGTTGTTATTGTGTGTCTTCAAGTCCTTTGGAACTTTTAAGGTGTCCTTGGCCGCCCTCTGAGGCTGAGAAAGTGTGACTTCCTTGGATTTTCCACTGCACTGACATCTCTTTTATTAGTGGAGTAGATATTATTCTCTGTGATTGTGAGTATGAGTTTGAAGTCAAAGTGTGGTGGCTATGGCTGGATCTCACAAAATCTGTATATGTTCATAAATGGCATTTTCCCATATAATGTCAAAGAACAGATTCAGCAGTTAATGGTTGGGTAGATTTTTTAAAAAATACTCCTTTTTTTGGAGCTGGTTTATTATTAGGTTCTTGTGGGTTTTTTTCGGGCTATAGGGCCATGTTCTAGAAGCATTTCTCCTGACGTTTCGCCTGCATCTATGGCAAGCATCCTCAGAGGTAGTGAGGTCTGTTGGAAATAGGACAATGGGTTTATATATCTGTGGAATGGCTGGGGTGAGGCAAAGAGCTCTTCTCTGCTGGAGCTAGGTGTGAATGTTTCAACTGACCACCTTCATTTGCATTTGAAGGCCTGGCTGGGCCTGGGGGAATCTTTTGTTGAGAGGTGTTAAGATGTGCCTGTTTGTTTCCTCTCTGCTGTTTTGCTGTTGTAATTTTAGAGTTTTTTAATACTGGTAGCCAGATTTTGTTAATTTTCATGGTCAGGAGAAACATCAGGAGAAATGCCTCTAGAACATGGCCCTATAGCCCGAAAAAACCCACAAGAACCTAGTGATTCCAGCAATGAAAGCCTTCAACAATACATTGGTTTATTATTATTTTTTACAACATTTATATGCCGCCCTTCTCACCCCAAAGGGGACTCAGAGCGGCTTACAAGGTATATATGCATACAATATATTATATTATTAGCATAGTACGATATCAATATTAAATATTACTATATTGTACTATACCACTATATTGTAATACAATATATTATATTATTAGCATAGTACAATATCAGTATTCAATAGTACTATACCATTATATTGTAATATTATTAGTAATATTACATGTAATATAAATATATAATTATAATATCATGTTAGTAGTAGTATTATATTGCATTACATTATAATATTATAAATATATGTATATACAATATATTATATTACATTATATTTATTCTTAATATAGAGTCAATACAGAAGTGTATGGTATAGTATGGGATATAGTATTGCTGTATTTCTTCAATTCTAAGACACTTTCCCCCTATATACACATCTCTTAAAATAGGGTGTGTCTTACACTTAATAGCATCTTCCAATTGAAGAAATAAGCATAGTTAAGCCTCTTTTAATAGGAACTCTCAAGCAACCGGAAACAACATTTATCTGACATCTACCAATCTCCCAGGGGTGCCGGTTAATTGAGAGTCTGCTATGTACCACTGAGCTAGTCAATGTACAAGGGGCTTTGGTGGAGAAATTACTTAGGTATAGTTTTGGGTATAGTATTAGTTAATAACTCAAGCAACTAGAAAACTACATTTATCCGGCACCAATCAATCCCTATATGTACCACTTAACTGAGATTCTAGTATAACACTATGTAACAAAGTTTGAAAAATTTTCTGTGTCTGGTTTGAAACTGTTATTTCGTGTTTAATTGTTCAGTACTTACTTTGAAAGTAGTTGTTCTACACCAGAAACTTTGTTTTTGTGGCTGTCACAAGCTACGTTGGATTGTTTGAGACACTATGAGATATTCGTTCAAAAACTATAGCAAACTGTGCTGCGGGATGTCTCGCAAAAACTAAGTTTGTGCAGTTTAATAAATCTTTTCTATGTTTTTATGATGGAACCAATTAAGAAATGACATTTATAATCCAGGAACAAAAACCGTGTTACATATTGTATTTGTAAACTGCAGAGTTTCCATATTGAAGATTTTGAAGGCTGCCTACAGAGATTAAAACCATGGCCATGTGCCGTATATAAAAGTCTGTTTAAAGGGAAGAAGGCAAGAAGCATCTCGCCTGTTAGAAGATAACTGGGACAAGATGAGAGCATCACAGTCCATACCACAATTTGATTTAGGGTATAAATAACAAGGAGAATGAAAAATCTACTGGCACAGAAATTGGGGGAATTATCTTCTATCCAGAGGAAGCAGAATTGATGTGGGATCCTTTGCAGTCATGGGGACCGCCTCCTCCTTGGTAAGCCCCATAGGCACAGTTGGAGAGGTGATCGAGGACACCTATGAAGGTGGTGGCGGCGAGGCCTGTGAGATCCCTGTGGAGGTGAAGCCCAAGGCTCGCCTCTTGCGCAGCTCCTTCCGCCGCGTGGGGACCTCGCGGCCCGGAGGCCTCATAGGGGCCAGCTTCAAGTCCACAGCCTCGGTCCAAGAACTGGAGTGCATGGCCGAGTACGAGCGCCTGAGGAAGGAGTACGAGATTTTCCGTATCAGCAAGAACAACGAGGTGGCCTCCATGATGAAGAAGGAGGCCAAGTTGGACAAGGAGAACAAGCGCTTGCGGGCAGAGCTGCAGGTAATCACTTGAACTGTTGGAAACCAGTTTGAGTTCCCTTTGGGGGAGAAAAGCGGTATATAAATGTAATAAATAAATAAATAACTGGGGAAGGTGGTGGTGCTATGAGATGGCAAAAAGAGCAGAGAGCTTCACTCTGGAGTACAACTAAAATCCCCCAACAGCATGGCAATAGTAATGCTGATTGGAATATTCTGGGAGTTGTAATTTCCTAAAATCTTCATCATCATTACATAGCCCAACAAAAAAGAATCTTAGTATCTTGGTTTTAGACTTGTTCCTGGAGTTATTTGGGGTGCTGATTCAGAAAATTGCATTGGATAGACCACATGAGCTGTAGTTTCTTAGATATAGTTATCATGATTTTCTGTGAGCAAGCAGATGGAAATTGGTAGATGGCATACATTCTGTATGTCAAGAACTAGAGTTGACAGGGGAAATCCAGTGCCATTTTTGGAATCAGCAGGTCAGATATAATGTATTGTCGAAGGCTTTCATGGCTGGAATCACTAGGTTCTTGTGGGTTTTTTCTGGCTATAGAGCCATGTTCTAGAGGCATTTCTTCTGACGTTTCGCCTGCATCTATGGCAAGCATCCTTGCCATAGATGCAGGCGAAACGTCATAGATGCATTGCCATAGATGCTTGCCATAGATGCAGGCGAAACGTCAGGAGAAATGCCTCTAGAACATGGCTCTATAGCCCGAAAAAACCCACAAGAACCTAGGTCAGATATAGCGAGAAACAGATCTAACATGTGAGGCGACAAATGTCTGTTGGCTGTTGTTGTTGTTGTTATCATTATTATATTTATTTATATGCTTTCCCCTTTTATTAACAGATACTCAAAGTTATAAATGCAATACAAGAAAGCCTTAAAACTATAAAAACCAAAATATAATAAAAGCAAACACTGTTTACAAGGAAGACAGTTCACCACATTAAAAACTCATTTGAGAAACATCTTAAATACCTATATACTCGAGTATAAGCTGACCCAAATATAAGCCAAGGCACCTAATTTTACCACACAAAAAAACCTGGAAAAACGTATTGACTTGAGTATAAGCTGAGGGTGGGAAATGCAGCCGCTATTGGTAAATTTCAAAATAAAAATAGATACCAATAAAGTTACATTAATTGAGGCATCGGTAGGCTAAATGTTTTTGAATATTTACATAAAACTGTAATTTAAGATAAGACTCCAACTCTGATTAAATCATTATTTTTACATTTTTCATTGTAAATGTGCTTACGTATCCTTCCAATAATCACCATAGTTTATTTTAACTATATATTTTGGGGGAAATGCTGTGTGTATATGAATAAGGAAAAGTGGGAAAGACTGGCTCTGAGAGAGGTGAAGAGGAAGGTGTGCACTATCTGAGAGAGGAGGAGAGGAAAGAGAGCTGGGTTGCTGTGCAGAGAAGTAAGGGCTTGGCAAGAAGGCGTGGGGCTGAAAGAAGCCCTTCTTTCAGCCCCATGCCTTCTCACGAGGACCCTGACCTAAGTATAATCCGAGAGGGGGGCTTTTTCAGCCTAAAAAAGGGCTGAAAACACTAGGCTTATAAAGTATATACAGTGAGGTTTTACATCTCACTTGGTTTTAAAACTTCCTAAAAGAGAGGGAGAAATACAGGATGATACAAATATTAATATAGAATTAAACAAACCAGTCAATTTAAATCAAAATCACTTAAAACACCAGCAGCATACTCTTTACATGTCATTAAGTCCCACCAGAGGCGGCCCTAGGTGATTTTCAATGGTAAGCAAACAGTATTTTGGTGCCCCCCCCCCCCAACCAATCACTGATATATATTTTCTGTTCGTCGTGGGAGTTCTGTGTGCCAAGTTTGGTTCAATTCCATCATTGGTGGAGTTCAGAATGCTCTTTGATTGTAGGTGAACTATACATCCCAGTAACTACAACTCGCATATGTCAAGGTCTATTTTTCCCCAAAAGTGCCTCAAGAGCGCCCCTGGGCAAAATCAACTATACCGCAAATGCTTACTTTGCGTAATGGGTTGAGCCGCCCCTGAGTCCCACTAAGTTCAATGGGGAGTGTTTAAAATTACTCAGAAAAAGGCTATGCTGTTGGCCTTATAATTCTGTAATTGTGCAGCACCAAGAGACGCTTTCTGCAAGCTGCTGATTTCCTTGTTCAACATTTCGATAGTTAGCAGTTAAATGTTTGCAGGCTGCAATTTTTCACTCTGGGGAAAGAGAACTAATGTTGGTCTTTTTCAGGCACTCCAGAAAACATATCAAAAGATACTCAGAGAGAAAGAAAGTGCTCTGGAAGCGAAGTACCAAGCCATGGAGAGAGCTGCTACATTCGAACACGATCGAGACAAAGTCAAAAGACAGTTCAAGGTACTGTAAATTGCTTCTTCAAAGAGCCAATTCACATTTTGGGTGCAAATTGCTATGAAGCAAAAATGGGGTCACTGAGAAAAAAGAGAAAAATATAACAATCTTTGAGGAGAACCCAGTGAGTACAAGAATTACAAGTTCAGACAAGGCTTTAAAAAGTCTGTTGGCTTTAAAAAAAGGTGCATATCATTCCAGGCTTTCTCATCATTGTTACACATTTAATTCTCTTTCGCATACAGATTTTTAGAGAAACTAAGGAAAATGAAATCCAAGATTTACTGAGAGCCAAGCGAGAGTTGGAAGCAAAATTGCAGAGGCTACAAGCTCAAGGCATCCAGGTATTTGATCCTGAAGAGTCTGATTCAGATGACAGCTGTACAGAGGTTACTGGTAAGTGGGTTGCTGTAGGTTTTTCAGGCTGTATGGCCATATTCCAGAACTGTAGGGTTTTGAAAGCCCTTTTGGCTGCAAGAAAATAAGTGCAGTTTGAAATCTGTGATATTCAAATTGTTTAAAATATGCCTCACGGTTTTAAATTTAATTTTTTTAATTGTTCTAGTATGTTGTTATGAAATGCTGGGATTTAGAGCCAGATATGCATGTTTAATAAATGAATAAACAAGTGTTATCCTCTTTGCTTTGCAATTGGCCCTGCCCACTGTGATCAATTTTCTGTTTTAATGTTCTGATTTTATATTGTTGCTCAGTTTATTTACATTGGTTTTTATATCTTATTTTATTTATTTTTTATTTTCTGTTGTGTTCTTGTGTTACATTATTTTACTGTATGGCTGGGCTTGGCCTCATGTAAGCCGCCCCGAGTCCCCTTAGAGAGATGGTGGTTGAACACTTCCCAAGTGTCTAGGACTGTGTAATGTTTTTTCGAATGATGCGTGCAGATCCAAGTAAAGTGGCCTTTTGCAGTTGACAGATCGTCATATTGTTTCCAAATGCCGGCTGAGATCTTTTGGCACAGCACCCAGTGTGCCGATGACCACTGGGACCACCTGTACTGGTTTATGCCAGAGCCTTTGCAGTTCGATTTTAAGGTCTTGATAGCGGCTGAGTTTTTCCTGTTGTTTTTCCTCAATGCGGCTGTCACCCGGTATGGCAACATCAATAATCCAGACTTTTTTCTTTTCCACAATCGTGATGTCTGGCGTGTTGTGTTCCAAAACTTTGTCAGTCTGGATTCGAAAGTCCCACAGTATTTTTGCATGTTCATTTTCCATGACCTTTGTGAGTTTATGATCCCACCAATTCTTTGCTGCTGGCAGGTTGTACTTGTGACATAAGTTCCAGTGAATCATTTGGGCTACAGAGTTGTGTCTTTGTTTGTAGTCCATCTGTGTGATTTTCTTGCTGAGGATATGGTCCATGGTTTCATCAGCTTCCTTGCACAGTCTGCATTTTGGGTCATCAGATGATGATGATTATTATTTTAAAAAAATTAATTTTATTGATTGCATTTGGCCCGGCCCCTTGTTTTTAAATGTGTCATGATGTTATTGTTTAATGTTTACTTTTGATTGCTTTAATGTTTATTGGTTTTGCTTTTTTGAGTTTTATTGTTGTATTGTTATACTGTTGTTTTATTGTGGGCCTTGGCCTTTGTAAGCTGCACCGAGTCCTTCGGGAGATGTTAGCGGGGTACAAATAAAGTTGTTATTGTTATTATTATTATTATTATTATTATTATTATTATTATTATTATCTGCCCTGAAAGTTAATTTTTGAAAGGGTTCCTTTCTTTCAGAATAAAATCCCAAATGTGTCTCATATCCTCTTTGCACTTGTTTTTTTTTAAGCATCTTATTTATTAGTATTTACCGTCCTTTAATTAATTCTCACAATGGCCTTGTGTGGTAAGTCAGAGTAAAAGAAAGTGACTGGCCTGAGTTTCATGGTTTAATAGGGAAGACATCTTGGAGCACCAAAGTCCCAATCCAACATGTCACATTTGCTCACAAGGGAACTATGCATTACAGTGAACATATTTTGAAAAGAAAAAAAAACCAAGTAAACCGACAATTTACTGATAACCACTATTAATCTGAATTAGAAGCCCATTCTAGATTTCTGCTGAGAATCCCCCTCCTCTTCCCCAATTGCTTTTCAGACACAGCCAGAAAAAAGTAACTTTTGGGGGCTGTAGTTCCCAAACTTTCCCAGTTAACATAGCCACGAGTCAGCTCTTGCAGACTTGCTTCTTCTGATAACTGTAGTCCAAAAATAAGTCAAATACTCTACCCTCAGAAAAGAGTGGTAAATTGGTTGTATTTATACTGTTTCAATTTGGTCTTGGTTTTTATTTTAAGCCGCTGGCGCTCAGACTGAATACTGGACGGGGGGCGCATTGGGGAGCGAACCATCCATGGGCAGCATGATGCAGCTCCAGCAGTCTTTTCGGGGCCCGGAGTTTGCACACAGTTCCATTGATGTGGAAGGGCCATTTGCAAATGTTAACAGGGGTAAGTACTTCATTCTTTCCCTGGAACAAAAATGATATACAAACATACACATATATATCTATACATAGACACTCAGAGTAACACCCCTGTACCCACAATACTAATACGTGTGTTTTACTTACCCAGATGTGATGAATATGTCCTCTCTAGGTAATTGCGTCCTCCAGAGAGAACTGTGCCATGTTTCAGCTGTGATTAGCATAGAGTCACCCTTCCAATGGAAGTCATTCATTCCAATAGTTTCCTATTATCTATTGTTTCCTGTTTTCATTGTATGTTCAGGAACAAATTTCCTGCAGATAAGGTTGTCGTACTGTATATTTTTTAGAGCTTTTCAGATTTATTTATTCAAATAGACATACATTTATAAGTGTTTGTTGTGTACAGTGCAATACTTTTCAGCTATTAGTGTTCCATAATTATTTCTCAGATAATATGGTTTCTTTATATGTATCTTTATAGTACATATAAAGATATCATAGCCTCTATCTTAATATCCGTTTCCTCATACTCTATTTTAAAGAGATCTGAGATAAAATGTTGCTAGGTATAACATTTGCGGCATTACAGGGTACATTTATGTGATTATGAATTCATACTTTACATCAATGCATATTATTACTTTCAATCAAACAAGTAATTTTACTGCTAATTTTAGAAGTATTACTGTGCATTTTATAGCCAGCTATCTTATTATATGAACCCTTTTCTATTTTGAAACTCAAAGGCACATTGTAAGTACAATTCAAAGTGCTGGTTTAGCCTATATAGCCCCAAACGGTTCTGGCCCAACTTACCTGTCCAAACGCATTTCCCATTATGAACCCTCCAGGACTTTAAGATCGTCTGGAGAGGCCCTGCTCTTGATCCCGCCTTTGTCACAAGTACGTTTGGTGGGGACAAGAGATAGGGCCTTCTCAGTGGTCGTCCTCGGCTATGGAATGTCCTTCCCAGGGACATTAGATCCCTTTTAACATTTCGGAAAAAGTCAAGACTTCGCTTTTTGAGCAAGCATTTGCAAATGCAATACAACAGACATAGAAAAATGGAATGACTGGAAGATGTGACTGAACAATGTTTTTAACATGGAGACCCTAATGGTACATTTTTTATTGATTTTGCTTGGTTTTATATTTGTATTAATGTTTTGAATTGTATTTTATGGTTTTGGTGCTGACTGTAAACTGCCCTGAGTCACCTGCAGACTGAGAGGGGCGTTATATAAATATAGTAAGTAAGAAAGTAAATAAATAAATACTACTTAGAGTTTCAGGAGTTCAAGATAGTTCTCCATTCTTAACATACTGAGTAAAATATTATTTCTCTCTCTCTCCCTGTTGTTTCTTGTTTTTTTGTAGATGATTGGGATACAGCTGTTGCCAGTTTGTTGCAGGTGACTCCGTTGTTTTCCCACTCTTTGTGGAGTAACACAGTAAGGATATATCTCATCAACACAGAGGAAACTCAACCAGAAGTCGACATTTTCATACAGGTATGAAAAGCAAATGAAATAAAGGGAAAATGGAAGGGAAAAGGAAGAGGGGCCGACCAAGGGCAAGATGGATGGATGGTATCCTTGAAGTGACTGGCTTGACCTTAAAGGAGCTGGGGGTGGTGACGGCTGACAGGGAGCTCTGGCGTGGGCGGGTCCATGAGGTCATGAAGAGTCGGAAGCAACTGAATGAATAAACAACAGCATAAAAAGCAAACCATGATGTATTGATTTTGCACAGTTTCTCATTGTCCAGCATTCGCAGAGCTGTTAAATGCTTCTGGAAGTTATAGGCAAAAATGTGAGTAGATAAATAGGTACTGCTTAAAGCGGGAAAAGGCAAAGAGATGCTCCAAGCAGTCTTGCCAGCCACACAATCAGGAGATGACAATGAAGGCTCCCCAGCTTGAAAAATGGAGGAAAGCACCTCCGCAGAGCCAGAGATGAGCACTGCCTCCAGAAGCCGGAAATGAAAATGTGAAGCCTTTGTTTGTGTTTGTGTGTTTCATTGTTTCTTATTATAAAGGCATTGAATGTTTGCCTATGCGTGTAAATGTTGTAATCCCCTAGGGAAGAAGGGCGAAATATAAATAAAGTGTATTATTATTATTATTATTATTATTATTATTATTATTAAGACTGTGCTTTATTATATTAATCCTGGTAAATATACTAACTGTACAATGAAATGATGATTTAATTCCCTGAGTTTGTGTATAGCGCTTCTTGTTTGTCCTCCCAAAACAAACCATGGCTTTTTTCTTTCCATTTCAGAAATATTCACCAAAACTACAAAAATATTGTGAGACAATGGAATACTTCTTCCAAGTGGTCCATTTTGCAGTGGAAACAGACAGTCCTTTCCAAGCTGTAAGGAAATGGGAAATCGAGAAGAGTTCCTTAGCAATTTTATTCCTACATCTCAGTTTGCCTAGGTAAGTCCACAGCTATGAAAAGGGATAGGACAGATTAATACGAAAATGTTTTAGGAGAAAACAGTTGAGACTATCAATAAAATTTAAATAATCTTGGTTACCTAAAAGGTAAAGGTTTCCCTTGACATTAAGTCTAGTCGTATATGACTCTGCAGGGTGGTGCTAATCTCCATTTCTAAGCCGAAGAGCCGGCGTTGTCTGTAGACACCTCCTAGGTCTTGTGGCCAGTATAACTGCACGGAGCACCATTACCTACCTGCAGAAGCAGTACCTATTGATCTACTCACATTTGCATGTTTTTGAACTGCTAGGTTGACAGAAGCTGAGGCTAACTACAGGAGCTCACCCTGCTCCCCAGATTCGAACCGCCAACCTTTTGGTTAGCAAGTTCAGTGGTTTCACCTGCTGTGCCACCAGAGGGCCCTGGTTACCTAACATTCATCTAATCATAAAGCTACCTGTCAAAAGAAAAACTTGACTGTTTCTAGATACCATGGCATGTAGAGTTTCCAAATGGGATTGAGATCAAATGAAGGAATTAGATGGGTCATGAAGGTATCTAAATCAGATAAGAACACTGTGTGAGCAGGAGCAAGAGGGCAAAGGATGGCAACCACATCCTTCGCGGTCCCCTTTGAATGATTGTAATTCTGTGTTTGGCCACACAGTGAGGAGGGTTCCTTGCAAATCCTTGCCTGTTGTCGCTGCATCAGAGATGTTGGTGTGAGGCTTCCTGTTACTGGATATGACTATGTTTTCACACGAGTAATTCTATTAATCAAGCACGGGTCACCTTCAGCCCTCTGTCCAGGCATTTTGGACTTTGGCTCTCACAATTCCTAGCAGCTGGTACGGCTGCTGGGAATTGTGGGAGTTGAGGTTCGGGGTGCCTGGATGGGGGGCCGAGGGCAGCCCGTGCCTGCTGTAAATTATGCTGTTTCTATTTATGGAGCCGGCCCAGCAAGAGGCCCTAAAGTTAAATGGGGTTTTTGATGTTGTTGTTTTTATAATAATAAATACGAAAATGGCAATGTGGGTTGCCTTCCTCCCTGAAGGAAATGAGGAGGCAAGAATGGTGGGTGGGCAAAATGGTGGGTGGGAGTTTTCCGCAGGAGGTAAAATGGCAAGAATGAGGTGAAAATGTCTTTGCTCATAATATAATATATTGTGTATACATATAATATTTATAATATTGTAGTGCAGTACAATATAATACTAGTAATAAAATATTATAATTAAATTATATATTTATATTACATGTAATATTACTAATAATATTACAATATAATGGTATAGTACAATATAATGGTATACTACAATATAGTACAGTAGAGTAATATATAATACTGATATTGTACTATGCTAATCATATAATATATTGTAGGTATATATATATCTTGTAAGCTGCTCTGAGTCCCCTTTGGGGTGAGAAGGGCGGCATATAAATGTCGTAAATAAATAAATAGATAATATTATTTTAAAGAGTAAATATTACTCCCCACTCCATTATTGTTGGAGTAGCAGCTCTCTGTATTACCTTTTTGTAAGTGTAATTGGAATTGTTACTTTTACAGCTTCAGATTTTGAATTTTGTGGATTTGATTGAAATGTTATCTCTGGTAACCAGTCTAGGTCCTCCAGTGTGATTATGGTCAACTTCCTTTAGCAATTTTATTATTATTATTATTATTATTATTATTATTATTATTATTATATTTATTTAAATGTTGCTTTTTCTCAAAGAATTTCAAAGCAGCAACTTAGACCTAGAAATATGCAGAGAAAACACCTCTAGGAATCTCTAGGTCCTCCATTGCAATTACATGGCCACTATGCAGCAGAAGTTGACCATAGAACCATGTTGGAAGACTTAGAAATTATTAGGACAGGTGCTCTCTCAAATAAAAATAATGTTATTTGTGGTTTTTCACTTTCACTGAAGTTCTCTGGCTCTAATCCCAGGGAATGTGGAGAGCTGACTGTAATTAGTTTTTCATAATTACAGTCCCCAGGGCTATGGGGCAAAACACTGTGTCTTCCTGTTACCTCAGCACCACAGCAAAGCATGAAGCAGTAGCATGAGGTGACTCTTGAAGTATATGACATTTCTCTTCTATCATTTAGGGAGGTTATAACCCATGATTATAAAAATAATAGAGTTGCATTGCAAAAGCAGTGAACTGTTCCTCATTCAGTTATAATTTTTATGTAATGTAGGTATGCTTTTAATGCTGGGAAGAATTATTTACAAAATACAACCATTCAGTAACAAAGCTCCTTTATCTCACCCTGAGTTTTTAAATCATTTTATGTACATGTGGCCCGCTCACTATCATTATGTTTGGTTTACAGCTTTTTTTCTCTTTATGTTTTGTGTATATTATGCATTATACTTTAATGCTATGTTGTTTATTTTATTGCAATTTGTATCTTATTTTATTGTAATCTGTTGTTTGGGCTTGGCCTCATGTAAGCCACCCCCAAGTCCCCGTTGGGGGAGATGGTGCTGGGGTATAAATAAAGTTTATTATTATTTATTATTATTATTTAAAGGACCTAAGTGATACTCCAGATTTTTCGTCATTTTTTCCATGATCCCTTTCGCTCTACCAAAAATGCAACACTTTAGTGTGGTGGAAAGGGCAAAGAAGAAAGGCATACCCACTTACTATCTTTTTGTGTATATATAAGAGTTACCTTCCATCTCGGTATATTTCTACACCAGTTATGGGCAAACCCAGGCCTGGGAGCTGCATGCGGCCCCTTGGGCTCTTTTCTCAGGTCCTCCTCTCTCTCACCATCTTATCCTTCCTTCCGTCTCTCTTTCCTTCCCTCCCTCTTTCTCCTTCCAGCCTTCCCTCCCTTCCACCCTTTCGTCCTTCCTTCCTTCTCTCCATTCCCTTCCACTCTTCCTTCTATCCATCCTTATTTTCCTCCCTCCCTCTCTTCCTTTGTTCTTTAGCTTTTTCCTTCCTCCTTCGCTCCTGAGGGATGTTTAGCTGTGAGAAGAAAGTAAAGTATTCAAAAGAAAGTAATGTTTTTGGCAGATGCCAAAAAAGGCTTTTGACAATGTGAATTGGAATTTCATCAACATTTTAATAAAAGAAATGGATATGGTATATTATTTTGAGAATATAATTGGCGCAATATACGATAAACAAGAAGCAAAAATAATAGTGAACGGCCAAGAAACAGAGACAATTGATATCCAGAAAGGAACAAGACACGGGTGCCCCATATCCCCCCTAATATTAATTTTAACACTAGAAATATTATTAGATAGACAAAGAAATAGAAGGTGCAAGAATACAAGGTCAGGATTACAAGCCCAGAGCTTTTGCTGACAACATTATAGAGATAACAGAAGAACTCAATAAAAACTTGGAAAAATGGCTGAAAACAGTTAAGAAATATGAGGTCTCGGGATTTAAGATTAAAATAGATAAGACAAAAGCAATAACAAAAATAATAACAAAGAACAAGAGAAATTGAGAGATAAATGGAACATTCAAGTAATACCAAAAATAAAATATTTAGGGATCACATTAATGGTTAAAAACTTACAATTATTACAAAACAATTATATTGAAAAATGGGAAAAAATTAAAAGATTTGGAAAACTGGAAGAATCTGAAATTATCCCTACTCAGAAGAATTGTGATGGTAAAGATGACCATACTCTCAAAATTGATATTCTTATTCCAAAACATACCAATAAAAAGGGGAAAACTGACTTTTTGTTGCTCTAGAGACCAGGACACAAGGGAGCAATGGTTTCAAATAGCAGGGAAAGAGATTTGACTGAAAAAATTAGGAAGAACTTCCCGAGAGTAAGAGCTGCTGAAGAGTGTCATTGGTTGCCTCAGAGTGTGATGGAGACTTTTCAGCAGAGGCTATCTGTTTGGAGTGCTTTGATTGTGCCTTCTTGCATGGCAGGAGGTTGGACTGGATGGCCCTTGGAGGTCTCTTTCAATTCTAGGATTCTAGGGTTCTATATCAGAAGTAGGCAATACGGGGTCTAATGGATACACCTTTTCTCTCCCATTCACCATCTCAACCTGACCAAGGCTCACCCTTTTGGGATCCAAATGTTTCCCATCTTTCCTTCACTTTCTGCCTCTAAAAGAGAAGAGGAAGAGGAGGAAAGGGCAGGGAAGGGACTTGGGGAGAACCCCCTCCCTCCTGGCCCACCTACCCCACTACAACCTTTTATGTGGCCCCCAAGTTATAAAGTTTGCCCATGCCTGATCTACACTGTAGAATTAATGCAGTTTGATACCTCTTTAACTGCTACGGTTCTATACTACGAAATTATGGGAGCTGTAGTTTGGCGAGGCACCAGCACCATTTATCAGAGAAGGCTTGCAAAATTTCAACTCCTAGGATTCCATAGCACAGAGCCATGGCAGTTAAAGTGGTATCAAACTACATTGATTCAGCATTGTAGACGTACCTTCAGCCTCTGTTGTTGCAGACGTCATGTTCAATACAGTTATGTAGGGTAGGATGGGATAGATGTTTAAACACTTCTTTGACTCAATACTTGTTTTGGTCTTCGTTTTTGAAAACACATAATTTGAAATGGCTTGACCTTTTGCAGCAGAGTTGTTACAGGAAAAAGGGCACCCTTGTGGGCTGATGTTCATTGGACTTTTTACTGTACCAAAATAGTATAGTTCAAGCATTCTGGTTTCTGTTGCAGCTGTCTCATGGATGAGTGTGAAGAAGCCTTTTTGAAGAACCCCGAAGGGAAGCCTCGACTTATTTACCGCCGGCTGGAAGAAGGTCAAGTCAGTTCAGATGCCATAGAGCAGTTAGTTGAGCAGGTTCAAATTGTGAACAAAGCCAAGGTAAGGAGGAGTTGTCCATCCTTAGTATCCTTATTGTGACTGATTTCTTCTTGTTTATTGCACAGCACTTGTTACAAACAGTGTTAACAGAATCTCCACCTTGCCCTCCCTTTCCTCTAAATACTAAGGATACACTGGAATATCCAAGAAGCTAATGGAATTGCACACACTCTAACATGCTGGCTAGGAAGTTCATAGGGAACTGCCATTTTCTATAAGGGATGCAATGTTATTTCACCACTAGCCACCCCCTGCCACGCGTTGCTGTGGCCCAGTCTGGTGATCTGGAAAATAAAGTAATGAGAAAGTGTTGGTTTCTAATATATGTAATTTCTTTCTGCTTGAGGGTAAACAGTATTTCTTCATGTTTCTTTGTCAGTGTTGATGTAGAGATTGTCTGGTCTGCAAACTTTGGAACATGCAACATATAATTGTCCTTTTTAGGGGTCCCTTTCAAATCTATGATACTATATCTGTCATCTACATATGTGTGTGTGTGAATCATATCTGTCTGTCTGTTTGTCTATATCTATGGCTGGATAGCTGTTTGTCAGGAGGGCTTTGGTTATGTTTTCTTCCCCTGGTGAAGGGAGTTGGACTGGATGGACTTAAGGCAGCATTTCTCAACCTGGGGGTTGGGACCCCTGCGGAGGTCATAGAGGGGTGTCAGAGAGGTCACCAAAACCATCAGAAAACACATTATTTTCTGTTGGTCATGTGGGTTCTGTGTGGAAAGTTTGGTTCAATTCTATTGTTGGTGGGGTTCAGAATGCTCTTTGATTATAGGTGAACTATAAATCCCAGCAACTGCAACTCCCAAATGTCAAGGTTTATTTTCCCCAAACTCCTTCTGTGTTCATATTTGGGCATATGGAGTATTCGTGCCAAGTTTGGTACAGATCGATCATTGTTTGAGTTCACAGTGGTCTCTGGATGTAGGTAAACTATAACTCTAAAATTCAAGGTCAATGCCCACCAAACCCTTCTACTGTTTTGTGCTGGTCTTGGAAGTCCTGTGTGCCCAGTTTGGTTCAATTCCATCGTTGGTGGAGTTCAGAATGCTGTTTGATTGTAGGTGAACTATAAATCCCAGCAACTACAACTCCCAAATCACAAAATCAATTTTTTGAGTGATGGTCACTAATTGGGTTGCTGGGCGTATTCTGTTCAAATTTGGTGTCAATTTGTCCAGTGGTTTTTGAGTTACGTTAATCCCACAAACAAACATTACATTTTTATTTATATAGATAATATAAATGGGACTTGAGCATCCACAGATTTTGGTATCCAGTGTAGGTTTGGAGCTAAACTGCAGTGGATACCACTCTATATGCTTTCTGAGTAGGATATAGTTCTTATACAAGGTCTAAAAAAACTACTGCTTTTCTATCTCAGCAACATTGGAAGACCTTGTCATTTCTGTCTCACTTTCCCTTCCTCCAGATTATCAACCATACAGGAGGATTAGAGGAAGGAGCCTATGAAGTCTATAATTACGTTGAAAAAACCATAAAACAGGTATTTTTTCTCACCCCTGTTTCAAGCATAATGTCTATGATGGAAAAACAACATATAACTACTGTTATGTATATATGTATGTATTATGTATCTATTAATGTAACTCATTGAACAAAATATTCACTTCCCTTTCCCTACTACTAAATTGTTGTTTTTATTGTTGTTTTTATATGTTGTAGTTTTTAATTTAGTGTATTATACTGTGTGTTTATTTCATGCTTTGTTTATTCTATGCTTTGTGCCATATGTAAGCCGCCCCGAGTTCCTTCGGGGAGATGGAGGCGGGGTCCAAGAATAAAGTTATTATTACTAATAACAATAATATAATAATATAATTTAATGTAATATAATATATTGTACACACATGTAATATTTATAATATTACTAGCTGTGCCCTGCCACGCGTTGCTGTGGCCTATAGTAAAACTTATCAAAGTTGAGGTAGATATCTGGACTATTATGAAAGAGAGGTACCTACCTATTCCTTCCCCCTTTTCCTCCCCCTTTCTCTCCTTTCTTCCTTCTCTACCTCTTTCTTTCTTTCCTTCTTTCACTACTTGGTTTCATCCTTCTCTCTTTCCTTCATTCCCTCCCCCTTTCTTCCTTTGCCTTTCTTCCCTCCCTGTTTGCTTCCTTCTTTCACTTTTTATTTCCTTTTATTTCACCACCATCATAACAATAACAATAATGCAATGCATTGCCTCTGGGACCTGACACCTCTCCCATTCCCCCAGGGTCTCATAGGAATAATAGCATAATAATAATAGAAATAACAACCTTTACCCGCCATGCGTTGCTGTGGCCAACCTTCCCTCTTTCTCTCCTTCTTTCCCTCCTTCTTCCTTCCCTCCTCTTTCCTTCTTCTTCTCTATCTCTTTCCTTCCTTCCCCTTTCTTTCTCTTCTGGTCTCTTTTCTTCCTTCTCTCTTTCCTTCCTTTCCTTCCCTCCCTCTTTCTCTACATCTTCCCCCTTCCTTCACTCCCTCTTTCCTTCCTTCATTCCCTTTTTTCTTTCCTTTTCTCTCTTTTGGTCTCTTTTCTTCCTTCTCTCTTTCCTTCTTTCCTTCCCTCCCTCTTTCTCTACATCTTCGCCCTTCCTTCACTCCCTCTTTCCTTCCTTCATTCCCTTTTTTCTTTCCTTCTCTCCTTCCTTCCTTCCCCCTTTTTCTTTCCCTCCCTCTGTCTCTCATTTCTTCCTTCTCTACCTCTTTCCTTCCTTCCCCTTTTTCTTTCTCTTCTGCTGTCTCTCTTTTCTTTCCTTCCATCTTTCCTTTTCTTTCCTTTTCTTCTTCCTTCTTTCTCTAACTTTCCTTCCTTCCCCCTTTTCTTTACCTCCCTTTCTCTTTCTTCCTTCTTTCCTTCCTTCCTGTCTTTCCTGGATTTTGACAGGGCGGGAAGGGGCAGGGTGGGGTTTGGAGGTGGCGTGAAGTAAAAGGAGGTAAGATTGGGGCAGGGGAGTGATGGAGCGTGGGGTTGTGTGTGTGTGTGCGGCGGCGGGGGGAGTGATGCAGCGTGGGGTTGCGTGTGTGTGTGCGGCGGCGGGGGAGTGATGGAGCGCGGGGTGCGTGTGTGCGGCGGGGGGGGGGGGGGGTGGGGTGCGGGGGGGGGGGGGGGGGGGTTCGCGGTTGTTTCATCGGCCTTTAACTGCGTGCGGCGATGGGGGGAGTGATGGAGCATGGGGTTGCGTGTGTGTGTGCGGCGGCGAGGGGAGTGATGGAGCGTGGGGTTGCGTGTGTGTGTGCGGCGGCGGGGGAGTGAGGTTGCATTTGTGTGTGCGGCGGCGGGGGGAGTGATGGAGCGTGGGGATGTGTGTGTGTGTGCGGCGGCGGGGGGAGTGATAAGCGTGGGGTTGCGTGTGTGTGTGCGGCGGCAGAGGGAACGTTAGCCGGAAGGCCGTATGCGCGCGCCAGGGAACTTGCGGCTGGGCGCCAATGCACATGCTCAGTTGTTTTGCCGTTTTGTGAGTGTGTTGTTGTGTTGTTTTTCATTTTGAGTAGATATGTTTGTACCTTGTGGGTTGTGTTATGGGCATGGGAATTTTGGTTAAGTTTCGTTCTGGGGTTTTTGAGTTTTGTGGCTCCGTTGGATGCCCTTAACAAATTTATATATATAGATATTGTAATGCAATGTAATAAATAATAATATGATATTACTAATAATAATACAATATAATGGTATAATACAATATAGAAATAATTAATACTGATATTGTACTATGCTAGTAATATAATATATTATATGTATATTTATCTTGTAAGCCGCTCTGAGTCTCCTTCGGGATGAGAAGGGCGGCATATAAATGTCGTAAATAAATAAATAAATAAATAAGCACAGATAGTTATATTGTTAAATTTCTTAGAGCTTTTTTTAAAAAAAACCATAAGCACTTTCAAGTCTTTTTAAAAAAAATGCAATTGGGCACCTTAACAACAACAACAACAACAACAACCCACTCTTCCATCTTTGGTGCTTCATTCATTTTCCATGCTTATGTCTTAACTGTGCCATAGACATGAATTGAGGACAGTACAGTATGACTGTTATTCACAGATTCAGTATTCACAGCTTCATTTGTCCACACTCCAAGAATATTCCCATGGAAGCATTTGTGGGCCTCTCTAGGTCCTCTAATGTAATTTTATGGTATAATAAAATTTGGGCTTTGCTATTATCCATGGTTTTATTTATCTATGGGGGTCTTAGAATGTTTTGCTGTGGATATGAGGGTCATATTGTATTTGAGTATTAGCTTCTGTCCTTAGTATCCTAGCTTCTTTTAGGATTAGAAAGGAAAGATTTGGGGGTACGTCTAAATCAGTGGTTCCCAACCTGTGGACTGTGGACCACTAGTGGTCTGCAAGAATTAAAATATGGTCCACAGCTTCACCATTACTACACCGTTGCCTCGAAACCATGCAGCAATGAGACGGACTGGTCTCGTGAAACCCTGTTGTAATGCCGAGGCATCGGGAATGTTGAGAGGGGAGAGGCTGACTAGCCACGAAAAATTACTACTACCACATCAGCTCTAGATTATTAAATATGGTTTTCTGTGGGCAAGCAGATGACAACTACAGGGATGGCATATGTTCTGTATCAGAAAGTAGATTTGATGTGGTCCATCCAATGCAGTTTTCTGAATCAGCACCCAAATAACCAAACCGATTGTAAAGTTGACTAAAAACTGATTTGTAACCCTTTTGGTACTAATTTTGGAGAGTGGTCCCTGGTCAAAGTAGTCCCTAGTCAAAAAAGGTTGGGAAACCCTGGTCTAAACTTAGTACTGTATATACTCGATTATAAGCCTAGTTTTTCAGCTCCTTTTTTAGGCTGAAAAAGCTCCCCTCGGCTTATACTCGAGTCAAGGTTGTTTGTTATTTTTCTCTATTTCATTTTTATTACATTTATTATTTTTCTATATTTACTACTATTACATTTATGTTATTTTACACTATTATTATATTTATTATATTTATTATTTTACTCTATTATTTATTTATTTATTTACTTACTTACTTACTTACTTACTTACTATATTTGTATTCCGTCTTTCTCAGCCCATGGGTGACTTTATTATTATTGTTATTATTACATGTATTATTTTACTCTATTATTATTACATTTATTATTTTCTCTGTTTATTATTATTAGTAGTACATTAATTATTTTACTCTATTATTTATTTATTTATTATATTTGTATACCGCCTTTCTCAGCCCATGGGTGACTTTATTATTGTTATTTTTACATTTATTATTTTACTCTATTATTATTATTACATTTATTATTATTATTATTATTATTATTATTATTATTATTACTTTAATCTCTTTATTATTATTGGAAGGATACGTAAGCACATTTACATGGAAGAAGGTCAGAATGATGGTTGAATCAGAGTTGGGCAGTCTTCTCTTATATTACATTTTTATGTAAAGATTTAAAAACATTTAACCTACTGATGCCTCAATTACTGTAATATTATTGGTATCTATTTTTATTTTGAAATTTACCATTCACTGCTATATTTCCCACCTTTGGCTTATATTCGAGTCAATACATTTCCCCAGTTTTTTGTGGTAAAATTAGGTGCCTCGGCTGATATTCAGGTCGGCCTATACTCGAGTATATACGGTACTTTGGTTTTTCTAATTAGCTGCTTCTTAGGAAAGAGTCGTTCACTGCCTCTTCATATGATCTTATGTCCCCTCACAGGATATATTAGGCTGTGAAATTACACAGCTAGAAAAGAAAGACATAACTGATAATAGTGACTCTTCTGTTTCTGAAGAGGAGGTTTTTGGAGATGTCCTGTGGGATGCTCATGACGAACAAGAACAGATGGAGGCTTTCCAGCAGGCTTCCAATTCCTCTTGTGAGCTAGGATTCGAGAAGGTAGGTTCACCCATGTTTTTAAGGCCGAGGAAGCATCTGCATCTGTTTTCCCTTCCCTTTCAAGAAGGCTGCTGCTCTGCAGAAGGAACAGCCCTGGAGGCTTTCAGCCCTCAAGCTAAAGGAGGCCATATGTGTAGGCAGATGACACACTTGGCTCTGGGAGAGATTCCAAAAGTGTCTATATTAATGCCTTGCCAATGTGGTCTTCATTTCTGCCTTTGGCGAGGAAATGTTGTGATAATATTGCAGCATATTCTATGCTTCCAACGATGGAGATAAAAAGGAATAATTCTTGAAGTCTTTAAAATAAACAAACTTAAAGTCTATGGTGTTCCCAGGTTGGGTGGATGTATGGGTGAGGTTCGGGGAAGTAAGAATTGCATAAAACCCAATCTATCAGTACCTTCTAATGTTAAAATTATAAAAAAATTAAACACTCTTAACATGGATCCAAATTAAAATCAGTGAGACTTAGAATCATAGAGTTGGAAGAGGCCACACAAGTCATTCAATCCAATCCCCTGCCATACAGGAAAAAGCACAATCAAAACACACCCAAATTAACAGAGTTTAGGTTGAGATTTGGGCATGTCAAAATGTATATCCTGCTGTAGGAATGTTCAGATCAAGTAGGGATGATAGTCCTTTCTTATTCTTTTTAGTTGAATTCTCCACTGTTTTGTTTGTTCTGTCCACAGTATTACGAACGACTAAATGACCTGGTGGCCGCCCCAGCACCAATCCCCCCACTTCTTGTCTCTGGAGGACCAGGATCTGGGAAATCTCTCCTTCTGTCTAAATGGTACCACTTTCAAAATGTCTTTTTCAGGGCATTATGGTTATTTATTTATTTATTTATTTCCAACCCCACCCTTCTCAATTCCCGAGGGGGGACTATTTATCTTCGTCCAAATAGACATTTCTCACCACAGTAGCAGAATAGTACATAGAAGAGGAAGCAAAACATTTATTTATTTATTTCAAGTATTTATATCCCGTCCTTCTCACCCCCGGAGGGGGACTCAGGGCGGCTTACAAAAGGCAACCATTAGATGTCAGCAAGATACAAGTAAAATATCACAATTAAAACAGCAATTTAAATACTTATGTACATTCAATTTAAAACAGTCTGCCAGTTCAAACTCATGGTCCAGGTCAGTCCGTAGTTGGTCTTAAAACAATCTCTTCCTAGTTGCTATATCTACTGCTGAAATGCTTGATCCCACAGCCAGGTTTTGAGTTTTTTACAGAAGGCCAGAAGGGAGGGGGCAAATCTAATTCCACAGCTGAGAGGCCACAACGGAGAAGGCCCTGTCTTTCGTCCCCACCAGTTGCACCTATGAACAAGATGGAACCGAGAGCAGGGCCTCCCTGGATGATCTCAGTGTTCTTGATGGTTTGTAGAGGGAGATACATTCGGATAGGTAAACCGAGCCGGAACCATTTTAGGGCTTTATAGGCTAAAGCCAGCACTTTGAATTGTGCTTGGTAGCAGACAGACAGCCAGTGGTGCTGGCGTAACAGTGGGGTTGTACGCTCCCTGAATCCCGCTCCAGTAAGCAACCTGGCTGCCATTCATTTTCCGGTCCCAATTCAAGGTTCAGGTCATCACCTATAAAGCCCTAAACGGTTTGGGACCTGCCTACCTTCGTGAGCATATCTCTCTCCATGAACCTGCCCGATCCCTTTGTTCTCCAGGGGAGGCTCTCCTCTCATCCCTGCCGTTATCTCAGGCCCACCTTGTGGGGACAAGGGAGAGAGCTTTCTCGTCAGTAGCCCCTCGACTTTGGAATACACTGCCCGATGAGATTAGGCGAGCCCGTACCTCAGAAAGCTTTAAGAAGAATCTCAAAACCTGGCTCTTCTGTAGCGCTTTTGGTGATTAACCATATAATCTGAGATTGCTGCTACCCCTCAACATTTCTCCTTAGAGCATACCTCCTCCTCTCCTGTATGAAGACCTTTCTTGACCTCATGTCCGAAGAGTTTCTCCTTCACAAATAATCTGCTCCATCCCTATCTCACCCTGTGATTTTAGTTTCTTAGATTTAGTATTTTATTCTGTACATGCGGCCCGCTCACTGTCACTGTCACAATCACTGTGTTATGATTGATTTTAATTTTATATTGTTTGCTGCATTTTTATGTTTTATGTAATTTATCAAGTTATTGTCTGTGTTTTGATTTTAGTTATTGTATTGTGTTGTTGTTCAGGCTTGGCCTCATGTAAGCCGCCCCGAGTCCCCATCGGGGAGATGGAGGTGGGATATAAATAAAATGTATTTATCTATCTATCTATTTATTTATTTATTTACGACATTTATATGCCACCCTTTTCACCTCTCTTCATTCTGATATTATTATTATTATTATTATTATTATTATTATTATTATTATTTTATTATTATAGATGAGGAAGCTATATTATGTAGATGTTGGGTTGTGTTTCCATTCTCATTCCTCTAGGCCAGGTATGGGCAAACTTTTCCCTCCGGGGGCCAGAGGAAAAAATCTAAAGGGCCACATCTGGCCTGCAGGCCTTAGTTTGCCCATACTTTCTTTAGCCAATATGGCCATTGGCCAGGGATACTATGAGTTGTGGGTCTAATGGATACCTGGAAGGCCAGAGATTCTGTGTTGACCATATTGTGTTTGGTGAACCAATTTTATGACTTGTGATATCTTACTGTGATTTTCTCCTCTTTCTTCTGTTTTAACAACAGATAAGTAAAACAATTTGGAAACATTAAATAAAAGATTAAATTTACATTAATAATTGACATTATGATAGCTTTGCAGGACCATTTAGATGTTAACATGCAGTTTCAAGTGACGTGGTTTGATGAACCCTCTTCTCCTTCCATCTGTCATAGGATTCAGTTGCAACAAAAGCATTCACCAAATACACTCATTCTATATCATTTTGTTGGGAAACCCATGTCAAGCAGTTCAGAGCCTTCACTGATCCTCAAACGTCTCACTTTAAAGGTATCCCCATTTTACTGTGAATCATTGCATGCTTTTAAGGAATTGAATGCCTCTGTCTCCAATAATAAGTTTGGAACACTGTTTCACCAAAGCACATTATAATATATTTTCTTACATTTCCTTTTTGACTGAACTCAGTACCTATATTGTTCTAAATTCCTATAAACTTTATAAAAATTGTCATGGCTATAGCGTGCGTATGCATGTGTTTATGTATGTATATATGTATGTGTGTGAGAGAGAGTAGATAGAGTGAGTAATATGTTTTTGTAGCTATTTCTAGCCATCTGGACAAGGAAGAGAAGACATGTGGTATTTCTTTTGTTTATAGCCTTCAGCAATTCCAGCCTACAGTTTTCCAGTTGGCAGCACATCACACTGCCACTGGGGTTTTCTCACTTGAGTAAGAATCATAGACTCATAAATTTTGGAAGAGACAACAAGGGCCATCCAGTCCAACCCATGTGTTTAGAGATATGTGATACAACCATTTAAAATACCTTCTATGCCCAGAGAATGATTTTGAAGAGATGTGAATTTTCAACTGATTTTCTTAGTACTGCTAGTTGTCTCATCTGTGATGTCTGAAAGTAGTTACACCCTGGTGCAATACTGATAACACTGACCATCACACATTTTAGTGCTTTGAATGTTAGAGTTATTTCTGAGTATATTTGACCTGCTGATTTAAAAAAATGGCATCAGTTTTCTCCTATCTGCTCTAGTTTTTGAGATATAGAACAAATGCCATCTAGCAGTATTTGGAAAGACATGACCTTGTTGGAAAGCATAACCTTTTGGGAAAATGATACCATAACCTTTTGGGAAATGGAATCTCCCTGAGAAGAGTCAAAAACTTGCTTGAGTCAATCTTCTCCCCAGTGGCAAATATCCACCATAATTCATGCAAGGCAATTTGGTTTCTCAGTTGTTAAACTAATATACCTAGATATTTCTTGGAACTGTTAGGGGCAAAGACAAAGATATGCCATGCCATGCTTTTAATCAGAGGCTGGGTGGCCATCTGTCAGGGGTGATTTGAATGCAATATTCCTGCTTCTTGGCAGGGGGTTGGACTGGATGGCTCATGAGGTCTCTTCCAACTCTATGATTCTATGCCATGCTATGCTATGTTATTTTATATATATATGAGTTTTAGAAGTGTTCTTTCAGTTGCCCAAAAACATATACTCTCCCTTAAAACATCTTGGTTTAAGAGACCAAAAATAGGGTAGTCTTCGTTGTTGTTGGTATATGCATTTATTCAGCATACAGGTATTTTGCATATCAATCCAGTTGCAGATAGGATTTGAAGTAGTTTCTTTGTGCAGGTAGCACAGGCCATCCTTCTTAGAATTTTAACAGTCCATTGTTTAAAGCAGGGGTCCTCAAACTAAGGCCCAGGGGCTGAATGCGGCCCTCCAAAGACATTTACCCGGCTCTTGCTCAGGGTCAATCTAGGCCTGAAATGACTTGAAAGCACACAACAACAACAACAACAACAACAACAATCCTATCTCATCAGCCAAAAGCAGGCCCACACTTCCCATTGAAATACGAATAAGTTTATATTTGTTAAAATTGTTCTTCATTTTAATTATTGTATTGTTTTTAAGTGGGTTTTTTGCACTACAAATAAGATATGTGCAGTGTGCATAGGAATTCATTCATGTTTTTTTCAAATTATAATCCAACCCTCCAACAGTTTGAGAGACTGTGACCTGGCCCTCTGTTTAAAAAGTTTGAGGACCCCTGGTCTAAAGCATCTCTCTGTTCTGAGAGTTTCATAGAGTCTCTGTCTCCCTAAAGCATTCTGTTTCTACTGAAGTCTCTACACTGAAAGTCTAATGGCTTCTGAAAGCATACTGTACTGTTTCTGAAATAGAGTCTGAGTCCTGAATAGTCCCAGATCTGATCACATGATCTGCAGCCCCTCCCACAATATAGAGTTAAGGAAAACTGCATACCAATACACACATATACAACACAGTAAACAGTCTGAATGTCGCACCTCAGAGTAGATTCACCTTGCTGAAAACATCAAACTGCACACAGCCAGAAGTCTTTATAGTTTATTAAAAATAAAAGGTTAAAAGTTCTTAAAAGCAAAGATAATGTTCCAAAAGATCAATACAAAATAACACTTTGAAGATTAATCCAAAATGGCACCAGCAAAGCAAAAACCCAAGAGAACATGACAAAGCCCTGAAACCATGAACACAAGAACTGCAAGACAATCCAGACAAGCAAAGGCAAGCTTCTTGGTTAAACGAAAAGTTGCTTTGACAAAGGTTTGGTCCCAAACACATTGCTTAATACCTTTGCAAAATGTGAAGGCGTTTCTTTGGCCTCTGGCCTCCTTTCATGGTAGCTATTCTCACACTCCCTTGAACTCTGAATTCCAAATGGTCAGCCCGATCTAAGGTTCCAATTTCATCAAGGTCAGTCTGTTCATTAGTGTCGACCTGTTTCCCTGCTTGCTCATTATCAGGCTGAGAACTGTCCTCCTTCTCTGAGTCAATCTGCACCTGCACCTGGCTATTTTCAGTATCAAAACTCTCATTCCTTGCTGTGGGAAACTGCACTTCCTCACTGTCTATAACAGGGACGTCTATAACAGGGACATTTTGAACCAGACTGTGAACCTGAGTCCCATCATCCTCATCAGAGACACTCTGTTGTTCCAGCTGAGTCACAACACTGAATTACATGCATAACAAATAATTAGTGTAGGCTTTAAGGAGGTTGCTGTTTCCAACATCAGTTGCCATCTTCTCACTCATAGAAAAGCATAATCATATCTAAGAAAATAGGGATGATGCAGTCTATCCAATGCAATTTTCTGAATCAGCACCCCAAATTACCCCAAGAACAGGCCTAAAAAGATACCAAGAAATTTTTATTTTAGTTGTTCTGTGTAATGAGTACTTTTTCCCAAATCTAAGTCAGTGGCCAGGTTCTCCATCTGTTCTCCTTACGCTTTTCAGCCCTATTTGGAGTAAGTGGGTTTACCTAATGCTACCATCCATTTTCATTTCTTATCAGTTTGCATTTGGACACTGCTAACAAAGAGAATATATGAAACCATTGTATAATGTCTGTAGGACTGGACTGCTCAAAATCATGTATCAATGTCCATTTCTCTACCCTGAATAGTATCACCATAAAACCAGATTTCGCCTCCCAGCTCTAACAAATCACAAAAGTGCTCGTTTGTTCTGACGTCTTTCACAAATCCACAGCAAGAATGGTTCATTCTCATGCAAGACATGTTTTTAATTTTCAAATGTTAACATAATTGTGTTTTCATTCATTTTTGTATCTTCCTTTTCCAGTGAAAATTCAATTAACGGGAAATGTCATGAGATAATTGATTGGAAGGTTTATCTTGAATTTCCAAATGCAGAGTGCTTAAGAAAAGAAAAGGGATGGAAGCTTGGTAAAACTTTATTCTCTGGATTACTGTTCCCCAAATCCACCAGCCAGGGAGTTCCAGACCAAAAATAGTTGTTATAATTGCTGCTTGTTGTGTGTGCATGTCTTTCCTTTTTATATGTACAAATGTAGATAACACACTCTCATGTCTATCACTGTGTAGCTTATGCAGCATTCCTGGTCAGTCTCTCCTTTGACTCTGGATCCGACAAAGCTATTGGAAGAATTTCCTCATTGGCTAGAGAAACTTTCTGCTCATCACCAAGGCGGTGTTATTATAATAATTGACTCTATTGATCGAATCCAGGTAATATTTTGCAACATTATTATCTCCCACATTACCAAGAGGTGAAGTTAGAACTTTTGGGAAAAGGATGACCTTTGAGATCATACTCTTTTGGAAAACCAGAATCTCCAAAGCCTTTTGGAAGTGTGACCTTTTGGAAATTAATTGGCATTCAGTACCATTTGGAAAATCATAGCCCTTTTGTAAAGTATGGTCTTCCTGAGAAGAGCTAAAAACTCGTTTGAGTGAATCTTCTCTTTAGTGGTATATATCCACTAGTATTCATGCAAAGCAAATTAGGTTTCTCAGTTGTTAGACTGATATACCTGGTTATCTCTTTGAATTGTTAGGAACAAAGATTATGCCAATGCACAAAATATATAGCAGATCTCCAGAAGTGTTATTTCAGTTGCCCAAAAACGTCTACTCTCCCATAAAATACCTTTGGCTCTAAATCATGTTCTCAAGAAACAAAAATAAGTAGTAGTCGTTGTTAAAAATAACATAGGGTTGTTGTAAGTTTTTCCGGCCTATGTGGCCATGTTCTAGAGGCATTTTCTCCTGACGTTTCGCCTGCATCTATGGCAAGCATCCTCAGAGGTAGTGACTCTTGCCATGGATGCAGGCGAAACGTCAGGAGAAAATGCCTCTAGAACATGGCCATATAGCCCGGAAAAACCTACAACAACCCAGTGATTCCGGCCATGAAAGCCTTCGAAAAATAACATAGTTGGTTTACTTACAAACTTGATGTATTCAGCATACAGGTACATTGCATATCAGTTGAAAGTTTAAACAGTAAGTTTTCTAAGGCATTCTGTCGCAGTCTCTTCTTATGTCTATTGCAGTGGTTCTCAACCGGTGGGTCCCCAAATGTTTTGGCCTTGAACTCCCAGAAATCCTAACAGCTGGAAAACTGGCTGGGATTTCTGGTAGTTGTAGGCCAAAACACCTGGAGATCCACAGGTTGAGAACCACTGGTCTAATGCATAACGAACACTGACTATACAGTACTGGTTGAACACTGACTGATTTCTAAAATAGAGTCTCAGTCTGAATAGTCCCAGATCTGATCATGTGGCCTGCAGTCCCTCCCGCAACCTCAAACAACATAGAGTTGAGGAAGCTGCATACCAAAACATACATAAACAATGCACTAAGCAATCACAAGCAATGCTTTCTATTTCCAACAAGAACAGCATGTATTTCTATATAGCTATATTACCCTTCAGCTTGTATTTCTATATAGCTATTTTACCCTTCAATCTTTTTACCCTTCAATTTTACCCTTCAATCTTTTTGCTTCTGTAAATGTAGTTATGTCCGAGGTTATCTGTTTTGTAAAACAAATGAACTGTGTAGGAATCAACTGAGTTTTATTCCTTTTAACTTTACAAAGTGGACAAATTAGTCTCCTGTCAGAATACGCACGCACACAAAAGAGAGAAACGTTATTGGGACTGGGTGACCTGGCAGCATTGCTTACTGAAATCCAATTAATTTTAAGTTGTCTGGGAAAGTTTCTTTTTGCTGTTGTCTGCAACACCGGTGTAAAAGTTGGAAAATTTGCTTTTTGGACCACATATGGCCATGCTGTCTATGGGGTGCAGGCGGTGGTAGACCGAAAAAGGAACATGTTAGTGCTCTGGTATACTGGCCCTTATCAGTATTAGAATAGTTTCTAATTAGAGAGTGGCAAGCATTACACTTTTGGTTGGTATTTCTGTGAGAAATAACACATGTCATGCATATCTGCTTACGGAGACCTCCGAAAGAGGAAAATCTGAAGATGCTATTTCACTAGGAAACAATACTCTAGGAAACAATATGTTTAGCATGCTTTGAGGAGCAGTGGGTTAAACCCTTGTGCTGGCAGGACTGAAGACCGACAGGTCACAAGTTCAAATCCGGGGAGATCTCAGATGATCTCCCTCTATCAGCTCCAGCTCCTCATGTGGGGACATGAGAGAAGCCTCCCACAAGCATGATAGACCATCAAAACATCCGGGTGTCCCCTGGGCAACGTCCTTGCAGACGGCCAATTCTCTCACACCAGAAGTGACGCAGTTTCTCAAGTCGCTCCTGACATGACAAAAAAAAAGCATGCTTTGGACTTTTTTTCATTAAAACCATCTTGTTTTTCAGCAAGCTGAAAAGCACATGAAGTGGTTGATCGATCCTCTACCAGTGAACGTAAGGGTTATTGTATCCGTGAATGTTGAAACTTGTCCGCAAGCATGGAGGTACATTGGTTTAGAAACACTGTAAAGCAGCCTTCCTCCAACCCTTAAGGAACATTTAAATTTGTTTTTAAATTGTTTATTTCTGTGTTTTTTAAAATAACTTCCCCATTGTATATTGCTTCAGAACTGTAGAGGCCTGGGAGATGATATGTAATACTTTAAATCAATAAATAAATCCTGTGCTATCTCAGTGTATCCCAACTACCATGGAGAAAGAAGAAATTTCTGTTTCTATTAAGCTGAAAGCAAAATATTTAATATTCAAATCAGTTGAATGTGTGTAGTATGACTCCCATGGGGCCCCCGGTAGTGCAGTGGGTTAAACCCTTGTGCTGGCAGGACTGCTGACTGAAAGGTCGGCAGTTCGAATCCGGGGAGTGGGGTGAGCTCTCATTTGTCAGCTCCAGCTTCCCATGCGGAAGCCTCCCATAAGATCAGGCCCGTAGCCAGGATTTCGTTTCGGGGGGGGGGGGCTGAATTTTTTTTCAGGGGGGGTTTTTGGGGGGGGGCTGAGTTTCGGGGGGGGGGCTGAGTCTGAGTGAAAGAGGGTCTAGCCTAGCAAACCTTTTGTATCATTACCCCAATACATATGGGATATATTGAGTACGGTGATCAGATCATGATATGAATAAACATAACAGTTTAAATAATGCACCAGTAAGGCCTTTTCGCGAACCACCATGAAATTTTTTTGGGGGGGGGGGGGGGCTGAAGCCCCCCGAGGCCCCCCCCCCCCGGCTACATGCCTGCATAAGATGGTAAAATATCTGGCCGTCCCCTGGGCAAAGTCCTTGCAGACGGCCAATTCTCTCACACCAGAAGCGACTTGCAGTTTCTCAAGTCACTCCTGACACCAAAAAAACCAAAAAAAACCCCTCTCCCGTTCAGTATAATGCACTTTCCCAGTGCAAGGAATGGGGAAGATCTGTATCTTCTGACTAAATGAGGGTCAGAAATAAAGGATATGAAAATATCTGTTAAAATATCTGTTAAAACTTGAAAAGGTTATTTTTCTAGACCCCAACTTTCATAATTTCATACCAAGTACATACTAGATGTAGAATTCTGAGGCTTGTTGCCAGAAAAGCAACTTTTCCACTCTATTCAAGATTCAGGTGAAAGAACATTTATTTATTTGCTCTTGTGTTTTTTTTAAATATATAAATGTATTCTGGAATAATTTCCCTGGGTTTCTGGATATATTTTATTTCTTTGTAGCTCTTGCTATTGACTATGGTTTCTTTACTGGGCAAAGTTTTTCCTCTGTTATTACTGAGTTACTACTGGGTTTCTTTCATACAGTAAATTGTAATGATAGCATGTACAATATCTGGAAGAATCTTGCATTTGAATTTACATATTTACATGTGTTGTTATTTCTACAGACTTAAGTATATTGAATCTAAATAAGGCATGAGTAAACTTTGGCCCTCCAGGTATTTTGGACTGCAACTCCCACAATTCCTAACAGCCAATAGGCTGTTAGGAATTGTGGGAGTTGGAGTCCAAAATACCTGGAGGGCTGGAGTTTGCAGGTGGCTGATCTAAATAATATATTGACAACCTAGAAAGTGATTTTCCATTTTCTCACTGAAAGACTATGGCCCACCCTTCATCTTGATCCTTTAAATGCTGAAGATGTGAAATCTCTCATTAATGAAGAGTGCAGTTCTGCAGACTTCAAGCTGACTAAAGAACAGGTATTAATGCTTTATATCTGGACTGATAGCTATCAAACCCAGTTACTGTGATATTTTCCTAAGTCAAACAAGAAGACTCTTATATTCCTCAGTATATAACTGTATTTCTTTTAATTTTTAAAAAAGTGTTGCCTGCTGATAATTCATAAATCAACAAAGGTGGAATTGTCCCAACAGGAAAGATCCAACATATATCTTCACTGCATGATTTACATATTGAATACATTGTTGTTTGGCTCATGTTTCTGTCTTCAGGATTGTTTCTGTAGGGTTTAGCTTTCAAAATCCTAGATGAACAATTAAGAAGAACAGAAACAAACGATTGATAATCTAAGTAGACATATCTAATGACCAACACTTATGTCCTTATCTTCCACATTCTTATATTTGGTTTAGATGGGGCTGCAGTGGCGCAGCGGGTTAAACCGCTCAGGTTGGTGGTTTGAATTCATGGGATGGAGTGAGCTCCCATTGTTAGTCCCAGCTTCTGCCAACCTAGCAGTTCAAAAACATGCAAGTGTGAGTAGATTAATAGGTACCACTTTGGCGGGAAGGTAATGGCGTTCCATGCAGTCATGCCAGCCACATAACCTTTGAGGTGTCTACGGACAACGCTCGCTCTTCGGCTTAGAAAAGGAGATGAGCACCAACCACCAGAGTCAAACACAACTAGACTTAATGTCAAGGAGAACCCCCTATCTTTAGTTTAAGGCATTACACTAAACCAAAGGCAACAGAACTATGGTTTGGGATGTTTTTGCTGACAAACCATGGTTTGGGGTTGGTCAGAAAACTAACATCAGAAACAATACTTTGAAGTGTGTAAACAATGGGCATTTGTGTTAATTACAGCTATTGAGATGCCTGAACTGGTGGACCATGACGCTTCCTTAGGAGGACTCAATGATATAGAAACAGGACTATTTAATAATATGGAAAACTAAATTAGCAGACTATTTCGAGCTATGATTTTCTTGAATTCTTGAAATCATGGTTTGAATTTTGAGTAGTATTTAGTGTAAATCATGGTGTGACATTATTTTTAATTGAAAAAGGAAGCGTGTTGAGAAGGCAGATTTGCTACTATAGTGAAACAAAAAGCACAACTACTGTATAATATATGAATAATATTTCAGTGAAAATGATACGACATTTAAAGTATAAATAACACCAAGTAACATGACTTTTGTTCTTATTTATTTATTTATTTATTTACTTCATTTGTTGACCACCGTTCTCAGCCCTAGGGCGACTCACGGCGGTGTACAACATGTAAAAACAGTTTACAATAAGGCAGAACACAACAAAATATCAACATAACTATCAATGTATAACAATAATATAATTACACTAAATCATCCGCGTCGTCTCATCATAGAATCGTAAACCAATCTCATAATCCTTATTCCGTTCCAATCGTCATTGCCAATTGTTGTAGCACTTAGTACTTAGTTAAACGCCTTCTCAAATAACCATGTCTTTAGGCTCTTGCGGAATGACATAAGGGAGGGCGCCTGTCTGATGTCTACAGGGAGGGTGTTCCACAGCCGGGGGGCCACCACCGAGAAGGCCCTATCTCTCGTCCCCGCCAGATGTGCCTGTGAGGCAGGCGGGATCGAGAGAAGGGCCTCCCCAGATGATCTCAAGGCCCTCGTGGGCTCATAGGCCGAGATGCGGTCAGAAAGGTATTTTGGGCCGGAACCGTTTAGGGCTTTGTAGGCCAACACCAGCACCTTAAATTGGGCCCGGTAGCAAATCGGCAGCCAGTGGAGCTGGAACAACAAGGGCGTTGTGTGCTCCCTGCGTCCCGCTCCTGTTAGTAACATGGCTGCCGCGTGCTGGACTAGCTGGAGCTTCCGGGCCGTCTTCAAGGGCAGCCCCACGTAGAGAGCGTTGCAGTAGTCAAGGCGGGATGTGACCAGAGCGTGTACCACCGTGGCCAAGTCAGACTTCCCGAGGTACGGGTGCAGCTGGCGCACGAGCCTAAGCTGTGCAAATGCTCCCCTGGTCACCGCTGAAACCTGGGGATCCAGGCTCAGCGATGAATCCAGGATCACACCCAAGCTGCGAACCTGCGCCTTCAAGGGGAGTGCGACCCCATCCAGCACAGGCTGTAACCCTATACCCTGTTCGGCCTTGCGCCTGACCAGGAGTACCTCTGTCTTGTCTGGATTTAATTTCAGTTTGTTCGCCCTCATCCAGACCAGTACAGCGGCCAGGCACCGGTTCAGGACCTCGACAGCCTCCTTAGTAGCAGGTGGAAAGGAGTGACAGAGTTGGACATCATCTGCGTACAGATGACACCGCACCCCGAAACTCCGGATGATCTCACCCAGCGGCTTCATGTAGATGTTAAACAGCATGGGGGACAGTATAGAGCCCTGTGGAACCCCACAGGTCAAAGGCTGTGGTGTTGAACAGGTGTCCCCCAATGACACCTTCTGGGTGCGGCCCTCCAGAAATGACTGGAGCCACTGCAGAACAGTGCCCCCGAGACCCATTTCTGCAAGGCGCCCCAGAAGGATACCGTGGTCGACGGTATCGAAGGCCGCTGAGAGGTCCAGGAGCACCAACAGGGACACACTCCCCCTGTCTAGCTCCCGGCGCAGATCATCCACTAAGGCGACCAAGACCGTCTCAGTTCCATGTCCCGGTCTGAAACCAGACTGTGCCGAATCCAGATAATCCGTGTCTCTCAAGAATACCTGGAGTTGTGAGGCCACCACGCTTTCCATGACTTTGCCCAAAAAGGGGAGATTGGAAACAGGCCGAAAGTTCTCAAATTTAGTGGGGTCCAATGATGGTTTCTTCAACAGCGGTTTTATAATTGCTTGTTTTAAGCACGCTGGAATCTTGCCTTCCCGAAGGGAGGCATTAACCACCACCGTTACCCACTCAGCCAATCCCCCTCTGGCCTCCTTCAGAAGCCAGGATGGGCAGGGGTCTAGGATGGACGTGGTGGGCCTCATTCCTCCAAGTATCTTGTCCACATCCTCGGGCTTCACAAACTGAAAAGAATCCATCAAAATAGGACAAGCCGGTGCTCGTGTCACATCCTCAGAGACTGCATTTAACATGGTGTCCAGACCAGAACGGATCAAGGCGACTTTGTCTGCAAAGAACCGAGCAAATGCTTCGCAGCGCGTGGCCGAATTGTCAGGGCTCCCGCCTGAGGTGGCGGGAGTTAAAAGACCTCTGACAATCCGGAACAACTCCGCCGGACGGTTCCTTGCAGACGCAATAGTGGCCGCAAAGAAAGTTTTCTTTGCGGCTTTTATTGCCGCGGCATATGCCCTTAAAAAGGACACAAACCGTGTTCGTTTGACTCGCTCGGATCCAAACGCCACACGCTCTCTAGTTCCCTCTTCCTTCGCTTCATCACTGCCAGCTCCTCAGTGAACCAAGGAGCTGGTTTAGCTCGGCTACTTGAGAGGGGACGTTCCGGAGCGATCATGTCAATTGCCCTGGCCATCTCCCCATTCCAGAGAGCGACCAAGGCCTCGACATGGTCACCTACCGAGGAGGCGGGAAAATCCCCAAGAGCCGTCAGGAATCCATTCGGATCCATAAGCCTCCTGGGGCGGACCATCTTAATGGGTCCTCCACCTTTGCAGAGGTTAGAGGGCGCAGTGAGCCTAAATCTGATCAGGAAGTGGTCAGTCCATGGCAACGGAGAGATAGACAGCTCCTCCACACCGCCACCCTGCTCCCATCCCTGGCAGAAAACCAAGTCCAATGTATGTCCAGCACTGTGCTCCTGGCAGAAAACCAAGTCCAATGTATGTCCAGCACAGTGGGTGGGGCCAGATATTTGTTGGGACAGCTCCATGGTTGCCATGGCAGACATGAAGTCCTGAGCCGCTCCTGTGAGGGTCGCCTCGGCATGGATATTGAAGTCTCCCAGCACGAGAAGCCGTTGAGACTCCAACGCCAGGCTCGAGACTACCCCCGCAGCTCAGGTAGGGAGACTGTAGTGCAGCGAGGTGGACGGTACACTAACAGAATCCCTATTCTGTCCCGGTCACCCACCCTCAGGTGGACGCATTCAAAATTTGTTGACTGCGGGATGGGGCCCCTGGTCAGAGGGATGGAATCTCTATAGACCACTGCAACCCCGCCTCCCCACCCTCCGGATCTCGGTTGGTGCTGCACGGAGAAGCCTGGAGGACAAAGCTGGGTTAGATTCACTCCTCCAGCTTCATCCAGCCAGGTCTCCGTGATGCACGCCAGATCTGCCCGCTCATCCAGGATTAGATCCTGGATAAAGGTCGTTTTTCCGTTGACAGACCTGGCGTTCAGCAGCACCACCTTCAATCCGGAGGGCCCGCCAACCTGGTTACACCAATTTACCTTAGGAGACCGGTTTGGGATTATTAATGTAGATAAGCGGTCCGAATTAAGCCGAATTTGAGGTCTCCTTTTTCCGCATCTCCCCCTCCCCACCACGACCTCTATGGGGGCCCCTCGGCTAGTGGAACACCTCCCCTCCTCCATGCCGCAGTCCAAATCCAAGGTCTTAGTTTCTGTTTCGCTAGTTGTTTGGTTTGTTGGCGTTTTTTCTTGCCAATTCCCTTGATTCCCTTTCTCCCCCCTCCCCACCTCATTGTTATCCACGGACTCCAGCCCACTTCCTCCCTTGCCCCTTCCACTAGTCACTAATATCAGGGACAGTACAAATAGGGGAATGGGGGACCACATAGGTGATAATAGAACACTTCAGTAAGATTGATAGTGATAAAGTGTAGTAAACGTCTCAGCCGCGACAGTTAGATAGTTCATAAAGTGCAAGAGTCTTAAAGTGCAACACAGTAGGCGACACGGCTGCGTGCCACTAGGGCAATTCATAAAGTGCAAGGATCTTAAAGTGCAACAAAATACCCAAATCTGGCCCTCAGCGCTAACTAAAGTGCGGCAAGGAGGGATCGGGGAAGGGGGCGTAAGTGCAAGTGCGGTTTAGCAGCAGAGGCAGGCGCCTTAAAGTGCTATATTACGTTCTTAATACCAATTAGCAGCAAGGTGGACAAGGAACAGTAACGTGCTATGTTCGCAATATGTAAACACAATATTAAGGAGATTGGCAATGGTATCAGTTGGTAAAGATGCTGTGATTCAGATGTAATCTATGGACGGCTGATGTAGAATAGCGAATGAGTCTCTCAGTCTTCCGGAGATGGTCAACACGGCGGTGGTCAGCACAAATTGGTCTATATCCAGCTTAAGTTGCACAAACAGGCAGCACACTATCGGTCAACACAGAAAAAGGTCCGCACAAAAAGGTCTACACAATATCGGTCTACACAAAAGGTCAGCACAAAAATGACTACCTGCGGCTTGCCCTGATGGTGGGGGCCCAGATGGTGGAGGATGGTAAAGGCCCAGGCGGACAGGGCCCGGCTCAAGTAGCCCAGGGCCCGGTTCAAGTAGCCCTCGTGGTGCAACGGCCCGCCTGGCAAGGCCCGGGCAGTAGAGGCCAGCGTCTGGTATTGGCCCAGATGGTAGCAGCCCAGTTGGAAGGAGCGACGATGTTGGGCGATGTTGGGCCCGGCGGCGAGGCGTCTTGTACAGGCCAGATGATGGAGGTCCAGATGGTAGGGCCCAGCCGGAGCGACGCTCACAACGCGGCGGCCTGCTTGGTAGGCCCAGGTGGCAGAGGCCTAGCAGGGGCGGCGTTCGCGGCGGCGGCAGCTTCGGCCACCGTAGTAGGCCCCAGCGGAGGGAAGAGAAGGCCCAGATGATAGGGCAGCAAGGCCTAGGTGACCAGAGCCCGGCTCGAGCAGCCCCCGCGGCGCGGCGGTCCGCCTGGCAGAGGCCCCGCAATGGAGGCCCAGCCAAGCGAACGTTCGTGGCGCTCGCGGCGGCGGCCTCGGCGCCGGCTGCTGCAGAGTCCCGACTCACTCTTCCGCAGTTGTAAACCGTCCGCCTCCTCTCGGTCTCCCGGCTGCCTCTCTCTCCAGCGGCCTTGGTTCTAAATGTCATATTGGTTCTGTCATAAAAACTTGGAAAATTGCTAACATTTTGTTTTTGTAGGACATCCTGCAGCACATTTTGTTCTAGTTTTTAAGTGAATATCTCATAGAGCCTCAAGCCATTCAACATAGTTTGTGGCAGCCACAAAAACAAAGTTTCTGGAATATAGTAACTACTTTCAAAGTAAGATACTGCACAATTAAACAGGAAATAACACTTTCAAACCAGGAAAAGATTTTTTTTTCAAATTTTGTTACATAGTGAATCCATAAAATATTTTTATTATATCCTGTAAACCAAGGATAATTTTGAAAGACATCATCTTTCCTATCAATTGTACTCTCATGAGCATAGTTTGTGGGAGATATGGATCCAGTGCGTAGCTATGGTTTTGTGTGTGTGTGTGTGTGACAGATGTTATGACATTGTGTTTTTAGTGCTTCATTTGAGGTTGTTTGTATGCAGTTTTCAGGTCCAATTTCATAGTTGCTTTGTGTGTTCAAACCTCTACTAGGAAAAGAAGCTGGAGAAACACAGTCATTCTACTACAACTTGCAATGCTTTATATGCCATGCTTTTGGGCAGAATGGTGGCTAGGTATGTTGAAAAATATTTACACAAATATTAACACAAAACTGTAATTTAAGATAAGACTGTCCAACTCTGATTAAACCATTATTCTAACCTTCTTCATTGTAAATGTGGTTATGTATCCTTCCAATAGTAATAAAAAGAGTAAAACAATAAATGTAGTAAAAATAATAACAATAGAGTAAAATAATAGAAATGTAATAATAACTAATAATAGAGAAAAATAATAATAATAATAATAATAATAATAATAATAATAATAATAATAATAATAATAATAAGGATTTAAATATAGAATTGCAAAGACTCTGGCACAAGCCAGTAAAGGCGGTCCCAGTGGTGACCAGCACACTAGGTGCAGTACCTAAAGACCTTGGCCTGCACTATAAAACAATCAACACTGACAAAATTACCACCTGTCAGTTGCAAAAGGCCACCCTACTCGGATCTGCACGCATTATTTGCCGATACATCACACGGTCCTAGACATTTGGGAAGTGTCCAATGTGTGATCAAATACAAAAGCCAGCATAGTGATCTTATTAGCTGTGTACTAATCTTGTTGTGTAGCAAATAATAATAGAGTAAAATAATAAATGTAATAAAAATAATAGAGTAAAATAATGTAATAATAATAATTAGAGTAAAATAATTAAATCTAATGAAATAATAATAATGACAGAGTAAAATAATAAATAACCTAACCTCTTGCACTTTACTATTGTCCCCACCCTGAAGTTGTACTGTACAACCTGACTTGTACCTTACAGCTTTTATTTATCATCTGTCTCTCGCACTTTGCTGTCATCCCTGTCCTGATAGTTGTATTGCAAAAGCCTTTCCCTCGCCTCTTAGCTTGGAAATGCCCATTAGGCTTGGCTACTGGTTGTTGTATAATGAATTATTTTTAATTATGTTTTTATGATGTTGTATTTGTATTTTTACTGTGTTATATTTTAACCTTGTCTGACTGGGCTTGGTCCCCATATAAGCTGCTCCGAGTCCCTTCAGGTGGCGGGATACAAAAATTATTATTATTATTATTATTATTATTATTATTATTATTATTAGTAGTAGTAGTAGTAGTAGTAGTATTATTATTATTGACTTGAGTATAGCTGAGTGGGGCTTTTTCAGCCTAAAAAAGGGCTGAAAAACTCAGCTTTTACTGGAGTATATATGGTAATTGCTTGAAAGAGATGCTTCCGATCTTCTCTTGGCTGTGCATAGGATGAAAGAATGGCATACACTCATTTTTGCTTATTCTATTATGTTTTATTTATTTATTTATTTATTTACGGCGCTTATATGCCGCCCTTCTCACCCCGAAGGGGACTCAGAGCGGCTTACAATATATATTTTCATACAATATATTATATTATTAGCAAAGTACAATATCAGTATATATTACTATATTGCACTATACCATTATATTGTAATATTACATAGTTTTAGTGTTAAGACTGAAACTGATCATGGTGTGCCTAAAACCCTAATATTTCTTTGTTTCCAGATCAGCCTTTTACTCTGCCCTGTTACGGAATCTGGAATATATATATATATATATATATATATATATATATATATAGGCATCACTTTGCTTTGTAATGGAGTATAGAGTTGCCATCCGCTTAACAGATCTATCTCAGTGAGGCCAGTAAAACCCCACAAGCTGTGATTCAATTCTGACACAGATGTTGGAATTCTTAACAGTTACCATTGCAAAATATTCACCAAACAAAAGTTTATGAAGCGTTCTTTTTATTGTACTTTAATTGGGACTTGCTCATTTAACGCACAATAAATGCTTACCTTGATTTGAACATTCTTAAAATAAATGAAAGCTAGTTTTTTTTAGCTTCCATTCTTTTATATTTCAATCCTCTTATTTTGAAAGGTTTTTTTTTTTTACATTAAGGCTTTTTCTGTAGCAGAGTGTTTTACTGTCTATATGTCAAGATTGTAGGGGTTCTTTGGGGGAACGTATTTCACAGTATCTCTAAATGCAGGCAGTGCTTTGGTTTATTTTCCCTTTCCTTTTATTTCAAGCAAAATCTGGTGTGCATCAGCCCATGTCTGTTGAAATTTGGGACGTAATTATAAATAGGCCTAGCAGATGCTGAAATTCGTAATAGTAAGCACTGCCTGTAGTTATTACGCTTCAAATTTGATGTGTTCTTCTCTTCTAAGTCTTTTCTGTCTACCTGTCTCCCCTCTTTTCCAGTGCTGGAAGCATCGAAAATAGTGATGTGATTCTTCAAAAGTGTCTCCACTGCCAAGATACAGTGTCACTGTACAAGCTGGTTCTCAGATCAGTTGAAGAATCTTTGAAAAGTGATAAAGACAAAGACCTCATGAAAGAGGCAAGTCTGTGTCTGTCTTGGTTGTTTTGGAGGATGTGTGCGCTTCCATACATGTGACTTTTAAAATTAGCACAGTACTAACTAGAGCTTGGAAAAATGATGTGATTTTAGACAATTTCCCAAATGCTCCTACTAGTATACCTCCACTCACTCTGCTCTTCTCTTTCCTCTCGTATCCTATGAAACACAACTCAGCTGTAGGATGCTTTGTTTGTGTCTTTGTTATTATTATTTTTTTACTATGTCTCTGTTTTAAAGGTTTACCAGTGGTCAGGACAGTCAGACCAAAATATTGATTTGTTAACTAGCTAAGCTTTCTCCATAGCTTAGCAATCAGTAATATGTGTGTGTGTGCATGTGCGTGTGTATAGTGGGTTAATTCGAACCGCCATGAATGCCTTTCACTGAAAGAATGAAAACTCACGTGGATTAATCTTACACATAAAACTAAAGAGTCCAACTTCTTGTAGATATTTTGTCTTCAGAAGAGAGCCCATTAGAGGAAAGAATTTAATTATGTAGCTCCATGTTGTACTACAGCATGAACCTAAGGGTGATGGGTTCACTGATGGTTTAGAGAGAATTGTGGGATTTCCTGTGAGATTTCAAAGTGATGAAAATTCAAGTCAGAGAAATGATGGTTCTCTCTGGGAAAAACCTAACTCATAAAGTATAAGGCTCCAAGGTCAATCAGAGGAGCCAGAACCTGCAACATTAGATAAGGAGTCAGCCGAAGAGCTAAGTGATACGGAAGGCTCCCAGGGAAAAACACCTGAAGCTACAAATCGGCAGCTCTGATCAGAGTTCTTACGAGGGAAAGCTGAGGAGAGAATTCATGGGAAAAGAAATGATTTCACGGGTGCCTATTAATTAGCAAGTTCTCAATTAGCAACTACCTAAGAGTTAGTTCAGGCAATGTAGCGTTCAAGGGAGAAGCTAGGCCTGAGTTCTCTGGTTCTTGTTTCAAGTCAAGCCTTTGTTTTGGATTCAAGTATCCTGGAAGCTTTCTATGTTCTTGTTTTTGTATTCTTGCTCAAGTTTTATTAATATGCTTTTGCTTGTGGACTTATGCTGTACATTCTGGCTATTCCTGGACTATATTACTTTGGGATTTTGCATGAGACATTTGGATTACTGCCTGATTATTACCTATTGCTAATCCTTTCTTTGATTATACATCTTCTTTCCTTATTCTTGATTTTTCATATATTTTACAGATTTTTAGAATAAACTGTTTGCTTATACTCTGTACTCTTGTGTGATGGTATGGTCATAGGGGTTTCCAGGCCTGGGGTGCAACACTACACAGATCATATATTTTTGGTTTCATAGCATTTTAGTTAGTAGTAAGTTGGCCCGCCATATACAAGGAGCCTGCATCCATGGATTGCTCCATGGCTGTATCTCTTGTATACAATGGAGGAACTTTGATTTCTCCATTGTATACAAGGGATACTGTTTTACTAAGCCATTGACTATAATGGGATTTGAGCAATCATGTTATTTGGTACCCACAAGGGGTCCTGGAACTAAATTCCAGCGGATAACATGGGCCCACTGTAGTCAGATTTGGTTTACCAGATTCAGTGAGCAGATGATGCTAATAAATCTGTCAAAACTGCTTTTATATTTTTGCTGCATAGGTTCTTTGTCTCATTAGTGTCAGTCACAATGGAATCAGTGAATCAGAACTGACAGAACTGTGTCCTGAACTGTCTTGGGAATTGTTGGCCTCCTTAGTTTACAACTTACACAAGATGTGTTTTTTGACCTATGGCTGTGGCTTGTTAAAGTTTCGGCACCTCCAGGTAATGTTCTTTTGACAAGAATATTAGTTATCTGCAAGTTTTTGCTTGTGTTTACAGTCATTTTAAAGTTTAGAAACAATCGAGCGTAAGGCAAAGTAAATTCAGGAACATTCAAACATCTACACATCTGCACAGTTTGATGTTGTACACTTTTAAGAGTCTTTTAAGATTGATGCAATTGCTTTAAATTACACTATGTAACACAATTTTTGTTCCCGAGTTATAAATGTCATTTCCCAATTACTTCTATCATAAAAACATGGATAAAGTTTATTTAACTGCAAACATTTTGCTATAATTTTTCAATGAATATCTCATAAGAGCCTCAACCAATTCAACATAGTTTGTGGCAGCCACAAAAACAGTTTCTGTAGTATAACAACTACTTTCAAAGTAAGTACCACACAGTTAAACAGGAAATAACACTTTCAAACCAGGAACAGGATATTTTTCAAATGTTGTTAGATTTATCTACCATCCATCCAACTTAACAAATGATCCAAGTGTAGTTTGGAATCAAAGAAATCTCCCTCAGTGTACATATGTGAGTCTCCCCTCACATATATACCACATATCTATCTATATATATAAATGCTCTGTTCGTTTTGAGTGACATCATAACTCAAAATCTGCTGGACAAATTGCTGCTTTCATGACCAACAGAAAACACTTGAAGGGTTCAGTGGGCATTGACCTTGAGTGTTGGAATTGTAGTTCACCTACATCCAGAGAGCGATGTGGACTCAAACAATGAAGGATCTAGACCAAACTTGGCACAAATACTTCATATGCCCAAATATGAACACAGATAGAGTTTGGGGGAAATAGACATTGACACGGGAATTGTAGTTACTGGGATTTATAGTTAACCTACAATCAAAGAGCATTCTGAACCTCACCAACGATAGAATTGGGCCAAACTTCCCACACAGAACCCCCATGACCAACAGAATATACTGATGGTCTTTGGTGACCCTTCTGACACCCGCTCGCAACCCCTCCGGGGGTCCTGACTCCCAGGTTGGGAAATGCTGCCTGAAGGCCATCCAGTTCAACTCCCTTCACCAGAGCAAGAAAACAATCAAAGCCCTCCTGACAAAGAGCCATCCAGCCATAGATGTAGATAGATATATATGATTCACACAGAGACATATATATGTGTGTGTGTGTGTGTGTGTGTGTGTGCGTGCGCACGTGTGTGTGTGTATGACAGATATACTATCATAGATTTGAAAGGGACTCCTAAAGAAGGACAATTATATGTTGCGTGTTCCAGAGTAGGCAAACCATAGAATCACAGAGTTGGAAGAGACTTCATTGGCCATCCAGTCCAACCCCCTGCCGAGAAGCAGGAATATTGCATTATGGAATCATAAGATCATAGAGTTGGAAGAAACCAGACAATCTCTACATCAGCACTGACAAAGAAACAACAAGGAATGCTGTTTACCCACAAGCATCAAGAAATTACATATACTAGAAACCAACACTTTCTCATTACTTTATTTTGCTGATCACCAGACTGGGCCACAGCAACGCATGGCAGGGGACAGCTAGTATACACATAAACGCACACAGGGCACAAATTTCAGAGTTTCTTTGGGTAATGAATTTGACATGTTTTTGAACTGGACTCATTGTTTTCTTGCTTTATCAGTCTAAAATGTTAGTTTATGCAGTGGGTACATGTTGATTTCTCTTTTTTGCTTCCTGTGATGTGATTTGCAAACTGTCTCCAGAGCTCAATTCACCCAGTACAAAAAATGTCCTTTTTCAGGCTTTGGAAACAGTGAAGCTGGAATACATGGAAGAACAGAACACTTTGGCTGCTTATAGAAAAACACTGATTGCGTACTTTAGCATGCAATTAAGGTGAGCTTTCTGACATACAAAACAATGAAATAATACAGTTAATATAAAGGTACTTGTAACAGTTAACAGGTATGTTTTTTTTAGCACAGTGATGAAGGGATTGAGCTGTAAACCAATTCTCTATTTTCAGATTTTGTGATGATCACACTAGATCAGGGATGAACTACTGTAGGAAGCTAAGGGAGTACATTGGTCCCAAGGAGGCCTTGGAGGGCTTAACTGACCATCACCTCTAGCAACATTGGGGCATTTTCACATGTTTTTAAAAACCATTTTGGGCCTAGGAGAGGCCATTTTTGCAACAATCAGAAATGAGCCCATGTCACTTCCTGTTTCATTCCCGTTTCATAAAGGCCTTTCCAGGATATAATTAGGTCTATTTCTTCTAAAAGGCATATTGTACCATTATTCTTGAAAAAAATGTTTTTGATCCAGGGGGTGGGAGTCCACACTAGAGATGGGAAGGCCTGGAAAGAAATAGAAAAATTGGAAAATAAAAGGTCCCCCTCCCCGTTCTTTTTTCAAAGACTTTTTTAATGGAAAAATTGAAAAGTGTAGAATATGTTCTTTTTGATACTGTTACATTATCCGGATGGAGGCCAGTAGGGGGTCCTAGAGAGAAGGATAATTCATTTTACGGGGGAAGTTGAAGGAGGAAAACCATTTCCCCCATTTTTGCTGGTTATTCCCTGTCCCCTCTTCCCATATCATAAACAAAGGTTGTCTCCATGACGGGGGCATGGATGGGGGGGAATAACAGGAAAACAGGAGGGAAATGGTTTTGCTCCTTCAACCCACTCTCTACTCCCATAAAATGGACTATCTTTCTCTCTCTAGCACCCCCTAGTGGCCTCCATCTGCAAAATGGAACACTATCTTTTTTCCCAATGATAAATAATATATCTATGACATGGTATTAAAACTATATAACATGAAGACCGTAATGGATGATTTCTGATACTCTTTGTTTCTATAAACTTTTTTTCATTTTTTTTCTGGAAAAAAAGGGCTTTGGAGATGGGAAGGCCTTGAAAAAAAACTGTTCCCACCCTCCCATTTTTTCATTTTTTCCCCCATGTCTTCCCATCTCTAGTTCACACATAATCAAAATGCTCTCCCTGGTTCCAGCCCCTTCTACTCTGTCATATAATCCAGACTATCAAAGCAGTTAATCCATATTATTTATTTATTTATTTTATTTATTTGGTGCATTTGTTAACCGCCATTCTCAGCCCTCTAAGGCGACTCATGGCGGTGTACAACATATAAAAAGGCAATTTACAAAAAGGCAATTACAAAACAACATATTAGCAATACAACAATTATAAAATTACACTAAATAATCCGCTTCGTCTCATAGTAGAATCGTAACCAATCTCATATTCCTTGTTCCATTCCAGTCATCTTTACCACATTATTATAGCACTTAATTAAATGCCCTCTCGAACAGCCATGTCTTAAGGCTTTTTCGGAAGGACATAAGGGAGGGCGCCTGTCTGATGTCTGCAGGGAGAGTGTTCCACAGCCGGGGGGCCACCACCGAGAAGGCCCTCTCTCTCGTCCCCGCCAGACGTGCCTGTGAGGCAGGCGGGATCGAGAGAAGGGCCTCCCCAGACGATCTCAAGGTCCTCGTGGGCTCATAGGCCAAGATGCGGTCCGAAAGGTATTTTGGGCCGGAGCCGTTTAGGGCTTTGTAGGCCAAAACCAGCACCTTAAATTGGGCCCGGTAGCAAATCGGCAGCCAGTGGAGCTGGGACAACAAGGGCGTTGTGTGCTCCCTGCATCCCGCTCCAGTTAGTAACATGGCTGCCGCGCGCTGAACCAGCTGAAGCTTCCGGGCCGTCTTCAAGGGCAGCCCCACGTAGAGAGCGTTGCAGTAGTCAAGGCGGGATGTGACCAGAGCGTGTACCACCGTGGCCAAGTCAGACTTCCCGAGATACGGGCGCAGCTGGCGCACGAGCCTGAGCTGTGCAAATGCTTTGAACTGGATTATATGAGTCTACACTGCCATGTTCAAAGCAGATAATCTGTGTTCAAAGCAGATAATCTGAATTTAATGTGGCAGTGTAGAAGGGGCTCCAGAGCCCGGTTCAGTGTGTGTGTGTGGGGGGGGGGGGGGGGGGGGGGGGGGGGGGTGGGGGGGGGGGGGGGGGGGGGGGGGTGACTCCTTGGGGGTCCACAAAAAGGCCATAGGGGCCACATGAGGTCTGCAGGACATATTTTGGCTCTCCTTGCATAGGATGTCTTTGGTAAGCCACTTTCTTTGAGCTGACTCAAGTTTTGTGATCCATAGACAACATGCCTTAAGTAGGACTTCTTCCCCAGCCCCTAGTTGCCCTTTTTTAATGACAGAGCTCAGGAAAGGTTTTTTTCACCTATTACATCAGCAAAGATGACTTTCTTATAAGTGAAGATGACTTTCTTATCAAGCTCTGTTTATAAATGCATGAAACAGATGATTATATCTGCAGAAGACAAGGCATTAGTTACATGGACAGTTTTGATGTTAGAAGTGGTTTCATCTTAATCTTCATTTTTTTCAGTTTGCTGTCACAGAACCTTTAAAAACGAGCGTATTGTTTTCTCATTATCATTGTTACTGACCACTTCATGTATGATAAACAGAAAGGCAGGATGTAAAAATAAATATAAAAGTATTCCAATAAGTGTTTTGGCAAGTAAAGTGCTGTCATTTTAGGTGTAAAGCAGACTGTTTTATTTTTTCCTCTTGCCTTTTGCTTTCGCTCTCTCTTCCTTCAACAGTGAAGAGAGAGTGACTTGGCGGAGCACAGATGAGCTTCCCTGGTTGTTCCAGCAACAAGGTGACAAGCAGAAGTTACATAAATGCCTCCTGAATCTCTTTGTATCTCAAAACTTGTACAAAAGGTAAGAAGTTTGAAGTTAAGGCATTCCTTGGTTGGCAGGTTCTTGCTGCCAAGGCTTAGTTTTCTGAAAGAGTTCAACCATGTTTTTATTCTAGATCCAAATAAAGAATTATACCGCTAATATATCTTTGGTAAAATCCTTCTGAACAGCAACAGAGATTTTAAAGGTTGACCTCTTGGTCTCTGTGACTCATTTGCCTTGAGTTTTGATCCATGCACAAGAATTAGCATTTAAGATATGAGAAAGAGAGAGAGAGAGGTGAGGGCTTTTGTCAATCTTAGGCCAAAACTGAACCAGAGAGTCAAAGATCTCCTTTTCTGTGTCTTGGTGTGAGTAGAACAGATTCATAAAAGGAAAGGAATCTTCTCTAAAGAATAAGCTGTTATGAGATCAGAAGTGTTGGGGGGAGGGGGAGCCGCCTTTGTCCAAACTATGTAGTATTGATGAATGGATGGAAGTGATGTTTTGACCTATAAAGCCCTATACAGCTCCGGCCCGGCTTACCTGTCCGAACGTATCTCCCTCTACGTCCCACCTCAAAGTTTAAGATCTTCTGGGGAGGCCCTGCTCTCGGCCCTGCCTTTGGCGCAAACACGCTTGGCAGGGACAAGGGACAGGGCCTTCTTGGTGGTGGCCCCCCACCTGTGGAACTCATTCCCCAGCGAAATCAGGTCAACAGTATCCCTCCTCGCCTTCAGGAGGAAATTGAAAACGTGGTTATGGGACCAGGCCTTTGGCTAGCCAGCAGATAATCTGACAATGGTAATAATTATAATGTTATGGAAAATGAACTATGGACAGTCTTCCGATTGTGTTGTGCGTGCTGAATTTGTTTCTACATTAGGCTAGACAGCCAGTATTATTACACTTTTTATTAATATTCTTTTTATTTTAAAACTAATTTACTATGTTTTATATGTAATTCTGTATGTACTATTTGTATGTAATGGCATCGAATTGTGCCGGATGTAAGCTGCCCTGAGTCATTGCCCTGAGGGTTAAACCACTGAGCTGCTGAACTTGTTGACCGAAAGGTTGGTGGTTTGAATCCGGGGAGTGGGGTAAGCTCCTGCTGTTAGGCCCAGGTTCTGCCAATCTAGCAGTTTGAAAACATGCAAATGTGAGTTGATCAATAGGTTGAAGGTTGAAAAGGGCAGGGTACAAATGTTTAAAATAAATATATTTGATTTGATAATCTGGATTATACAGCAGTGTAGAGTGGCCTAAAACTTCGGATAAGGGCTGCTAACAGGTGTGCGTGATCCTTGGTGAGATGACCACTTGGTTGGGTTGCTTTTTGAACTGCAGTTAGCAGAATGTTTCCAATTGTGCTGGTTGCAGGGATTCTGGAAATTTTATATACGTATTATTTTAAATATTCAGATTACAAAACAGTTCTTACATGTTTTCAGGACTGGTTGAACTAAGTAGGAAAAAACAACAACCCAGAGAGCTCAAATTCATCTGTAAAAAAAATTAGCACATACAAACAGTGCTAGAAGAGTTGCAGAATTTCTGTCTTGTTGGTTTCTTTTATATCCTTCTGGTGCACTCAAGATTGCTTAAATTACTGAAATGATGGGTGCCCCCCCCCCCTTTTAGCCTTCTTAACTAGTTAAGAATTCCTACAGCTCATGGTTTCTGTGTTAAAACTTCTTTTTTCTGTTCTCAGCATACAATTCTACACCATCATGTTCCTCTGCTTGGGAAGCGGTGCCTTTGTCTGTTTTTAACTAGCTACTAGGAGTCTGCATTGCTGGCATTGGAGAAGAGCAGATTTCTCATTCCCCCACAAATAGCAAGGAGGTGTGCTGTTGCGTGCCTTTAAGTCATTTTCTGACTGAAGGCGGTTCTAAGGTGACTCAATCAAGATTTGTTCAGAGTGGGATTTGTCATCTCTTTCTCTGAGGATGAGAGGGGAAGGCAATGTGTGTGACTTGCCGTAAATCGCTCAATGGGAATTCTACGTCAGTGGAAATGCTAAGTCTGGTCTCCAAAGTCCAATGCTTAATCTGCTACACCATGCTGACTCTCAGCGGGGAAATACAGACTTCTATAAAAAGTGCAACTTGTCATGTTTGTGAGCTGACGTACAAGATTGCAATGATGTGCTACTTATTACACTCCTAATACAGATGGACCATGCTGGAAACAAAAATGCTTGCTGTTCGTTTTGTTCACTAGAATGTGCTCCTTTGACCTTCTCGTCCATTGTATTTATTGCACACAGGGGCCATTTTGCAGAACTATTGAGCTACTGGCAGCTCCTTGGCAAAGACAAGAGCTCCATGGCAGCAGAATATTTCAGTTCTCTGAAGCTTTATGAGAAAAGCTGCGAGGGAGAGGAAAGCATGATCACCTTGGCTGACCTCTATGAGACTCTGGGGCGATTTCTTAAAGATCTAGGTCTTCTCAGTCAGGTGAGGGCTTTTCCGTGGTATGTGCACAGGTGTGGGTTCTTGTGGAGAAGGGGATTCCCAGAGTGCTTCAATGCATAACATAACAACATAACAAGCTTCTCACTTATGCTTATAGAGCAGGTGTTTTGTACTTCAATACCCAGAAATCCCACCCAACTTACTGGCTGTTAGGAATTTATTTATTTATTGTAGTTGAGAAACTGTGAGAGAATTGCAAGGACGTTGCCCAGGAGATGCCCTGATATTTTGTTTTTACCATCCTTGTGGGAGGCTTCTCTCATGTCCTTGCACGAGGAGCTGGTGCTGACAGAGGGAGCTCATCCGCGCTCTCCCCAGATTCGAACCTGCGACCTGTCAGTCTTCAGTCCTACTGGCACAGGGGTTGAATCCATGGTGCCACAGGGGAATTGTGGGAGTTGAAGTCCAAAACACCTGGAGTGCCGAAGTTTGCTCATGCCTGCTGTATAGATTGATGTGCAAACATGTGTATGTGATCTCCACAGAGGCCTAAGAGTGTTTGGTTCCTTTTTGCCACCTAGCTTAAAGCACTCTGAGTGAATTCCAAAAACAGTTATTCAGAACCAAATAAGTGTGGAATGAAGTACACTTATGCAGTGACTGTTGATGGCTTCCATATCAGAGGGTAAATCCACTCTGTGTTTTATGTGAATTTGAAAGGATCTGTCCAAGATGATCATTATACTTTGGGAGATGGGATTCAGCAACTTGTATATCCTGGTATAATGTCTAGACTCAAATCCAAAGCAGATTAACTTTCCCACTGACATGGAAAGATGGCAGGCCTTCTGGATGGGATTATTTTAGAGGTTCCCTCCAAACACCCAGCAAATCTGCAGAATCTAAGTGACAGAATCAACATAAATGCAGCACCAGAAAAGTAATGCATAGCAACCACAGATCTTAAAAAAGGAAGGGACCAGACTATGTGAACAGTGTAATTAGCTTGAGTTAAGGTGTAGTTAGGAGCCATCTGATGACACAGCAGGTTAAACGACTGAACTGCTGAACTAGCTGACCGAAACGTTGGCGGTTCAAATCCTGGGAGCAAGGAAAGCTCCTGATGTTAGACCCAGCTTCTGCCAACCTAGCAGTTTGAAAACATGCAAATGTGAGTAGATCACTTCTGCAGGAAGGTAATGATGCTCCATGCAGTCATGCTGGCCACATGACCTTGTAGGTGTCTATGGACAATGCTGGCTCTTTGACTTAGAAATGGAGATGAGCACCACCCCTCAGAGTTGAGCTCGACTAGACTTAATGTCAGGAGAAACCTTTACCTAAGGTGTGGTTATGAAAGTGTGGTAGCAAGGAGCTCCCTTCCATGATGTAGCTGGGGATAGGGAGAACCTCTGGCCAAAATTATCATCTGCAAGTCCCTAACTCTATCCTCTCATTGAAAGGGGAGAGAAGTCCACATTATCTCTGATCATTGATTAGATATTGTAATAATTCCATCTTCTCTCTGAGTGAGTGCTTCCAGGAACTACTTGGGTTCTACTTAGGATGCAGCTGGGTCTTAAAATGGCTGGCCGAGCTTCACCCCCATTTCCTATATGAGGGGGAAGAGGAGGACCAAAAGCCTGGCTCCCAGATAGATGAAAAAGTCTATCCAGTGCTTTGGGCAGGAACCAACAGACTCGAGGCCTGTGGAGAAGAGGGCTTATCACCCAAAGGTTTGTATTCAGTGGAATCAAACCCAAAGGTGACCTACTCAGCCCCAATACCATCTTATTGTGTTCTTTCCACATATTATTTTAGTGCGTTCTAGGATCAGTGCTGGTCCATTAGCCATCAGTTCCCAGGGTATGCAGAATTTTCATAAAATAAACAGTTGTAGAGCTTGAGTAACCAATATTATACTGGTGCCTGGCAAACTGGGGGAAAATACTAATTTGGATGTTTTTACACTACACAACAATATTTATTTATTTATTTATTTACGACATTTATATGCCGCTCTTCTCACCCCAAAGGGGACTCAGAGCAGCTTACAAGATATATATGCATACAATATATTATGTTATTAGCGGAGTACAATATCAGAATTAAATATTACTATATTGTACTATACCATTATATTGTAATATTATTAGTAATATTACATGTAATATAATTATATAATTATAATATATTATTAGTATTAGTATTATATTGAATTACATTATAAATATTATATATATATACAATATATTACATTATATTATTAGCATAGCACAGGAGACAAGGTGGAACTGTCCCCGGGCCCCTTCTCTCTTCACTCTGGCCCAGAGTGGCAGTTGGTGCTGGGGGGAAGGGTATGAGTATAATATGAGTATTATGGTCGCATTTTAACTTCCATGTAATTCCAGGATTTGCAATTCAAGGGGGATATGTAGAATTCTCAAACTATATAGTGATTCATTAAACTACAAACCCCAGGTTGCCGAAGAATGCAGTCATAGGAATCAAATTATTGAAATTGTAATACTACAACTGTTATGGGGGAAGGACCCAAGTAGCTGAAGAAGCACTGTTTTAATGTACCCTTTCTCATCCTTACGTCTCACTTTTTAATGTCTTCAAAGTCTATTGCTCCCCTGCAACGCTCCCTGGAGATCCGAGAGACTGCCCTCGATCCAGATCATCCCAGAGTAGCCCAGTCGCTCCATCAGCTAGCAGGTGTTTACATGCAGTGGAAGAAGTTTGGCAATGCTGAGCAGTTGTACAAGCAGGCCCTTGAAATCTCTGAAAGTGCGTACGGGACTGAACATCTCAGGGTTGCTCGGGAACTGGATGCTCTCGCCACGCTGTATCAAAAGCAGAACAAGTAAGGAAACATTGCTCCTCATCAAAGATTTTGCTTTGGAGTGGAGGTGGAATTTCATGACAGAGTGGAAGACCTATTGGGCAAAGATCTTGGCTTTGGAGATATTTGGTGTGCAGACTGGGAAGAAGATTGTTGTAGTTTTAAGACTAGTTCAAGGAAAGAGTTTCTCAATATTCTGAGTGAATTGAGGAAATGTGTACATAAGAGTATAGAACTATTTTGAATACACAATAGTCCTCTCTAATGTTCTCAAAGCCTTGTATATCCCAAGGCTTTGAGAACATCAGAGAGGACTATGAAAAGGGGTTTGGCATGAAGCAAAGGATACTATTAAACAAATAGCACTTATATGCAACCCACCTTATTAACTTTGTGTGTGTGTGGGGGGGGGGGGGTTTAACATAAAACATTTAAGTGACAATTTTTATTTGGTTACTTGTATAATAATAATAATAATAATAATCTTTATTTATACCCCTCTCCATCTCCCCCAGGGGGACTCGGTGCGGCTTACATGAGGCTTACCCATCAGTACAGTACACACATTATAAACCAAAACGTAACAATACCTGGAAATAAAATACATAAAATGCAAGAATCAATATAAAAAGCAAACAACGTATAAAAACAAACAATTAAAAACAAGATTTCACTGGGCAGGCCACATTCAAGGATAGAAATTTTAAACACTGGGAGATAGGACAATCTAAAATTATCAAAAATTCAAGGTGCTGGCATTGGCCTATAAAGCCCTAAACTGTTCCGGCCCAAGATACCTAACTGACCGCCTCTCGGCCTATGAGATCACGAGGACTTTGAGATCTTCCGGGGAGGCCCTGCTCTCGATCCCGCCTGCCTCACAGGCACGTCTGGCGGGGACGAGAGATAGGGCCTTCTCGGTGGTGGCTCCTCTGTGGAACACCCTTCCCGTGGACATCAGGTTAGCTCCCTCCCTGTTGATATTCCGCAGGAAGTTAAAGACCTGGCTATTTAAGAAGGCATTTGATCAAGAAGTGCAATGACTGGTAATTTGACCATAGGAATGGAACAACGGAAATGATATCGGATTGTGGGTTTGACGATGAGACGACTCGGAATGGCTTTGTAGTAATGTTGATGTTTTGATGAGATGTTTTCTGATAATGTGGAATTGTGGATTATTTTACACTATGTTTTGTATTTTGCACCTGTTTTTCTATGTTGTACACCGCAATGAGTCGCCCTAGGGCTGAGAATTGCGGTATATAAGCGCAGTAAATAAATAAATAAATAAATATCAGGATGAGGATCTGAGAGTGTGGGAGGATTTAATTGCACGAGCCGTAAATAATAAATAAAGTGCTTCTAAGGACATTTTGTGCAAAGTTTGATCAGGGAGTATCTAACATTCAGTCACGGAAGTCACATTGGAATAGCCAGGTTTTCAGATTCCTCCTGAAGATTGCCAGCGTGGGGGCTTGCCTAACTTGTATGCGTACATCTCCCAAACATTGAACCTTTGTGAATTCCGTAAATGGCTACATGAGGAGAAATGTCAGTTTTCTATCACCATGCTAAATGGCATATACAGGTTGAGAACCAGAATTGTTTTGGATTTCCGTTTTTGGGGAGATTTTGGAAAACTTGTATTTATAAATTGTGTAAATAATGAGACACCGTGGAGAGGGGACTGAAGTCTAAACATGAAATTCACTTATGTTTCATATACACCTTAAACAGATAATTTTATACATTTACGTACTCAAAAAAATCAGAAAACAAACGAGTTGCTATCTCAAGCACCTGTGTAGACTATTTTGGATTTTGGAGTATTTCAGAATTCTAGAAAATAGGATGAGAATAGAAGCAGATATTTGGTGATGTTGTTCATTGTAATGGTGAACAGATATGAGCTCCCCCGTATCCTCACTCTATCATTCGGTCCTGATACCATTTTCTCGTATATTTTCCTTCTGAGAAACCCAGATATTCCAATAACTTGGTGGAAATATTATTTTATTCTGTTAAAAGCTGTATTGATGTCCTAGTCATGTTGTTAATTGGGTCTCCTTCCGTTCGTTTTAGATATGAACAAGCTGAACAGCTAAGGAAAAAATCATTCAGAATTCAGCAAAAAGCTGCTAGGAGGAAGGGCAGCCTGGTAAATGCATACAACTTCATTTTGTTATTTAGTCTATATAAGAAACCATAGCAAACACTGTTATCTTAAGGCATGTCTCTTTTGGTATAGAGCAGGGGTCCTCAAACTAAGGCCTGAGGGCTGGATATGGCCCTCCAAGGTCATTTACCCGGCCCTTGCTCAGAGTCAACCTAAGTCTGAAACGACTTGAAAACACACAACAACAACAACAACAACAACTATCTTATCTCATCAGCCAAAAGCAGGCGCACACTTCCCATTGAAATACTAATAAGTTTATATTTGTTAAAATTGTTCTTCATTTTAATTATTGTATTGTTCTTAAGTGTTTTTTGCATTACAAATAAGATATGTGCAGTGTGCATAGGAATTCATTCATGCTTTTTTCAAATTATAATCCGGCCCTCCAACAGTTTGTGGGACTGTGAGGTTTGAGGACCCCTGGTATAGAGTATGAGGGGAAAGTTGTACTCAGTAGAAACAAATCCTTGGCACATTATGGGCATCATATTAGGTCACTTAGGAAGCACTAGTGGAGATGGTGAAAATGCCATGGTCACTTCCATAAAGGAGATAAGGAGCGAAAATATAGGTAGGCTTCTCAGAGTTGGCAAATTTTGTCTACGGTCATTTACCACCTGGACAAAGTGTAACTACGACCCCATCTACACTATTATATAAAATCCAGATTATCTGCTTTGAACTGGATTATATAGCAGTGTAGACTGATATAATCCAGTTCAAAGCAGATAATGTGGATTATCCGCTTTGATAATCTGGATTGTATGGCAGTGTAAGAGGGGCCTACGAGTATAATATTTGCACTTGAAAGCCCAACTGACTCAATTGGGGAACAGATTTCATGACTGGATGAGAAGGCTCAGCACATAAGCAACTAGAGTTGTTGATGGTAATGTGCAAATTGATTCCAAGCCAATCATTGGTTTGAGCAAACATAATACAGGTCCTTTGGTGTAACTCACTGTGTGTGTGATTTCTCACTTAAAGATCTCAAATATTATGTCAAGGCAGTACATTTTTCATTTTTTTAGTATGGATTTGCACTTCTTCGCCAACGAACCCTGCAGCTGGAGGAGTTGACTTCGGGTAAAGATACTTCTGATAATGCTCGAACACTTAATGAGCTTGGAGTTCTCTACTACCTGCAAAATAATCTTGAGTAAGTAATTATTAGTGGCTTCCTACCTAGATTACCTTCATTTAAGGCATAAGCAATACCATAAAATCTTTATTCATGACACTATTTAATATAGAAGTAAAAAAATTCAATTAGTTTTGCATATAGAGGTTTCTATGATCTTCCCATGGTGTGCCAAGACACCCTTCAATTGTTTGCTAAAAGAAACCCAATTACCCTCCCAAATATCATTACAATGTCAGGCTTTTTCTCCTCTCCACTGCAGACAAATACTTCCTTTACGTGTCTTGGTGAACTTCGTGTACATTTATGCTAACTATAAGTTAAACTCCCTTATAGGACAGCAGAGCTTTTTTTGAAACGCTCCCTGGAAATGAGAGAACGAGTTCTTGGGCCTGAGCATCCAGACTGTGCCCAGTCTTTGAACAACCTGGCCGCACTCAACAATGAGAAGAAGAATTACGACAAGGCAGAGGAGCTGTATGAGAGGGCCCTGAACATCAGGAGGCAAGCATTAGCGCCTGACCACCCTTCGTTAGCTTACACCGTTAAACACCTCGCTGTGCTCTACAAGAAGTTGGTAAGAATTGGCATAATATATGTGTGAATTTTCTATTTGTTGCTTTAATTGTTACAATAGCACCTCTAATATTATGCTACTGTACATTGTATAAGTTATCTGGGTGCTTTTAGGATGATCCGTGAGACCATAGTTGAAAAAAAAATGTAGTCATGCAAATGGATGTTTCAAGAGCAAACAACTACAAATGCCATATTAAAAATGCCACTTCCATGCACCATGCTAATCTAAATTTTTATGTTTTTAATTTGGCCAATAATAAAAACTAAAATGGAAGGAGAATAGATCAAAAACAAAATTTGGGCAAATTGCAAAAAGCAAAGAGAATACAACAAAAATTAAACAGAACATATGTGGGTTGTTGTAAGTTTTTTGGGCTGTATAGTCATGTTCCAGAAGCATTCTCTCCTGATGTTTTGCCTGCATCTATGGCAGGCATCCTTAGAGGTTGTGAGGTCTGTTGGAAACTAGGAAAATGGGGTTTATATATCTGTGGAATGACCAGGGTGGGGGAAAGAACTCTTGTCTGTTGGAGGTAGGTGTTTTCCAACAGACCTCACAACTTCTGTGGATGCCTGCCATAGATGCAGGCAAAACATCAGGAGAGAATGCTTCTGGAATATGGCCATACAGTCAAAAAACTTACAACAACCCAATGATTCTGGCCACGAAGCCCTTCAACTATCCATAGAACATATGTACTTATATGAGAATAGCGGGAAACTATGCAAAATGTAGAAAGATGAAGAAACAAAGACTTAATGGCAAAAGAGGGGGGGAAAGGAAAACAAATAGTGAATGTTTTCACAATTGTGGAAGTGCATAAACTGATTACTGTGATTGGAAAAAATACAGAAGAACTTTGTCAAGGACTGGAAATCGTTTTTGAATTTTTTACAAAGAAAGGAAAGGAAAAAAATCTTATAGAAGGTCTTGTATTTTGGTCTTTTTTCAAGGTTGGCTCAAAGCCAACTTTAAAAACTCAGGTATAGACACTGACAACTGGGAAGCCCTGGCCCTTGAGTGCTCCAGCTGAAGGTTAGCTGTGACCAGCAGTGCTGTAGAATTTAAAGAGGTACGAATGGAGGGCGAGAGAAACGTGACAAGAGGAAGGTGCGTCAAGCCTTCCACTTGGAAACCAATGGCCTCACTGCAGGAGGAGATGCAGATCAAGAATAGGGCTCCACAGTCACCTACGGACCCACCAGCACACTGATCTGGGAAGACTATCCTACTCAGACAACGAGGGATCGCCTAATGGATGGAAATAATGGAATTTGGTCTTTGTTACAAGCTGTGTACAGAATTTTTAGCTCATGAAGGAAGAATGGGAATGTTGCATTGAAGGATCATAATGAATGTCAAACATAATATCTGTAAATATAAACAGCTCTCCACATTTGTGGCTTGGTCTTGCAGATATGGTTCTTTCTCAATTTGATTAATATCGTGTCTCTAAGGTTTTCTGGCTCCTCCAGAAAATCTTAGGTCAATTCTTAGGTCAAATCCTGCTGGCAGTTGAACATAGAGCCGTGCTGGCGGATATAGAGATTCCCAGAAATAACATGTCTCTGTGAGTCTCTAAGTCCTCCAGTTCAACTCTGTAATCAGCATCTGCCAGAATGTGGCCATAAGGTTGCAGTAGGGCAGGCATGGACAAACTTTGACCCTCCATGTGTTTTGGACTTCAAGTCTATCAGCTATTAGGAATTGTGGGAGTTGAAGTCCAAAACACCTAGAGGGCCGGAGTTTGCCCATTCCTGACCTAAATAATAGGTCAGGAATGGGCAACCTAGAAAGTGATTTTCCATTTTCTCACTGAAAGACTATGGCCCGTGCCTGCACTAGGGATTCCTAGCAAGGTGTTCTCTCAGGTAAAAAACTTAACAGCTTTATATTTGCGTTTTCCCACTTTTGTGGAGACCCTGATCCTCTCACCCCAATGAATGTGGAAGGCTGAATATATATTTAATTTGAAAGAATTGGTCAGGTTGTAGAGTTCTGTTTGTTCTTCTTAATCTAGAATATTTTTTAAAGGCCCAGCTGTTTGTGATAGCATAAATTAAGTGTTCTGGACTGCTAAAAAAGCCTATGGAAATTATTCAAGCACATTTCATTTCTTCCCTAGGGAAAGCTTGACAAAGCTGTGCCCCTGTATGAGCTGGCTGTTGAAATCAGGCAGAAATCCTTTGGTCCGAAGCACCCGAGCGTGGCTACTGCTTTGGTGAATCTGGCGGTTCTTTGTTGTCAAATGGTACGTTTCCTCCTTCCCTTTATTTTTACACAAGATATTCTCCCTCAGCCAAACCCATTTCTCTATGTCCTCTCAGACAACCGAAACATCATTTTTTCCTTTGCATTTTTTTGTCCGAAATGATTAAAACTGCTGCAAAAGACACAGTAGTTTTGTTTTGCCCACCTTGTCCCTGCTTGCCAAATCCTCCGAAACCTAGCCAGAAATGATCTCAAAGTGAAATCAAAAATGATATATACAATTTCAACAGAAAGGAAGAAAGTTGAAAATGAACAAAATCTGGCTTACAGTATTAAAAAAACTCTAAAATCAGGACAGTAAATAAATAGGAACACTCAAGCAACAAGGAAATTCCTGACATGAAACAATCAGGCTCAGCTAACACCTCCCAACGAAGGATTCAGTCAGGCAGGAATCAGCCAGTCTTTGAAGCTGCAAGGACATTCAATGCTAATCAAGTTTGCCAATTGCAACATTCTTATTTGCCTCAAGCAGGCAAGAGTTCTTTCTCCCACCCTGGATATTCCACAGATATATAAACCTCACTTGCCTAGTTTCCAACAGAGCTCACATCCTCTGAGGATGCCTGCCATAGATGTGGGCGAAACGTCAGAAGAAAATGCTTCTGGAACATGGCCGTACAGCCCGGAAAACTCACAGCAGCCCAATGATATCCACTGTTTCTAGTTTTGGAGAAGTACCAACCTGTGGAGTTTAGGGGAGGAATGGCTCTCAATAGTATTCATAGCCCATAATAATTCCAGGCTCTGTATCTATCTTTTGATTTGGCAATGGATAAGTCTTTGTTGTGCACCTCTTTATAATTACAGTTTCCTCCCTTAGGCTGAGAAGATATTCAGTGTATGCCCTACAAAATTTCACCAAAAAAAGGACAACTAGATCATTAAGATGTATTTCAGTTGAGGGGGGAATGGTAATACATATTTAACAAGTTTTTTCCTGGTTGTCCTTTATGCTCCCCCTCTAGAAAAAACATTCAGAAGCCTTGCCTCTTTATGAACGGGCTCTAAAAATTTATGAAGACAGCTTTGGGCGTATGCATCCTCGAGTAGGAGAAACGTTAAAGAACTTGGCTGTGCTGAGGTACGTTCTGTCCAGATAATTGATCTAATGTTTATGGTGTTCATGCAATCCAAATGCGTTTTAACCTTTAACATACTCTTAGACTGCCCTTTTCATTTCAGCCAACAAATCAAATTCGATTGTACATTCCTTTGTGCCCGTGAGCCTTCAATTTCCATTGAAATAAAGGGGTAGCAGTTTAGAATACTTCCCCACCAAAACCTCTTGCATCCCCAAATGGGAGCATAAAGATCAGTTCACTTTATATTTTAGTCAACCACAAACCTCCATTCAAGATTTTTTGTTGTTGTTCATTCGTTCAGTCGTCTCCGACTCTTCGTGACCTCATGGACCAGCCCACGCCAGAGCTCCCTGTCGGCCGTTACCCCCCCCCAGCTCCCTCAAGGTCAGTCCAGTCACTTCAAGGATGCCATCCATCCATCTTGCCCTTGGTCGGCCCCTCTTCCTTTTGCCTTCCACTTTCCCCAGCATAATTGTCTTCTCTAGGCTTTCCTGTCTCCTCATGATGTGGCCAAAGTACTTCAACTCTGTCTCTAGTATCTTTCCCTCCAGTGAGCAGTCGGGCTTTATTTCCTGGAGGATGGACTGGTTGGATCTTCTCGCAGTCCAAGGCACTCTCAGCACTTTCCTCCAACACAACAGCTCAAAAGCATCGATCTTCCTTCGCTCAGCCTTCCCTAAGGTCCAGCTCTCACATCCGTAGGTTGACTACAGGGAATACCATGGCTTTGACTAGGCGGATCTTTGTTGCCAGTCAAGATTTTTAAAATGTAATAAACCAGTGTAATGACTTCCTTCATATGTTTGTTAATTTGTATGAGCTTTACAAGGCCCCAGTGGCGCAGCAGGTTAAACCTCTGAGCTGCTAAACCTACTGACTGAAAGGTCAGCAGTTCGAATCAGGGGAGTGGGGTGAGCTCTTGCTGTTAGCCCCAGCTTCTGCCAGCCTAGCAGTTCGAAAACATGCAGTTGTGAATAGGTCAATAGGTGGGAAGTAAGGTGGGAAGGTAAGGGCATTCCATGCAGTCATGCTAGCCACATGACCTGGAACGTGTCTATGGACAACATTGGCTCTTCAGCTTACAAATCGAGATGAGCACCAACCCCCAGCGTCAGACATGACTAGACTTAATGTCAGGGGAAACCCTTTACCTTTACCTTTACCTTATAAAGCTGTCCTAGAAAGTCAATATAAATTAGAGAGAGTCATGTTTTATCACCTTGCAATTCTGAAACACTTACAGAACGACAATAAAAATAGGCTTTTTATGAAGTAAAGACTGGTTATTATGTAGATCACAGTTCCTTCTAGAGATCAAGGGCATTTTTAAAGTTAACCGTCTGAACTATGGAAAAAGTTCTGAAATTTGTATTGAATAAAAATAGCAATGATGAGTATCATCTAAAACTTACAAGCTGGAAATGAGTTCAAGGGGGGTTTGTTTCAAATAGTACAAAGTAATGATGGACACCACTTCCAGCTCCGTCAAGGTCAAGCCATTCACTTCAAGGATAACACCCATCCATCTTGCCCTTGGTTAGCTCCTCTTCCTTTTTTCTTTCCATTTTCCCCAGCATCATTCTCTTCTCCAAGCTTTCCTGTCTTCTCATTATGTGTCTAAAGTACCTCATCTTTGCCTCTAATATCCTTCCCTCCAATGAGCAGTCGAGCTTTATTTCCTGAAATATGGACTTGTTGAATTTTCTTGCAGTCCAAGGCATGCTCAGAATTTTCCTCCAGCACCACAGTTCAAAAGTGTCTATCTTCCTTCTCAGTCTTCTTTATGGTCCAGCTCTCACATCCATAGGTTACTATGGGGAATACCATTGCTTTAACTATGAAGATCTTTGTTGCCAGTGTGATGTCTCGACTCTTCAGTATTTTATCGAGATTGTTCATTGCTCTCCTCCCAAGAAGTAAGCGTCTTCTGATTTCCTGGCTGCAGTCTGTGCCTGCGGTAATCTTCGCGCCTACAAATACAGTCTATCACTGTCTCCACATTTTCTCCCTCTATTTTCCAGTTATCAATCAGTCTGGTTGCCATAATCTTGGTTTTTTGTTTACCTGCAACCCAGCTTTTGCACTTTCTTCTTTCACCTTTGTTATACGGGTCTGTCTTTAAAAAAAGAATACAAGAAATGTCCACTGTAATAAGGAAACCGCATATAGAATGCCACAGGGAGACTCGGCTTGGTTAATGTTGAAATCAGCATAGATTTACTGCTCTAGTGAGAGCCAGGTCTTGAACTAAGACACTTGAAACACAGTAATTCTTCTGATCAGTGGATGTTTTTGAAGGATGTAGAAGAAAAGAAGATTGGTGGAGGGCCTTGAAGTGAACTCCAGGCCATAACCAAGCTCGAGTCTCTATGGATCTCTTTTGACTATGGGGATCTTTAGGAGGTTAGGTTTGCCCTGGGAGTTTGCAGCTAGAGTCTTCTTGGTGACACATTTTAGGTTTGTGTGTGGCAGAGATGAGGGGAAAGAAGAGAAATGCCTCCATCACCAAAAAGAGCTGCTCTGATGACAACCAAGCAACCCAGAAGCTGTCAAAACAATTTGCTCTCAACCCATATCCATTTTCCTGCTTCTTCTGTGTTGCCCCTGTTGCTTACATCAATGTTAATCAGTGTCTTTGAATACTATTCTTGTAGCATGCAGATTTTATTTTGCGGACTACTGTATATACCCGAGTTTTTCAGCCCTTCTTTTAGGTTGAAAAAGGCCCACTCAGCTTATACTCGACTTAAAGTTATTTATTATTTTACTATGCTGTTATCATTTTTATTATTTTACTGACACAAAAACACAGTATGTCACAGCAAATGAGTTATTATTATTATTATTATTATTATTACATTTATTATTTTACTCTATTAAATTTATTATGTTGCTTTATTTATTATAACATTTATTATGTCATGCTATTGCTGTTATTATTACATTTACATTATTTTCCTCTATTATTTTTATTACATTTATTATTTTACTCTGTTATTACTGTTACTACATTTTTATTATTTTGGAAGGATAAGTAGGCACATTTACATTGAAGGAGGTTAGAATAATGGTTTAATCAGAGTTGAACGATCTTATCTTACAGTTTTATGTAAATACTAGCCATCCCCTGCCACACATTGCTGTGGCCCACTCTGTGTATATGTGTTTTGTGTGTATATATATATATATTTCTATATATGTGTATATATGTGTGTTTGCATATATATGTGGTTGTGCGCATGCATTGTAGTGTATTTTTTATTTTTGGGCTTTTAAAGTTTCTTCCGCTGTGTTTTTCAGTGTTTTATGAGCGATGTTCACTTGTTGGCCTGATAGGTGCCTTGTGTCCAAATTTGGTGTCATTTCGTCCAGTGGTTTTTGAGTTATGTTAATCCCACAAACGAACATTACATTTTTATTTATATAGATTCAAAAACATTTAACCTATTGATGCCTCAATTAATGTAATTTTATTGGTATCTATTTTTATTTTGAAATTTACCAGTAGTTGCTTCATTTCCCACTCTCGGCTTATACTCGAATCAATACATTCTCCCAGTTTTTTCTGGTAAAATTGGGTGCCTCAACTTATATTCGGGTCAGCATATACTTGAATATATATGCTACGATCCTCACATTTTGTAAATGGTGCCACTATGATAGTTGAAAACATATTTATTCAACTCTCATTTCTTTTTCCTTAAGCTATGAAGGAGGGGATTTTGAGAAGGCTGCAGAGCTGTATAAGAGAGCGATGGAAATCAAAGAAGCAGAGACTTTGTTGATGGGCGGAAAGGCAGCTTCCCGTCACTCGTCAAGCGGAGATACCCTCAGTTTGAAAAGTGTATTATCTCCCAATGTGCTGCTGCAGAATGCTCGAAGGTGATGCGCACACAGGCCAAGAAGCAATTGTGTCTCCAGCACCAAGAGAATTGAGTTTCTTCCCTTCTCTGCAGCCCTCCATGGCAGCAAAAAACAGTCCGAAGAGACTCCCGGCCCCTTTCTCCCAAGAGCATTTTTAGTGTGAAGGTGATTGCAAACTGGATGAGTGATGCCTTAGACCAATACAGCTAAGCACACCATTGGATCCTGGCCAGAAAGTACAACAAAATGTCAGTCTTTTAAAGGCTGTAATGAAGTGTTAAAGTATTAAAGTGGTAAATGTTGGACACTGTCGAGAAAGAAATAGTGGAACAGAATATGTGTCTAGAACACTATCCCACTTCAAGACACAAACATTCAACCATTTTCAGTATTGCAAAATACTGAGGGGATAAATCCTAACAGTTTAAAAAGTAGTGTTATTTATGATATCCAAAACCTCAGTATATTATGGGGGTTTCTCTCCCATTTATTTCAAGACTTGAGCTTGAGTTGTTTACCAATTTTTATGCTTCAGATTTTATTGAAATATCATTAAGGTTAGTATGTATTTGCACTGTAAGAAAATGTTGGTTAATTTCTACCTCTTTCAGGCGGATTTTGAATTAGGAGTGCTGTTTTGAAGATAAAGCTTATGTGGAAATTACTCCATGACTAGTGGGCTTTCGGGAATATTTTCAGTGTACGAAGTAGTTCTAAAGATAATTGGTAGTTTGTAAAGGAAATTCTATTAAGGGTCTTTATACTTAGTACACTTCACATTCTTCTATCCACATGTGAACAGTTTGTATGTGCAGTCATTAAGTTCAGGCTTTGATCTCAGTGAGAATAATACTCTTTGATTACTCTTTTAGTCAAATTTAATTCTATTAACATATGAGTGGAATTGGTGATGTATAGAACTGGGAAAATTTAGAGGTATTGTGAAGAAATACTACACAAACGATAATATGAAGTTTCGTATAATTTTGTAACAAAATGTGGAATGGTTAAAAACAAACCAAGTCTGCTCATATATAACATTAAATAGTGGCTGAACATTTCATAAATGAGACTTTGGCTCATTTATCCCGCCCTTTGTTTTGAATTGTGGCTGTGATTACATCAAACCTGGATAGTGATAAATGGATCTACAGAAAATGGCCTTTTGAAACAAACCAACTTTGAACTGATTTATCAGTTTGACAATAAACCATAATTAAGGTTGTCTGCTTTTTAGCAAGTCATCCAATCTGTAAGTTGTGTTTTTCACAAAAAGAAGCAAACACTTCCAATGTTTATGGTGTTATACATGAGTGCACCTTATTCCAGTTAATGCTAATCTCTGAAGTCTTTTATAGCTCAGAAGCAAATAAGTGAAAAAGAAACCAGGTTTCTTGTTGGTTGTAGCATCAACTTGACCATGCCAGTTTTGAGTTTTAAAAGCACTTTCTTTGCAGATATATGTCAAATAAATTACTTTGCAATAATCTTATTTCAAGACTTGTTTGAAAATAATTAAAGGCTGCGGCAATGGGGAAGAATGGATTTACATAAGAAAGCGGGGAGATGAAGATAAATCATTCAGAAAGTATGCTATACTTTTGAAATCCTTATTTTCTGTTGAAATGATTTTATTTCATAAAGTGTTGATAGCAAAATGTGCACAAAACAATTCATTCTGCTGGAAGCTGAACTCTTCTGCAATTCAAACTTCCAAAATCTATAACCATTACATAAACATTGAATAGTTACCAATTCATTCCTAACTTCTACAGCAGAAAGCTTCGGAGGATCACATACATTAGGGAAGAAGGAACTGTCTGCATTTTGAAAGCATGAATTTGATAAATAAATAGGAGCAACCCAAGCCTTTTAATAATATTTATTGGCAATTGAGGCTGGTAGTGCCAAGGAAGAGGTAAGAACTTTTTGTTGTTGTGTACCTTCAAATTGTTTCCGACCCTAAGGTGACTTTATCATAAGGTTTTCTTTGAGGGGAAAGCTGTCGTTGCCTCCCTCTGAGGCCAAGAAAATGTGACTTTTCCAGCCCTGTTCTCCAGAGTCCTAGTTCATGTTGGCTCACTACAGATAAGAACACAGTTGAAAAAATGCACTGAAATTACAGTGTAATCTAAAGGAATTGAGGTTTTGGGCCAATTTTGACTTTGTTTTGTGTGTCAAGGTTCCATGCAACATATATACATGTATATATAAACATGTTTGATTCTTTCTCTTCCTGCCTTACATATGGCTTAATGAGTTCCTCTCTTTGGAAACAGAGGTGGTCTGTCTCATAAAGCCTCCTTAGTCAATACAAAAGCAGAATGAATAGATGCAATTGAAATAAAAGCCCTTCCAGTAGTAATGAAATTTAGCTCAGGGTTTCCTGAGAGATAGGGTTGCTGTGCCCCCTTTAACAAAATTAGTGTGTTCCTCCTTTAAAAAATTAGCAAACATTGTTCATTTGTAGAAAGCAAACTCTTCAGCAATAAGGAAAGAATTTCCTCTAGATTATTTCCTATGAAATTTGGTAGACCCGTTTTATTAAATTAGTTTAAAATGAAATTAACCCTTGAAAAACATAAGGTTTATTCCAGCAAGCAAAGATGATTTACTGAACGGGGTGCTTAAATGCCATAGTAGTTAAATGGAAACCCAGTGATTGTAGGACTGTTTCTCTTATGGATTGCAGCATCCTCATTCAGATAGCTGGAGCATAATTTACAAATATGTACTACAGGAAACGTAACCATTACTTTAAATTTGTATTATTAAAAATACTTGTTACAGGGTACTGCAGAGATGGTGCCATACTTTCACAAGTTTTAACTACTCTTTGCGGTTTCTCAAGTTGCTCCTGACACACACACACCCAGTATACCCTATTCACCTTTGCTCAGTGCTTTACTGCTCTGATTGAGTTCCTGGATGCTTGGGAAGTGCATGCACATAGTTAAAAGTCAATGAAATTCCAAAGTCCATAAGTAACTCCTTGCCTATAATCACTTACCACTAGCTGCATGTGTGTGATTATTTACCTTTTAATCTGGTAAGATAATTATTAACAGTATAAACTACAGCTAATTATCCACTCTGACAAAAGCTGTAATTTCTTTCACTTGTTAGGGAGTATCTATCAATTGAAGTAACTAATTGAACTGCTTTTCAGCTTGAAGGTTGTGGCCAATGGTACCTTATTTCGAAACTTGAGTGTTCACTCCATGAACTTAAAGCACATCGTGATTTTTAATGTTTTTCTCTCCTCCTCCTGCTCCACATTTTTGCTAACTGCATAATCAGTGGGCAGGTTTTTATGCAGAAGTCTTAGTCTCCCCCACTATGCTGCCAGCAGAATACAATTTTTAGTATATTCAGTTTTGCACTTACAAGTAACAGACACAGGAAAACATGATTTTTGGATTCAAGAAACACTTAAAGACTTCATGATTCATACTGAGGCAAAGTGTTGTAATGGAAGTAACAGGCATGTGTGATGCATTACAAAATGATAGACCTAGTTTATATACAGTGCTGAACTATGATATAAGGCAGTGATTCTCAACCTGTGGGTCCCCATATGCTTTGGCCTTCAACTCCCAGAAATCCTAATAGCTGGTAAACTGGTTGGGATTTCTGGGAGTTGTAGTCCAAAACACCTGGGGACCCACAAGTTGAGAACCACTGATATAAGGTGACATGTCCTCCCTTCTGTCAGTCTTAACAAAGTTTTAGGTCTGTCTCAGCCTTGGCTGCCAGAAGGAATAATTCTTTCACTTTTCCCAGCTCCTGGCTTGTAGTTCCACATAAACCATTCATCCTGCAAGTCCATTGCAAAACAGACAATTGTGTAATAAAACTGGTTAAATTAACAACATAGTCATTCAAAGCCATATTTCCAATTTCTACATGACAATCCAGAAATACCAGTATTCTAATATGGACAATGTGACAGTAAGAGAGGTGTGCTCAAGCCTGCAGTTTTTCCTATGCTGGCAGAGATAAACAAACATAAGAAAACTGTTTTCTTAACTAATATATGCCCCTTTAAACCAACAACTCACAGTATTTCATCATCCACGATGGCTAAGGCTGGTGGGAACTGTAAGCCAAAACATTTCAGAGCTGCTTATGTAGGGGAAGGTCTATGAAGTGTCCAAGTAATGTTTTAAATCGGAGCTAAGGTTACAACAGCTATTAAGGTATTTGATTCTAAATAATACATTTTAGAAAATATTAGATATTTTGTACAATAACTTTGTCTATTTTTCTTGTATTGTCATGCTAGCAAGTAACCTGTTTACCATCCATATTTGGTCTACAAGGCAGCTGCCTTTCAGGGTTACAGACAAGTAAATTTTATTGTCAGCTTGCCTTAAGTTTACATCACACATTTGGACCCTCATACATTCTGAAAGATGTGAATTTAAAGTTATTAAGTTAACATAAATAAGCAGACTAAAGATGGACCATCATCCATGAAAGGCCAAGTACGATACAAAATGCACCCCTGAAGTAGTGTTAAATAGTCTTCATTTTAGCCATAAGTTCTTCTAGACTTTCCTCGGATTCAGCAACAGTTTCTCCATCTATAGAGTTTTCTTCCTGTTAAGGACAGAAAAGAAAATTACCATGATCCCCTGCTTCTTTGCCCAAGACAAACAACTCCAACAAGCTAAGCATCTCAATAGCACATAATACAGGCCTTGAGTAGAACGTGCGATATTCCATCACATAATAGCTGCATTTTTGCCCCTTTTTGTTGGAAAAATGAGGGTGCAATAATTAAGTGATGAAAAAATCTGCCTTTGATTTTCTGATTTCTGTGAAATTGCAACTATTGCTGGAAATGGGCAACCTAATATACATGAAGAAAACAATCACAACTAGAAATTAGCAGCTTTCACAGCTTATTCATAAGTAAATTCAAGTTCAAAGCCAGTCTAAATTGAAAATATTACTTTTAAAAAGTATGTTATTAAGAAATTTTAGTGACCTTGTCAGGTATTGTATATGCCAGTGTGATGCCTTCTGGAAGATCAGGAACTGGACCTGAAGCAGCTTTCAACTCCTCTTCAGAAACCTCTGAAACCAATTCTATACCTGAATAGCCAGCAAAACATAAACACATAATGATTATTTGGTGGGTTTTTTAACCACTGTTGCAAACTGATCCTCTTTCCTTGGAAGAGGAACAGAAAAAGCGTTGGCTTACATCGTGAAAGCTTCCCTTTGCAATTTGGGTCAACAAAACTCTTGGTCAGATAGTCTTCAAACAAAAGCAGGCAGGCTTGCCAAGATACTGACATCTCTATCATTTCGTCTTTATAGGAGACAGATTTAAGGGAAAACCCTCCCATCCTTTCTCTTCCTCCTCCCAGCCACCTACTTGATCCCCTTTTCACCCAAACATCACAAAGATGAACAAGAATAGTAAGTTTGTTAAGAAAATAGTATTTAATATAAAAACAGTTTCAAAATACATCCATGAGCTAGATTTCCAGAAGCTTAACAAAAAACAATAACTAACCCTCAATAGGAATTCCAAAAATCACGTTAGGCAAAAAGCAAGAAACTGTAATCCAAGGTTTGTTGCTTTTAAACTAGAATTATATCCAAAAGTTTGGAAGCATGAACATGACTATAATCCAGAGGCTTGATACATGAACTTGACTATAATCCCAAGGTTTAAAACTTGAAACAAGATTTGTAATCCAAACAGGAGAAATGGAACTTGAAGAGGAAAACAAGATACAGCCCCAACAACAGAACTAACCCAGAGTTTCCAAGACAGGCAGCTTGACACATGAAAATCCAGCGTTGATCTCCCCACCAAACATTGACTCCAATTCTTTCAGAATACTCTTTCTTGCCTATGACATCATCCTGGGTTCCCTGTGTTTATCTTTCAGTCTCTGGGAACACCGGATTTGTCTCTGTTTCATACTATCTCTTCTGATCTGTAAGCACTGGGTTATCTGTAACGCTCTTGTGTCCTCCATATTCGTTTCAGAGTCAATCCCTGGCTGATTCTCATGCAAATCATTGCCTGTTTTCCTGACAACAGATCTACCCAAAACATTCTCACGTCCCCCACAGAAACACCAGGCTCAACCTCAATCCTTGTCCTCATCCTCAGAGGCGTCAAAGGCCTCAACAGCCCTTTATCTTATATTCAACCACATTTCTGTACCTTAGAGACAACTGTCAGTGGGGGACAAATTATTTGGGGGGGGCTCCATCACTGACTCTTGTGCATATTGTAAATTTAAAATTGCGGTGCCTCTGCAATCATGAGTTGCCCATAAATGAAACTCTTATTACTTGAAAAAGTGTGGTACAGTGTTTCAAATTACAGCTGCTAGAGATGCTTCTCCCGGGTCACAAATAGCCCCTGGCTTCAGTTAATCGCAAGATGGCGACTGCACAACATTAGGCCTAATGAGACATTCTCCATTTGCAGAGTAATTCTTTTCGGTTTGTTAGTGGTTAGTAAAACTTGGTGGCTCATTAAACCAATGATAACTTTTTGTGTAATTGTAACATGTTGCCATCATGAAATATCTTGCTTTGAAACTGGGTCCATCATTCTGTACTATACTGCCTGGCACTCTTCGAAGATTCCTCTATAGCCATTCCCTATGAGAAGGACACGCCTCATGCTGAAGGAGAAAGACTATAGGACTCTGGTTAGCCTTCTCTGAGCAGGGTCCCATCTCAATCCCCCATTAGCCTTGGTAATCCTATTTAAAAAAAATTCAGGGCTCACCCCAATCATTCTCCTCATGTACTATTTCGTCTGCCTCTTCACAGATTTCTTGTTTAGGATTGCTTACTGCTCTTTTCTGGAAATACAAAGGCACTGTGAGCGACAACAGCAAAATTAAGCAGCGGCTTTCAAATGACTTAATGTGAGTATTTATGCTGGGAAAGTATTTATAGAGGAGTTCACACAATACTTTAAAGCTTATCCTGAACTTTAAAGGAATTAAAAATGCTGACGTTTCATTAAATATACCTTGTATTCTTCCTGTTGGTTTCTGCAGTTTTTGTCATCACACTGTGGATTGGGTTTCATGGTCATGGCGGGAAAGAAATCCTGCATTGCATTGTAGCCAAGGTAAAAGCTGACTGTGCCGAAGTTTAATAAAAACCTGGAGAAAATGCGAGAATACACGAAATGCATGTCAAAAAGAAGATTCACAATATGCTCATGATGACCCAGCTAAAAATCAAAGCAACGTAGGTTTAATCACGTACTTGAGGACATTTTGCACAAGGAGGCCAGCAACTACTCCCATAGTCGTGGGCAAACTGGCTGCACATACACCCTCCCGTTTCAATGTTTTCTCATCTATGTTTGCTGCAACAACAAGTGGTGGTGCACACTGACCAATAGGGAAAAAGAGAAATCATGTTTAAGAAACAATGTGAAAAAGGCAGAGAAAAAAATCAATTGAGTGAGTGAGTGACTATCAATAATTTCCATCAGTCCCCACCCACACATTTCCTAGGAGGCAAAAGAATAAGAGGTAATAAAATAAAACTTTATTTATATTCCACCCTATGTCCTTGAGGGGACTCAGGGCGGAATACAGCAATAGAAGGCAAATATTCAATGCTTATACAGTAAAAACTACAAGTACAAATACACTAACAAACTACCCCAAAATAACCAACGTATATCACTTTAAACTCACACACATTGAAATTAAATCCACATGTCAAAACAAATTAAACAAGCAACTTAAAATTAATTTAGATTTTATCTACTATAAAAAAAAGAATCTGAATTCAAAAAAAATTCAGGTAAATAGAAAAAAGGTAAGTAGAGCAACACATACTGCAAAACAAGCTGATTCACCAGGTATGATCAGCTGGATATGGCCGGAGACAGCATTTTCACTTACTCCTGATTCCATCCATATTTGTCCAAGTTCATTGCAAACCTTAAAAAACCAAAATGAGAGTGCAATCAATTTATACATACATAATCTGTATCAATCTATCTATCCCTCTATAGAATAACAGTGAAAATAAGTATATATATATGTAAGTATCTATGTTTGTATTTCCCAAGATGGCTCCCACATCCAGAGAGCACTATGAACCCCACAGATGATAGATCTGCGCCAAACTTGGTACACGGACTCCCCGCCTCTTCATGACCAACTTAAAATATTAGTAAGGTTTCAGCTGAGATTGAATGAGGATGATGGGAGCTGTAGTCCATACATATAAAAAGACTCATGTATATCCTACATCTGGAAAGCCATCTGTATTTCTAATGGGACCATTCATAAAATCCCAAACTAAACAGATACTATTTCTAATATTGATCATTACAAAACGGCTAACCCAGGCATCGCCAGATACCTAAGCAAGTCCGCTATAAAATCTATAGCAGACCAAAGAAAGATGTGATCCTGCATTCGGTCTCAAAGAGCAGCTATTAGCAGGATAAACAGAGAATAGATCTTTCTCACTATTGTTCTCTAGAAACAATATACATGCAAACTACCTCTGATCCTGCATGCTGCACAGCTAACATGGCTAGTAGCCACTAACAGACATATTCGCCATCAATTTACCTTAGTTACTCCAACCTATTCAAACAAATGTTTGTGTCCCATCACTGTAGTTCACTGAATGGCTCTAGGCTCTAATCTCATGAGAAACAGCAAATACACTTTCTATCCAATTTCTCCACAGCATGCTATTTTATAAAATGCTTCAATTAAAACCCCACTTCTCTAAACCAAACCTTTCCTAACTTCCCAATGATTTGATAGTGATAATTCACTTCGTACCTGTGCCACGTGACAATGCTTTAATCTCATTCTCCAAAAGAGAGATGCCACAATAATTTATGTCATACAGGATACACAATAATTTATGTCATACTCTGCATTCACCAAATGTATAATTGCTTTTAACAGAAACATTCACAAGACTAAAGAAAAATATTTACAATTGCAATACCCTAAAATACAACAACTGTGTGATTTTTTTCCTGCACTGATTAAACAATTGAGCTTGTGTAACATTGGTGCATTAGCACTTGCATTCACAGTCTCTGGCAGCATATGTCCTATTTATATTTAGACGAGAGTAGGTTATCAGATAGAAAACATTAACCCACAGACATTACACTGTACTTACTGTGTTAATTGCCATACGAGCTTCAAAGTTATCCACACAGCTTAATACCAGATCAACAGGTTTTCCTTCTTCTAATCCACCATAACTAAAAGCAAAAAACAAAAAACAAAAACAAAACAAAACAAACAAACAAAATCCAGATTTCTAAAAATAACTTGCAAGTACAAGCTCTTTCAACAGTTCCCCTTCCTTCCCCTGGAATCATAATCACATCTGACTGAAACTAAGAACATGGGGCTTTTTTAAATTTTGCTAAAAGAGCCTTTCTTTCTTCAATCAGTTGCTCCTAAAACATTCCCACCTGGAAGTGTTTTGAGCCACTCTAGGTCCTCCAATGCATTTCTACATTATGCTTCTGACCCAAGTACAGACAGACCCTGGGTTACAGACAAGATAGGTTCTGTAGGTTTGTTTTCAAGTTGATTTGCATGCAAGTTGGAACAGGTACATTTTAAGTGTAATTCCAGCCACACACACACAAAAGAGCTTTGGATGACTGTATAGTCAAAATGCTAGGTTTGCTCTTATCCATGATTTCAGGTATCTACTGGAAGGGGGGAGGGAGGAGGTCACTGATCCTATCCCCAGTATATATACTAGTTATGTGCATTCGAGTAAAAAATCCTTCCAAAAATATTGTCTCTCTGAATTAGTTTCACTGGTTTTTTCGTCTGTCTTCCCCTGTTTTCAAAAATTACTTGAAAATAGCCATCCAAAAACTACAAATCTTTTCGTTAACAGTGATTTGGGCTCAACTCTAATATATACTAGAAATGGAAATGAAAATGATACAAATCGGACATTGTTATTGTTATCATGTCACGGCTACTGTAATTTTAAAGAGCAAGTATATGGAATAAGTTTAAATGTTTATATTGGAAAGTGCTTACCATACTATTCAAGGTGGTATATTGATTTCATGGCCTATGGCTGGTATAATAAACAATTCATTCAATTCATTCATACTGTCATTAAAAACATTTAGGCTAAAAGAACACCATGCTTTTAACTTTGAAATGAACTTTACCTGATCCTATCCATAAAATGTTGAAAGTTATCCATAGTTGTGATGTTGTAGTTATGTACTTCAAACTGGACATCAGGATTGATGTTCCTAAAGTACAAAAAAAACCTATACTGTTATCTAAAGACCTAAAGTGAAAACATCCAACAGAAATTCTTATACCATTACTTTTTGCAAGTTCTAAGGGTGCATTCCTTCTTGAAAGAAGTCCTGTGGAAAATAAATACGCTGGGGAGGTTGGAAGTTCTAAATACAATTTTTATTTTATTTCTTATATCTTAACTGTATTTTAAGTTTTATCCATGACACAAATATTTACTTGTTTTTCAATTGTTCTTAATGTTTATATTTGCCATTTTTAAATTTATTGGGTTGTGTCATGTAATTATGAGCAGCCTTGAGTCTTCATGGGGAGAAAGACAGGGTAGAAATAAAGTACATAAATAAAATAAATAAATAAACCAACTCCCTAATAACAATACGCAGTATTAGGATGGCCAATTTTTGAGATTGGTTTATTTTACAAATAAACTAATTAGAAGATCTGAAAGTCTGGGTTTGCACCCCACATTCCAAACACTTGGGCCCCCATTTCTCGCACCACATACCTCAATGTGTGCTCCGCTGCTTGAACTTTGCTCAGTCCAGCCTGATGAGGTTGGAAAAAGAGCCGGTTCATATTTGCCAGCTCCACCTTGTCATAATCAAATAGGAGCAGCTAAAAGAAAGAGTACAAACAATACATGAGAGACTCTACTTTAGAAGAAATAGGGTCAAACCTCTTGGCCTTGCTAATATTTATTCAATGTATCCATGTGGTTTTAAATTGTTTTTAGATTTGTTTTAATTTTCTAAACTGCCTGACGTCCTGCTTGCAGGACAAAAATATGGGATTACAATAAGGCAAAGGTCTTGGCACTATAGACTACTGCAGCAAGGAATATATACCAGTAAGTACAAAGCACAAGAAACAAATCCAGATGGAAAATGGGGAAGGCATCTTTTCTCTACTTACAAACCCAGACCTTGGTTTCAGACAGATCCAGCACCTTAATACATACATATATGACAAACCCCCTTGGTCTTGTTAATATCCAATAAGAATTTAAAACATGTTATAAATAAAAATCTCTCTTTAGCCAGTAAAATCTTATATCCTGTGCTCTCTTGGGCAACAAATGCTCCTTTCTCTCCAACTGTGCATATGGCAGCTGGATGGCACTGGGGTACAACACTGCTCTCTGACCACTGAATCAACGAGAGTGTACCATCTAACTCTTACACAACCAGAGAAAAGATTATGCACAAGATGGTACTGGATGCCTGCTGACACAATGTACTCACACTGAAATAATGGCCCTTTACACCAGCAAAGGCCAACAATAGGTCCCCGTCCAGAGTAGGCATACATACACGAGCCTCAGCCAAAAGTATTGTATTTCTTTGCTTCTAAAACACACTTTTCCCCATATAAACATCTCTAAAATAGGATGCATATTAGAATCATGGGTGCTTTCAATATATATAAATATTTAAAAATCTGCGGGTAGTACTGACATTGTGCATCTTACAATTGATAGCATTTTAGAATCAAGGATGTATTTGCCAAACCATTACAGGCCTTCACATACAGTATGTGTATGCTCTTCATTATAGTACGGAGTAATGGATTCAAATTTCTGTACAAGAAAAGAGATTCCAAATGAGCATAAGGAAAAGCTTCCTAACAGTAAGAGCAGTTCAACAGTGAAATATACAGCCTTGAAGTGTGGTGAGTTTCCTCTGCAGGTTTTTAAGCAGAGGTGGGATGGCCATCTGTGAGGAGTGCTTTGATTGGTTGTTCCTACATGCAAGGGATTAGACTGGATGGCCCTTGTGGTTTCTCTCAAGTCTATGATTCCACGGACACTGAACTTTCTCCAAGCACCAATGATTTCATGCATGATTATATTGTTATTATAATGAAGAAATATATATTACCTTACCAATGCCACATCTTGTCAGCATTTCAGCCGTCACACTGCCAACTCCACCAACACCCACGATGGCTACTGCAAAGGAGCGGATTTTCTGTGGCATGAAATCAACTCTGATAAGTACAGCAGGCTCTCAGCTAGAATTCAAGCAACCAAAACTCTCAAGCAACGGGCAAAAATAATCAAAGAAATAATACTTTTTAAACTCTGATTATGTTTTATGGATTTTTCTGTGATTTTTAAAATAACATTTATATTTAAATCTGTTTTAATATTTGTATATTTGTAGATTTTAAACTGTACTGAAAGGCTTTTAATGTAAGCCACTTTGAGTCTCCTTGTTGGGAGAGAAAAGCAAGGTATAAATAAACATAAACATAATAAAACATTTTAAAAGCTGTTTTTATAATGTATTAAAACAGTAAAACTCTGCTATATTATGATACATTTGTCTTTATTTCCATTTTTACTGTATTTCAATATTAATATCAAGTCAATACAGAGTTTATGGTGTGGCCTAGTATGGGGTATAGTATTAGTTGGGCCTATTTTTAATAGTCGCTCTCAAAGAACCAGAAACTGCATTTATCTGGCACCTATCAATCCCCATAGGTGTTGGTTAATTGAGGGTCTACTGTACTTCATTCCCTGAGGCTATACCATGAAGCCAAATATCTACAAGAACATGGACCCACCTCATAATCTTTCACAATTCCCATTCTTTTCAGAGCCATCAAACGACTAGAGAAAGAGAGGAGGAAACAAAAACACTTTTGTTAAGGATAATTTTTCTCAACCCTCTCACACACATCATTGTTATTTCAATTCCAGTCTGAAACCAACAATTCAGCCCTTCATGACACAATCCTGATACACCATCACCAACTGAATTGGTTGAGACTCAGTGAGATATTCATTGAAAAACTACAGCAAAATGTGTAGCAGGATGTCCCATGAAAACAAAAGTGTTTCCAGTTTAGTATTATAGAACCAATTAGGAAATGGCATTTATAACCGAGGAACAAAAATTGTTACATAGCGTTATTAGCCGCATACAAAAATTATGTATTCTTGTATTATAGTTGTATTCTCAATTCGCTTCTGACACAAGAAATAAAAATAAATTAGCCACATGAAAATTAACATCAGGTGACTGGATACTCTCACATTTTCATACCGAACACACGCAATGAAAACTTGAGTGATCTCAAATACAATGCAGATTGCTCAAATGAACGTGTTTTAGTCTTTCTTGGACGCCATGCTTTTTGGAAGCTTGTTTAGAGAGTTAATGACCTTTTAGGCTTCCTCTAGGTCAGTGGTTCTCAACCTGTGAGTGCCCAGGTGTTTTGGCCTACAACTCCCAGAAACCCCAGCCAGTTTACCAGCTGTTAGGATTTCTGGGAGTTGAAGGCCAAAACATCTGGGGAACTCTAGATGAATAATACGAGGGTTGAATAAAAAAGTAATGGCTCCACCTTCGTTACTTGGGTTTGGATAGGAATATTTTAATAAATCTAATGCTGAAATAATCCTTAGAATATGTTCTTTACCTACCACTATTCACTTTTTCACATAATCACCAGACATTTGGATACATTTCTGCCAATGATGAACAAGTTTTCTGAAGCCATAATGGAAGAAGTCAACACTGTTTCCACAACCAGCGTGTCACAGTTCTCTCAACGTCTTCATCAGAAGCATAATGATGTCCCTGCAGATCTTCTTTCATTATCAGGAACAGATGGAAGTCAGACGGTGCTAAATCTGGAATGTATGGAGGATGCTGTACATTGGTGAGATCCAGTCTCTGAAATTCTGCTGTGTACCCATCATGCACAGATCTTCCAATAGCAATAATGTGACTCACACATTCTTGTAAAAAGCCAATTATACTTGAAATTTCTCTCCGAGTGATACGACAATCGTCCTGAATCAATCTGTCAACCTTTTGCTTGTGAAACTCGGTGGTTGCTGTCACAGGACGGCCAATTTATTTACATTACTTATATTCTGCCCTTCTCACCCTGAAGGGGACTCAGAGTGGATCACAATGTACATATACACGGCAAACATTCAATGCCGTTTTTTACATAAAAGACATACAGACAGATAGAGGCCATTCAGCAGTTCTTCCACCGGATCCTGGAGGTTGCTCGATTTTTTGCTTTGTTATGAGTTATTTATTGTTGTATTGCTGTTGTTGTGTTTTTATGATGTATTTGGGCTCGGCCTTTTCTAAGCCGCACCGAGTCCTGAGGGAGATGGTAGCAGGGTATAAATAAAGGTTTATTATTATTATTATTATTATTATTATTATTATTATTATTATTATGTGATGTTGGAGGAAAGTTCTGAGAGTGCCTTGGACTGCGAGAAGATCCAACCAGTCCATCCTCCAGGAAATAAAGCCCGACTGCTCACTGGAGGGAAGGATACTAGAGACAAAGTTAAAGTACTTTGGCCACATCATGAGGAGACAGCAAAGCCTAGAGAAGACAATTATGCTGGGGAAAGTAGAAGGTAAAAGGAAGAGGGGCCGACCAAGGGCAAGATGGATGGATGGCATCCTTGAAGTGACTGGACTGACCTTGAAGGAGCTGGGGGTGGTGACGGCCGACAGGGAGCTCTGGCGTGGGCTGGTCCATGAGAGTCACGAAGAGTCGGAGACAACTGAACGAATGAACAACAACATTATTATTATTATTATTATTATTATTATTTGGCCACAGGGGGAGCTGTCAATTCGTCCACTACGACATTGAGTCTTTTTGATCGTAGTATTTCCTCCTTGCTCTCCGGCATTTTTATGGTGTCAAAAATTTGCCTCCTTTAAACTTAATCGCCCAACGATGTACAGTACTCACATCAACACAATCACCATAATCAGCTTGGATTCTCTGATAAATCTCCTTCTTCTGCTGTCAAGAATTCAATGACTGCACGTTGCTTAAGTCGCATTGACCGACAGCCTACGCAGGGTTCCAATACTTCGCACTTTAACAACACAACCGTTCAATGCTAAGGTTTCCCGCCAAAATGGAACTGTAGAGGAGAGTCTACTGAACAAGCCAGTACCTGCCGTATACCAGTACTGTTGAGGAGTTACGAAGGTGGAGGCATTACTTTTCATTCAACCCTCGTAGTTCTCTTTTTGAATAATTTATCACAAGGAAGGGCTAAACTAGGCATTGGGCAGACTTGGGCCCTCCAGGTGTTTTGGACTTCAACTCCCATAATTCCTAACAGCCTACCGGCTGTTAGGAATTATGGGAGTTGAAGTCCAAAATACCTGGAGGGCCCAAGTCTGCACAGTGCCTGGGCTAAACAGCCCCACAGGCGCCCCTTCCGCCTCGCAGGCCTGTGCCCACCTGTATGGGTTGGAGTCCGTGACTTCTGGGCTCATCTGCTCGATCCGCGCCCGGCCACTCAGCCCCTCGCCGCCGCCCCTCGCCCTCTCTCGGGCCAGTTCTTCCTCCAGCTCCTTCACGCGGCTCCGAAGCCGCTCCACCAGGCCCTCCGAGGCAGCCATAGCCGGCTCCCCGCGAAACAACACCTCAGGAAAGAGTCCCGGGATCCCCCAAGGCAGCCGATCTCCCCTTTGTGACTGAAGAAGCTTGGCCGGCAAGAGACACGTCGCCGCCAATGACGCTTCCTGGAGTAACAGCAAAAGGCGTCCGCGGTCTGCTAAATCCCGTTGCCGGGGTTCCGGCCACAAACGGTTCCTCTCTATATCCCAAGCATAGGCAAACTTTGGCCCTGCAGATGTTTTGGACTTCAACTCCCACAATTTCTAACAGCTTCTATGATTCTGTGATTCTAAAACAGAATAAATTGCAGCTTTCCAAATATTACAGCACAGAATAATAGAATCATAGAGTTGGAAGAGACCTCCTGGGCCATCCAGTCCAACCCCCTGCCAAGAAGCAGGAAAATTGCATTCAAAGCACCCCCGACAGATGGCCATCCAGCCTTTGTTTAAAAGGAGCCTCCACCACACTCTGGGGCAGAGAGTTCCACTGCTGAACGGCTCTCACAATCAAGAAGTTCTTCCTCATGTTCAGATGGAATCGCCTCTCTTGTAGTTTGAAGCCATTGTTCTGCATCCTAGTCTCCAGGGCAGCAGAAAACAAGCTTGCTCCCTCCTCCCTATGACTTCCTCTCCCTTATTTATACATGGCTATCATGTCTCCTCTCAGCCTTCTCTTATTCTGCCTAAACATGCCCAGCTCTTTAAGCCGCTTCTCATAGGGCTTGTTCTCCAGACCCTTGATCATTTTAGTCGCCCTCCTCTGGACATATTCCAGCTTGTCAATATCTCTCTTCATATTGTCAAAGGCTTTCATGGCCGGAATCACTGGTTGTTGTAGGTTTTTTTGGGCTATATGGCCATTCTCTCCTGACGTTTCGCCTACATCTATGGCAAGCATCCTCAGAGCTAGTGAGATCTCTCTTCAATTGTGGTGCCCAGAACTGGACACAATATTCCAGAATTGTGGGAGTTGAAGTCCAAAACACTTGCATGGCCCAAGTTTTCCCTTGATGGAATCCCAGGAGTTGTAGTTTCACAAGGTCTTTAGCCTTCTCTGGCCAACTTGAACCTCGCCAAACTACAACTCACAGAGTCCCATAGATTTTTCAGCCATGGGCAGTGAAAATGGTGTCAAACTGCATTTATCCTACAGTGTAGATGCACCCTTATTCATCATTGGGATTTCACAGTATAGAAGAGGCACCTTGCGGATTTGGAGACCAGGGTTTGAATCCCCCGCTCAGTCAAAGGGCCTTGGGTGGGTTGCACTCTCTCAGCCTCACAGGAAAGTCAAGGCTAACCTCTTTTGAACAAAAACTTGTCAAGAAAACCCCACAATGGGATCGACATCAAAGACTTGAAAACACACCTAAGGGTGTAGAATTAATACAGTGTCTTGTTTTGTTGATTTTTTAAATCTAATTCGCTGTTTGTTTGGCATTGAATGTTTATAAGGATGCTTGCCATAGATGCAGGTGAAACATCAGGAGAGAATGCTTCTAGAACATGGCCATATAGCCTGAAAAACCTACAACAACCCAATGTTTATAAGCTTTTATGGTTTCAACCTGGATTGTTTTAATATTAATGTTGCTTAATCCTGTTTTAATATTTGTATATTTTAAGTTGTACTGAAATGCTTTTAGTTGTTAGCAGCTCTGAGTCTTCGTATGGAGAGAAAATGCACATGACAGCATCTTTGCAGTTTGATCTTTAAATCCTCGTATCGTGTCAGCTTTTCCAGTTGCTTCTCGTCAATCCTGCTGTCACCTGGGATTGCAACATTGACGATCCATGCTTGGTTTTTTTAATATGATCGTGAAGTCAGGAGTATTGTGCTCCAAAACTCTGTCAGTCTGAATTCGGAAATCCCAGAGTAGTTTGACGTGTTCATTTGACAGTTATGGGCAGTTCCCACAAGTTCCACTGGATTATTATTATTACTAGCCGTTCCCTGCCATGGCCCAGTCTGTGTATATATTTGTATATGTGTGTGTTTGCGTATATATGTGGTTTTACGCATGCTTTGTAATTTTTTTTTGTTTTTTGGCTTTTTAAGTCTCTTCTGCTATGTTTTTCAGTGTTTTTGTGAGTGATGGTCACTCGTCGGCCTGATAGTTGTATTATGTCCAAATTTGGTGTCAATTTGCCCAGTGATTTTTGAGTTATGTTAATCCCACAAACGAACATTACATTTTTATTTTTATAGACTAGCTGTCCCCTGCCATGCATTGCTGTGGCCCAGTCTGTATATATGTGTTTTGTTTTTGTGTATATGTGTGTTTGCGTATATATGTGTGGCTTCGCACATGCGTTGTAATGTATTTTTTTTTTGGCTTTTTATGTCTCTTCTGCTGTGTTTTTCAGTGTTTTATGAGTGAAGGTAACTTGTTGGCCTGATACATGTATTGTGTCCAAATTTGGTGTTAATTTGTCCTGTGGTTTTTGAGTTATGTTAATCCCACAAACAAAATTTCATTTTTATTTATATAGACTAGCCGTCCCCTGCCATGCGTTCCTGTGGCCCACATGGGGGTTCTGTCTGGGAGGTTTGGCCCAATTCTATCGGTAGGATTCAGAATGCTCTGTGATTGTAGGTAAACTATAAATCCCAGCAACTACAACTCCCAAATGTCAAGATTCTATTTCCTCCAAACTCTACCAGTGTTCACATTTGGTCATATTAAGTATTTGTGTAGAGTTTGGTCCTGATCCATCATTGTTTGAGTCCACAGTGATCTCTGGATGTAGGTGAACTACAACTCCAAAACCAAAGGACACTGCCCACCAAACCGTTCCAGTATTTTCTGTTGGTCATGGGAGAACTGTATGCCAAGTTTGGTTCAGTTCCATTGTTGGTGGGGTTCAGAATATTCTTTGATTGTAGGTGAACTATAAATCCCAGCAACTACAACTCCCAAATGACAAAATCAATTTTTTTGAGTGAAGGACATAATTGGGTTGTTAGGTGTCTTGTGTCCAAATTTGGTGTCAATTCGTCCAGTGGTTTTTGAGTTCTGTTAATCCCACAAACGAACATTACATTTTTATTTATATAGATGAATGATGATGATGATGATGATTATTATTGTAAAACTATATTTTTATATATATAGTGGTCAGCACACTGGGTGCAGTGCCTAAAGACCTTGGCCTGCACTTAAACACAATCCATTACATCAGCGTTGCTCAACCTGTGGGTCAGAACCCCGGGGGGTTGCGAGGGGGGTGTCAGAGAGGTTGCAAAAGAGATTGTAAAACTACAACCTTCCATAGAATTGGGCCTTGGCACTGAAAGTAGTGTCAAACTGCATTCCTGCCACAACACAAAAAAGAAGCTGGGTTGTTGTAGGTTTTTCTGGACTATATGGCCATGTTCTAGAGGCATTTTCTCCTGACCTTTCACCTGCATCTATGGCAAGCATCCTCAGAGGTAGTGAGGTCTGTTGGAAGTAGGAAAATGGGTTTATATATCTGTGGAATGACCAGGGTGGGACAAAGGACTTTTGTCTGCTGCAGCAAAAAAGAAGCTGCAGGCAAAGAGTCTTGTGTTGCTAATCGGCTTGGGCTCTCTTTCCAGCAGGCGGTACGCAGTTTGCGTGCGGTAGTGCCTCCCTGCTCTGAGAATACGACTTTGCCGCAGCCAGTTGGAGGCGTAACGCTGTTGGCGCGAGCGAGGGGCGTGGAGCCTGGGCCCTTTGCCTCTCGGGGCAGTTCCCACCAAGTCTTCGGAGGGACAGACAGGCTGTGGAGCCAGCCAGGGCGGCCCAACATGGCCAGTGAGCCGGACACCACCGAAGTAAGGGCCCAGCACAGGTTTGACCAAGAAGCCTTGGAGAGATACCTGTCCCAGCACCTCTCGGGCTTCCCTCAGCAGCAGCACGAAGCACTAGAAGTCAGGCAGTACAGGTAAGGCTGGCGAAGGACTCAGTGCTCTGCTCTCAGTGGGGGCTGCAGTTTGGTGAGGCACCAGCCCTCTTTGGCAGAGAAGGAGGCCCAAGGGGTTGTTCTGCAACTCCAACTCCCTTGGTTCCATAACATTGAGTCAGGGCTGCTAAAGTGGTGTCAAACTGCACTCATTCTTCAGTAGAGAGGCACCTCCAGTGGGTTTCATCACTGAGAAGCAGGTCTGTAGCAAATAATCATCATCATAGAATCAAAGAGTTGGAAGAGACCTCATGGGTCATCCAGTCCAACCCCCTGCCAAGAAGCAGGAATATTGCATTCAAATCACCCCTGACAGATGGCCATCCAGCCTCTGTTTAAAAGCTTCCAAAGAAGGAGCCTCCACCACACTCCAGCAGAGAGTTCCACTGCTGAACGGCTCTCACAGTCAGGAAGTTCTTCCTCATGTTCAGATGGAATCTCCTCTCTTGTAGTTTGAAGCCATTGTTCCATTGCGTCCTAGTCTCCAGGGAAGCAGAAAACAAGCTTGCTCCCTCCTCCCTGTGGCTTCCTCTCACATATTTATACATGGCTATCATATCTCCTCTCAGCCTTCTCTTCTTCAGGCTAAATATGCCCAGCTCTTTAAGCCGCTCCTCATAGGGCTTGTTCTCCAGACCCTTGATCATTTTAGTCGCCCTCTCTGGACACATCCCAGATTGTCAATATCTCTCTTGAACTAGCTGTCCCTGCCACGCGTTACTGTGGCCCTCATGGGTGTTCTGTGTGGGAGGTTTGGCCCAATTCTATCATTGGTGGGGTTCAGAATGCTCTGTGATTGTAGGTGAACTATAAATCCCAGCAACTACAACTCCCAAATGTCAAGGTTTATTTCCCCCAAACTCCATCTGTGTTCATATTTGGGCGTATTGAGTGCTTGTGCCAAGTTTGGTCCAGCTCCATCATTGTTTGAGTCCACAGTGATCTCTGGATGTAGGTGAACTACAACTTCCAAACTCAAGGTCAATGCCTTCCAAACACTTCCTGTATTTTCTGTTGGTCTGTGTGCCAAGTTTGGTTCAATTCCATCGTTGATGAAGTTCAAAATGCTCTTTGATTATAGGTGATCTATAAATCCCAGCAACTGCAACTCCCAAATGACAAAATCATAATTTTTAAGTGATGGTCACTCCTTGTGTTGTGAGACGTTGTGTTGCCAAATTTGGTGTGATTTCATTTAGTGGTTGTTTTGTTTTTAAGGTACTCATTATGCACAGAGCATTTATTTATATATATATATATATAGAGAGAGAGAGAGAGAGAGAGAGAGAGATTGTGGTGCCCAGAATTGGACACAATATTCCAGGTGTGGTCTAACCAAAGCAGAATAGAGGGGTAGCATAACTTCCCCAGATCTAGACACTATGTTCCTATTGATGCAAGCCAAAATCCCATTGGCTTTTTTTGCCGCCACATCACATTGTTGGCTCATGTTTAACTTGTTGTCCACAAGGACTCCAAGATCTTTTTCACACGTACTTCTCTCGAGCCAGGCGTCCCCCATTCTAATAATTATTATTTGATACACAACAAGATGAGTCCACAGCTGACACTCTGCTGGCTGTTGAATTGGATCATATTTCGGACACTTCCCAAATGTCTAGGATTGTGTGATGTATCGGCGAATAATGCGTGCACATCCCAGTAGAGTGGCCTTTTGCAGCTGGCAGATGGTAATTTTGTCAGCACCGATTGTGTTTAAGTGCAGGCCAAGGTCTTTAGGCACTGCACCCTATTATTATTATTATTATTATTATTATTGACACAAAAGCACAGTATGTCACAGCAAATTAGATATATATGCTGGATTTCGTATCGCAAAATCACAAGTTGAACACTTCCCAAGCGTCTAGGACTGTGTGATGTATTTTCGAATGATGCTTGCAGATCCAAGTAAGGTGGCCTTTTGCAGTTGACAGATTGTGATTTTGTTGATGTTTATTGTTTCCAAATGCCGGCTGAGATCTTTTGGCATGGCACCCAATACGCCAGTGACCACTGGGACCACCTGTACTGGTTTATGCCAAAGCCTTTGTAGTTCGATTTTGAGGTCTTTATAGCGGCTGAGTTTTTCCTGTTGTTTTTCCTCACCCGGGTGGTGACATCAATAATCCAGACTTTTTTCTTTTCCACAATCGTGATGTCTGGTGTATTGTGTTCCAAAACTTTGTCAGTCTGGATTCAAAAGTCCCACAATATTTTTGCGTGTTCATTTTCCATGACCTTTGCGGGTTTATGATCCCACCAATTCTTTACTGCTGGCAGGTGGTCCTTGTGACATAAGTTCCAGTGAATCATCTGGGCCACAGAGTTGTGTCTTTGTTTGTAGTCCGTCTGTGTGATTTTCTTGCAACAGCTGAGGATATGATCCATGGTTTCATCAGCTTCCTTGCACAGTCTGCATTTTGGGTCATCCCAAATTGTTGTTGTTGTTTTTGTTGTTGTTGTTGCTACTACTCTGGGACTTCCAAATTCAGACAGACAGAGTTTTGGAGCACAATACTCCTGACCTCACAATCATGTTAAAAAACAAAGTATGGATTGTCGATGTTGCAATCCCAGGTGACAGCAGGATTGAAGAGAAACAACTGGAAAAGCTGACACAATATGAGGATTTAAAGATCGAACTGCAAAGACTCTGGCACAAGCCAGTAAAGGTGGTCCCAGTGGTGATCGGCACACTGGGTGCAGTGCCTAAAGACCTTGGTCTGAACTTAAACACAATCGGCGCTGACAAAATTACCATCTGCCAGCTGCAGAAGGCCACCCTACTGGAATCTGCACGCATTATTCACCGATACATCACACAGTCCTAGACACTTGGGAAGTGATCAACGTGTGATCCAGTACAACAGCCAACAGAGTTACCTTGTTTGCTGTGGACTCATTTTGTTGTGTTTCAAATAATAATAATATAAAAATTCAGGAGGGGTTGAAACTCCCCCCCCCCCCCCGAGATGACGTTTCAGGCCAGTGTCGTCTGATCTGGCAGGAGATTTCAACAAGGCCCTGAAATTGTCCAAAGGTTCTTTACTAGTAAATAGGTCCTGAATCTTTGCTCCCTCTTTGAGCCAGTTCGTGTCGGTCACAAAGGATTTCACAATTGACAGAAGTTTCTTTCTGTTTTCTTCTGTTTTCTTCTTCTTTCCTTTACACCAGCGTTTCTCAACTTGGGGGCGGGACCTCTGGGGGGCTTGTGAGGGGAGTGTCAAAAGGGTCACCAAAGACAATCAGAAAACATATTTCTGATGGTCTTAGGAACACAGTGCTCTCTGGAGGTAGGTGAACTACATCTCCCTTAAATCACTGTCAATTCCACCCACATCCCTCCAGTGTTTTCTGTTGGTCATTGGGGTTCTGTATGGGAAATTTRGCTCAATTCTATMATTGGTGGAGTTCAGAATGCTCTTTGATTGTAGGTGAACAATCAATCCCAGCAACTACAACTTTCCCCAAACTAGTGTTCACATTTGGGCATATTGAGTATCCATGCCAAGTTTGATCCAGATCCATCATTGTTTGAGTCCACAGTGCTCTCTAGAGCAGCAGTTCTCAACCTGGGGACCCACAAGCTGAGAATCACTGCTCTAGAGGTAGGTGACCTACAACTCCAAAAGTCAAGACCAATGCCCAACAAACCCAGGTGGTGGGGTACAGTTCCCATCAGCTCAAGACCTGATCATGACTCCCATCATCCCCTGCCACCCAGATCTTGCCAGCATTTAAAGTTGGATCATGTTGGATATGTATGCCAAGTTTGGTCCAGATCCATCCTCGGTGGGATTCACACAGCTCTCCAAATGTGGGACCCATCCTGGAAAAGACTTGCATATATACAGATCCATACATAACAAACATATATGAATACCTAGATCAGTGGTTCTCAACCTGGGGCCCCCAGAAGGTTTTGCCCTACAACTCCCAGAAATCCCAGCCAGTTTACCAGCTGTTAGGATTTCTGGGAATTGAAGGCCAAAAACATTGGGGACCCCAGGTTAAGAACCACTGACCTAGATACATATATTGACTTTTTATTATACACATAGATAAACTATTTTGACCACACTCTGTTCCAGTTTTTAGCAATGAATTGTTGGACTCTCCCATAGTCCTACAAATCCCATCTGTCAGCTTCAGCTTCTCATGTGGGGACATGAGAGAAGCCTCCCATAGGATGGTAAAACATTTGGGCATCCCCGGGGCGAGGTCCTTGCAGGCGGCCAATTCTCACACCAGAAGCAATTTGCAGTTTCTCAAGTTGCTCCTGACACGAAAAAATCCCCTAAATTTAGTGAGCATAGAATTACTGCCTTGACATTCGCAAAGAAGAGAAATAGAATGGCTCAAACAGAAGCTGGCTGACTTTGTTCAGGGCAAAGGTTGTGCCATAAATTGCAGACATTTCATCATTTCTTGTTTTATTTCATTAATATTCTACCTTTCTCCTGATGGAGGACTCAAGGGGGCGTATCTGTGCCTGCCTTCAAATTGCCTGTTGACTTATGGCAACATAATTAATTTCATAAGGCTTTCTTAGGTGAGAAATCCTCCAAGAAAATTTGCCAATTACTTCTTTTGAAATACAGCCCATCCGTTGCCAGTCTCCCATGCAAGTACTAACTAGGCCTGACCTGTTTAACTTCCAAAATCAGACAGGATCTAGTGCCTTTTGGATACTCACAACAATGTTTGAAAACTGGAAACCATGCTGGAACTTATTCTTACCTTTTTGAAATCTGTGTTTCCCACGTGCAATTTTTAGAAAGTTGGATGTCACCAAATAAGAGTTATGTATAATTTCTTAAAACTAGCTGCTCTTCAAAACACAACAGAATAATCCTTTCCCATTCCCAATTGTGCAACTGCTGGTATAAAGAACAGGATTATTGTCATTATTACAGTTTCTTTGCTGCTATTTGTCAGATTCACCCTGTCTCCTTTCTGACTTTGGACTTTTAATGCACCATTATGCAAGTTCTCTAGTGAGTGAGGAGTTTGGAGTTGCGGGCGGGGGAGAGATGTTTTGTCAGGTTGGGTGTGTGTGTGGTTTATTTTGGTTAAAATTGTATATCTAGATACAGGTTGAATATAGGTAGTATGTCACACCAGAAAGCTCCAGCTGTCACCATTATCCCATCTCCGAATTCTAGAGAGACATTGGCAGTGTGCTTAAAATACCTACAACTTCAAGTTGTGTCTTCTTCAGTCTCACTCCAAATGCTTTATAATTTATAACTGGATCCTTAAAAATCATATTATAAGAATATGATTAACTTATTGGGTCTTGATATTATGTGTTTTTAGTTTTCATAGAACTATAGAATAGAATCATAGAATCATAGAGTTGGAAGAGACTTTGTGTGCCATCCAGTCCAACCCCCTGCCGAGAAGCAGGAAAATCACATTCAAACCACCCCTGACAGATGGCCATCCAGCCTCTGCTTAAAAGTCTCCAAAGAAGGAGACTCCACCACCTGGATTAACTCATGTTGTGAGGCCCATGGGTCCTGATATTGCTCAAAAGGCAGGCTGTCGAAGAAATAAACACATCTAGGGTTACCTTATTTTGCTGAGGAATATCCAACTTTTTTCGTTCTAAGGCAGTGAGATTTACCTGACAAGCAATAGTTGGTAGCTTTGCCAGGTCAAATAAAGCAGCTTACAGCAGTGGCCCTGGATCCATTAACTCCTTCCTGTCCAGTCTTCCAATTTTAGTACAGTACTAAACAGTTTCCAGTTAATCTTGCTCAATTATTTCTCTCTCAAGAAAAAAATAAGCCTGTTTCTAAGCCTATAGGTTCATATAGTTTGGCAATTGCTTTATTAGGATCAGCCCACATGCACGTGAAATTGTGTAACCTTAATATAATTTGCTTGTGCTGGTTGCATTTGAACAGGTTTAAAAGTGGTTAGGGAGGATGCAAAAGAGATTATTGCCTACAGTTGTTGTTGCGTCCCTTCATGCTGTTTCCAGCTAGTGGCCACCCACAGGATTTTCATGCCTTCGCCTTCCTCTGAGAAAGTGTATCTTGTCCAAGGTCATCCAATGGGTTTCCATGGCCAAATGAAGATTTGAACCCGTGGCTAGCTCTCGCATTGCTTACTGCCGTTGCTACTACTTAACTAGTTTTGGAACATTGTTAACAAATATGAATATTGTGATATTACAATACTCTTTGTTCTTCAGCAACTGTAAGCTTTTAGAATGGGCATTATAGAATTAAATTATTTCTCATGCCATAAAGCAGAGAAACACATTGTATTTTTCTTTCAGACTGTTTTCCCATTGCAATTCAGAATAGGAGAAAAAATCACTGTCTATGTAGTTTAATCTTATTAATCATGATAGCACATGTTTTGACTATCAGTTACAGAGTTGGCATCTAGGCCAAAGGTATGTCAGTTTTATCATCAAATCATTATGTTTGTGTATAGAAATTTAATTAAAGATTATCTTAGGTGTGGTTGTTCTTCCATGTACTCCCTGAGATTACTGTCCACAAAGTAATGAAGTACAGTACCATAGTTTGTGGAATTTAAGTAACTGGGGCTATGGGTTTGTAGAGATTACAGGTTTTGCCCAGAAGGATTAAACTGTGTTTACATGGGAGGTGTCTGCACATGTGTCATAGATCTTGGGGGATAAACGTAAGGTCTTCAGAAGGATTGCACACAGCCTTTGGCATGTAAGGTGTTCATTCCTGATTTAGGGGACCCATTATGTTTGTGGGATAGTGTGTGGATTAATTCCTATTTATAATGTTTCTATGGTTTTCTTGGGGATTGGTTTATGTTACTTTTTTCATGACTCTGAAATTAGAGTTTGCCTCTTGAACAGCATTTCTCAACCTGGGGGCTGAGATCCCTGGGGGGGGGGTGTCATGAGGGGGTTTCAGAGGGGTTGCCAAAGTCCATCAGGAACCCTATATTTCCTATAGTCTTAGGAACCCTTTTGGCAGAGAAGGCTGAAGATCTCTCCGCCTGTCCTTCTCTCCCTTTTGGAAACAGAAAAAAAGCCCTCCTCCTGCTTTGTTTGGGCAGCCTCTCAGCCAAGCGGGGGACTGTTTGTGATACTCCAAGCAGGGAGGGGAGAGCAGGCATGCTCGGTGTATGGAAACATGGTGTACACCTGTGGGCGAGGGAGAATGTGCAAAGCTGGAGGAAGGCTCATGTCAGCAAGACCTTTAAAGGCATAGGGGTTCTGTGTGGGAAGTTTGTCCCAATTCTGTCATTGGCGGGGTTCAGAATGCTCTTTGATTATAGGTGAACTATAAATCCCAGCAACTACAACTCCCAAATGTCAAGGTCTATTTTCCCCAAACTCCACCAGGGTTCACATTTGGGCATGTTGAGTATTCATGCCAAGTTTGGTCCAGATCTACCATTGTTTGAGTCCACAGTGCTCTCTGGATGTGGGTGAACTACAACTCCAAAACTCAAGGTCAATGGCCACCAAACCCTTCCAGTATTTTATTTTGGTCGTGGGAGTTCTGTGTGTCAAGTTTGGTTCAATTCCATTATTGGTGGAGTTCAGAATGCTCTTTGATTGTAAGTGAACTGTAAATCCCAGTAACTACAACTCTCAAATGACAAAATCAACTCTCCTCCTCCAACCCCACCAGTATTCAGATTTGGACATATTGGGAATTTGTGCCAAATTTTGTCCAGCGAATACATCCAGCATATCAGATATTTACAATATGATTCATAACAGTAGAAAAATTACAGTTATGAAGTAGCAACAAAAATAATTTAATGCGTAGGTGTCACCACAACATAAAGAACTGTATTAAAGGGTCATGGCATTAGGAAGGTTGGGAAACCCTGCTCTTGAATAATAACATCTTTACTGATTTTTGGCCACTTCGGTATCATTTGGTTAATAAAGCATATTTCTGAAATGTATTGTCAAAGGCTTTCATGGCCGGAATCACTGGGTTGTTGTAGGTTTTTCCGGGCTATATGGCTATAGCCCAGAAAAACCTACAACAACCCATATTTCTGAAATGTTTCCAAGTGAAATAAAATGTATGCATTTCTCTCTGGCACATGATGTCTGTTATCTGTCTCTTGGCTCCCTTAGCTCTGGACAATCCAACCCAACCTTTTACTTGAAGAAAGGCTCAAGAACCTATGTGCTTAAGAAGAAGCCTCATGGCCCTCTACTCTCTGGAGCTCACAGGGTATAATAAAATTAGTTATAACACTCCCTTCGGTTTGTACGCTTGTGCAATGGATTTCATTTAGAAGCACTGATACCTTTAGTAGTAGCGTAAGTAATTTGGGCAGATTAAGATTGGGAAACTAGTGCCCTCTAGATGTTGCTGTACTACAACAGCCATCATATCTAACATTGGGCATAATGCCATTATATCTCTGTTATTTCAGTGGTACTTACTCTCAGGAAACTGTGGGATTGTAGTCTTTAAAACATTTTGTCTGGAGGAACAACCTATCATAGGCAAAATAAGGCATCTGCCTCAGGCACAAGGTGCTAAAGGCAGTAGCAGTCCATTTCTCCTGAATGCCTGCCAATTCTGGTTTCTTCCAGTGCTGCCTTTACAGGACCTCCCCAAATAGTTTTCTTTCTGCTGTAGCCAATATGGTTGGTTGTTTTGCGTAAAAAGGAACAGAGTATTATTTTGTCATTTGCCTTGCGCAGCAAATTGTCTCATACCAACCTTAGAGTAGTTTCCATTTAACTTAGTAGAAAATGTATTATGGGGTGTAGTCATGCAGTCCCAATTTTGACCCCCTTGAACTTGCTGCAAGGCAACTCTCAACATTAATGTGAACTTTGGTTGCTTTCATCCCAGTCTCAGAGTAACTAGAAGCTTACCTAAAGTTTTTATTTCCCTACTCCATTGCATGTCCATTTGGTAAAGCAAGATCTCATTCCATGTTTATATTTAAAGGATAATCATCATTCCTGGAGGGTAATTATTTCTCCTCGTTTTATTCCAAAGATATTTTTCTGGTGAGTCGGAATGAGATGTCAAGTTTCCCACATAACTGTTGAGTACACATAAGGCACATGTTGCCTCATAACTTTTTATAAGACTAAAGGTAATCTATATAGATCAAGCAAATTGTTGAATTACTCACTTCTACTGATCTGAAGGAACCTCCGTTGGCAGTGTGGGTTAAACTACTGAGCTGCTGAACTTGCTGACTGAAAGGTTGGCGGTTCAAATCCAGGGAGTAGTGTGAGCTCCCACTGTTAGCCCCAGCATCTGCCAACCTAGCAGTTTGAAAATATGCAAATATGAGTAGATCAGTAGGTACCGCTTCTGCAGGAAGGTAATGGTGCTCCATGCAGTCATGCTGACCACATGACCTTGGAGGTGTCTATGGACAACTCTGGCTTTTCAGCTTAGTAATGGAGATGAGCAGCACCCCCCAGAGTTGGATACACCTAGACTTGATTTGCACCTGATCTGAAAGGGCCAGGCACATAATTTTCTGCGATTACACCCAAAATCATTTATGTCTCTACCTTCTCTCATCTACCATGTCCTGTTCAGATTGACAGAGAATACCGTGTTCAAAAAGCCTTGCTTGCTACTGGATTTCCTGTTCCTGAGCCCCTCTTATACTGCAATGATACTTCTGTGATTGGAACAGAATTTTATGTGATGCAGCATGTGCAGGTTAGTATTTTCCTTTTTGTATTTTGTGAATTTTAACAATATTTTTAAAAAATTATTGTAAGATGCCTTGGTTCCAAACTGGGAAAATTACTGGATAGAAATAAATATCATCATCATCTGAAGCATATGTGGGATGCTACTGTATTCCTTCCAGCTCCCATCATTTCCAGCCAACCTGGCCAATGTTTGGGAGTGATGGTACTTGCCTTTAACATCTGGAGGGACATGACTGACCCATCTTTCTCTCTCCATTTGAATATTTTTGTTTCTTTTAGTTATGTTGTTTTAAAAATTGGTTTCTGTTTTTTACCATGTGATGTACAGCTCTACCTTGGTTAACAAAGTAGATGTGTTACTGGACCTACCTTTGGTACTTTGGTCAAAATAACTTGAAAGAATAGTGACGGGTTCCTGCACCATGAAAAGGAACAGCAAACTTTTTATTCAAAACCAACATTATAGATGTGAGAAGTTAAAGAACCAGCTTAGATAAGCCTTGCATAAATAAAAATATTCTGCATTTTCAAGAGACAATCTGAAAGCTTTTTTCAAAATGCATCCTGAGATGATTTTTTTTCTTTCAACAGTCTCCAGTTTTCTTGTCTTTTTTATTTCAGTGGCCAGAGTTATAGATCTATGCTTTAAAAAAAACATGTTGGATGTATCTGGTGAGGATAGCTTACCTGTTCTCCCCTTTCTATCTGTTTGAGGGCTTGTGCATAATCTGCCTATGTTTATCATGCCAGTCGTCGGCAAGCACTCATCAGCACCTGTATAATTGGTTTTCTGGATTTCTAAATTAGAATCCCACTGGGTTGCTGTAAGTTGTCTGGGCTGTATGGCCATGTTCCAGAAAAAATAAAGAGCAGCACTAAAAAAACAGGGGAATTCCAGACAAGAATCAATCAGGGCCAACTAACACCTCCCAACAAAGGATCCCCAGGCAGCGACCAGCCAGGCTTTGAAGCTGCAAGGCCATTAAATGCTAATCAAGGTGGCCAATTGCAACATTCACATTTGCCTCAAACAGATAAGAGTTCTTTCTCCCACTCTGGACATTCCACAGATATATAAACCTCACTTGCCTAGTTTCCAACAGACCTCACAACTCTGAGGATGCATTCCATAGATGTGGGTGAAATGTCGAGAGAATGCTTCTGGAACATGGCCATAGAGCCTGGAAAACTCACAGCAACCCAGTGATTCCAGGCATGAAAGCCTTTGACAAAGCATAGAATTCCACTCTTTCTTAGCTCTGGCTGTTATTGCATTGCACGTCTGCCTTTGCAATCCAGTACCAAAAGTCTGTGTTTCTTTATCTCTCCTTCAACATCCTTCAAATGTTGCTGCTGTTGGAAAACTTCTTTACAGATAGGATGAGATGTTGGGACTGGAGGCCCTTTAAAAGACTGTAAAAATAAGCTTCATTGTCAGATGTTTGTTGATTGAGGTATTCCCATAATTTTATTGTATATTTAAAGTTCTATTGTAAACTTACCAGAGAATGATAATCAACTACTAAAGAATAAGGCATGCATTTCAGAAGTAAATATTTAGTGCCAGTATGAATACTGAGCCATTGCTGGTATTGGACCATTCTGTCCCCAGTGCTTTTTAACATTCCATGAAAAGGTGGAAGTGATCATCTGAATGCATGGGGTAGGGTGCTATCAGTACAGTGATGATACAAAAATATATTTCTCCATGCCTTCCAAAACAGCTAATGATCACGTATCTTCTCTGAATTAAAGCCTGGGGGAGGTAATGGGCTGGATGAGGAAAAACAAATTAAAACTGAATCCAGATAAGACAGAGGTGCTTGCCATTAAGGGTCCTAATTGGGGGATGAAAGTGTGTCACCCAGTCCTGAATGGGTTTACATTCCCCTTGAAAAAATGAACAGTCAGAATTTAAAATGCAACTAAAGACCCATCAAAATCAATGCTGATCTATTAGATTCCTCTCATTTTTGTCAAGTTTTAATGTTACTGTCTAACTCACAATGTCCATAGGGTCGCATTTTTCGTGACATCACACTGTCTGAGGTAAGCCCAGTAGAGCGGTCTGCCTTATATGTAGCTATGATGGAAACCTTGGCCCAGCTGCACTCATTCAATGTGAACTCACTTGGACTTCAAAGTTATGGAAAAGGAACTGGCTACTGTAGGAGACAGGTAAGTGCCTAAACTCTCCACTTTATTGTATGGTTTCTTGTGTCAGTATTTTGTATGCAAACACTCTCCCTGTCATTTGAAAAAATAAAGAATTTATTTTGCATTTCAGACTTTGCAGATTTAATTCCAAATTTGCAGGTTAAATTTTTGTGGATTTGATTATTCACAGATTTGATTAGTATCTGGTAGAAGTTGACCATAGAGCTGCTTTGGAAATTCTAAAGAGACAACTCCATGACTAACTTTCAGAGTCACACTATATGGTCTAGCTAGAGATTCCTAGAGAAGTGTTACCTCAAGTGAAAACAATTGTATTTTTATTCATGCTTTCCTCACTTTCACAATGGTCCTGAACTCCTAACATCCACAAAATGTGAAGGGCCTAGTGTATATAGTTTTTAATCAATAAAGTAAGCATTCGGGGTTCTGTGAACATCTGAACTTCCACAAAATCTTTTCTTTTCTTCTTTATTTCTTTGTTTGCAGAATCCCTATAGAAATAGATCTTCAGTGTTGACATTCGATGACTTTGTCAAACACTTATGAACAAATTATCATGTCTATTTTTTCTATAAGCAAATATGGGTGTGGGTGTAAAATCCGGAATGACTCTCTTCTCAACAAATCTACTGATTATTTCCATTGGGGTTTCCCCCCTAGACACCCCATATCATAATTTATTAGTACAAATCATGGCCATTGCTTTTTTGGAAGATTGTCAAATCATGATGCAGTGGAGCTGAACTAACTTGGGAATTCTCAGTGGGTTCAGAAAATGCAAATGACATTTCCATTTGGATTTGGTTTTTAGGTATCTGCTTGGAAAAGACAGTATGAAGCAGCTGCTCATACCGACATCCCCGCAATGAATGAGTTGGCTGAATGGTTAATGAACAATCTACCTTCCAATGATAATGAAGAAAAGATAACCCATGGAGACTTCAGATTAGAAAATGTCATATTTCATCCACGAGAGGTATCTGTCAGGCAGCTTGTAACATTCGCGATTCTGTTTGTAGAGATTGACCTTCCAAAGTTCAGACATTGGCATAGAGACTTTGGCATAAAGACTTAATATCAACATAAATACAGAGACTGAAATTGCAATCCTAATCTAAGTACTAAATTGAAAGTGACTGAGGAAATGTCTGTGCTAAACACCACATGAACACTTCTTCAAAAAAATATCCAAGGATCATATTTCTTTATTTCACTAGTCTCTATTTTTGTTATGGTTCCATTTTGATCGCCATGCATATTATATCTGCTTTTTTTTTAACGTGCTGGATAGAGCTGATGAAATAAACTTAACTGCTTTTTCCTCTTTTCTCAATTTTGCTGTTCACACATGGTTGGTATTGGATTCTGGAAGCAGTTGCAGTTCACCTTGCCTTTTGTAGCGTTAGAAACCTTACTAAGATAAAGAAGAATCAGGGAGCAAGTATAAAAAGACTTTGTAAAAAGGAGTGCCTTTGGTAGAAGCTTTGCTAAATCAGGTATGGCTTTATTGATTTTGATCATGGAAGCGATAATATGTCAACTATTTTGGGATCCAACCTCTATGGATTTATTTAATTGCTTATCAAGTAGTGACACTAGTTTGGACCATTTCGCTGTGTTCTGTGAGATCCTAAGAATGTGGAAACTAGGTAATGAGTCAACATAAGCATCTAGAATTCAGGGTGTTGTACACAATGACAGAGCCATGACCAAGGCAATTTGTTTATAAACTGTTATGACAAAAAGGAATGGATTTGTGGCAGGTGACCACATGGGGTATTAGATACCAGGATTGATCTTTAGTATGATTGACTCTAGGATTGTGTTGTAACATCAACACCTGTTTAATACAATTGGAAGCAATGGTAGGGCTCAGTTCAGGGGCTTTGGTATATTTTAGTTATATTTAAAAGTGGAAAAAATCCTATTACATTGGCTATCACATTTGTTTTTCTTTCTTAGCAATGGTGTGACTAAATATGGATATAAAGGTTTATACAGTTTAATCTCCATATCCTCAGGGGATTATTCCCAGTCTTCGTATGGGTACATAAAACCATGGATAATAGTGCATCCTTTTAAAATGGATGGAGCCCAAGAATACCATAGAGTCATGCTGAAGGATGTAAAAAGTGCCTAGAATGGTCATGTTTTGTTGGACAAGGATAAATGAAACCACAGATAACAGTCCTGCAGATACAGGGGATTGTATGTGCAAATATATATGTTATAAAATTTATAGGCACATATCTAAATAACATGAATATAAATTTGCTGTTTTGAGGTGGTGAATCCTGATTCTGCTTTTCTCCACCTCCAGACTCGTGTTGTAGCGGTGCTGGACTGGGAACTTTCAACTGTGGGACATCCTATCGCAGACTTTGCTTATGCTACTTCATTCCTCTTTGCACCCAGATCTCTTCTGCATGTATCCTCTAGGCTTTTCAAGAATGTAAGAAATGTTGAAGGTATGTACCCTTCTGTACTGGATTCCTTCTTCATGCTCTTCCCACAGTTTCAAACGTCTGGGCTTCTGTCACTCATTTGTCCCCTTTTCCGCTTGTTATTCCTCCGTGGATCAAATACTTGGGCCTCAAGATGATTCCTAGGTTGACCAGTTGCTGTGTTGTTCTCTGAGTTTGCTATGGTAAGTGTGACGATAGTCCCAGTGGCCATGCTGACTGGAACAAGGCATTCTGTCAGCTGAAGTCCAAAACAATGTCCAAGCTTTGTATATCTGAGGGGGATATAGATTTTTAAAAAACATCTGTGTAAATCATATGCTTAAATCAAAGTTCTGACCCCATTCTGTGTGGTTTTTTTCTAGGAGTTCCTTCATTTGAAGAACTCTGCACGGTTTACTCTCGGTGCAGAGGTATCGGTCGTGCTCTGCCTGACCTGAATTTCTTTCGTGCATTAGCATATTTTAAATTAGCATCAATAAGCCAGGTAATATACCCACTGTTATGAATATATGAATGTTGTGTAAGTTTCAAATGGGAATGTGAAGGTGTGCTGGGAGGAAGTGATGGAATGTATTTCTTTCTTTAGCCACAATTCACATTTGTCTTTCATATTTTGATATATTTTTAAAAACCACAGCCAAATCAATTTATCTGAGCTGCAAGCTTCATCACCCAGATGTAATATATTTGTTCTTTAGGGTGTTTATGCCAGATATCTCATTGGAAATTCTTCCGCGGAAAGCAGTGTTGAGTTTGGTGGGATGGTAAAACCTTTGGCAGAAGTTGGATTGCAGTTCACAAAAAAGTAAGCACTGTTTATTTGGAAGGTTTTTGGCATGTTTCCCGTTCATGTCAAAGTAATTGAGGTTGCCACTTGAGAGTGGTGGTGGATGAATGGCAACTCTCCATTCTGTTGTATTAAATGCTTGGGATAAGAATGGTTGGAATTCGAAATGTATATAGTTTGGAATGGTCTTTGGTTGTTTAATCTTGGAGTTCTTGTGAAAGTCTAACCCCCTTGTCCATTTAACATGGAAAAAATGCCAATTATAATCCTTCCTAGTCCAAAGAGAAAGATGTAATTCTTATTTGCAAAGCTTATAGAACATCTGTAGCCCTAAATCAATATGGCAGTAGCACCAGTGTCAGGTTTACAAGTGGCTAACTAAAAGCATTCTGCTGTTGGAGATAAAGGACAAAATGGTATGCTTTTGTTCCACATCCAGCAACTTACTGATTTGGCAGTTGAGTTTTACTTCAGTCCTGGCAATGAGACAGCGTCCTCCAATGCATAGATGGCATCAGGGTACTTTAGGGACATACAGGGCAGGTTGAACAATATGCACATCTATAGCGCACTATATCCCATTGTTTTTCACCCATCATTATCAGTTGCTTGACGTCCCACTGCTGATTAAATACAGTGTTAGTCTCCCAGCTTTTGGCAAGGTCATCAAAAGGCCAAAATGATCGAGTTCCATAGTAGAATATTTATTTATTTATTTATTTATTTAAAGCATTTATATTCTGCCCTTCTCACCTAGAAGTGAACTCAGGGCGGAGCACAACATAAATACAGCAAACATTCAATGCTGGACTAAAAACAAACTATAAATATACACAAACATTAAAATCAGTTGTAACCACTTTAAAATCAAATTGTTAAAAGCTATCTCAAACCAGCCATACTGGATGATTACCTTATTGCACTGTCCCAAAGGCTTGGTCCCACAGCCAAGTTTTTACCATCTTTCTGAAGGATAGTAGGGAGGTGGCTGATCCAGTTTTGCCAGGGTGGAAGTTCCATAGCCAATAAGCTCTCTCTTTTATTAGCTAACCCTGGAAGTGATTCCATTCTTACCAATAAATGGGTAGAAATGTTGTTGCTGTATTGAAAAAGTTGAAGTTTTTTTCTGGCCTCATTTTAGTTTTTCTTCCAGGACATTTTCCCTGACTGATATCCAATATAGTGGCACAAGGGAAGGGTTCCAGCAGTCTAAGGAGGGTGTGGAGATGCTCCAGAAGGTGAAGGAATTCATGAAAAAATATGTCTTCCCAGTTGAAAAGGTGAGATGTACTAAGAACATTGATGTAAACACACAGAATTTGGGGTCCTACCATCACTTTGTGAACAGGAATGAGGGTTGATTTTGTTCTAGTTTATATTGTATCTGTACGGGGATTGATTCTAAACACGAGACACAATTTTTAATCCTTAGTACCACTCAATAACGCTAGTTATAAGGGTTCCCGTTTCTTCCTGATTGGTTCCATTCTTACTGGACAAAGGGGACCACATATAAAAAAAAGATCAGGATTCCTGTATCATTAGTAACATCTATAAAGAGATTTCCATGGGTCTCCTGAATAGGTGTATAATGAAGAGATTTCAGTTGGTTTTGTGGCAAGGAGTCCCTTTAGGTCATTTAAAAGTGTCCTTTAATGAGAAATTACCTCTGTTGTTGTCCCCTCGGTCCCACCAACTAAGTAGTGTAGTGTGATTTGTATTAAGCATCTTAGAGCTTTCTGCCATCTTAATTTCTCATAATTGTAGGGTGATCATAGTTTGAATTCTGTTGGCTAATACCAGCTATGGCTGACTCGCTAATGATGATTCAAAACAGGTACATTCCTTGTACTCAATTAGTTTATTCTAATTAAGTCAGATTCAAGGCCATGTGTCGTTTTTGTAGAAAATAGTACCATATTTGTGGGCTGGCAGAAGGCAGTCTTCTATTTAAAGCTCCCCTCGATATGAAAAACTATGTAATCCAAATTTGATACAAATATAAAGAACTGTAAGAAAAATGGGTATCTTGATACAAACATTTCCTGGGCAATGGATAAGGCAGATACATAAGTTGCCTGATGATCACACTCTTCTTCTTTATAGTGTGTTACAGTACTTTCAGAATTTGTACCTGTATTTCTAAATTTGCACCCACACATTTTATGCCACTGTGTCTTGTTTTGCTTGGCAATGTGTAAATGGCTGTGTTAATAATAAGGAAATAACAGACACTGAAACAGCGTGTAACAGTTTTTTTTGTGATTGAATTAATAGGTGAAATATTAAGTAATGTGTACGTTTAATAGATTTTACTTTGAAGCAACATAATTATGGTTTTGTATTTTTGCTATTTGTCCATTTCATGTTTTTTTTGTTATTGATTTGAATGATCTTTCCTTTAGTTATTTACACATTCCTTTCAATTTGAGGAAAATAAAATGAAGTTGTAATAATAATATGATGAAATATTATGCACTGATCTCAGTATATTACCTTATTGTGTTCTCTGTTGATTTCATTCATTTTCTCAGGAAATGGTAGAGTATTATGTCAAAAATAAAAATTCCCCTGAAATATGGAAAAAGCCTGCTGTTATTGAAAGACTGAAGGTACTCATCTTTCAATTTTGGATACTGTAATAGCAAGACTTATTTTATGTAGCTTTATACCCTTTTCATGTTTAGTTGAAGAATGATGTATACAGTATATGTCTTGAAAAATAAGTTGTACTTAGGATCTCTTATGAAATTTAGAGGCGTTTATAAAGCTTGAAAAGGGGATGACAATGTATTTGGTCAGTCCATAGGCCACACAAAGGGATTCTGATGATCCAGATGTAAAAGAGATTTATTCCACTGATTTTAGCAGCAGATAAGACAAGGCCAAGCTCCTCTCTATTTTCACTGGCTTATGCATTAAACAATTAATTACAAAAGTTTTACTGATGATGTTCTCTGCAGCACTTTAAACTTTTTGTGTCTGTGTTATAATTAACAATTTTCCATATTATAAATCTAATTTATACCCTAATTTTGGGAAGGTAATTTAACCAAAAAAATTGAGCATTAGACTAAATACGGTATTTATACATGGACATGTCTGCTGCTGATTTCTGTACAAATAGACCCCAGCCAACATCTGCTTAGGATTTCAATTATATTACAATTACTATTGAGCACCTCAGATTTGAAAAGTTACTTTTTTGAACTCCTGCTCCAAGGAATCTCCAGTACAATTGCTGTATGAGGGATTTGGAGAACTGTATTAAAATAAAACCATCCCACCACTTTTTCATACTGTGATCATATTGTTGGTTCATCTTCCTCCTTTTGTCAGGAAAAGGCCAAACAGGAGGGTCTCTGGAATCTTTTCTTGCCTGCAATCAGTGGTCTTGGCCAACTGGACTATGCATTAATTGCAGAAGAGACTGGAAAATGTTTCTATGCTCCAGAGGTGTTCAACTGCCATGCACCAGGTTTGTGAGAATCCAACTTCCTTGTCAATATTTTTATAGGTTTTATACCTTATGCCATTTGGTATTGAGCTTTAAAATCATATCCTTCTTTGTGTCCCTTAGATACTGGAAACATGGAGGTCTTGCACTTGTATGGGACAGAGGAACAGAAGAAGCAGTGGTTGGAACCTCTCCTGGAAGGAAAAATTAACTCTTGTTTCTGTATGACAGGTAATGATTTTTTTTTCTTTTGTAGTTAGAACTGTTCACATGCAATATGGGGGAATAACACATTTTTTTAAAAAAATATTTGGACATAACTTCTGTTCTTAACAGAAATATAGATTAACCCATTTCCAAATCTCTCTCTTGCTCAACATCCTGCATTTTTCTGTGTCTCATAGAATTAAATATCTATGTAGTATTTAAAATCTAATTAGAAATAATGGTTAGTGCAAATGTGCATATATTGTTTGGATAGTTGAGGTTTTCCACACTTATAGAAATCTAGAAATTATTAAATATCTTCAAAATGTAAATGTAAAACCTCTTTTGATTTTTCCAAGTTTCTTTCAGAAACCTTCAAGCCTTTTGACCCCAAAGTCTTCTCTGAGTCCTTCCACACATCCATATTACCCAGAATATAAAGGCAGAAAATCCCACAATATCTACTTTGAACTGGGTTGTCTGAGTCCACACTGCCATATATATTCAAAGCAGATAATATGGGGTTTTATTTTCAGCTGAGTGGAAGGGACCTCAATCTCTCCTCTCAGCCAGAGCTTGGAAAAATAATTTCCCCAGCAGTGTAGCCCAGTTTTTCCTCAAACTGTGCTCCTCCCACAATTCCTAGCTAGTTTAGTAGCTGTTAGGAATTGTGGGAGCTGAAGTCCAAAACATCCTGAGGAGCACAGTTTGAGAAACTCTGATTTAGCCAATCACCATGCTGCCTGGGGAAATTTTGGAGTTATAATATTTAAATGGTAACTTTTCCAAGTTCTGCTTTCAGCCCTGAAAAATCCTATTGTCATTCCTTGCACAGTTGATGGTGGCAGCAGCACAAGATATACTGAGGAAGAAGGGAGGGGAAGGAAGCTGCTTTCCCTTTTGCCCTTCCTTCCCCATCATCCTCTCATTTTTTATAGGAGCATATAGGAGCATTGAGTGCATGATGGGGAATTGTGTATGAGAGATACCTGCAATTACAGAGTCTATGCATCTTGATGTGCTGCTATTCAAGAGGGATGAAAAAGAGGGAGAACTAGGGATAGAAAGAATATTCTATCCTATTTATTTCCCCATTGGAAGTAGGATTTCCTGACAATAAAAAAGGAAGAATACTCTCTGTGCACAAAACACCCACCTTCTTTGCACAGAAAATTATCTATAACACATTGGAACATTCAAATATGGAAATAATAGTGTGTAAAGTATTTGTATTCTCTTACAGCAGGGAGACTTCTTCTCCATGCAGGTGAGGGAAAAACAATTGAAGAGTTACAACCCATTACTGTTGTGTGCCTTCATGTTGTGTCTGACATAAAACAGCCATCCTATCTTGGCAATATTTCCCTTCCTCTAAGGCTAACATAGTGTGCCAACATGCTGTAGAGATTTGAGCATAGCACTGGGACACTGGAAGACCAGGGTTTAAATCTTTACATAGAAACCTTCAGGTCACAATCTCTCAGCCTCAGAAGAAGGCAATGACAATCCTACCCTGAACAAATTTTGCCAAGAGAACCTTGTGATATGTTTTTAGGCTTGTCATAAATTAAGACTGGTTTGAAAGCACCTAGCAAAGCCAACAGACTGTGACTGGACCAAGTGGATTTCCATGGCTGAATGAGGATTAAAACCTCACTCAGCCATGGAATCCTACTGTATCTCTTAACTCATTATTCTATGGTGCTTCTCATCTTTTGCAGGATCTTACTTCATTCTTCTTGCCTAGTAACCCTGATAATATTATTCTCACCTGTTGCTTGCACATGAGAATAGATAAAAGTATTCCAAGTCTCTTTAGTGTGGCTTCAGACAGAAGTGATCGATGACCCAAGCAGCAGGCATGTTTCATCCCAAAATGGTTGCATAAGCCTCCTCTTTCCACTTGGATCATGAACGTCTAGATCAGAGGTTTCCAAACTTTTCATGCTGGTGACAGGCTTTTTAGACATGCATCCTTTTGTGACATGGCAATTTAGTTTTACTAGCAAATTGGAAGTTAAACCATCTCTTTAAAAGAATTTCATACTATATATACAACACATAATATATGTTACTTGTGTGTGTGTGTGTTTCATATTATCCTTGCAGTATATATGAGATTTGGATATTTTTCCCTTTCCATTTCTTATGTATTACAGTGGATTCTCGCACTGTAGGGTTAATCACATCATTGTCAACATATTTTCTTTTTTAATTAGAAACTTACCCACTGTCGTGGTAATTACTGCAACTCAATCAACACATTGTGCAAATAATAAAAGGAATAGCAGTTATACCTACACTTGAGCAGCATTACCTCCCACTTCTGTAGGGATTAAACATCTCTGGAGGTTTTTGAACAGAGGCTGGATGGCCACTCAGGGGTGCTTTGACTGTGTTTTTCTGCCTGGCTGAAGGCGGTTAGACTAGATGTACTCTGGGGGTCTCTTCCAACTCTGGGGAAGTATAGTCTGCCTGGAAGTCCAGTGGAGCTTCCTTCTATGAAGGTTTTCAAACAGAGGCTAGATGTTGGAGAGGCTGTGACTGTGTATCTGAAGGGGGTTGGAGTGGATGCTCTTTGATGGTCCCTTCTAAATATTTATTTCTCTTCTCAGCATGGCCTCCTTCCCTGAGGCGAGGGAGAGCATTTTTCACACAATTAACCTAGGGACTTCAGCCAACACACCAGTGTCTCCCAACACACAGTTTGGAAAGCTCTGTTTCAGGGACAGCTAACTCCAATTTTCTGTCATTCTGTTTAATACAGAACCTGATGTCGCTTCCAGTGATGCCACCAATATGCAGTGCAGCCTTCAGAGAAATGGAGACATCTGTATTATCAATGGCAAGAAATGGTGGAGCAGTGGTAAGTTAAAATATTTCCCATTGCAAAATGTGTTGATTCTACTCCTTAATCTATTCCACCCATATTTTTGCATTCACTTCACAAATGCTAGAAAGATAGACTTTGGAGAGCATATGTTTTGTTTGAACAGCATGTACGAACCTGAAGTTACAAATTCAATGTTTATTTAACTCATGGACTAGCTCACATGTGACTTAAATATAGAATCTTGTTTTATCTGGAGCCTGAATCTTGTTATATATTCTGTGTTTCTTGGATGTAAATAAATCCAATAACTGCTGTAATATGCTTTATGCATATTTTTAAAGAATGCTTGTAAATGTCTCAAAAGCTGTTTGAAAAAATATTTTATTTAGATGCAGTGTTTATGTTTTATACTGCCTAATATAAACAAATTCTGAACAGTTTACACCAAGCATGTTATTTAATTTCCTGCCTTTCCCCAAACATTGAGATTCAAAAGAGCTTACAAATTTAAAACAAAAATGATTAAGATACATACAAAAACAGCAGTAAAACATATACAAGTTTTTTTACAATTCATAGAGTTAAAAGATAGTATAAAAGATACAATGCAAATCTTGTTCAAACATTACACATTAACATAATTGCGTATTCAGTGACGGTAACTTATATTATTATGGAAAATCTGGAATGATATCCTATTAAGTTCCCAGATGCCAGAATACAATTCCTTGGTTTTTATAAATCACAAAGGCTACAACTATGTCATCACTTATTTGAAAATAATCCCAATTGAATTCACTGGGATGTCTGTATAGATGCAGAAACACTGTTCCATCCATCTCAATCTCATCTGTTTTGTCTACTAGATCTGCTTCTAGTTTAGTCCTCTTATTTGGGGTGTATGTGGCAAGAAATTAATGCAGCATACTTGATTTGAAGCATTGATAAATCTAGGTTTTTGGTTTATCATGATACATCGTGGCCTTTAAGTAGCACATAGAAATGCCTACAGATGTGTTATTATCACATAGAGCGGGAATGAGCAAACTTTGGCCCTCCTTTTGGACTTCAACTCCCACAATTCCTAATAGTTTTGGCCCTCCAAAATACCTGGAGGGCCAAAGTTTGCCCATTCCTGATATAGAGTGTACTTTGGAACGGCCTGCCAGAAGATATTTGACCACTGAATGAGCTGTCAAAATGTAAAACAGAATTAGACATATCTCTTTTGGCAGGTCTATCCAGTGAATTTTAAACAATGAATTTTAATTTTGCATTTCATTAGTATTGATGTTTTTGTCCTATGTACTTTAATGTACATGTTTTAATGGCATTATGTTTTATCTCTGTGTTCTAACTCTGTTGTATCTGGCCTTTAGTCATGTGGAGAGGTGGGTAACAAATAAAATTTATTATTATATTGTTGAAGCTTTCATGGCTGGAATCATTGGGTTGCTGTGAGTTTTCCGGGCTGTATGGCATGTTCCAGAAGCATTCTGTCCTGACATTTCACCCACATCTATGCCAGGCATCCTCAGACCCTATGACCTCTGAGGATGCCTGCCATAGATATGGGTGAAACATCAGGAGAGAATGCTTCTGGAACAGGGTCATACTGCCTAGAAAACTTTCAGCAACCTATTATAATATTGTTATTACATATTGGAATATAGCTCTGACATGAAGACTGTTTCAGGTTCAAGCCCTGAAATCTCTAGATCAGACTAGAAAAGCCAGAATGTCTGGCCAGAAAAGAGCCTGTGGCAATGGGAAATCTGCATTATTTCATTTAGACATATGAAAATGAAGCATTTCCAAAGCTGTCTTCCTGTAAGTTGAGTTTATGTGTTTTTGAGTATTTTTGATTGTTTGGGGAGTCACAAGGAATATTTTTGCTAAAATTCTGCAAAACTATATTTCCAAAAAATAAGTTTTTCAAAAAGCATATTATGTTTTCTATACTGATATTATTTCCTGTAAAATGCAATGGCATTGGCTTGCAGGCATAAAAGAAAACAGAGCATGAGGTTGCTAAGCAATTGAGTACATTTTTCTACAATAGAACCAAAATCAAACATAGCACTAAGGTGATAATGTGCAAATAAAATACAGAAAAAAGTGATGCAAATTAAAAAGGTTGTAAAACAAATGCAACATGGGATTACATTCAATCAACAAAACTAAAATTATAGCATAACTATGCTCGGAATGCAACAGCTAAAATCAGAAACAAATATTAAAATAGCAGCAATTTGAAAATTATTGTAACAGCAGTTAAAATATTCTCAAGAGTCCTTGAATTGTTCACTGTACTCCCTCCTGCCCAGTTAATAAAAGCTTTTTCAATTCCTGATTTTCAGCTACATAAAATTTTAATCAAAAGAAAATTAAGAAAAGGGTGATTAAATCCACAGCTGAAGCCTGATAAGTTGAAATAGGCATGTTTGAATCAAAGTCTTCAAAAACTAGTTTCTTTAAAGGAAGCTAGGAGAGTTAGATATTCAAAAGATTAATTTAATTGTTCCTCTTTCAGTATGATATATGCTGCTTTCTGGGCTACAGTTCAACAGTTAATCCCATTAGACTAGATAGGGATTTATATTAACCAAGCGTCCAGACTGCATACTTGTGAACAGTTTGATCCCACTTTAAACATGATGGCTCCTTTCTATAGAATTCTGGAATGTGTAATTCATTGAAGTACTTCTGCTAAAATACTAGTTATCTGGCTGAGAATTCTAAGCACAGTTGCAAACTACAAATCCCAAGATTACGTAAAGTGGGATCTAATTGTTAAGAACTGTGCAGTATGGAGATTTCTTTTATTGCATATCTACTACAGTAAAAAGAAGCACAGCACATAAATTTAGATCTACTCAGCAGTAAATAGTTGGTGCAAGCATAATCCTTTGCAGATACATATTTGTGTCAAGATCCTTTGATTGTGTGATTATGGCTGGGAGAGGGAGGTCACATGAAACATTTATTTAAAGAGTTTATTCCTCAATGTTCCTGAAATTTCTTGCTCGATTACTTGCTCCCTCTTTCTGACTTCTTCCGAGTAAAAGGATTCCAAATTAACTTTTGCAAGATAGAAGAAAACCTCTCTGTTTTATTTAAGTTAGGGGATAATTTTGCTCTCTATCTTAGTTACCCCAGATTGGATTACTACAATGTGCTCTATGTGGGGCTGCCTTGAAGATAGTCAGGAAATTACAATTGGTACAAAAGTCGATGGCCAGGTTGCTAACAGGAGTGAATTATAGGGAGCGGTCATCTCCCCTATTAAACAGCTCCACTGGCTGTCGAAAAGTTTCCAGTCCCTATTCAAGGTGCAGGTTATTACCTACAAAGCCCTAAATGGTTTGGGTCCAGCCTATCTTCGCGATCACACCTTCCCCTATGAACTGGTGCAAGCTCTAAGATCTGCTGGGGAGGCCCTTCTCTCTCTCCCACCTCCATCTCAAGCGCTTTTGGTGGGGATGAGAGAGAGGGCCTTCTCAGTGGTGACCCTCTGGCTCTAGACTCTCTCCCCGGGGAGATTAGATTAGCACCTACACTGTCCATTTTCCATAAAGACCTAAAGATTTGAATGTTCCAGTGTGCTTTTGATTAATCGGGCCCACTAGATGATATGACTCCCCAAGCTATAATTTAATACTGGTCCCTTGCACTTTATTGTTATCTCTCCCCTTGCTGTGTACTCTACTAATTGATCTGCCCCCTCTAGCCCTTATCAGGTCTCAGGCCCTTGCATTTTACTATCAACCCCGTCCTGGTAGTTGTATCGCACAAGCCCTTGCTTCAAACTTTAGTTTTGAACATGCTCGCTGTGCTTGGCCACTTATTGTTGATTATGATGGTTATGTTTTTATGATGCTTTTACATGCATTTTATTGTTCTATGTTTTAATTGTGTTTGACTGGGCTTGGTCCCCATATAAGCTGCCCTGAGTCCTTTCAGGGAGATGGTGGTGGAATACAAAAATAAAGTTGTTGTTGGTGTTGATTATTATTATTATTATTATTATTATTATTATTATTATTATTATCATCATCATCATCTTCATTGGGAGGCTCAAACTTCAGTTACTTCAGGCGTCATGCAGCTTTGTAGCTTGCTCTCTGATCTAAATAAAACCCATTTGGCTAGTTTGTGTGTTTCCTTTTGCATTCCAGTCCCAAGGACAAACCAATAACAAAGGAAGAAAGGAATCTGGGGGAAGAGGATGATTTTTATAGCCATTTTTTTTTATCTCAGAAGAAAATCCAGCCATGCCTGGCTCTCCTCCTTTTTCCTAGAAACTCTCAAGTGGATCAGATAAAACAGCATCCTCTTTTCTAATCCAGGCTTCCAGACAAAAATGTTAAAAGAAGAACAATAGTTTCTGAATACTCCACTTTCCTGCTTTAAACACATCCCTCATTTTGCCTGAAATAAATTGCTCAAAATAAAATATTTGCTCTACCTGTAAATTAAGTTGTATAAGATAGATTATTCATGAGAAGGCATAACTAACTAGAAAAAAACCCTAGTAATGCTTCATATGTTGGAAGGCAGGAAGCCTTGGCTCTGAATCTGAAGAAACTGTGCAGGGCTGTTGATGATAGCATGACTTGGAAGAATGCCATTCACAGGGTCACCATAAGTTAATGGCAGTTAACAACAACAGAGGAATTATTCCCAAATTATTATGCAGTGAGGAACCAAAACAGACTGAGTTTAAAAGTAATTTATCTCTGCATTTTCCGAAATGGTTGAAGCCCCTGTTGTTAGTAAATTTCAGATGTTGCTAAACTTCAAATCCCATCATCCCTGACCAACATGGCTAGTGGTCAAAGATATTGAAGTGTCCAGCAACAGGCTGTTCATTTTCTAAATAATAAGACTGCTTGTTTGTTCTGCTGACTCTTCATAGCCCATGGGAATCTCTTCAGGTGGTGTGTTTTGTTGTCTTCTCCAATAACCATAACGTTTTGCCAGTTTCACCATATGCATTTTGAGGGATGCTCCCATAAAAAAATACAGGAGCGGGTTCAGGCAACTATGAAACAAAGCAATGCTGTTGGTTACTTCAAATGCAACATCCATGGCTTTACTTGCTTTACAGTTTGTGATCAGGGGATAGATAATGTCTATGGCTCTCCAAAGTTTGATCACATTGTAGGGCAGCTGGGTGACAATAAAGACAGAAACAACTGCTGCAAGAACTTTCAGAGGCTGGGACTTTTTAACCCTGGGACTCTTGAAGAGAGCCCTGGCCACAGCTGAATAGCAGCCCATCATGAATAAGAAAGGCAACACAAAACTTAGGGCCATTTCTCCTACTTCAATTGTTACTTTAATTATTTTGCCCAGACTCTCTGGGAATGTAGGAATGCATGCAGTCGTGCCATGAAACTCCTTGACTTGTTTGAAAATGAGATCAGGAAGGCAGAGAATAGTACCCACAACCCAGACAAAGAAACAGATTTTACTGCATAGTTTTGTGGTTCCTTGTTGACCTGGGGATTTGACAATGGCATTGTACCTATCCACACTGATCCAGGCCAGAAACTGCATGCTGACACTGAAGGTCATGGTGTAGATGGCAGTGGTGATTTTGCATAATGGGGTACCAAACACCCATCCATGAACAGCATTCGTAGCCCAAAATGGAAGAGTAAAAAGCAATAATAAATCAGCAATTGCCAAATGCATGATGTATACATCAGTCCTGGTCTTTAGCTTCTTGATGTAGGCATAGATTGCGATCACAAGCGAATTCCCAGGAAGTCCAATAAGAAAAGCAATGGAATAAAAGGCTGGTAGGAAAGACTTGTTGAATGTTCTCACCTCTTCTTTGAGGCAAAGCATTTCATGTAAAGCATAGTCCAAAGTATCATTAGATTCATCATAATAGGAGTCGTAATATAGTTCAGAAGAGTTTGTAGAGGATTCCATGGAAGAAGCTGGTAGATGATACAAAGGGTCACTGTTATTTGTATTGTGAAACACTTATGAACATGTTTTCAATTACTAAAGAAGGCCAGATAATTTGAATGTGAGACTCTAAACACAAATGTATTTAAATAATGTACCTTTTCTGCATGTCAGGCAAAAGAAATAATGAATGCACAGCTGCTGTCAAAATGGGAACTGCAGCAGAGTGATTCAGAACATAGTGGTCCCATCCTTTGTTCCTTCATAGGTTTTGATCTTCAGCCTAGGACTTCTGGTAGTTAAAGTTCAAAACTCTTGGAGAAACATAGTTTGGAAACCATTGACCTAGAGCAACTGGGAGATGGGCTGGACAGAAAAGAGGGCAGTTTGTCAAGAGATCCTTGATCCCTGCCCAGGCCTACCATATTGGTTGAGTAGATCCCAGCACAAATATGGGTTCCTATATAGCGTAGCACTGGCACTTCCAACATAATGCTCCATTAAGGATCCATAATACCTTTGGCTGTATGCAAGGATTGAAATGAAATCTGCACTAACTGAGATTTCTAGATGAATTTGTCCAAATGCTGCATTTATGAGATTGCTAACATTTAACATTGTATTCACATCTTTTAAATAGCAGCCTGCAGATGTGAGTGAAAAGGTCTTTTCTTGAGATGATTATGTTGAACAACATCCTCAAGCTTCTTTGATGTTGAAAGGCCAGGATTTCAAGAGCTATATTCGATCTATGGGGATTTCCCAGCCTTCCCTTTACTCTTCCTAGTGAAAATATTAATAGTTATAGGGAAGGAGACTTTGGGTTCTTCCAGTCCCCACAAATGTGCACGGTGGTTGCTGGAAGTTGTTGCTGTCATTCTCAAGGAGGGGGGTTGTTTTTTTAAAAAAATATCCAAACAATGGTCGGCATCCTGTTTGGGACATATGCATGTTGAAGCTTCCCTTATACATGAGAATCTTTTTGTTTTCCTTCCTCTTCAGAGCCTGACCTCTCCTCTTCATCTTACTGAACAGTCTCTGACACACCCTCCCTTGCAACCACTGCCATTCCCTGCTTTGTGGGGAGTAGAAAGGTTTACAGAAGTGCCTCCCCTTAGCCCAGTGGTTCTCAACCTGTGGGTCCCCAGATGTTTTGGCCTTCAACTCCCAGAAATCCTAACAGCTAGTAAACTGGCTGGGATTTCTGGGAGTTGTAGGCCAAAACATCTGGGGACCCACAAGTTGAGAACCACTGCCTTAGCCTGATGCAAAAATGACGATATCAGCACTATGAATTGTCAGGATCTTCCATCTACAGGCCCTTTTGATCCTCATTAAGCAAGTAGTAGCAGTGAGGGGCATCAGATGTTGTTCAGTGAGTCAAAGACTCAGCTTAATGCAGGTCTGCATGCCAACCTACTATGCAGGTACAACATTGCATATAAGCAAATATGCAAAAAAGCAAGAGAACCCCATGAATGTGGAAGATTGGTTATAATTTGCAAATTTCTGTCTATGGTTTATCCAGTTTTTGGATTGCAGCCTAAGGAATGTATTTATCGTGCCAGTAAGGAGGTAAATAAAGAATGTGTGCACAATCTATTCCCAACAGGAGAAAAGCTGGAAATGGCATCTAGCCATCCTAATTCCTTCACCAAAAAGATCCCAGGATACATCTAGCAACTAACAGTCTTAAAAATTATAAAGCCTGATGTTGCAAGACAGTCTGGTAATAATTAGCGAAGTAGAAATGAGAAACGAGCCTATCCAAATAATTAGTCAAATAGTTTGAAAATGTTTTCGAAATGCTTGACAGCAATTTTCTTTGGTTGGAACTTTGAAAGTATGTGAAACATTTTGCTGCAAATTCAAGGACTTTTCTGGTTTTGCCATCTCTGCTCATTTCTAAGACAGAGAATAATTTGTGGGCAGATGTGACTGCCACAAAATAACTTTTAAAAACCCAATTAAAACAAAATAAAAAGGGTGTTTACCCACAAAATAGGCAGCCATTATCTACCCTTCCACTCAAATAAAAGAGTGAGGGAGCAACCAATGTGTGCGTATTAAAAGCATGTTTCATATTCAAAAGGAAAGTTAGAAATAAAACAAGGTAAAAAGCATTCTTGGATTATAATAATTTCTTAAGCCAGACAGCATTAATTTTTCCATCACTCATTTTATCTCCACATTTTATGTTCACTTGAGAAGAAAATTAGACTTTAAGACAATGACTGATCTGAGGTTACCCAGCAAGCTTCCTAGTTTTTGGAAGAACTTATGGATTGCAACTCTCATTATCTCCCTGTATTAGACTCAGGCTGAAACTTGTTCTGTATTTATTTTCAGTGTTCTTACCCTTGTTCATATGCATCTTGGATTGTACGTTGTCCTGTGTTTAGTCTTATCAGTTTATTAATCTGTTTGCAGTTGTGCACTTTTTACCACTGAGCAAATTGGTCTTTGGACTGTAATAAAGATTTGATTGATTGAATTTCCATCCATCATCACTGGTTCTAGCTACGACACCACACTGTCATATGCTCTCTCTCTCTCTCTCTGTAGACACACACACACATACATACAATTGCTCACTTTTCTATAGTGCTCTGGTATCAACAACACCCAAAGGGAGGCTGGATTGATATAACTTGAATCTGAATTGTGTTTAATCTCAGTGGCGTCAACATATATGCTCATTATTTTCTTCCACAGTAATTCCTCCTCCAGATAGAAAATGATAAGGGGAAAAGGAAATCTTTAGACAACATCAGGGAAGGGGAACAGAAGCTGTCCTTCCCTCACCATGGATGCAGAAAGTCCTAGGTTCAATTCCTGCCACCTCCATGCAAAGCTATGTAAAATCATTATAATAGCATTTCTAGAAAGCCTATTCTATTCCACTTAGTGAAGTTGAGATGGAGATAGACAGACCAATGAGAGTTAATAGAAGACAACTTCTTCTGTCTCTTCATCCCCTTGTTTCTATGATGGAAAAACTGCTAATTGTTTCTAAACTAAACACTCCCAGATTTTCCTCCTTTTTTCAAATGCAAGTAAGCCTGCTACAATTCAGAATAAAAAAGAAAAACCAACCTGGTTTTTTTCTTTCTCAGTAAAAGGAGCTGCTGTTTTGATCTTTGCTGGTGGAATGCAGTTTCTTTTTCTGCTTTCAGGATTTTTGCCTCTCTCCCAACATTACCACGCCTTTTGTTTCCAGTTCATCATTGCTCATGAGTTGCCATTGTCGGCATGGGTTGGGATTTCCTGAAAATCATCAGTCACATCTGGACTGCTCCAAATTTGCCCTCGACCTACAAGTCCAAAGCTTTGCAAAAAAATTAAAAATCTCACTAAAGTCACAGAGCTCCCAAGTGTTAAGCTTAAGGAATAGTGAAGACATTTGAAAATAGATATGGCTTTTGTGTGATCAGTGGTATTAATGCAGTCCATAGGGCAAAGATTTAGAGAACCAAGACCTCATGTCTTGTTAAAAGATGGAAGCTGTAACCCATCACATCTTGAAGGCCACAGGTTTTCCACCCCTGGGTAAATGTCTGACTTTTGATTTAAAATATATCTCTCTCATTATTTAGTACTCATTTTAGGAGGACAAGTGTTAATCACCAGATTATGTTCTAAAAGAAATGAAAAAACATCTCAATTTAGGCTGTAAATGAGACCTGTCCAACCCTTGGCCCATGGGTTTTATGTGGTCTAGGAAGGCTATGAATATAACAAAAAAATGTAACTTTGCTTAAAATGTTATGAGATCTGGGTTGCTGTGAGTTTTCCAGGTGTATGGCCATGTTCCAGAAGCATTTTCTCCTGACGTTTTGCCCACATCTATACATCTCGGAGTACTCACAGCAATCCAGTGATTCTAGCCATGAAAGCCTTCAACAACACATTATGAGATCTTTTTGCGATTTCCGTCACATGGTTCTCAAGTACAAACTTTATAGACGAAAACCGAATGGAATAAAAGAATCATATGTTCCATCCAGTAATACTGGAGTAATTCACATTATAATTGCAAATACTTCAGTCAGAAGAAACAAAACCTGTTATAATTTCCTAAAGAAGAGCAAGAGGTACAATTGTGAAATTGTAAATCGCAAAAAAGAATTCAAGTGTGCATTCTGTACTAGGCATAGTGCTGACGCATGCTACACTCTTCTGTTATTTGTACTCTTGCATGACTTGGGTTTACAGCCCTGTGCGGCTCAAAACAATTCTTCTTCTTCCAGTGTGCCAAAAGATTGGACACCCCTGCTGTAAACTATCGTGTGCATTACTCAAATTTGTGTGTTAAATGTGTATCAGGTTTCAAGCTTTAAACAGAGCTTGGAGACTTTCCTTTTTGGATACTAGGGACTGTAATTCAAACAAGTAACTTTTGCAAGCATTTACAACATGTCAGTATATTAATCTAACCCAGTATTTTCAGTTCCAAATGATAGCACTTCTGTAGGATCTCAGCCAGAGCAATTTCTGTGTCTCCTGTTAACAGAGCCATTGTTTGAATGGTCTTCATTGCCAAACGGGCCTTACAGCCCAATCATTCTAAAACTGTTCCTTGAGCAGTCTTCTTTCTGTTTGCCTCTTAGGAGCAGGAAATCCAAATTGCAAGTTAGCTATTGTGATGGTCAAAGATAAAAACACATCTGGATCCAGGTAAGAAATGATGTATAATTTTAAAATAATAGCATCAGGAACTGAAACTTGAGATGGGTTTCATATTGCCAAAGAGGCAAAGAGGAGCACTTAGACTGATTGCCTTTCATTTTTCAGCATTGTATTTGGGGACAGAAATGTTTATGCACCCTCATTTCTCTGTTGGCCTACAAGATTTGGAGAAAGAAAGGAAACTATGGGGTGGCCTTGTACTATTCTGAGAGTAGTCCTGTGTGTATAGCTCTGCAGCAATGGGCTGTGCTCTTTCTGGTGTAGAGCTTTGAAAATGTCCTTTTTGCACTCAAAACTCTGGAGCATCTTGCATAGGCGACATTGGACTATTTCACCCTCTTGCCAATGTCATTATCTTGCAAATCTAAGCACCTGGATAGATTTTGTTTAAGATGCATTGGTAATAAAAGTTTGGAAATCCCCATAACATTTTGAGAGCCAATTCCCTGTGTATCATGTCCCTTACATTTTAAAGACTGAGATTCAGTTATCTTGTTTTTCCGTTAGATACAAACAGCACAGTATGATAATTGTGCCGATGGATACTCCAGGGCTCAAGATCGTAAGGCCACTTTCCGTTTTTGGATATATGGGTAAGTAGAGTTGTTGAACATACAATACTTTAGAGTATCAACCTGTCAAATTAATTTTAAATCTGATGCATTTCAGACCTGGTTCATCAAAAATTGATGTTGTTGATCATACATCTTGAATTGTCAAGGTTCCATCCCATTTCTGTCTAGGTTTGCCTGTTAACCTAGGATTGTGTGCGCGATAAATCAAATTGAGCAGGTTTCCTAGTGTCTGCTTTAAATCATTAACATTTGTGCACCTACCAAAGCCAATTTCAATGCATAGGTTTAGGATTCTTAGTAGTCCTTAGATTTATATATAACTATACAAGGAGTATTTTTAACTCCTGGATGAACATATCTATACTCTGTCCGTAGTATCGGTTAGGAAAAATAATATTGGAAGTCCTAGATATCTGGACTTGACCTTCTCTTATCTAAATCCAGGAATGGACAACTTGTGGCTCTCAGACCAATCCTGTTCCCCTCAACCCAATAACAATATCTCTCTGTAAACAACATTTTCAGACCTTTTCGCAGTTCTAGGTGCGAAGATTACTGAAGATGCAGACTGCAGCCAGGATATCAGAAGATGTTTACTTCTTGGGAGGAGAGCAATGACCAATCTCAATAAAATAGTGATGAGTAGAGACATCACAATGGCAATGAAGATCCATATAGTTAAGCAATGTCATTTCCTGTAGTAACCTATGGATGCGAGAGCTGAACCATAAAGAAAGCTCAGCGAAGGAAGATATATGCTTTTGAACTGTGGTGCTGGAAGAAAATTCTGAGAGTACCTTGGACCACAAGAAGATCCAATCAGTCCATTCTCCAGGAAATAAAGCCCAACTGCTCACTGGATGGAAGGATATTAGAGGCAAAGATGTACTTTGACCACATAAAAAAGACAGGAAAGCTTGGAAAGGAGAATTATGCTGGGGAAAATGGAAGGAAAAAGGATGATGGCCCGACCAAGGGCAAGATGGATGGATGTTATCCTTGAAGTGACTGGCTTGACCTTGAAGGAGCTGGGGGTGGCGAAGGCTGACAGGGAGCTCTGGCGTGGGCTAGGGAAACAACTGAACGAATAAACCACAAAAGCAGTTCACTGCAATGGATGAGCCAGGGTGAGTTGGAGCAATGACAGAAAGAAAAAGAAGGCCGTATTTGCTTTTGACTGTGGCCACATCTGTGACCAGGGAATGCTGCTCCTTAGTTTGGAAATCTCTTCCATTTTTTCTGACTGTTCATGTCAGTCCATGGAAATGTGTGCAAATCAAGGCTTGGAGTAGATAAGAGACAAAAGAGTTGCTCAAGACTATCAACAGAAATAGAATTGGAATCTGAGCCCACAAACACAAAGCCTTCAGTATTTCTCTTTTTTTCTAATTACAACTTTGACTGGGTTGTTGTAAGTTTTTTCGGGCTATGTTCTAGAGGCATTCTCTCCTGACGTTTCGCCTGCATCTATGGCAAGCATCCTCAGAGGTAGTGAGGCCTGTTGGAACTAGGAAAATGTGTTTATATAAACCCGTCAGGAGAGAATGCCTCTAGAACATGGCCATATAGCCTGAAAAAACTTGCAACAACCTAGTGATTCCGGCCATGAAAGCCTTCAACAATACAACTTTGACTGCTGTTTGCTGCATGGCCTTTATTGCCCTCTCTCCTCCTTCCAGCCTTTCTGTGTGTTTGCAAAGAGAAAAAGAACTAAATCCATCTACCCACCTTTTTTGCCTAGGGCAAAATGAATGTAGAGAACTTCCTCCAGTGGATGGCCACAACTTTAAGCTTTTTCAAGAGGTTACGCAAAACTGGAAATTCTGAGTGAAATAGAAACTACATTCCAGATATTAGCTGTTGTTAACTGTAACCCCACCTATCATTCATTTACTCCTCTGCCTCCACTTTAAAGGAGTAAGAAGACTCTGACGAGCAAAACTTTTACAAGATAAGATAGTTGTAGTTTAGTTATTGGAGAAATAGTCACGTTGCAATGACTTTAAAAAGGAGGCAGAGGAAGAATTTAGCTCTAGCAGCACTTTTAAGACTAACATATCTGTTTTAGGCTGAACTTCCTTCGATATCAATTCAGGCATCAGATCCTCTGATAGAGTGACATTAATAATGCAGTACAGACCATGCATCACATATAAAGAATTCCAAAATCCAAAATACTCCAAAAGCCATAATTGTCCACATGTCCACGTGGCTGAGACACCTTTGACACTTTTGCTTTCTGATGGTTCAATGTTCCCACACTTTGTTTCAGGAATAAAATAATTTTAAAATAATAATTTTACGTTTGGACTTGGTTCTCTGCTCTAGTGTATGTATGTATATGCAAATCCTGTGAAGGCATTCTCATGCAAAGAAAATCCAACATCCAAGACACTTCTGTTTCTAAGCATTTTTGGTCAAGGATACTCCAACTGTATTTGATAGTTTAAGCAGACCTTGATAGGCATATATGATCTCGGACAGCTCTTTGAAGGTTTATGGCCAGGGGCACAATTTGCATCTTTTTGTTCCGTATGGAAGAAATGGATTGATATCCTTGAAAGCACATGCTAAAGTCCTTCCTCTTTCCTATCCTTTTTATGTAGTTGGGTCATCAGCTCTTGAGGTGATGAATTAATCTGACACTGCAACACTAGCTGAGCTGGGAAAACAACCTGCTTTGATTATAGTCTTTAGAGACTCTGAGATCCTGAGATTTGTAATTCTCTCACTCTAAAAGTGCTTTTCTGGATTCGTAAATTACCCATTCTCTGATTTCTTCCCCCCCAGACAATCCCTCAGCCCCTAAAGGCGGTCTCTATAAGAATAAGTAAAAGGTGATAGTAAACAAGTTGGTCCCCCTGGGGGTGCAGCGGGTTAAACCACTGAGCTGCTGAACTTGCTGACCAAAAGGTTGGCGGTCTGAATCCAGGGAGTGGAGTGAGCTCCCACTGTTATCCCTAGCACCTGCCAACCTAGCAGTTCAAAAACATGCAAATATGAGTAGATCAATAGGTACCACTTCTGTGGGAGGAGAACAGCGCTCCATGAAGTCATGTTGGCCACATGACCTTGGGATGTGTCTACGGACACATCTTCAGCTTAGAAATGGAGATGAGCACCACCTCCCAGAATCAGGGGAAACCTTTACCTTTTGTGCAGCTGCTTTGCATTTTGATTGGTGATGCACTGCTCTAAATTGAGGGGACAGGGAGAGGAAGACCAGAAAAGAAATGAGGAAGACAACATTGTGTTGATGTAATAAAAATCAGTGCACACCCGACTGCTATCCCAGAGATGTGGGCAGAGAAAGAGACAAAAGAAATGAGGAATATAGCAGTCTCAATTACTAGCATAAGGTAAAGAACTGCTGAAAATATTTCTTCTGTCAAGTTCCTTTGTTTGTTTTTCAGATGACAAGCAGCAGATTATTTTTTAAATGCTTGTTTCACCCTTAAAAAGGTTATTTGCCATATTTTCTGTGTATACAAAGAATGACACAGATCTGTTACTTTAAATAAATATTAACATTAGCAGAATTTATCTCCACTGACCTTCACTTTGGTTATTTTCTTGGTTTTCTAGATTATTTCCATGGTGGACATTTTGAAATCCATTTTAACAATGTTTGTGTGCCTGCCTCCAATTTGATACTTGGTGAGTATTTATTTTCTTGTCAAAAACCTGAGAAACTTTGTGAACATCTGTAGGCAGGAGGAGCTTGGCCAGGTTTATATCTACAGTTCTGTTGGACAGTTCAGGACTTTGAGTTAAACTACATGCCACATTCAGTGTGCAGCTAAATTTCACTGGAGCCAAAGTGGCATAGCTTCTTATTGTATTTATATTTGAATTGTTCAATTGATATGTCATGTTTATTACTGTATGTTTAATTTAAATTGATATGCTAATTGTTTAAATTGATATATCATGTTTATTATTATATGTGTAATGCGGCATTGTATGCCATGGTGTGTAAGCAGCCCAGAGTCCCCCATTGGGGTGAGAAGAGTGGGTTATAAATTTAGTATAATAATGAGCATAATAATAATGATGATGATGATGATGATAATAATAATAAGTCGATGACTAGCACAAACCAGTGAAGGTGGTCCCGGTGGTGATCAGCACACGGTGCAGAGCCTAAAGACCTTGGCCTGCACTTAAATACAAAATTACCATCTGCCAGCTGCAAAAGGCCACCTTACTGGGATCTGCACACATTATTCGCTGATACATCACACTGTCCTAGACACTTGGGAAGTATCTGACGTGTGATCCAATACAACAGCCAGCAGAGTGATCTTGTTTGCTGTGGACACATCTTGTTGTGTTTCAAATAATACTTATAATCATAATAGCGGTTTGAGTGTTGGACTATGACTCTGGACATTAGTATTCGAATCCACACTTAGTCATGGGAGCCTACTGGATGACCATGGAGAAGTCATACTTTCTCAGCCTTAAAATAAGGCTTACTGCCACATCTTGTGATAGCTCCTTTGGTCACCATGTCACACACAACAAGAAGAGTATTTTAGCTAAACTAGGCACTTTATTCTTTTTGGGACTATTTTGCATGGGTACATGGCACAAGCTTAAATCTTTCGTTTCCTATTCTGTGTGGGTACATGACATAATCTTACCCTTAACCAGGGAACTAAAAAAAAAAACATTGATACCAATGTTTGTTCTTTCTTGTTTAGGTGAAAAAGCACTGGTAGAAAGGTTTAAGTTTTTCTTATTTGTCCATAGTGATCTGGATATAAGTAGATTAGGATCTTGTGTACCTACCTGCGATTCAAACAAAAGTAATTTTAATTGCATATTGAATTTGTTACATTTCAACAACAGCATATTGTGTAGTTCACTTGATCTGTGTGATATGAAACAATTTAAAGAAATGGCGACACAGTCTGGTGATGGATTTAAATCACTAATGTAGACAGGCTAGCAGTTCTACCTCTGGGACTGGGACGTATACATTTCCTACACAATGGTCTGTGTCTACTGAGGAGTAGCCCCAGTTGAATAGAATGTAAATAGTAGTCATGTAGAGCATTGCATTGTATATCTTAGCTTTTTGGTCCAGCAGACAGAGATGTGAGAGTATATTCTCTCATCCAAGGTTGATAATATTAATGATGATAGCTGATTTACAAAATTGGTATATGATATGATTTTTGAATAATAAGTCAGACTGTAAAGTGCTGCTAATGTATTGTTTTATATGTTTTAAACTGTTTTAATGTATTTTATAACTCTATTTATATATCTGTAATTGTACATATCCCATGGCTTCGTACGGTTGCCTACTTGAAAGCTGCCTTGAGACCCCTCCAGGGTAGAGAAAGGCGGGGTAGAAATGCCGTAAATAAATAAATTAAACTGAAGACTGTTTTCCATTCTGTCTCTGAAACAGAAGTTTGTAGATAGCTGCAGATAGATATTTGCTACATCTGATTTTGTGGGAGTTATAAAGATGCTGAGTAGCCATAAAGATGATTGTGTGCTCTTATCAAGCCAGCTGTAATATATGGTGACTCTTGAGTGGAAAAGATTTCCTAGAAGCTGTCATCAGCAGCTCTTCTCAGGTCTTGCAAACTCATGGCTCTGGCTTCCTGTACTGAGTCAATTCTTCTGTAACATGCTCTTCCTCTTTCCATGATCCTCTAACTTTCCCCAGCATTGTATATTCTTTTGAGTCATGTTTTCTCGTGATGGGTCCAAAAGAAATGGTGATTCTCAGATTTTTAAATGAATGTATCTAATTCAAGATCTTCAAGACTAGTAACTCTACCTTTCAGTGTCATATTTCAGAAAAATTATGTGTGAAAGATGCTTTCCCCTCACTACTTATTTGCAGATATTTGAAAAATGCACAAAGGTGCTACAGTCTGTGGCTGCATTAAGAAAAATATATTAATACATTGTTGTGTGTCTTCAGGTAGTTTCTGACATATGGTGAACCTATCATGGGTTTCTTGACATGGGTTCAGGTGGATTTGTCTACTGCCTTCTTTGGAACCTGAGAGATTGAGATTTGCACAAGGTTGCCCAGTAGGTTTTCATGGTTGAATGGGGATTTGAATCCTGGTCTCCATGAAAGATAGAGCCATAGTCCAACATTCAAACCATTACATGGTGACTTTAAAAAAAAAAACTACAATGCATATACAAACAGTCCTCAAGTTACAAACACCTGACTTTCAAATGATTCATAGTTAAGAACAGGGGTGAGACAACAGGAATTGAGAGAAATCTGCCCCCCGGGAGGGAAATTTACGCCTGAAAGAGTTATCATGGAGAAAAAGTATTTCCACTGAAGCTTTTTCACCAATCCTTGTTTCTGCAACAAGCCAAATTTTTCAAAATCTAATTCTCACAGGGACAGAAAGTGAAATCTGAATATGAGCGCAGACAGCAAAACAAATACCACAGGGGTTTTAAGCCTTCCCTATGCTATCCAAAGCTTAAAAAGTTATATTTTTGGCTGGAGTCACACTTAAAAATTGTACCTGTTCCAACTTACATTCAAATTCAGCTTAAGAACAAACCTACAGAACCTATCTTGTTTGTAACTTGGGGACTGGCTGTATTAGGAAAACTACATGCACATTTCATCCATCCAAATACTATATTGGATTGGGGCAGCTGGTGGGTTGCTTCTGTACAATCCAATATGGTACCTGGAGGAGATCAGAATGCTGGGAAATGCAACCAAATTCAAACAGAATTCATTTGGTAATTAAAATATATGCATGGATCTCAGTGCTGTGTGAAGCAAAATCAATACAAACAATATGAAAGTGTTCCAGCTTACCTAGTGAAATCCCCAGTCTTGTGCCAGCCATCTAAGGATGTCAGTTGCCATGAGGTAGATGATGTCCCAGAAAGGCAAATGTCACATCTGAAAGGTCCTCTCTTTGACTTTTTGTTACACAGGAGAAGGAAGAGGATTTGAAATTGCTCAGGGAAGACTTGGGCCCGGCCGCATCCACCACTGTATGAGGTCAATAGGGGCGGCTGAAACTGCACTGAAGATCTTGTGTGAACGTGCAGCCCAGAGGGTGACATTTGGAAAGAAACTGTACCATCATGTGAGTCCATAGTCTCTTGTCATTTTCTATGCCCTTAAGGTCCGATTCAGGAAGAAAGAAGAACTTCTTGTTTTGTATATTTGAGAGATGGTAAACCTTCAGTAATGCTATATCTGTTTTGGGGGTGAGGAGAGCATAGCTCCTTACCAGGAGTTTTTTTTTGTGGCCCCCATCATGCTGTAGCCCTCTTAATAAATAATAGTAATAAAATAATAATAATAATAATAATAATAATAATAATAACAGCAACAACTTTATTTATAAAATTATTGTTATTATGATGATTGTTGTTGTTGTTGTTATTATTATGACCTCACCCCAATTTCTCGGTGCCAAAAATGCTCCAAAAGTGTTTTGAAAGTGCTGAAAATACTGGACCACTGGTTCTGGAGCCTCAGAAGAGCTGCTGTTTGTGCTCTGATATCCCTTCCAGCCTCTTTTTGATCTTTAGCAGTTGTACGAAGTATTACACATTAATATATGTACCTGATTTTTTTTCCAAAGTAGGATCCTTTTTTAGATCCATGACTATGTTGCTATAGCAGGGTAGTTACCATTTTCTTTTTCATCTTTCCTTTGTTTTTTCTGTTTATGTTCCTAAAGGAAGTTGTGGCTCACTGGATTGCTGAATGCCGCATTGCTATTGAACAGGCAAGGCTGCTTACATTGAAAGGAGCCAGCAAAATAGACTCTTTGGGCAACAAAGCTGCCACAAAAGAGGTAACAAAATTAAGTGTCTAAGTGCAAAGGGGCAGGAGGAGAATTCCATTGCCTGAGTTGAGAACAAAAAGAATTGTCAGGTTTCATAACCACCTCTGAGCAATATAGACCTAAATCCTATTGGTTAATCCTGGTTAGCATAGACCCATTTAATCGAGTGCTGATCCCACTTTGGGATTGAGTGTCTTTAGAGAGGCCCTTGCTCATCTTTTGATATTTTTCTGCCATTAGACTTTTAAAAGAAGCATGTCTGAAAATTATCTTTACAATTTCAATTGACACGATACGCCATGCCCCCCCCCCCCCCCCCCCCCCCCCCGGGAGTACCTGGAGATTCTGCACCCACTGATTCAGTTATCCATGGCTTAAAAATATGTTTTAAGAATTCAAAAAGCAAACTTTAACATGTCCATCCATTTTATTTAGCATGCACCTTTTTACTCCTTGATTGTATATAATGGGATTTGCACATCAAAACATTGATGTCCACAAAATGTCCTGAAATCATTGTATATAGGATTGAAATTGTAATTTTTGCACACCCTGTATATTAATTGAAGACTGTCCTACTTTTTGTTACTCTGAGACCATTTATCAGAGGCAGGTTAACAAACAATAAAAGCTGATGCACAGTTGTTTTTTTGTTTTTGTTTTTTTGGTGTGTCTTCTGCAGTAGAACCATGATTCTATTTCTGCAAAAATCTAAGCATTTCTCACTCATCTTTGCAGGTTGCGATGATCAAAGTGGTAGTGCCTCGGGCAGTCATTAAAGTAATTGACTGTGCCATTCAAGTGTGTGGAGGTGCTGGATTTTCAGAAGACTTCCCACTGGCTCAAATGTGAGTGAAAGATATTAGTACAAATACACAAATCCAAACTTTTTCCTACCAATGATAGGTAGTAGATCATGGTGGGAATCCTATTACAGTGCTAGCAGAGCATAAAGGCTTCCTGGTATACATGCATGGATGATGCCTGGTGGCTTCCTAACCATTCTGGCTGCCATATCTGGTTTCCATTTCAGGCATATGCCTTGCATAAATGGTTTTGGTATATAATTCCTTTTTATTTTTTATTTTATTTTTATCCCGCCTTTCTCTCCGTATGGACTCAGGGTGGCTAACAAGTTAACATCTTTATAGGATGACTTGTGGCAGAACAAGGATTTACACTGGTGTAACCCATCTGAAGCCCCCAGAAGATTTTGGCTCAAGTCTCTTTCTTTTGCTATTTACTTGGCTGGCCAACATGATTACTGAAATGCAATCTGGCAGAGCGCCTAAGAGCTTGGTTTGTTTGTCTGTGCTGACTGAAAGCATTTCTCTTATCTACTGGCTCATTAATTTCTGCAGCTGGCCCAGGTGCCGAGCTTTTCTCAGGCTCAAAGCCTTGGGAATTCTCTGGTAGCAATTCAGGCCCAGGGAACATACCATCATCCCCAAATCCTTCAGGAACATTCTCATCAGAAAAGTCACTTTGAACAGGAATCCCATTGCCATTCTCTGTCTGTAGAGCAACCTCATCATTAGAAACATCATTAGATACATGAACCTCATTGTCACTCCAACATCCAGAGTACCCCGATCATTAGACACAATCACAGGCTGAACTCCAACACAGCTTTCCACATTTGCAGCGGACCTATGTGAAAATAATGAACAATGAATAAAGAAATTGCTATTTTTTTACATCATAGGAATTTCTAGGTCTTCCAGCATGACTCTGTAGTCAACTTCCACTGGAGGCTAAACATAGCATCACATTGGAGGAGATAGACATTTCTAGAGAGGTATTCTCTTTTTGTCCTCCAGTATGACTGGAGAAAGTTGACCATAATAGTCACACTAGAGGACCTAGAGATTCCTAGTGAGGATATTTTTAATCAAACCCACAAATGATGAAATCTGCAAATGTGGAGGGATGGTTGTAGTTTTTAAGTTAAGTCTGAAAACATTCTCATTCGTTAGCTGATGGAGAGCTGTGGCCATCTGAGAAATGTCTGTCTCCAAAACCAGACCATGTTCTTTGGAGGACCCCAATAGATCTAAGAGGATGCCATCTGGCTCTGGGGATGTATCAAGGCACTCATCTCATTCCCTTCCTCACTGAATGGTAACGGGTGGTGGCAGTGAAAGAGATAGTGTAGTTCCCCCCTTATAAAAACGTTTATGTTACACTAAGAATTATGAGATCTTGACTAATGTGAAAATACTGTCCAGTGAGCCTTAAAAGTCCTGACCATTGATTATTTCTGGATGTTTCATCTTAAACAAATGTTGGTGTTAAAAATATGATTTAAGAAATAGCCTGAAGTGCTTTCATTTAGTCAAAAAGACCTTTACAAACTGATATCTCATCCCTTGCATAGGTTTGCCCACATTCGGTCATTACGTGTCGCTGATGGGCCTGATGAAGTTCACCTCTCAGCAATTGCAAAACGAGAACTTCTTGAACAAGCCAAGCAACTGAATGCCCACCTTTAATATTTTGTTATGTGTCTTCAAGTCATTTCCAACTTATGGTGACTATAAGGTGAATCTTATCATGCGATTTTCCTGGCAAGATTTGTTCTTGGGGGATTCAAAATATGGTCTCCAGCTTCCTTGTTCAATCACTACATCGTATTGCTTCAGTCTTTAATATTACTTCAGTAATTTAGCTGTTATGGAATTATCATGATTTGTAGGGAAAATTGTATGGGAAATCTAGAGCATAAGATATCAAAGCTAACAAAATTTATAAAATTATTACTTTGATATTCTCCATCTTTGGAAATCTTTAATAAATTAAACTTTTACGACTCCTGCTGATTCTTTCATTTGACCTAATATGTGAATTACCATTTCACTTAATGTCAGTGGAAGTTGATGTAGACTCAATTTAACTGTATTTGGATCTCTCACCCCAGATTTCAAATAGTGAAACATTGGCGATATGAAAATATTTCTACTTATTTGCACAACTGACATGAAGCCAGTTGCTTAAAACCAGTTCATTGAAGCACAATACTGTACAAAGCTAACATTTAACCACCTTCCAGGACTAGAAGTACAGATTGCCTATCTACAGCATCGAGTTTCAAGTTTATCAAATAAATGACTCCGTTCATAGGGACATCACACTTACAATTCTAATTATTGCAAAAGCATATTTTGTGAAGTTTGTACACTTTCTTGAATACTGCTACACAGAAGTAATGGTTGCTTACCTGTAAGCATGCTTCCCTGAGTGGTCACCTGTGAAATTCGCACATGTTATTTCCTATGCCTGCACAGTCAGGTTCAGAATCTTCTAGAAAATTTTAGACACTTTTAGGCGGTAGCCCCACCCACTCTCCCCAAAGTCAGTAAGGGGGGGGGGGTTGCCTTAGTTCCTCTGCTACGAGTAGCAGCTAGAAGGACCAAGGCATGACATGCAGCAGGGAGGGCGGGGATGTGCAAATTTCACAGGTGACCACTCGGAGAAACATGGTTACAGGTAAGCAACCATTACTTCTCCAATGTGGTCCCTATGAAAGCACACATATGGTAGACTACTGAGCTACTGACCTTGGCAGGTGGGCGTCGTGCCACTGCAGAGAAGAGGACTGCCCTTTCAAATGCAGCATCTCTCTTGGAGGAAGCATACAATTTGTAGTGAGAGACAAAGGTAAGCAGCGTAGACCAGGCTGCAGCATGGCAAACAGCATCAAGGAAACGCCTCTCAAGAAGGTGGAGGTTGCCACTGACCTGGTGGAGTGACCTTTAACTTGTTCAGGAGGATCCCGACCAGCCAAACAACACACCAGGCAAATTGTTGAAACAATCCACAGCGAAAGGTGTTGCAAAGACACTGGAAGGCCACTGGCATCCTTCCAGTACTAGGAGGCTTCCTAATTTCTGCAGTTCTACCAATATAAAAGGCCAGGGTCTTTTCACTGAATTTTCTATTTTAGTAATAAATTCTGCTTTACTTATTTGACTAGTGCTGGTGCTATTTTTCCCAATAAGTGAAGAAAATTATATTTTTTCCATGTAAATAAGTATGCAAATACATTATACTCTGCCTTGCATTTTATTTGGTTAGCTAGAGCCTTATTCTAATTGCTCCAACATGGAATGTAAAACTGCTTCCAGCTGTTGTGTAACTTCTAATAGAAAACTTGATGAATTTCGTTCTCTGTAGTTTTTGGTTCCATTGGGTTAATGCTAGCAGAAAACCTCACTGAAAAAAGCCAGGCATAAGTCCCCCTCCCAACTCACAAAAGGGAAATTACAAGCCTAATGCAGCTAGGAAAAAAATATGATTTGTGGTTACAGATCCACTTAGAAACATCAACAGCAAAGCTAAAATCTCTTCAGAAAATCTCTTCATTCTTGTGCACATTACTAAGAAGACTTTACTGTTGACTGACCTTTCTGGTATACCTCTTAAATATGGCCTAGTAAAAAACACACTGCATCATATCTTCCACTAGTTATTACTTGGAAAGATGGGATATCTGTCTAGGCCTCCAAGAATTTAAGACACATTTATGCTGTGTAGGAAAATAAGAGGTTTGACTTTTGTCAATAGTCATTCCTGTATGGAGCAATCTTACCTGCTCCTTCAGTCACCTGAAATACTGCTTCTTAAACTGTGGGTCCCTTTAGCTCAATTTTGAGTTCACAGTGAAAGGCTTCCCATTTACACCAATCTTCTAGCAACAAGATGCAGTGTTTCCAATGGACTCTGCAGGAAATGCTTCAGCTGTACAGTACTCCACAAAAAGAAAAATTAGCCTGTTTAGTCAGCCTTGGAAATGTTGCCAGTAAATATTAGCTTTTTATAACTATTTTATACACCTATAAGGCCCCCCGAGCTGCTGAACTTGCTGATCAAAAGGTTGGCGGTCTGAATCCAGGGAGTGGGGTGAGCTCCCGCTTTTAGGCCCAGCTTCTGCCAACCTGCAGTTTGAAAATGTGCAAATGTGAGTAGATCAATAGGAAGCACTTCTGCGGGAAGGTAATGATGCTCCATGTAATGCTGGCCACATGAATTTGTAGATGTCTAGGGACAACACCAGCTCTTTGGCTTAGAAATGGAGATGAGCATCATCCCGCAGAGTCGGACACAACTAGACTTAATGTCAGGGGAAACCTTTACCTTCTACCTTTATATACCTATACACTTGGGGTCATGAATGGAAAATGGTTTGCTCTAGAAAATTCACTGAAGTACTACTTCAGGTATCTTGCCATAATACAGAACTACTGAGACAAGGGAACAATATCACTTTTTAGGGAAAGGAGAAAATATGTGTAAAACCCTCTTTCTGGATTTACAAAGGAGCCACAGAACACACACTTTGTCTCATCAACAAGGCTTTCAGTTCCCTTTATTTTTAAAATTTTATGTACATATGAAGGATTTGTATAATGTACATTCAATATAGAAAGTTTTTTTATACTGGATAATGTATAGAACAGATCACAATTACACTATGTTTTTATATAACATGTTAACATCATTTTAAATAGTCTTTTTTTTGCTGCATTTTAATTTTTCAATTTGGTAAAGCCAGTTATACATACAAATATCTCATTAGGTCTTGTAAGGGAAATGTTAATGATTGAGGACAAAGGTGAACAAAAAGTCTGTCAAGTTCTGGAAGGATGAAAGCTCCACCCCGGGAAGAACAATTGGAGAAAACCCATTTTTCTAGTGAGGATCAAGTGATTTAGCCCAATTCTTGAGACTGCAGTTCAACTTCAGTCATGCTAGTTCATAAAATACAAAAAACTAGGAAAATTGTTTCGATTCACAGTCTTGTAAACAAAAATATAAAGGAACAAAATGTGCTTATGTACAGCAAGAAAAAAAAAAACATTCTTGTGCACCCATCTAGGTTGATCCACAAAGTACTCTCTTCTTATGTTACAATGTGATAGAATCATGAACTTTTTTTTTCTAAAAAAAATAGATTCATAGAAAAAGGAGTAACACTGTCATGAAACTGGGAAGGCAGGCAGATTTTGTTCCAACGGCTGAAACCAACGAATGGGGCCTCCCTTATTCCTGGCCAGTCTGCCTTGGATACTGTTGCACAGGCATTTCAAGTCCTTTAGCCAGTATCTCCAGCTTCGTGGTCGACTGGAGGAGGGACGCTGGGCAGGACAGAGGAAGTCCTCCCTGCAGTCAGGTAGCCAGCCACTCCAGGTCCTGTTTCAAGGATGAAGGATAATGCATAAAAGAGGAGTACAATTGAAATGGTTGGCTACAAGAGCTATTTAACATCAAGTTGCAATTACATCTAACATTACTTTTATTGGGACTTCCCAATTAAAACAACACAAAATCATAGATTTCAAGTCAGTATATTATATAATTATTGCAGCAAGACTACTCTATGCACAAAAACTAAAGAACTATCCCTAAAATAAAATTGGATCACAAAAGTTTTAGAACGGGCAGAAATGAACAAATTATCCTGCTTGATTAAGGAGAAGTCAATTAATATCCTTTTTAAATAATGAGGATATTTATGTATTATTCATAAAAATAAATGTTAAACCACTGGTGGGTTTTGAAGATTGGGAAAAAAAGAAAAGAAAAAGTAGAATGAAGAAACTGTCTAAAATGTTAGACCAGCCATGGGCAAACTTTGACCCTCCAGGAGTTTTGGACTTCAACTCCCACAATTCCTAACAGCATGTTAGGAATTGTGGGAGTTGAAGTCCAAAACACTTGGAGGGCCGAAGTCTGTCCATGCCTGTGTTAGATTAACGGGATTATAACAATTTTTCACTTAGTTTCTTTAAGGTGGGAAGTTGATTTTAATATTTTATTATTGTTTTCATTATTGTCGAAGACTTTCATGGCCAGAATCACTGGGTATTGTTTGGTTTTCAGGTGGTATGATAATGTTGTTAGGACACGGCCATACAATTCGGAAAGCACACAATGCTCAATTTTCATTACTGTTTAGCAGTGGGGTGGGTGGCGGAAACTAGCTTAAATTGGTATATATATCAATATAAGGGCTCCCCTGGATTAAACTGCTGAGCTGCTGAACTTGCTGACCAAAGGGTCAGTGTTTTGAATCCGGGGAGCAGGGTGAGCTCCCGCTGTTAGCCCCAGCTTCTGTTAACCTAGCAATTCTGCGGGAAGGTAACAATGCTCTATGCAGTCATGCTGGCCACATGACTTTGGGGGTGTCTATGGACAATGCCAGCCCTTCAGCTTAGAAATGGAGATGAGTACCACTACCCAGAGTTGGACATGACTAGACTTAATGTCAGAGGAAACCTATACCATTTTAGCAATGTAAGTCAGAGAGGGGAAAGTTATTGTCTTTATAATTTATGTAATACTTATATTGCTGAAAAAAACATAGATAGATTTTTTTAAAAAATCAGTTCTATCAGGACTAATGATTTGCCAATCCATCGATGGCATAGTTCACATTTAAAAATCTCTCACCTGAATGCTATCTCCTACTGAGTATCAGACTTCTCCTTTCCCACCATTGTACAAACAGATTATTCAGGATATGTGTTTACATCAGTTTTTTAGAGACACCCACAAAAACATATACAGCTATCATTTAAAACATGAAGACACTGTTGCAAAAAGCACAGCATGCCAACTAGAGGATTCTGTGGCATTCTACAAATATCAAACTATAACTATATGCCATGCATCTAGTAAGCATTTAGTCTAGGAACACTGCAGATGCAACATGCACTGAGCAAAAAAGATATCTACCTGCTTTAGAGAGTGCTAGAAAGAAGTTTAGCAAGCTGCCTGCCAAAGGAGATCTAAAGCCCACTTCTGAGATGAAGGGGACTGCTACCAGAGAGAAGGGAAGGAGAGGAGATACCTGAGGGAGAAAGAAACCAGAAGCAAGGGAAGTACAGACAGCAAAGCACTTGGAAGCAAAAGTGAAGCACAGCTCCATTGTGCCTTGAGGAGGGTTCTGGCACATCATCAGTAACCAACACAACACACTCCACAGTTCTAGGAGAACCAGCTGTGCTTCCCAAATGCAGAATTAAAGGCAGGACGTTCATTTCACCCGTTTCCTGAAATCAACTGGTAGTTATTATTGCACATGCATCTATTTAGTGTCAAAACAGAACAGGAATCCATATTTACCAATGAGTTATTTAGCCCATTTAAACACTTTCATCAACAAGTTTCAGCACACAAACACATAAGAGGAGGTAAGTAAATTAAAGGTGGTTCCCAGGATAAACAAATCACATGGGGAACAAAACAAGCAAAAGGACACACATCGGGATATTGACCCACCTGTGAGGTACCCTGCAGTTTGTGTCTCAGAAATGAACAAGTCGTGTTTCTGATCTTTGAAGGCACTCCAAACAGAAGAACGAGACAGAATTTCATTCACCTGAAAAAGCAAGGAAGCCCAGAGATGGTTTATACCAACAAGCAATTGAAAAGAAGCACTGCAATTCATTTGTTTTGGGGTTTTCTTTCTTTCTTGGTGATTGTTCCAAAGGTGTGGAACTCCTCATGAAGGTAGCCTTGGCTGGCCCTTCCTTGGCTTTCTCCTGGGGACTGGTCTTAGTTTTTAATCAGGCAAATGTTCATTACTGAGAACTGCCCTCTACCCTATTTGTGGAAGGAGTGGGAAGAAAGGCAGGATGTATGTCCAATCAATCAAATTCAATGAGTGAAGTGTGACCTCTTTTAGCTGCAGGTTTTTTTTTTTAACTGCACATTTATGAAGAACTGGCCTCTCCTCTAAATGTAACTGCAAAATGTTAATAATGTATCATATTTCATCACAAAATAGTCACATTTTATCCCTTTTTGATCAAAAAAAGGAAATGTGACTATTATGCGATGAAAAAAATGTCTTTTGAGTCTCCGGTTTCTGTTTTTTATAACAAAAAACTTGCCTTACCTCTGAAAGGGAAGAAATGTGGGAGGGTTAATCAAGCCTCAAACGAATAGCTCAGTTTCAGTTTTTTAAAATTAAAAAAACCTGTTTTCCCTTAGAGGAAAGAGAAGGGAAGATTCCTTACTTCCTCTGAAAGCAAGGCAGTTTACAAAGCCTGAAATGGAGCTCTCTGGAGAAAGGAGGAAGGAAGGAAGATCCGAATTCCAGAGACCTCAATCTCCATTTCATAATTTTCAAACTGTCTTGTATTTGGAGAAAGAAAGAAAGAAAGAAAGAAAGAAAGAAAGAAAGAAAGAAAGAAAGAAGAAAGGAAGGGAGCGAGGGAGGGAGAATCAGCCCCAAATGGCTCTGCAACTATTATGTGATGAACACAAAATACCATTTTTTTCACCCAATTGCAGTGGCTACCATTATGCAATGAAATAATTGATAAAATGAACAGAATGTTTACCTGCTCTCCATATTGTAGACTTCGAGTCATTGATTTCAAGGCTTTAACAATCTGTGCTTTTGTAGCTGAAGGGCTATCCAGATTCTCAAGGCCAACACCTTCAAGCAATTTTAGGAGATAGGGGACTAGGTCTGCTTTCAAAGCCTGAAAAACATGGTTATAGCACATTTCACATGGCTCACAATTTCTTCCTCATGGGAGTAAGGAACACCGAAGACATATCCCCTGCCTCACTCCCCAATGTCATTACCATGGACATGATATATCGGAAAAATAAAACCTGTCAGGGAAGCTTTCCATGTAACCTGGATCACCAGTTTTCTGAATTATCATTTAAGTGATTCCTGAATTCTTGCCCATGTGAACAAAAACTCCTCTCAGTTCCATGTGAAGAAAGCAACTAAAAAGGGGACAATGGCCCAAATTAAAGACCGCTGACCCTTTGCATCTTACTAACCTTACATGAGAACTGGAAAAGGAAAATAAAGTAACTTTCTGCCCAGGTTTAATAGCAAAATATTTCGAGTAACCTGTGTAGACTAGGTATAACCTTGAAGTGATTGGTTACATCTTGAAATGCAATAAAAATGCAAGATGAATTTTCCACCTTACCATCACTGAAGATCACTTCCACACAGAATTATTGTGAAAACCTGATTACACTGGCCCAACAATATTTTGGTGCCTCAAATGTTAGCCTTGTTTCTGGCTCCAATAATAGCTGCAGTTTCCCCCTATCAGCTATAGTTTTTGAGATGGAGAACATGTGCCATCCACCAGTCGCCGTTTGCCCATAAAAAACCATGATAACCATATCTAAGCAACAAGAGCTGACGGGGTCTAGCCAATGCAGTTTTCTGGATCAGTGCCCCCAAATAACCCCAGGAACAGGCCTAAAACCAATACACAAATAATTTTTTTGTTGAACTATGTTATAGCTCTATCATGCATATCTCTACCACCCCCACCTTCACAAAATATGTATTTTCTCCCACTAACACAAAGAAGCAAGCCTGCATATTCTAGCAAAGGAAGGCTAGCTGATTGCAATCTAGGTGATTTCAAAGTAAAACATAATGCCTTGGGAAAATGAGAACTTGCTTACTTGGACTACTAGATCATTTTGTTCTTTTTGAAACATCCGATTAAGTGCTTCACAGGCCACGCCAATAGTATCTGGTCGTTTCTTCATTCCATTCATCATGGGGCCTATGGTCTCTAGTGCTGCCATCGAACGAACACAAAGCTGCGTAAAAAGAAAAAGAAAAACCAACATTCTTCCATCTGTCAATGTTTCAGATCCAAGAGGCAAAAGCTACCATGAAACATATGATTGATTAGCTATGTTACAAGTTGTGCTTCAAAAGATAACATTACGTGAAGCTAATGGCAGCTAACTGTTCATAGTGAAGATTAATTTCAGCTATTCCGTTATGGAATTCAAAAGGATTTGAGTTCTTTCACAGCTCTGTTCTTTAGTACACAAAGTTTGTTTGCCAGAGGAGATGGTGACTTGTTTGCACCCTGCTAAACTTATATTTTAATTCTGTTTATCTTATTGTATGTGTTTGATTAGTGTTTTATCTCTTGTTTTAACAATCTACCTGACCCTGAGCCTCAGGGAGAGGTGGGTAACAAATAGCATTGTTGTTGTTGTTGTTGTTGTTGTTATTATTAGATACACAAGACTAGTACACAGCAAACAAGATCACTATGCTGGCTTTTGTATTCTATCACACGTCAGACACTTCCCAAGTGTCTAGGACTGTGTGATGTATTGGTGATTAATGTGTGCAGGGTGGCCTTTTGCAGCTGACACATAGTAATGCAAATAATCACCACTGGGAGCACCTTTACTGGCTTTTGCCAGAGTGTTTGCAGTTCTATCTTAAAATCCTCATATTACATAAGCTTTTCCAGTTGCTTTTCGTCAATTCTGCTGTCACCTGGGATTGCAACATAAACTATCCACACTCCCCCCCCCCCCCCCCCCCCCCCCCCCCCCGGATCGTGAGGTCAGGAGTATTATGCTCCAAAACTCTCTCAGTCTGAATTCGGAAGTCCCAGAGTAGTTTGATGTGTTCATTTTAATAATAATAATAATAATAATAATAATAATAATAATAATAATAATAATAATAAGTAGTAGTAGTAGTAGTAGTAGCAGCAATAGTAGAGAATGATTATAGCCAACAGTCAGATTGCAATGAATATGAGTCAGGAGACATTTGGATCTGTTCAAAGGCCAGAGTGAGTTTTGCATACTGTACATCCAGCAATGTGTTAAGTAGAGAACATTAAGAGATTTTTTTTAAAAAAAGCTGATCAGATTTGTAAAGTTTGATGCTTGCCTCATTTGAAAGATTTCAACCTTTATCACTGATTATCCAGGCTATAAATTAAACATGCACCAGGAGCAGGAGATGGCAATTCTGAAGGCAAATAGCAACTATTCTGGAAGACCCTTCCTATTTTTGGCTAAGACATAATTGCTGAGCCTGACGTAAAGTACCATACCTCATTATCTGACAGGATGTGTATGACACGGATGGCGCTTTTAGGGATGGCATTGTTTTTGTGATTCATGGCGTGGAGAATCTTAGGAAGGTGGCCAAGTGGGGGGACTTGGTCCGCCAGTTGAGGCTGAGCGCTAAAGAGGCACACAGTTGCTGTTGTTACAGTTTCTAACGTTTCCCCCTGTTTCAAAACAAAACGTATCGTCAATCTTTTATTTCCAAATCTGAAAAAGTCAATCTGTTTAAAGTCAACGAACTAAGAGCCACATTCACATGAAACTACTTAGCAACACTTAGGAAACATATAATTGTAACATCTTAAAAATATCTAATGACAATAAAAGCTTATGATATTTAGACAGAGTGGGGTCCAAGTCCCAACAAACTGAACAGTTGTTTTCATAGGCAAGAACCATGAAACATCTAAATTACATCCAACGAATCTGGATATTTGTATATGCCAATTTCTCCAGTTTAGCTGATCATATAATGCATTCAGATAGCTCAACTGCTTCTATAGAGGAGACAGTCTTTTCATTGTTACCTAACTTCCCTAAGGGCCAATATTGTTTTTCAACCATCTTCAATTACCACCAATCTGTTAGTAATATATAAGGTGTCTCCCAAAAACGTATACACTCTTAACAGCTTATAATTCTGAAAAAAAATTGGGAATATTTTTTTAAAAAGTGTCCTTAACATGTTTAAAGATTTCAATAGTAGATAATTGTTGCAAAATTACAAGCGAAAATATAAATGAGGTTTGCAACTCAGCAGTGCTAGGCAGGAATGGCAATTTGGACACCTGACATAAAATTGTAAGGAACGTGTTCCCACCTTTTTTTGACCAGAGACCACTTTGGCCAGGGACCACTCTCCAACATTAGTAACAAAAGGGTTACAATCAGTTTTTGGTCAACTGCACAATTAGTTTGGTTATTCGGGGTGCTGATTCAGAAAATTGCACTGGACAGACCACATCGGCTCTAGTTTCTGATACAGAACATATGCCATTCAGTTGTCGCCATCTGCTCGCCTACAGAAAACCATATTTAATCTAGAGCTGATGTGGTCTATCCAATGTAATTTTCTGAATCAGCACCCCAACTAACCCCAGGAACAGGTCTAATAATGAAGACACCAAGGCGCCCTTGCTTCCAGGTGCCACATGGAATGGCTTCGGCTCAGAGGGTGGGAGGAGGAGGAGATGCAACAGTCAAGAGGCTTGTTGTCACACCTTTCGTGGGTAGTCAGTCTCTTCCCCATTGCCTTGGCACTATAAGAGGATTTCGCGAGACCAGTCACTGTCATTGCAACGGTGTAGTAATGGTGAGGCCGCGGACCATATTTTAGTTCTTGGGGACCACTGGTGGTCCATGGACCACAGTTTGGGAACCACTGCTTTAATATAAAGGTATTTCTTTAGCCTTCAAATAATCACCATATGGATGATTAGCTGTCAGAGGGTGCATACATTTTGGGACTCCCTGTATATTAAACATTTTGGGGGTGCTCTGTATATTAAATACTTTACTACAGATAAAACAACTAATTCAAAAAATAATAGAAGCAAGTCCTAAAATCATTCAGAAATACTCATATTGAACTCTGCATCAAACTCCAGTTTTGTGAAACTTGCTATCAGGGGGCAAACTTTACTTCAGAATTGTACTGAATTATAATTTATTTATTCTTTATTGTATTTCGTTTCATTATTTCTATCCCATGGGGACTCCAGGCATCTTTCAATAACATGGCACAACCCAATACATTTTAAACCATGGCAAATACAAAAGTTTTAAAAAACATATTTGGGTCATGATTACAAAATACAGTTAAAATACATGTAAAATAATCGTACCATTTAAAGTAAAGTTAAAACTAAATATCCTCCCACTTGAGCAGGCGATGGGACACAGAGAAGGCCCTTCCCATATGATCATAATGTTTTAACAGGTTCATAGAGAGAGATACAGTCCTACAAACAACTTGGACTCAAGCTATATAAAGAATCGGAACATTCTTCTCAAGCGCTTCAGCGACCTGGTGTTCATTTTAAACATGCAAACTGTTACACAAAACATAGATGCTCCGCTTACATGGGGGTTGTTTTTCTCCAGTAGTTCAGTGAATTTTTCTAACAGTGCAATGAGAAATTCTCTTGGTTTGCGTAAGACCCAGGCCGGCTGGGCGATAAAGATCCTGAGGAAGACGCCCCCTACGGACAGTTCGCCTTCCGCTTCGCCATAGACCACAGCAAAGTCCTCTGGCAACTGGATCAATCAGAAAAGGAGAAATGTCATTCTGTTTGTCCATTAGATGAATTCATTAAGAAATAAAGAGGAGCTAGCTAAAGATGTGAATCCAATTGCTACTGCAAGGATGCATGTCATTTTAGAATATTCTACAGTATTGTCCTACTTGTGGCAAGTAACAAGAAAAGACCGTGCGTTGATACAGAAAAAAACCTGCAACAAACAAAATGTTCAAAAATTACATGGGCATGAAAAAAAAATGCTAAGGACCTGACTCCTCTTTTTGTAGATATAAACTTTTTTTTACCTTCCAGTTAATATCAGGGTTGTCCCTCTGTAGTTTAAAGTGCCTTTTAAGAAAAGGAAATAAGAGTGTTAACACATTATCTTGCTAACAGTTGGAAAAATGAATGAACTTTACTTTTGCTCAGCTGAGATTCAGATCACAACAGCTTTTTAGATTCACAGTTTTCTAGTTGCTTTACACATTTCAGCAAAAGCATTATACCCTTTGAACAGACTGTTTACAACAATTCCAGAGGACTCCAGATCAAATCGAAGCCTGGAATTCGTTTATTTGCTTCTGCAGTATTTTACTACAATTTTGGCTACCCATGCACAACAGTTATTCATTATTTTTGGGACGTACTCTAACATCATTTCACGAACAGTTGTAGAGACCCTCTCTCTGGAGTTGTCGTTCCATATCAACTCTGGATTTTCATGCGTTCCTTCAAAAATGTGGACGGCAGCTTCAGGATTATCTCGCATGGCATCCATAAAGACACCAGGCAGAAACTTCATTAGGATGATTCTAACCTAGAAAAGAACCATGTACAAATTAGAGTTTATTAAAGTATTATAAATTATACTGAGAGTTAAACAAAGGACTACAATGTTTTTTTGAAAGAAATGTGACTTCTCAATGAAAAGGCCCTTTTTCACATGTTCACCCAAGCCACTGAAATCCACAAGCATGTGGACAATTTCAACAGAAAGGAGGAAACCATGAAAATGAATCTGGCTACCAACATTTAAAAAAACTCTAAAATCAGGACAGTAAATAAAGAGCAACACTAAAAAAGGGCAATTTCAGACAAGAATCAATCAGGACCAGCTAACACCTCCCAACAAAGGACCCCCCCCAGCAGCAACCAGCCAGGCATTGATGCTGCAAGGCCATTAAATGCTAATCAATGTGGCCAATTGCAACATTCACACTTGCATCAAACAGACAAGAGTTCTTTCTCCCGCTCTGGAAATTCCACAAATATATAAACCCCACTTGCTTAGTTTCCAACAGACCTCATAACCTGCCATTGATATGTGCGAAATGTCAGGAGAGAATGTTTCTGGAACATGACCATACAGCCCAGAAAACTCAGAGCAACCCACTTTTCCATGTTTATATGATAGGACCAATCAGGAAATGCCATTTATAACCCAGGAACAAAAATCGTGTTACATTTTGTTATCAATAAATGTTTGATTTGTATACCTATCTTATATACTTATATATCCAGGGTCATGTAAAGATTTCTCGAGTGTAAAGGTGTCATGAGTGGAAAACATTTATGAAGTCCTGCTTTTGACAAGTGGGGATTTCAGCACAATCCATGGTGAGTCAGTTTTAACTGTGAATTTTAAAATCACGTTCTCCGTTTATTGTGCTTTAATTTTTGTTCCATGTATTTTACCATGTCAATTTTTAATATGTGCTTTTATGGATGTATGTTGTGCCCGACCTCGAGACGTCTCGTAAGGAGAGGCAAATTAATAATAATAATAATAATAATAATAATAATAATAAAGTGACCAGACTGGGTAATTTGTGATCACACAAAGTAATTATGTCAACTCCTAATGCAATGCTACGACAACATTTTTTAAAATGTATCTATTTATTCATTTATTTGATATATTTCTAGCCTGCTCTATCTCACCCCAAAGGGGACTCAGAATAGCTTACAATTTTGATCATCATTCAATGCCACATTACAAAACAAAGCATACAAATACAACACATTGAGCATTAAAATCAAAATAAAACATAGAAATACAATTCAAACTGTTAAAAGATAGCACCTAACCCCGCATTCGTCGTCCATGCGGCTACATTTATGCCGATTCTGTAAATATGTATTTTGAATGTGCATACCTCAAATCAGGTCCAAGTATGGGATAGTGCCACTTTAACGCACACTATAAAAAGCACTGGCCTTCTGCCACAAGATTTTTTTTAAAAAAGTTCCTTTCAAATAGCTCCAAACAATTTCCTTACCTTTGGACCAACCAGCTTGTCTGCTGTCATCTTAGCAAAGAGCTCTGCTGTCTGAGACCGAACTTGTGGGTGTGTTGAATTGCAGAACATATCAAGTAAGTAGATTAAAGCACCTAGGGAAGGACAGAACTGTTGATACTTTTAATCACAATGATTCTGGAGCCATTAATTTTGGAATGTTATAATGAAACAAACTGAACAGAAACCAAACATACCTTTTGCCATGGCCTCCTTAACTATTTTGGTACTGGAAGTCAAAGCATACAGAGTTTCAAGAACAAGCTGCCGACCTGCCAAGATTAATGATTGTTAGGAAACATAGCTTGTAAACGTACTTGACAGAGAACAATGACACAAGTTTATTTAAAGAAAATCTCTGAGCAACATGGCTCAGATTATTTGGTTCAGCAAAAAAAAAAGAGTGATTTAAAAGACAAGAAAAAAATTCCATCGATTTAGTTTCAAAAATATGCATTTCTGCTTAGCGACAATAATAAAGACTTTCATTTTGTACTTTTACCATTACTCATACAATCTGGAATGTTAATATTTTAAATGGACATCTTCTGTGCTTGAATGTATAATTTATATGAAGAAAAAGCATTTCTTAAGGACAGGAAGTAAGTTGAAATCACTTCCTGTTCCAAAAAGGCCTCTCTGGGTCCTAAATTGGCCCAGGATAGGTCCAAAACCTGGTGGAAATATTCCTACACCCAAGAGGGTATTTTTAAGCCTAAAAACCATTTTAAATCAATTTGCAATCTTTGACAATGTTTTTTGAACCTCAGATGTAATATAAATACCCCCCCCCCCTTATCTTCTATAGGGCTTTGGTGCCATTTTTGCAGGTATTTTTGAATACCCCCCCCCCCAAGCAAAATTGCAACGGGGTGCCACTTGCCCATTTAAATTTGATTGTCAGGACTAAAACCTAACAACTGGATGCTACTGAATACCTGGTGGGTGGTTCTGCTTCAACAGTGATCAACCACCACAGTGAGCCTCTGGTATCTGCTGGGGTTTGGTTCCAAGACCCCCACTGATACTAAAATTGATATATGCTCAAGTCCCATTACAAATAATGACGTAGTAAAATGGGGTCCCTTATACAAAATGGCAAAGATCAAAAACTTGCTTTTGGGAATTTTTCAGTGGGGCGGGGAGGTATTTTTAAGCCACAAATTGTTAAATCTGTGGATATGGAGAACTGACGGTGGTTATTTTTCCTGACACATTTCACATTTAGAGGAAATGTCTACAGGTTAGATAGTTTCTTTATTAAAACAACCTGGATTCCCAAACATCCCTCTCAGATACATAGGAATAAGTTTCACTGAACTTTGTTGTGCTTACTTGTGATAAATGTGTTAAATTTTAAGTAGTAGGAGTAAGGGATGTAGCAGGCAGAAGTGAAGGCATTTTTACTTTTCTCTTTGTTTTATTGTTTACATTTTTTCCTAAATACTGTTTTTATGGTCATTTTATCATTTAGCAAGTTAACACAAACTCTACGTACTTGAAGGTAGTGAATGCAGGAGGGCTAGCAAGTTGGAAAGAACCATGGCTTCTGCAATATTATTTACACATTCCTGGTTACTCGTTACAATGTTCACCACCTAATAAAGAAAATAAAACAAATCTTTTTAGAAGCAGATAGTTTTCATATGATGAGAGGACTGTCAGACTAGGAAACCTATAGCCTTCCATACTGTTGTGAACTATTATGGCCATTACCATTCAATAATATCCAGGCATTTCGATTCTAGACATTTCCCAATACTGGACTAAGAAAAACTAGTAAGTCTGATTTGAGTTTTTCCCTGTGAAGATCTACTACACTTTACCCTCTTATCTATATTTCCCAAAACTTAATTTTTCACATCCATTCGTTTCCTGATCCTTCCACTAGCTGCTTTCTTCTGGCTATATATATATATAGTAAAGGTAAAGGTAGTCCCCTGACATTATGTCCAGTCATGTCTGACTCTGGGGTGTGGTGCTCATCTCCATTTCTAAACCGAAGAGCCAGCGTTGTCCGTAGACACCTCCAAGGTCATGTGGCCGGCATGACTGCATGGAGCGCCATTACATTCCCAAAGAAGTGGTACCTATTGATCTACTCACATTTGCATGTTTTCAAACTGCTAGGTTGGCAGAAGCTAGTCCTAACACAGGAGCTCAACTCGCTCCCCAGATTTGAGCCACAAACCTTTCAGTCAGCAAGTTCAGCAGCTCAGTGCTTTAACCCACTGCGCCACAGGAGGCTCCATATATATATATATGATCCCACACACACACACACACACACACACACATACATACATACATGATCCCAACAAAGGAAGGATAATATATACAATGTAACATGACAAAGACGAATTAGATTTGTCTACATAAGACATGAACAAAATGTGACTCGGAGGCTGCCTACAGCCAGCAAAGATTATTTCTGAAGACCTCAACTTTTCCAATTCTCTACCTTTTCAGGCCTCAACCTTAGTCTATGTTTCTGGCCAATAAAGGCAAATCACTTCTTTTAGCAGTTCACCTTTACATAGAGTGCTGGATCTTTTTTTTCATAATCCTGGTTCTTCAAGTTAGGTTTTTTCCTTTTTTGTAATTTCTGGCAGCCCATGTAGTCCCCAACCCACTGCAGCTGTTCACCCCATTCAAAATATAACACCATGTAACATGATTTTTGTTTCTGGGTTACAAATGTAATTTCCTAATTGGTTCTATCATAAAAACATAGGAAAAGTTTATTAAATTGCAAAAACTTTGTTTTTGCAGGACATCCTGCAGCACATTGTGCGATGGTTTTTCAATGAATATCTCAGAGTCTCAACCAATTCAACCCAGTTTGTGATAGCCACAAAAACAAAATTTCTGGAGTAGAACAATGACTTTCAAAGCACGTACCAACTGTAAAACAAGAATAACACTTTAAAACCAGGACCAGATTTTTTTTTCAAATTTTGTTACATAGCGTAATGGGAAAGTGAAGTCCATGCACTGATCTCACTCCAAATAAATGTGGAGAATAATTAATCCAGTGCTTTACTGCTTTGGTGAGGGGTGGGGGGGTGGGGGTAGTGAAAATATTTGAGAAGTATTGAGGGGAGGGACTATAACTCAATAGAGATTATTTTCTGCATCAAAAAGCTCCATGCTAACTCTTTGAAAGAACACTATAAAGCTACCACAAGTTATCCAAGACAGTGCTCAGCCACATGTCAAGGTAGCTTACTATGCTGACTTTTCTCTTGATTCCTATAAGGGCATTTCTTATAAGCCTACTTACATATTCTATAAACTAACAATCAGATGTTAATTGGCAGTAACTATTTGGTGCCTGGCACTTCACCCTCAAGCTATAAAAGCCCAAATTGGAATCACTGTTAACTCGGAGCGATTCTACAATGGGGCCCTCCACATTTATTGGAGTCAGGGCACAATAAAGGTGTGGAAAACATACACCTACAAAAATACTCCTTTTTAACCTGAGATAACACCTCTCTTGGAATGTTCAGATCATCAACCTGTCTCTTTAGTCAACTTTCAAAAGAAGCTGACCACAGAGTCACACTGGAAGGTCTAAATTCCCATGGAGAACATATTAGTCAAAATCTGCAAATAATCACATCTGCAAAATGTAATCTGGTACTATGGCCAACTGTACTTAAATCTATTATATATTATGAGAAAGTGACTATCATGTTTATTCATCTACACACAATGCACTAATTAACATTTCTGCTACAACAAGCCATGTTTAAAAGATATTTTATTATTTTACCTCCAAAGCCAATTGTTGCACTTGACCAGCTCCATGGACACGCAGCAGTGAGAATATTAACTTAAAGTGACCTATGCATTCACATTCTGAACCTAAATGCAGAAAACAAAAGAATTACTTTAGTCAGAGTATAAAGATGAACTAAAGCTGGCCACTTAATTTTATGGAGAGGAAACAGTATCTCGATGTGTTTTACTTAAAAAAAATAGTCATTTTCTTGCAGTAAACATGATGTGAAGATGTACAACTGATGTTTCATCCAAACCCTGCAGATCTAAAGTTAACCCTTTTTAGGATGTGTGTTTAAATCATCCAATACACTTCACTTACCGGGGTTGTGCTTTATTACATTTCTCAAAGCCTCCAGAGCCATTTCAACCCTTCTGAGCCTGTCTCCATGTTGGTTAGACTCAACTTTTCCTGTCTGAGTCATAGCCATTAATGTGTGAAGGTACTGTGCTTGTGAACCTATGTAATCCAAAAGGCTTGCAGCAAATGCTTTTGGAACCTGTAGATCAATAAACACACTAGTTGGAAGTAATGTAGTAAATATGAAGAAAGTAGTTTCAAGAAATTTAACCCATCAATCACATAATATTTACAATTGTGGGACAAAAATATCAAACCTAGTATCAGGGTAAACTGCTCAATTTTAGTTTAAAATATTTCCTGGTATACGGCAGCCCTGGGCAGTTATGCCGTTCTGAATACTACCTCTGTCAATTTTTGAATTGTTAACAAAGAAAGAGGCAAGTGAACAAATAATGAAGGCAAGAAAATTGATATGAACTTTTTGAAGATGTGTACCAAGCTGAACAATGAGCTCAAATTGAATTAAACTTTTTTCAACTGATAACATCCAGAGCCAAGAATCAGCTTGGCATATTGTATGCAAATATGTACACAATTGGTTAACCCTTCCCCCTTTATATACCAAAACATAGTCTTACCTCTAACTGGAATGTGGGAACTTCATTGTAAACTCTGACAAAAATCTCTCCTACAATAAGTTCTTTTGCATGATCACTGAAGACAAATTCTGATCCATAGCTTTTATCACAGTCGCCCTTTAGAAAGAAATGTTTATTTGGTATCTGCATACAGTGAATTCTATTCTGAAATAATATACAGCTCCCTAGAACATTAACTGAATTTTACTTGCGACTTTTTCTCCAGGTCCCACATACTCTTATAATTCACAAGCATTGCTGCAAAAGGAATCCTGCAACTAAAAATCTTGTCAATTTGAACAGAATGTCTGCAACTGTTATTTCAATTGAAGAATCTTAATTATTTGCAAATAATATTTCTCACATGCGGGGTAAAGGGAGACAAAAAATGAAAAATGTAGAAAGCTACAGCAGCACTGTGTTGTACCACTGAGAAAAACAATACTGGTATTTCTTGAAGGCAAATATTTGAGGGAAAGCATTTTTTTTCAAACTTTCTAGCTTCAAATATTTTTTCAAAAGGCATGCTACTATGAAGTGATGCTATTTATAGTACACGGCATACAGACCAAATCTAATGGATCCAGTGGCCACTTCAAGTGGATTCAAGATGTTGCTAAATGATCACAGTAAGCCTCAAAAGAAGAAGCTAGAGAAAATTTTCAAATTAAATTTATAACGACTATATAGTCACAGAAGGCCAGCAACATTTAATACAGTAGTATATGAAACAAAGCTCTAAAATAGCCACATTGTCTGCTTATTTATGTATTATGAAAAATGTACCAATGGGATTTGTTTGCCTCTATTCTAGTACCTCTAGCTTGGAAACTTTGAAAAAGGGCTTACTCTTTTAATCATGCTTTCCTGCTGAGTTTCCAAAAACTCAATGAGTTCTGCTCTTGTCCGATTGTTCCAAATTAGATAAGGGCTCTCTGAATTGCTATTCAACATTTTCAGAATCTAGGTAAGAAATAAACAAAACAAAACACATTTCTCACAACAGTAATCACATTTTTTTAACCTCTAATCAGTTTCACATCCCTGTAATATTTTCAGGAGCACCACTGACCTTCTGTTTTTCAATACTTCAAGACACTCCTTTTGGTTCATCTTTAATACATTTATATTCACAGTCTTTCTTCATTTAACAAATATACCGTATATTCCGGCATATAAGACGACTGAGCGTATAAGACGACCCCCAACTTTTCCAGTTAAAATATTGAGTTAAGACAACTCCCATGCATAAGACTACACCCGCGTATAAGACGACCCCTGACTTTTGAGAAGATTTTCTTGGGTTAAAAAGTAGTCTTATACGCCAGAATATACTGTATCTCTAGCCAATGAGGTCCTAGATTTAACAGGAGTTTTAGGAGTCAGATCAAACAACCTCCATTTCACGATTGTTGCATGCTAACAAAGAGAAGGGTGTGCGTTTATATGCCATCTTGGCACACAGAGCTGGTTCTAAGATGTTGTTTTTCTCTTGGTGCAAATATCCAACCTCTAATATTTATCAATCAATCAATTATGCCTTTATTACAGTCAACAACCATAAGCCAATGCTATAGTTATATACATCTTACACATATATAGAAAAATGTGTGTGCACACTTTGTTGGGAAAATAAATAGATCATGTTGGGATGATACAAAAGGATAAAAAGCATGGAAAGACAATTTAAAAACTGCCTAATAAAATATGTTTAAAATTCAGTGCAAAATAGAATTAAAACCAAACAATTATATGAATTAAATGCACATTAAAGCCACACAGCCTTATTACTGGTAAGCAAGAATTTGATACCCCTTCTGTAACTAAGATCCGCAAGTAATACCTAGCCGTTAGTGCCAAAGCTTGCTCATTCAAGAGCGCTTGCAAGCTGGACTGTTTCGTGCACCTTGCCTGGGGGCTAAAGGCCAGACAGATGGCACAGACCTGAGCAACATCACCTTTCCTTAGGCATAATAAATGCAGTGCATGGAGTCAGGAATACAGAAAGACAGCAAAACCAAGTCCAGTGTAAGCTGTTAAGAGAAAAAGTAATAAAGGCACAAATCCAAGGTTTCTAGCTGCAGTCAGCACAGAAAAAAAGGAACTGAGGCTTTAGCCCGCCTTTGGCATATATACTCTCTGGGAGAGTAGGCAGGGCTACCATCAAACGGTTTCAATAGGAAAGATCTAGAACCGTGATGGTGAACCTATGACACGCGTGTCAGTACTGACACACGTAGCCATTTCTACTGACACGCGCCCGCCGGATATTATTTGTTTATTTATTTTATGCCATTTTAAAAAATAAATAGGAAAGAAATTATTATTTTGCAATGTTACCTAAATATTAAGGAGTTTCATATTTAAACTGAATGATAAATACTATTACTTTGCTATATTATTCAAATATTAAAATGCATTAAATTAAATGTCAAATTTAAAAATATTTAATTATTAATATTTAGGTAACATTGCAAAATAATATTGGTTTATTTAATTATTAAGTAAACGAATATTATTTTGCATTGTTTCCTATGCAAAATAGGAAACAATGCAAGTTAAATTAAATGATAAATAATAATTATATTTTTATTAAACACTCCAAAAAGGATATTATTTACATAAAGAGAGGTAGAACAACATGATAAGAGAGAAAGTGGGAATTACAATTATATATTTGTTATTTAAACTAAATATTGCGAAATTATGGTTTTTTTTTCTTGAAGTGACACACCACCTGAATTATGCTCAGTTTTTTGGCGAATTTTGACACACCACGCTCAAAAGGTTGCCCATCACTGATCTAGAAGGTTCCAAACTACATTGCGTTTGTGAAAAGTAAACCCACATATGTGATTTCACGACACCACAAAGAAGAACCAAGTCCTCCTTACTTATTGTGAAGTCATGAAGACCACTGACATTTGTTCCTCCTGATATTCCTCAGCACACTGGAAAAGTAGAAAACCAGTGCCAGTGGACCAATTTGAACTTTGGACAATGACAGTGGCTCAATGCTATGGAGTCATGAGAGTTGTAATGAAGCACCACCACTCTTTTGCAGAGAAGGTCTTTAGCCTTTTACATGATTCCATAGCACTGACCCATAGCAGTCAAAGTCGTATCAAATTACAGTGGAGATGCCCTCTTCGTTTTTGCATTTTTCTTTTGAATGGACTGCATTGACTTCTTTTTATTCATCTCAATGAGAATGTCTTTGAAAGCAAAGTAAAGTTTCTTTCAAAGGGAAATGTAGACAGACTAGATCTGGATTGCATGTTGGTTTTAGTAAGATTAATCTCCTCAACTCTGTGGAGGCAGCTAGTCAAGAAAGGAGGAAACAGCAGCATTAACCACAAAAGCTCAGGATTTATCAATGTGAGAGGATGGAGATAGAGAAAGCAAAATAAGCAAAAAGTATAGAAAAAAAAGAGACAACAGATATAACCTTTCCTGGGCATGGCAGGAGAAAGGTGGGATGAGGGTCCAAGAGAAAGGGTCTGCTTAAGAAAATGCAATGCTTTGCCTCACATGGATGGTGAGAAACAGTGCATGATCTTGCTCTACTGGTTAAGAATTGAAGGTGATGGAAAAACTTATCTTCCAAACACAAACAGACAAATTCTTTTCTTCCTCATCACCTTATCAGCCTATATATGCTCGTAACTAATTTGTCATTGTATTCTTTTAAAATAAAGCGGAGAGCATTACTAACAATGTTGTAGTACTCTCGTACCTCAACTGGATTAATCACTGCAAGTTTCCTTGCAATATACGGGGTCAGCATGCCTGCAAGACTTTTCCTTATCGTTGGATTTTCAGGTGTGGCTTGTTCTCCCGGAAGATAACCACCAAGGCGACTCAAAGCAAGGAGACTCAGCTTGGCAAGGGTATTAGCTACTTCCTGTTAAAAGAAAATAATATCATTTAAGTGGTCTGAACAAATAAATTAGGATCTTCTTCTTCCACAAGACATACAGCAAAGAAATACTGGAACAGGCCCTGGAAGATGTTCTTCTCTCACATGAGGCAATTTACAACAGCTTTCAGGGCCCAATCTGTCCTAAAATCAGGAGGCTGTGAAACAGCATTGTGAGGTGAAGCAAACCACTTTTGAAACACTTCATTGGGAGCCAAATCATCATATAAACAAGCAAACAAGACTGATATTTGGGATAGAAAAATTGCCACTATCTGAACTTTTCCTTCATGACAGTGGTTCCCAACCTGTGGTCCGTGGACCACTAGTGGTCCCCAAGAACAAAATATGGTCCATGACCTCACCATTACTACACAGTTGCAACGAGAGCGACTGGTCTCATGAAACCCTCTTAAAGTGCTGAGGCAACTTGGATGTCAGGAGGGGAGGGGCTGACTACCCACAAAAGGTACAACAAGTAGCCTCCTGACTGCTGTTTCTCCTCCCCCTGAGTGGAGTGGGTGAGCAAATGGCGATTACTGGATGGCATACTGTATGCTCTGTATCAGAAACTAGAGATGTGGTCTATCCAATGCAGTTTTCTGAATCACCCCAAATAACCAAATTGGGTTTTCTGAATCACCCCAAATAACCAAATTGTATCTAAAGTTGAGCAAAAACTGATTGTAACCCTTTTGGTACTAATGTTGGAGAGTGGTCCCTGGTCAAAGTGGTGCCTGATCAAAAAAAGGTTGGAAACCATTGCTTAATGAGAAATGAAAGGTCTCCTAATTTTACCCTGTCTTCTGGGTTCATGAGGCAGGCAGGACATATACTAGTGATTTATTTTTGCTTCCTCAAAAGAAGGTTTGACAAGATGTGCAATAAAGACATAATTATGGCATAATAGGTTAAGATCGGAAAGCCAAGATTTGGGGACAGAGATTTGGGGAATGTCTGTCCACTGTTCAATTAGGTTGCAGAAAATGCAGAGGATCAGTATCAAGGATAGTGTGGAACAGCAACTCCCTCAACCACACATGGAGGCAGTAACTTCTCAGTCTGCTGGCCAAATTCAAGAGGGACTGGTGGAGCAGGCTGAGGAAGGGTTAATAGTGCCTTCATTTCTGGAGCAAAGAAGGGAGAAAGCACAGTTGAGACTATCCAGTACATTAGGAGAGAAATTGGCCAGGAAGCTACTGTAGAAGCCAGATTTAAGGCATTGCAGCCTGCTGGTAACCTGAGAGTGGTGGAGTCTTTTTGGAGATGGGATATCTCGTTTGTTGTTGAAGTGGTTGTTAATGAGTATGAACTGTTAGACCTTGGAATGGACTATTTAAGATTATTTGGAGATTCCTTGGCAAGGTATTTGACAAGCAGCCATAGAACACAATTACAGGAAGAGCTTGGTGATTGTCTGTACATCAGTAAGACAGTACTGTAACTGTTAATACTCTTTTCTCTGTTGGTTGGTTTACAGATCTAATCTGTAGGCTTATATTAATATATTAATGGGATGATCAGACAAAAAGCCAAGGTTTCTTCTGAGGAAAAAGAAAATGTTGCTTGAGTCCCAAAGTAACAGCAAAACAAGAATCTATTAGCATGGTCAATTGCCTCTTGAGTTGGTAAGAGAAGACTTCTTGTAATATATAAGAAGTCACAAAATTATACAACCCACAGACTGTCTGCATCTCCCTATCCATTTTTCGTTACTCAGTTCATCAACAGTCTCCTACAGTTATTACTGCTACTAGTGAAAAAAGCAGAATTGTATAATTTAAAAAGCATATTTTCCTTTACAAACAATTCATATTCCACACATGCCTAATTTACTAACAGGTTTTACTCCCAGAAACAAGGCACATGGTAAAGTTAAAATCAAAGCACTGCTTTTCTGCTACTGTGGCAGAAAATTCCATTGTGTGGTGAAATGGCTCCTTGTCACTTCAGAGGAAACAGATTCAAACCCCAGATCCTCAAAGTTACCCAGTTTAACCTGAAAGCAGAGCATGTTAAACAATGAATTTCCATTTAAAATAGTTAGTGCAAATTCCCCAAACCATTTTTAAATGTTCAGTATATATTTATAATATGATTACCTGCTGATTGGAGTCTTCACTCTTTTGGATACCACTCTCTTCTAGCGTGTAATCATAGTTGAAAAGGTAGCCCAGCAAATACCACAGAACTCCAGCTTGAAATAGATGTGTCTGTAGCCAATAATCCACAGCAAATGAGCTGACACATTCTACACCAAGAGAAGCCACGCGTGCAATGTTCTAAAGAAAACGGAACATGTTTAATTCGCTTTGCTGTATGAACAAGTTATGTTGCAGCCCAGCTGGAAAGTAAGGGGATAAAAACAAATGCAAAACACCATAAAGTGAAACAGATGTATTTGTTTTAGTTCTTATGTTCTAATGCTATTGTGTTATAAAGTCACGAGGAGACCCTGGTGGCGCAGTGGGTTAAACTGCTGAGTCTGATGAATGTTAATTAGGAAACTACACATTTTTATGCAAGTAAGAAATGTCTTAAACATGTCTCAAAGACCTATACCATGTTTCCAAACCTTAGAGAATTCAGGGGTGCTCCATTTATTTAATGGATGTCTCTGATGTGCTCATTTTCTCATCACACGCAGGAATTATTCCATAAAAGATCAAAGGAAGCCAGAACACAGTAGCTATACGTGAGCCTACCTTGCCATGATACAGCACTCTACATAGATCCTTGATGATATTTGGCATTTCAGTTATTTTCTCTCTGCAGTCTTCAAATTGGGCTGCCACGCTGTAACATTTACTGATATGGCCGCACACCTATAAATAGAAAGATTTTCCTAAGGTGCAAAATAGTAAGATGGTGTATAACAAAGGCTAAATGAGGAGAGTAAATATTGTGCTTTTTAAAGGAATGAAGGAGCTTCAAACAATGCATTTACAGCATTGCTATTTGCTCAGGTTTATCTTGTTGCTCTCTTCCCACATACTACCGTTTATGAAACCCCTGATTTTGTGCCTGGGAGGATTTTCATTTCTATTTGATGTACAACAAAGGATTAGAAACAGCAATCCGTCCAATGTCATTCAAAAGTTTGTGGATAATGGAAGTGGGAAGAGAGCTCTTCATAAATACAATTATTGTTTTCTACAGATAAATATGGGGAAACTCTTGTCTGAAACTCTGCAGAACTGCCGATGTTCAGTTCACAACTAATACTGAACTACACGAACTAATGGGCAGACATGGTTTAAGGCAACTCCCCTGTTCCCATGAACTTCACCATGTAACAATTTATATTTGAGTTCAAGCAGACACACAGGACAAATTCTCCATTACAGAATTTAAAACTTACTTGGACTGACATATCGTCTGGTTTGCTAGAGCGTGTCAGGACAGCAACACAACGATTAAAAGCCTCTTGCAAGACCTGTGGGGAATAAACATTTTTTTTCTGTAGCTTTCCAAAAAAGCTATCAAAACAACAAAGATTTTTCTCTGCAAACTTCTGATACTAATTTAGAACTATGTCATAAAAATTAATATATTCTGTATAAATAGTATTCCCAGCCAGACTGCTGGTACTGTTTAGAGTACTATAGCTTTCTCTGAAGCAAATATACAATTTCCTTTCTTTGGAAGAAAATAACTATTTTAACATTAATTCATGTAGAATGGAAGTCGCTTATGTGCTTAATATTTGTCAGTAACTTAGTGTAACATATGAATTTTTGTGTTGTTTATGTAAATTTGCTGACTAGCCAATAACAACAGTTTAAGGATATCATCACATGAACAGCTAACAAGCCTACTTTCAAGAGAATGTGCAACTATAAGAGTGTCATTTAAACAAATTTTGCAAATAAAAGTTTAACAGAAAGAAATACAACTATTTTCTAAGCTTTACTATAACAGGATTCTACCTCTATTCCATTCTCTCTTCTTAGTTCTTCTGCATTAAGTGCTGAACAGTTGACAGTGTAGAAAGCCAGCTCAGTAGCAGCAGGCAACAAGGGAGACTCTTTGGAGAACAAGAGGTCATCTGAAGTCTCTATTGTGATTGTTTTGATCAACATAGGGTAACCTGCATATTTATAGGGCTTCAATTCTTGAAAAAGAAAAGAATACAAAGGTTATTAAATAAGTTGAGTACTGTCATGCCACAGGGATTGGCAAAGGTACATTTAGATCTCCAGGCCCATTTTTTACCTAATTCCCCCTATTTCATCTAGAGCAGGGGTGTCAAACTAAAGGTTCATGGGCTGAATCAGACCGCCATGTTATGTTATGTGGCCCTGCAGATGCTGGATTACAACTCCATCATTAGACATTATCATGATTAGAGCTGATGGGAGTTGTGATACAGTAACATCTGGAAGGCTGCCCTTTGTTCTGTTTATTTATTTATTTATTTATTATTAGAACTTATATGCCGCCACTCCCCTGAGGCCTGGAGCTGCTTACAAGAATGACTAAAATCTAACACAATTTAAAAACAATTTAAAAACAGCAATATCAAAAGTCAAAGGCCTGTCGAAACAGGTATGTCTTACATGCCCTGCGGAAAGCTGATAAGTCCCGCAAGGCACGGACTTCAGGTGGCAGAGTATTCCAGAGTGATGGTGCCACTGCTGTTAAGGCTCTACGTCTGGTTGCTGTTAGACGCAAGGTCTTGACACTGGGAATTTCCAATAGATCTTGGTCCTCAGAACGGAGGGATCTCTGGGGTTGGTAGGGGGTGAGGCGGTCCCTCAGGTACATCGGCCCCAGACCATGCAAGGCCTTAAAGGTGAGTACTATCACTTTGAAAGTGATCCGGTGCTCAATTGGTAACCAATGCAGCTGTAGTAAGATCGGTGTTATGTGGCATCTCATCAGAATTCCCGCAAGAAGCCGAGCAGCTGCATTTTGTACCAACTTAAGCTTCCAGATCACCGACAGAGGAAGGCCAATGTAGAGGGTGTTACAGTAGTCCAGTCTTGAGATGACCATAGCCTGGATCACCATAGCTAGGTCCTCCCTGGACAGGTAGGGGGCCAGCCGTCTAGCCTGCCGCAGATGAAAAAAAGCGGTTCTGCTAACGGCGGAGACCTGGGCCTCCATCGTCAGCAGAGGGTACAAAAGGACTCCCAGACTCTTTACCAATGATGACGGGCATAGCGCCTCACCATCCAGGGTAGGCAGCTAGATATCCCCACTGCCCGGCCATAGGATCTCCATCTTTGCTGGTTTCACCCTCAACCTGCTGGCACACAGCCATCCAGTAACGGCCTCGGGGCACTGATGGAAATAATCGGGTACAGAGTCCGGTCGGCCTTCCATCTTCAGCACCAGCTGAGTGTCATCAGCGTACTGATAACACTCAAGCCCAAAACCTCGAACCAGCTGAGCAAGTGGTCGCATATAGATGTTAAACAACAGAGGGGAGAGAATGGCCCCCTGAGGAACCCCACAAGACAGAGGGGACCTCTCAGAGACCAGGCCTCCCCTCTCCACTCGCTGTCCACGGTTGTGAAGAAAGGAGGACAGCCAATTTAAAGCTGTCCCCCTGACTCCAACAGCAGCAAGGCGGTGGGTCAAAAGATTGTGGTCGACTGTGTCAAATGCTGCTGTGAGATCTAATAACACAAGCAGCGCTGACCGCTCTGGTCAAGCTGGCATCAAAGGTGATCCGTGATGGAGACCAGCACAGTCTCTGTCCCGTGCCCCGCACGGAAGCCGGACTGGAAGGGATCTAGTCTGGCTGTGTCGTCTAGGAATTGCTGCAACTGCTCCCCTGCTGCCCTCTCAATCACCTTGCCCAGGAACAAGAGATTCGAAACTGGGCGGTAACTGGAGGGAACCGAGCAATCTAAGTCTGGTTTCTTCAGCAGGGGAGAGACCACTGCCTCGTTTAAACCCTCTAGAAAAACTCCTTGCTCAAGGGAGCTGTTTATAATCTTCAGCAAAGGGTCACGTAATCCCTCCAAGCAGGATTTCACCAACCAAGAGGGACATGGATCGAGTAAGGAGAGTGGGTTCTGAATTTAGATGCAAAGCTTGTGGATATGATGTCTGCCTTTAAAATATTCTTGAACCTTTTGGCAATCTCAGAGCAACAAATGTTGTTGAGCTGCAATTTCCATTATCCTCAGTCTGCTTGGCATACAGTCAAAAGTGATAGTTTTCGTTCAATAATATCTGGGGACCCAAACTGAGTAAAAATATTATAGTTGGCCCTCTGTACGCATGTATTCTCCATCCATGAAGCCAACCATAAGGCTGATTTTGCCTTTGATGAAAATGAGTTTGACATCCCTGCTCTAGCAGATACAGAGAATGATTTTATACATGTTTTCATCTGGGGGTTGAGAGCTTTTTTCCCCTCAAAATTGGAAGTGTCCAACTTTGTTACGAGCTTTACATAAAGTCTCCTCCGAATGAAAATCAGCTGCAGGCAAAGATAGCCTCCACTGAGCAGTCTACTGTGGTCCTGGAGGATACATATATACAATCTTCAAATTTCAAAAACCTGCTGGTCCAGCATCCACGGGAAACACTTTAAGTCCTTACAGGATTAGTCCTTCTCTCGCTCAAGAAAAGAGTTGTGACCAAAAGGAAGCACAATGTAGTTGCTTTTCAGCAAAGCACAATCTAGAAAACCTTTTATAATGTACAACAGTATATATTATGTTGTCATGGTCTTTACGTCTACCATATCCTGAAACCAGTTCCCCATATTAAGTTAAAGGCAGTGTTTGAGTATCAGAAAAATTGGGCAGCTTCTGAGAAAATGTATGATTCAAATGAAAAGCTTTTGAAGAAATGATCTTAAGACTATTTTAGTCGTTCAACTTGTCATTTAGTTATACTGACTCTGTGGTGTGTGTTTTGATCAACCCTAAAAACTAAAGAGCACCGATCACTATGTGTATTTGTGTGTGTGTGTGTGTGTGTGCACACACACTAGTAGACTTCTGTATCCATGGATTCTCTATCCATGGATTCAGTGGCCCTTTCAAGGCAACAATAAACTGATGTGGCCCTCGATAACAATGAGCTTGATACTCTCATTTTAAACATTAAATGTTAATTTAGAATGGTGCAGTGTCAATACACCTACGGTTTCAAAATGAGTCTACTACAGTACAGGACATAAAATAAGTAAAATACCTCTGCTACAAACCAAAATATGGTAATTTTCCTTATTTGCTGCTTCCGGTAATGCCTCAATCTAAGTTTTATATGCACATGCTAAGCCAAGTTACCTTCTTTGTGTCTGTTGAAAAGGATGCTTTGAGCTTTCAAAATCAAAATTATGTTCTCAGGGTCTGGACCATCTACCATTTTGGCTGATTTTGTGCACAGAAATTCATATGCCTTATTCACCTTTTCAAACATATCCTGCAGATATATGCATATAAAGAAACATGAATTTCATTTTAAAATACATTCACAATTGTTACAAAATACTGAAAAGAATTATCAACCAATCTACATTTCAGAGAAAAGCTGTATTTTACTGCATCACCTTCAAATACATGTATCCATTTCTAGGATCACTTTAATACATTTCCAACTTGCAACAAAGATTTTCCTCTGGAAAGTCCTGAAACACACCCACCCCAGCCTTAACAAGCTTTGCATGCGAGTTCTTTATGTTTTTCTGCATGGCAGGGGATTGGACTGGATGACCATTGTTGTCTCTTCCAGCTCTGTGATTCCAGGACCAAAAGTAACTTAATGTAAGGACACAAGAACTGAAGAAAAGTGTTGTATTCACATTATGATGAAATTCTTGCAACACGAGCTGTCACAAGAGTATCCCGTGAAGGAAGTGAGTGAAATATGAGATCAAGTGCAAAACCTCCTCCTCCAAATAAATAGGGCAGCTACAGATATGCTCTGGAGATCTTATATTCATAATGATCAACACACCAGGCTAAAACACCTTTTACAGGCATAATGCATATTTAATGTATAGCACTTACTCGACCTTCTGGATTCTTGTCAGGATGATATTTCTGAGCCAGTCTAAAATAAGCTTTCCGGATCTTGCTTTCTTCATGTCTAACAGGGAAAAATAGTTGCTTACCTAGGATTCAATATCTCATTATTCAGTCAGAGAACAAAGATTTAGATTTTACACACAGAATAGTAACTGATAAATTATTTTCTGTGTACTCTGGCAATGGTTATTTTGAGTTACAGATTTTAGCCCATTGCCTGGGCATTTTTAACTCATTTTTCAAAAGAAAGACACACATAACTCCCAATCTTCTGCTTGCTGCTGAATAGTAGTAGTAATGATACACTTACAACTCCTTCAAAAGGAATGTACTACAAACACTCAGGACATGGTAGACCCCTAACAGTTCTGCAATTGCAGGAGGGCCAGAGCTTTTTGGTATAGTGAATTAGTTATGCAAATGTATGTTCTCAGAAATAAAATACTTCACTCCTTCCCACTATACCAGAGCTAGGTGAATGTGTTGCCCTTTGATTATCACTGGATTGTACCTTCCATCAGCCTTAGACCAAAGAACAGATGGTAAAGGGTGATGGGAATATCAATCTAGCAACATGTGAAAGGCTACAACTTCCTCGACCCAACACTATATTTGCACATACAACTAGTATTCTTAAATAAGCAATACAGAGATAAATCAGTGGATACAGATATTCTCAAACAGAATTGCACTTCATGCTGAACTACTAGAATATTGGTACCACATAAAAATGCCCTGAGATATCCTAAATGTCACTTTTCTACCTTTAGGAGCTAACCAGAGGTCAATTAAATATAAGGCAATGCAAGTAAGGTTCCTTCACATTAAAATTTCATGTTAATTATGAAAAACTTACTGTCCTTGCCCCTTTGGAAGATGCAGGACTTCGTAAGCATCGTCTATTGACATTGTAGGCGCCTTCTTCTCTACCTCCTTCTTCCAAGCTTCTAAGGTATCTTTCAAAAGTTTAACCTAAGTGAAGGAAATTCTCAATGAATTATTTTACAGAAGGAATGGGACTAATGTTGTGGAACAATTGCTGTAGCTCTTGGAGTTGCAGTTTAACAGAATCTGGTGGGCCAAAACAAATCTGATCCTTCTTCTAAAGTGCACTTTGGGCTCTTCCAGGAGAGGATATTCAAAACTTGATAGGTAATTTAAGATTAATTTTTATTAGAAAACTGAGGATTTCCAGTTGTGCAATCACAGCTTTAACAATTCTTCATGAATGTCCTCTTATTTCGTATTCTGCTGTGTTACAAAGTGAGAAGAGTACAAGTATGACTTACGGGATCTTTAATTGGCCAATCAGGAAACCGGAGCTTATCACAAAGATGCCTGAGGTAATAAATGTTACAAAACAGCTCATTCTCCAGTTGAGGATAACTTATGACTGGTATGGGACAGTACTGGTAAAGTGCCCTTGTATTGCTCTGAAGACGAGGAGTGAAGTCAGCGAGATGAGCAGCTATCTTCTCTATCATGAGGCGCCTGTGAATTGCAGAAGCAAGCCAATGCTGACATTCAGAATCAGATACCGATATATCACCACATTATTAAATACAGTTATTTGTAGCAAGACGAAAGACACTCGATTGATTTCATCAATGCAAGAAAACTACCACAAGAAACAGAGGTCAGGTTTGCCTTCCACCCACAGCCCACCATATATTTTAAATGAAACATATACATTACCTCATTTCATTGCTCCAAATAGCCTCTGGAGTGTCAAATTCACCCAAAAAAATTTCAGAAAATTTTTCTGCATCATAATTTTCTAAGTAACACACCATAGCTTCTGGTAGGATATGTCCAAGGATACTTCTCTGAACTATATCTTGCCCCTTGGTCTAAAATGAAGGAAAGAAGGGACCAACTGAGTCATAAATACCATCAAAAAGAGTGTTGATGTACACATAAAGGCAAAGGTGGGGAAAACAGGGGCTCTGTACTGACATGCCCCAACAAGCCTGTATTTTAACCATATCTAAATATCCACTCTAGGCTCCAGGATTATCTTTTTTGAACCAAAAAAAGAAATTGCTTCCCCAAGAGCAGCATTTCACCTCTTAAATATGTTGCATGGTTCTCCCATGCTGTTTTAAAGAACAGCCATTTCTCAAAATAAAAAGTGGAGTTGTGGCAGATTTTTAAAAAACATTATTTAGCATTTTTTTACTATTTATATAGCCCCTGGAAGACTACAGGAAGAGAAAAATGCCAAAGTTTCAAAGATTTTCACTAATGGATTGCTTCTTGGGTATTATTTCTTCGAAGAAATTATTACAACACAGAAATCAGTTCAATTGGCTACAATGGGACTTACTCAAAGGTATACAGGATGGCAGCCTGTGTTTTTTGGGTTTCTTTTTTTAAAGCATTTGTGACCTGCTCCTTACCCAAAAAGGTCACTAAACCAGAAGTGGAACAACAACTAAAGGTTCTTCCCTGCAGGCTTAAAGTTTTAAAAATTATACAAAAGGAAAAAGGAAGGGGAGGAAGTAGGTAACAAAAAGTCATTCAAAAGGGATGTTGGACAGGTCTGCTCACCAAATGCAACAATACAGCACAAAAATAAGTTGATATTTGCAAAGTTTTCTGACATTTTCAAACCCATCACATTTTTCTGACAGCTTAATTGGCCCTCTGTTTCCATAGGTTCTGCATCCATGGATTTAATCAACCATGAAAATTAGGAAAAAGTAGTCCAAAAAAGCAACCCTTGTTGTTTGCCATTTTATTTAAGGGATGCCATTTTACATAACGGAACTTCAGTAGCAACAGGTTTTGGAACCTAGAGGGTTCTGGAACCTACCCCTGTAAATACCAGCGCCCACTGTATTTACATTGACTGCTATATTTCCATTTATATATGAATGGAAAGCAAATTTATCTCTAAATATTGGAATGGATCGGTTATCTTCAGAGTAAATTCAATAAAGTCTGTGGGACTTTTGTAATGATTAAGTCCCATAAATTTGGGTGGGGGGGGGGAGGTTCCCTCCAAGTATGACTACATCAGGCTTAGGTAAACTTCAGCCTTCCAGGAATTTTGGGTTTCAGCTCCCACAATTTCTAACAGCCAGTAAGCTGGCTGGAATTTCTGAGAGTTGAAGTCCAAAAAACATGGAAGGCCGAAGTTTGCCCATGCCTGGACTAAATAATCATTTTTGTCCCACTTCTAGGGAATTAGAAACTTCTGACAGCAAACTACTTAAGAGGCTGGTATACAGGGCAATTCTAGCCAGCATGTAGCTACAAATTCATATATTAATTGCTCAATAAATCTCCAGAGCTAGTTTACTTGCAAGAATATTACCAACTTTAGTCTAGTAAATGCCATTTACCTCCTCAGATTTGAAAGCCTGCTTTGCATGTGTATACTTCAGAAACCTGGAAGATAAATTACAATTTAGTTTGAAGGCAAAAGCTTTTACATACAGTTTAATGTATATTCTATGCAGTCTCTGAAGGCTGTCATATGTCTTTTATGATGTTCCTCACTTTCACAGGTATTCACATAGCTGCTATTTTCTGTCCAGGTATTGTGAAAGGCCATTGGCGAGACTACAAGGAGTCATTTTTATTAATCTGTTAACTTTTCTTGGTTAAAAAAGGCAACATTAATATATTAAATGTAAAGCCTTTGAAGTTTTATAACTTTGGTTACATGCCTCTGAGCTTTCCCCTCAACTTATCTATGGATCATATCAAAAGCCATAATTTTGGCTGCAAAACCTGTCCTTGACTTAGATATGAGATATACAGTTTATAACTTTAAATCAGATGGAAAAGATATTGAATTAGATAAAGATTATCCGTATCTTGACTCAATGATTAATCAGAATGGCGATTGCAGTCAAGATATCAGAATAATATTTGGACAAGAAGCTACCAAGGAATTAGACAAGAGCCTGAAGTGTAAAGATATATAATTGAACAATGAAGTTAGAATTGTCCATGCCATTGTATTTCCCATAGTTTTGAATGCCGTGAAGAAAGCTGTTAAGAAGAAAATCAACTCATTTGAAATATGGTGATGTTGAAGAGTTCTATAGATACCATAGACTGCTAAAAAAAAAACCAAATGAAATTATTCTTAAGAGCAAATCTAGCCCAAACTTTCCCTATAAACCAAGATGACTAAACTGAGAATTTTGTATTTTGGGCATATCATAAGAAGATATGGCTCAATAAGAGAGACGATGTTTGGAAAGTTAGGAGAACAAGGGGAAAATCATATTACAGACAGATAGACTTAGTCAAGGAAACCACGGCCTGTAAGATCTCAGCACAACTGTTGATGACAGGGTGACTTTGAGGTTTCTCATTCATAGGCTTGCCTTAAGTTGAAGATTTGATGGCAGTTAACAAGTGATATACATAAATGAAAAATGCTGAATAAATACAAATGATGCTGAACATTTTTTTTGTTTTTACCTTGCAACAGGGAGTACATTGGAACCAGTGTACATCATAATGAAGAAGAATACTCCACTGAGGTAAAGACGAGGTAATTGTGGATTATCTTGCATTATGTAGAAAAGCAATATGGCGACTTTCTCAACGAGAATGGGATCAAAAGTCAGCAAAAGCTGCAATGTAAACAATAACAATTACAAGTCATGTACAAATTAAGTTACTTTTCTCCTTCCCAGTTAAAACATGTATTTCATAAATTAAAGAAACAATAGCAAAACAGAAGCTGCAATGTAAACATTAACAATTAAAAGTTGTGTACAAATTCAATTACTGTTCTCCTCCCCAATTAAAACATGTATTTTCTGAAACAAAGAAACAATAGCAGAACACACACTGAAGAGCAAACAACCAAGTTCTAAAAAGATCAGTTGGCAGATCAACAAACCTGAATAATATGTGGAAGGCAGGTGCTGTCTGAAAGAAGCCGTTTCACTCTGGGCAAAGGTCTTATAATAGCATTATCCTGATCCCTAAAACGAAAAAAAAAAAGTTTTCTGAATTGGGTCTATGAATACATTTTACTCTAATTGCTTTCTAACTTATTTTATAGAAGCGAAAAAATTATTTTACAGACATTAAATTCAAGATGCACTTCAATGCACTATTTACAGTTTTATTCTAGTCTCAATTAGGAGTGACAAAGGTTGGAATCAACTTGACAGCAATTTAAAACAACTTTTCTAATTGTTTAAACTGTTAACTTAGGGCATTGTTGCAGTTACATGTATCTTTTGCTTTTCTGTTTTTGGTCAAAATGGTTTTTATTTACAGGTGGACTAAATACTCTAAGAAAAGTGTTTCTCAAACTCTGCTCCTTCAGGTGTTTTGGACTTCAATTCCCAGAAATCCCAGCCATTTTAACAGCTGTTAGGAATTGTGGGAGCTGAAATCCAAAACACCTAGAGGAGAAGGATTTGAGAATACTGCTCAAAAGACAACAGATCTCTTCTGATTTTGGAAGTTAAACAGAATCAACCCTGGTTAGTATTTGTATCGGAGACTGCCAACCAATACCAGATGCTGTAGATTATATTTCAGAGGAAGAAACTGGCAAAATCACCTCTAAGAAAGTCCCATGAAATCCATTTGGTAGCCACAATTTGATGAGTGACTGGAAAGCATGGAGACACACACATTCCTATTTATTAATTTTGAATTTACATCCTGCCTTTCACTTCCAGCTTGGGACTCAAGGTGGCTGGATCCAATGCTATCAACAGGATCAATTTTCATTCGAGATCTTTGTATACAAAGAAATACCCATTTATACAATTCTAGACTCCTTACCTACTGGGAAAATAGCTACACATTGTGACGAGCATGTTAAGGATCAGGGTGGCAAGATCTGTCTCATTCAGCACAGCCTGTCCAGTGGCAAGCAGGCACCACTTTAGCTGAGGGATAACTTGCAATGGGCGCCATCCATCCATGCCCTGGGCCCAGCAGCGTGTTTTCGAGGTGAGCGTCCCTTTGTTCCACAGCTCTTGCATCTGTTAGAAATTATCTCAGTGAACACACCGTAATCACAAGCAAGGGTTTTTTGTTGTTTTGTTTCCTAAGTTGTGCTGAAGAAGAACCATACACTTTCAAGCATTTTCAACTACATATAGACAGAACCACACTTTTAAGAACAATGTATTATAGGAAGTATGAAGCAATTAACAGAATGAGTGAAAACACAAGGACCCGGGATCAAATGAAAACAACCCTTTCAACAGATCTCAAAACTAGCGATTCACAAGATGGCTGTGGTGCAACAGCATTAGATAACTCCAGCAGCTGAGTTGTCCTGCAGCACAATACTTCATCAGCATGAAAGCAAACAAATGAGACACAACTCTGAAGGATTGCAAGAATAAGGAGGAAAGACACTTGCAAAGATCGTATCTGCACAAATGTCAGCACCAAACCAACAGAAACCCAGTAGTGCAAACTGAACAGCACGTTCTGGTCTTGAGATTAACCCAGTTAATGGATGAGCTGAAAATCCCAGGAATGCAGACAGTGAGATCTGATACACTCTACAAACATTTCCTCTCTTCAAAATAATTTTTACATGGGCATGTTTCATGATATTGAGTTTTCATGTAAATTACCTTCAAATTAACAAGTAAACATCCTTGCCAGTTACCTCATGAAAACTGTAAGGACCGCTCCTTTCCTTGTCTGCATTTCCAAAGTACCATTCTTTTTCACTCTCTCTCTTCATATCAGGTGAAGCTTCTATTACATTGCTCTAAAAAAAACAATTTATCTAATCATTATTTTAAACAAGGAAATACAAATTTCTCCATTTAAACATTAAGCAACTTTGCTTGTTAGTAGTTGATAGATGCCATACTTGCAATGGGACTGTCGCCCTGCTTGTGTGAAGGTGGGCCAGAGTGAGGAGGTCTACCAGGATCCTAATGCCATTTGAATCCATAAGTTCCTTGACATTTTTCTGCAAAAAAAAAAAAAAAAAGGAATAAAGATCTCAAAAGTCTTTTTTAATGCAAACTCTTCCACAGTTTGTTTTTTTTGTGATACAGTAGTGCAATACTGGAAATAAAGGTTTTTGCTTGCACTAGTGTTATTTATTCATTCGATTTATATCATGCCTTCTTCAGAACTAGACTTTGTGGCAAACAAAATAAAAACCAATAATATTTTTAAAGTCATATAGATAAAACATCCAAAGACTAAATATAATTTACCTCTACCTAAAGTTATTATAAAACATACTAATAACAAGTACAGGACAGTACATTAGTAAAAGTCCTTTTCTTGGAAACAGAGTTTCCAGGAACCTGTCAGAATAAAATATGACTTTATTTACAATTATAAAAAGGAAGAGGCCAATCTAGGGACTCCAGGGCCTGGGAAAAGCCACTCAGGAACATCTAAATTTGGTCACAGATTAGCAAAGCTTCCAGATTTTCATACTGTAACTGTGGTTCTCTAAGTGGTCATGGCAAAACTGATATATGTACTGTATATACTTGAGTATAAGCCAAGTTTTTCAACCCTTTTTTAAGGCTGAAAAAGCCCCCCTCGGCTTATAACTCGAATCAAAATTATTTTATTTTACTCTATTATTATTAAATTTATTATTTGACTCTATTTATTATTGTTGTTATTATTATATTTACATTATTTGACTCTATTATTATCACAATTATTATTTTACTCTTTTATTACTATTACTTTTCCATCATTTGACTCTATTATTATTATTATTATTATTATTATTATTATTATTATTTTAATTACATTTATTATTTTACTCTTTATTATTACTGGAAAGCTAAATAAGCAAGTTTACATTGAAGAAGGTTAGAATAATGGTTTAATCAGAACTGGACAGTCTTATCTTAAATTACAGTTTATGTAAATATTCAAAAACATTTAACTTACTGATGCCTCAATTAATGTAATTTTATTGATATTTTTATTTTGAAATTTCTTAGTAGCGGCTGCATTTCCCACCCTCAGCTTATACTCAAGCCAATACATTTTCCCAGTTTTTTGTGGTAAAATTAGGTGCCTCGGCTTATATTCAGGTTAACTTATACTCGAGTATATACAGTAAGTCAAAACCACTAATACATTTTGGTTGGATGCATTTGATAAACCACTCTCCAGAAAATAGAACTGCATTATGAAACCTATTCTTACAATTTATAATATTTGTTTCTACTATAAAAACCTCTCAAACTAAACGTGCAGATATCTGATGCACTGGAAGTAAAAAAACAAAAAAACAAAACCAAAACCAGACATCCTGAACAACACACAAAGAAATGTATCTATTGGCTTATATGGAAGACTATTAGAGACAGGTCCAGATAAACATGGCCTGACGGTCATTGGCAGGGCCCTCCTATCAAGTACTGGGAGTGTAGCAACAACAAAGCTACAATGCTCTGGGAATCAACTTTATTTTAAAACACAACTGTGCAGACTGTGATTTTGCTTTAAAACTAGACACACATTTCCTGAGTATTTTGTTAGTTTAAAAAAGTCCTATGATTTAGTTATTGTGTAAAATCTAGTGGTGCAACAAAGTAATGCTAGCTACCTCTCTTGTGTGGACTCTAGTTTGTCTGAGGTTCTACTCAACTGGAACATGACACAAATTATGGGATTATTTCCAGATTTTTGAGATGTAACTTTTATGATAAATAAGATGTCCTTTATGATTTAATACCACCTCCTATTTATACCCCTAGAAATAAGGGAACATTCTAATAAAGAGCTGTTCAAGGAAAATATGTCTTTATGGCCAACTCAAACTGCCATGGTGCTTTATTACCGCTTCAAATTTTCAGAATTTAACTATTCCAATGGCCTTGCAGTACAGCTGCTCACCTTGTTTAGGATCAGTTTGTTAAGGAAAAGTATCAGCCGGTCCCGCTCAAGTCTATCAGTACACTAGAAAAAAATACAAAAATATTTTAATAAAGAATACAAAGAGATATTTTAATTGGAAATAAAAGAGTAACTGCATGCCAACAGCAAAATTTACACAATATTATCCTTGAATTCCTCAATTTTGCATGTACTCTGCAAAACTATAATAAAATGAGCACTTGTTTATTGTAACAATAAGTTAGAGGCTAAGAGCAACACAAATCTTTTGTGTCTGGCTCTAGGAAAAAAATGATCTAGAACTCAAATAATATTAATAAAACAATTATAAAAGCTGCCTCAATAATGAGTTGAACTTTGGCGTCTTTCCTGTAAGTCTTACTTGCCAGGTACAAGTAATTTTTTCTCCAAAATATAGATATATTTTTGGATAAATGTGGTAGCGGTGGCTGGGTGAGGGTAGGGAAAAGAACAGTGTTGATCAGGAAAAATTGGAATTTGTCTTAGATATAGGCCACATTTTATGCAAAGTGACTTCTGACTGGTATACAAATAGCACTGCTCAGATACGATGCATTACAGCTATAGGAACATAGGCCGCAACACTGTGATCAAATAATACCCAATCTGAAAGACAAGAATAATTAAATTATGTTCAAAAGAAACATGATTAAATGCTTTGTTACAGTAAAATATGAAAACAGCAGATTATGTGTCTCTGGAAGCTACTTAAAAAATTCCAGATGAGTTTCATTAAGTGATGAGATCAGGCCATAAGAAATAGGATACAAATGTTAAACGGTCAATCTAGAAGGATTGTCTCAAAAAGGATTCATATGTAAAAGAAAATAATCCTCCTAGTGGTGGTGGGAATTGTAAATGTTGTGTATGTGTATGTTCTTGTCCTAATTTTTTTTTAAAAAGAGTTTCATTAAGTGATGCTTGCCTACTCCATTCTTCCCAAATTACATGTACTAATAAAAAGCCACTTACCCTTTCCAACATCCCGATGATATATCTAGTGTCACCAAATGGGCCTATCTCTTCATAGCATCTTCCATAAACAATGGCTAAGGCTTGTAAGCACAGGCATTTCATATTTATTTTAGGGGTGAGTAGAAAACGATGGTACAATTCATTGAAAAATTCATACCTGTGACAAGAAAAAATAGAACAAAGGGTTTGAGGGGCACAACAGTAGATATAAAACACAAGAGGATATCTGGATAATAGTAACTCACGATTTTTTTATTGCTCCGCTTTCCTCACTTTCATCTTCTTCCAAGAGCAACCTCAAGTAATAATCACCTATTTTTATTTCCTCTGACAGGCATTCATATTTCACCTTAAAAAGAAGAAAAATGGGAAAGAAATTGGCATAGACCATATTATCACCTTTTTATGAGGTCTGAAGACAGGCTATCTTTCCTTCATTATCCAGGACAGGCAAAATCACGTACTGATAACTGAGGAAGAGGTTATGTTCTCTGGATTGTTTCAACTACTGCTGAGCTTTAAAAGAGCAATGACTGTTTAGATCCAAGGAAAAGTTGATAGGCGAGGAAGAGGGCATAACAGCCCTCTAGGGTAATTGAACATCCTGTATGTTAGCACTCCAGGCCTGTTTCCTCAACCCACTTAAGAAAGAGCAGGAAAGATAGATGTCATTCTACAAATAATATAAATGTCAAGAACAGTTTTTCTGGGAACACCTTAACATCCAAGAGAATGGGAAGTACCCAAGACAGATCCTTCATAATGTAGGGGTTATTATTCTGGACACTAAGTTTTACCAACTTCAGACTAATGGGTATACCTGCCATAGGCTGCCTCTGTTGGGATATAGAGATCCATATAGCAATGGCAGGTGAATGTATGGGCCTATGTTACCATGCTGGTTTCCACCTTAAGGCCGATAAGTTGAGAAAACTTTGGTTCACTATCTGATCAAATGTATTTCCACTAAATTATACAGAAGCTACTGGAATCAGTATGGGAACCCTTGAGGCTGAAGACACAACCAGTCTAACATGGCCATGGAAGTTAGACTGCATCTCTAGTTTTCAACATACCCATGTGAGTATTTCAAGTGCTGGTTTCAAGGGAAGAGCATGAAAACCAAAAAATGAAAGCAGCTGCAGAGGGAAAATGCCTACCAAAATGTCTGGCTCCCTACCTGCTGAAAAGCTGAAACAGGACCTGGAGCTGTGAGATGGAGGACACATAAACCCCTTAGGAAACAGAATATACTATCTGGGAAGCTGCTAGGATCTCTAAACACACGCATAGTTTGAAAGACTGAGTGTGCTATTTTTTCTTGGTCAACTTGAGCAACATAAGGAATCACTGGGACAGATTTGGGCATGAGGCTGTGGACATGAAGTTTTTTATTTTTGCTTTGTTTTGTGGTCTGTTTTGTCTGGTGTTAGAAGAAAAGGAAATGAAGAACAAGAGAAGGGTACAGTAGAAGGGGATTCTTGGATTCTTTTCTGGGGAAGCACTTAATAGATGAACAATCTGTTTTTGAGAAAGGAGGCTTGGAGAGAAAAATACATTAGGTGTAGAAAATGAAGTAACTGTGAGGACCAATAGCTCAGAAATGTTTGTTCTCTTGGGCAAGGCAAGGAAAGAACTGGGTGAGGAGGTGAAATGTCTCAACCTTTTCTTATGTTAACAACTTATGGTCCTGCCTGTCCAAGGCAATGAAAAGAAACTGATGTCTCCCTGTGACTTCCCAGAGAAGTTTTTGATATCAGTGTTGAAAGAAAACATACACTATAAGATGAAGTGTTTGTAAATAAAGAAATAACCGTTAAGAGGCTGCAGGTGACAAATATCAACTTAGGTGTAACATTTCTTCCTATGGAAAAGAAAGGGGAATACTCCAATGATGCATAGGCGCATCACCTAAAAACAAAACATTTATATTTTCTAGAACTACAGGCAGTCCCAGAGTTACAAAAATCTGACTTAAGAACAGCTCATAGCTAAGAACAGGGGTGAGACAACAGGAAATGAGATACATTTATCCTTTGGAAGGGAAATCCACTCATGAAAGACTTATCATGGGGAAAAGGTGTCTCCACTGAAACTTTTTCACCAATTCTTGTTTCTGCAACAAGCCAAATTATTCAAAATCCAATCATCACAGGGACAGAAAGTGAAGTGAAATCTTCTGAACAGGGGCATAGACAACAAAACAAATACCACAGGGGTGTTAATCCTTCCCTGTGCTATCCAAAGTGCATATATAGTTACACTTTAAAAAGTATCTCTTCTGACTTACATTCAAAAATTCAATTTGAGAACAAATTTACAGAACTTATTTTGTTCACAACTTGGATACTGCCTGTATTATTCTTAATTGAGCCAATAATTAATTATCTATCAAGGCAGGATTCTATGAAGATTAGTTTGGAGTAAGTTCCAAAAACTGCATAGGTTTAACTCAAAATAGAGGAGAATGATCACTTGAACAACACAATAGAACTCATCGGATGACTGATTTTATTTCTTTAATCAAGCAATGGTTCTAATGATTAGGAATGTTAATAGGAGCTACACAGATAAAGACTATATGGTTGGTAAAGGTTATTTTACAACATAACTACACTATTTCAAATAGAACCTTACCCTTTATGTAACCTTTTATGTAACCATATATAAATCTCTGTTCCAATAAAGGTATTTTAAAATTAATAAAGCTTTGAGTGCAGAACACATTGGGTAACGACATACCTCAAATTCATGGTGATTCCAGGAAATGACATTAGCACTGCCAAGTTCTCTGTCAATCTGAAATGCCCGCATCTCAGACTCCAAAGTATCTCTCAATTCTTCTCGTGTTTTGAAATTCCAAATCAGATTGGACCTAGCATGATCTTGAAGAAATCTATATAAAAGAAATGAGAAGCAGTTTTGTTGGTGTTGTCATCGACTGTCAAGACATTTTCAACTTATGGCAACACTATCATGGAATTTTCTTCACACAATCTGGTCAGAGAGGGTTTACCATTGTCTCCCTCTGAAGCTGCAAGTACGACTTTGCCCAATTCTTCACAAGCATTTCACGCCTAAATATTCACCTGTAATAGAAGAGTTCCCAGTTTGCTTGTATTTTTATTCTTTGCCGCCGCTTCCTCAGTATTACAGGCTTTTGATTAATATTCTGCAAATAAGATGTCAGATTTGAGTCCAGAATAGTATCACAACATATTGTGAAATAAGATGAGAAACATGATTATAAGACAGTGTAAAAAAGAAATGGAAAAAATAGAAAAGACCCCAAATTTGAATATATAAATACCTCTGAATTTAGAAGCATTCTTCTCACAATGAAAACAGTAAGAAGAATTATACAGGATTTAGAGTGGATCAAATATCAACATGAACAAATGTTATCAAATGTAAGCAAATAAATAGGCCCCATGAGCTGCTGAACTTGCTGACTGAAAGGTTGGTGGTTTAAATCTATGGAGCAGGGTAAGCCCCTGCTTTTAGCCCCAGCTTCTTCCAACCTAGCAGTTTGAAAACATGCAAATGTGAGTAGAGCAATAGGTACCACTTCAGCAGGAAGGTAATAGCACTCCAGGAAGGTAACTGGCCACATGACCTTGGGGGTGTCTACGGACAATGCAGCTCTTCAGCTTAGAAATGGAGATTAGCAAGGGAAAAACTTTACCTTTACTTTAAGCAAATAAAGTTTATTTATCCATGCTGAAACTCTCTCTTTTACTTAAAATTGGTGACATTTCACTACCAGTGAATCTAATTTGTTGATTAATCAGGGATGGACCCATATTATAAACCATACCATGTTACAGACAAACATACATAACTGCATATTTTCAGTAACAGGAAATACATATTTTAATTGGGAATGGAGTAAGCATAAAAGGACTAGTAAGTGTAGATCAGAAAGTGGGGAGCATTAATTCCTAGTAGAGTTTTTCTAATGTAATATATACTAACAAGAAAGTCACTACATGCATAATTCAATACAATCTACAGAAAGGGATAAGGATGCAGACTCACCATATTGTTTCTGTCCTGGTTGGATTTGGGAGTAGAAAGAAAAATAAAATTGAACATTTTACAGGGATGCCTCTCAAATGTGTGAATAGCTTGATTGATCTACTACAACCAGCCTTCCAAGTTAACAGACTAACTACTTAAAAGAGCAGCGTTACAAACCACCTCCTTCAGTCTCTAGCCTATGCACAGACAAGTTCTTGGAAACATTAAAGCTGCACCTACTGCAAGATATATCAGTCTGGAATGCTGGCCTAAATCCAACATTAGTTCAATTTAACTCAATGAAATTATTATTATTATTATTATTATTATTATTATTATTATTATTATACTTTATTTGTACCCCGCTAGCATCTCCCGAAGGACTCGATGCGGCTTACACAGGCCAAGGCCTCAACACATAATATAACAATACAATCTAAGCAACTTAAAACAATTAAAGCAAAACAAAGCAAAATGAACAACAGGCAATAAACAATACACTAAAACGCAATAAAACTGGGCCGGGCCAGAGTAATGGGTACAAGATTAAAAGTGCTGATGTGACAGGTGGTATATATAAGGCTTATAGGGCAAGTGCGGTGTGCGGTAATCCTTAGTTCTAGTAAAGTGCTTATGGGACTTGGTAGTGGAGATTTCCTAATCTGGGAAGGCACATCGGAATAGCCAGGTCTTCAGGTTCTTTCTGAAGACTGCCAATGTAGGGGCCTGTCTAAGATCTTTGGGGAGGGTGTTCCAGAGTCGGGGGGCCACCATGGAAAAGGCCCTGTCCCGTGTCCCCACCAAGCGTGCTTGTGACGCAGGCGGGATCACGAGCAGGACCTCTCCAGATGACCGAAGTGAACGTGTAGGTTCGTAGATGGAAATGCGGTCACGCAGGTAGGCTGGTCCCAAACCGTTCAGGGCTTTGTAGGTAAGCACCTGCACCTTAAATTGGGCTCGGAAATGAATGAAATGAATAGAGATCGTCAGTAATTCATTTCATCTGGTTTTCTTTAGGTAACATTAGTGTTGGATTTAGCCCTTTAATTTTTGGCCCCATGACATTTGCCACCGCTGGAGGAAAAACATGTATAAAACAAGACATGACTGCTTCTTCTTCTAATATTTTGTCCATCTTCTAAAAAAGTTATAAAACCTTAGTGTTGTTACAGCACAATATAGAGCTAAAAGTAGGTTAGGGTCTTTCACATAGTTTCTTCATTAATATACCACATCAATTGAACAACAGAGATTATGTAAAGTACACAAATGCACCTTCCTTTCTACTTGTCATGCCCACACTAGACAAAAACTTCTCAGACACTAAAGTGTAGCATATTTAACAAATGACATTCTGATTTTAACTTGCTAACCATACCAAAGTACAGAATACCAACAAAAAACCACAAGCAAGCCATATGCACTAGGAATGAAGAATGAGCAGAAGGAAGGAAGGGGACCAAACAACAAGACACAAAATCACACATCTAAATAATTCCACAATAAAAATATGGCTGCTACTCATTCCCACCTATCTATACATTTATCAACAAAGAAGGATACACTTGATAACCACATATAGAACAAAGAAACTACTCAATTCAATTAAAGATAAAGATTTTTAAAAAGGAAAAAATAATTGATTCTTGCAATACCCTCGGTCTCATATTATTGAAAACATTAAGGGAAAACTTCCAATTTAAATGTTCAAAATCCTGCCCATATGAAACATTCCAAAATTCTTGTCGACAGAATTAAACAAGACAATTTACACAATTGACAGTGTAGCTCCCTATTTTGGTGCTTCAGAGAATACTGATGTTTATCTCCAGTCCTCATTTTTTAAAAGAAATTGATTGCAATTCCTCATTGCTTTAAATTGATGTTTTAATACATCAATTAGATATACAAAGATATAAAACCAGTCAAACAGAGTAATCTTGAGTTATGAAGGAGTATTTAAATGGATAAAACACAAGGAACTCTTACCTCTTTCTGTGCTATTCCCATTTTGTCTCTCCAGTGCATCAAAACTAAATCTACCTTCTCCTTGGCAAATTTCTCAACCTCTTTAGCAGCTTTTCCTGCAAGTCTCTGCCACTCCGGCACTTTATTGAACTTTCCATACTGATCCTGTACAACAAAGATTATCTTTAGTACAAAATTCGTTTCACAGGAATATGAAATTGCAAGATGCTTCAAGTTATTAGATTGTAGAGTGCTTCGCCCTAATATTACAAAATGTGTTCTAGGCTGTGACAGTGTACAGTAAGAGAATTCAAACCCATTTGCAGTTAGGGAAAATTATACTTACATTTGCAATTTTTAAATTATCCCTAATATGCATACGATCAGAATCCTTTTCAGGAACAGGCTCATTACTGTCCAGGTATAAAAGCAAACCTGATGGCTAAGGACACAAAGAAGAAAACATAAGGTAAGTAATCTAGAACACAATTGAAGGATTAACTAAAACTAGAGAAAGTTATGAATTGGCCCGAAATGAATCAAGCTTACAATTAGTCTCTCCTTAATGGACTGTAGCTCTTTTATCAGACACCTTAAGGAACTCCTAACCAGCCTTGCTTTTCATCCATTCATGCAACTAAAATAGCCTGAATTAATTCACGATTGTCCAGTAAGTTTCCCAATATGCCATTCTCAACCAACAGAGAAGGAGCCACCAATGAATGGGATTTACTCAAGCAGTCACGTGAATTATGGCAGGAAATTGCAATAACATGTTTTAATGTGATACTACTGATTGTAAAACCATTCTACCAAAGGAGGGTTTGGCTGAGGTAATTTGATCTAATCAGCAATGTTTACTGAACATGTTTGGAGCTGCCCATATGGCTTTTTGGCAGATTTCCTCTAGAGACGCATTAGTAGAAAAGGCAGTAGTTGTGACCTAGCTGAGTGTGCTGTTCAGCAGTTTTAAAGTCTCATAGATTTGCTCTAGATTAAATGCCAGCATTCTAATGCTTGAGGTATTACTTCTCACTACTATGGAGGCAGAGATTACATGAGCTGAGAACAATAATGAGTCTCTAGTGGCATCTCCTAAGGATTTATAGATATTTAGGAATGGGAGCTGTGCAGGGATTTCGCATCTAAATCTGGGTTGGTGAAAATATCCTGAGACCAGAGCATGGCTAATCTGGCTATCAGGAAAGCTGTAAAGGAGGACATGACAGAGAAGGCTAATGTCACCTTTTTTCCTTTTGGATTCTTAAGAGAATGGTTTCGTTTGGGTGCAGTAATTTACATGAGAAGAGTCATAATGTTCCATCAATAAGATGATTCCACCATTTGTTAGAATAGGCAGCTGTTACTGACCTGCTAGTGTGTGTGTGTGTGTACTGTCATTTGCACATCTTTGTGGCTCCTGGTGAAAAAGTAAGGAGTGCAAACATGCCCTGGACTAAATGGAAGTATCTTTGGGCAGGAGAGCTCAAAGTAGACCTTGGTTTCACAGACTTTCCTCATCCTGAGGGCAGGATTTGCAAAGAGGAATAAAGTAGCGACAGAACAACAGAAAAGGAAGGGGAAGCTAGTGAGAGAGAAAACTGGTGTGTGTGTGTGTTTTTGGGGGAGGCAAAAGAACTTTTTAAACCTAGTAGATGACTGCAAAGGAGAAAGATAAAACAGAGAAACGTAAAAAGAAGTAGTAAGGCTAGAGAAAACAGAAAAGATGGACATATAAACTTTCTCAGGAGAGGCAAGAATTGAAGCAGAAGATCAGGATCAATAGAAGTTCTTCTTAAAAGAACATTGTCTCCTCTAAGAGTTAAGCCATTCATGGATGGCTCTTCTCCACTGACTAAGAATGTTGGTTTTGTTCTTCCTCTCTGAGCAGCCACAAATATCCCCCAAAAACAAAAGTAGTCCCTGAGTTACAGACATCTGACATACATATGACTCCTATTTACAGGCAAGGATGAGATAGCAGGAAGTGAGAGGGCATCTACCCCTAGGAATGGAAATGCACTCCTGAAAAAAGTTATCATGGGGAAGAGGTGTCTCCACTGAAGCTTTATCACAGTGGTTCTCAACCTGGGGTCCCCAGATGTTTTTGGCCTAAAACTCCCAGAAATCCCAGCCAGTTTACCATCTGTTAGGATTTCTGGGAATTGAAGGTCAAAAACATCTGGGGCCCCTGGGTTGAGAACCACTGTTTTATCACCAATCCTTGTTTCCAGTGGAAACTTCCCACAGCAAGCCACAATTTTCAAAATCCAATTATTACAGAAAGTAAGGTGAAATCCTCTGAACAGGAACCCAGATAACAAAATGAATGCTACAGGGGTGTTAACACTTGCCTGTGCTATCCAATTTTTATTTTCATTGGGTGGGAGTTACACTTTTAAAAAAAACCCGTTTCAACTTGCATGCAAATTCAACTTAAGAGCAAACCTACAGGACCTATCTTATTCATAACCCAGGAACTGCCTGTAATCCTCAGTTTCAACCAACAAATCTCTGCGGAGGAAAACCAGGAGGCACCTCTTATAGCTGCAAAGAGTTCCAGTTTGATATTCTACAGTTTGTGCACATGCAATTACTGAAGTGATCCAGGAAGGTAGGTTTTCACTTACCAAAATACGTTTCAGCAAGTTCAAAGCAGTTGCATTTTCAGCTGTCCAAAGACCCACAAGATGCCTGCTCAACTGTCTGATAACAGATTAAGAATTGTATTATCGCCCAGTTTCTGTAGGCTAACTCCCAATTTAAATATTTGCTACATTAAGGTCACGAGATAAAGCAGCCACATTGATCTTGAAATTCAACCATTACTAAAAATTGTACCATTTACATTCTGGAATTTTTAATTCAGTTGGCCAATTACAGGGCAAAAAAGGTAAGAGAAACAGCAGGGAAGAATTTCCAATGGCCACAGCTTTTGCTCTGGTGCTATTGATTTAAAGAAGGGAAGATTATACAATGATCTAGGAGAGATAACATGAGATACTTTATTCTAGACTTACCTATTTGTAAGCATCCTTTGATCTGTGCTAATTGTAAACATAGCAGTGTGCAAGTGTCGAGGTAAGGCACCTTCACTGAGGGCAAGATCTTGCATTCTGGTGGCTATCTCTTTGTCTCCCTCCTTTGGAAATGGAAAGAAAATAGTTATAAAAGAAGTAAATTTACTCCGATGTGTGTATGTGCCTTCAAGTTGCATGTCAACTTATAGTGACCTCATAAATTTCATAAGGTATTCTTAGGCAAGAAAGCACCTGGTATCCATTGACAGTCTTTCAACCAATTACCAACCATGGCTGACCCTGCTTAGCTTCCCAAATCAGAAAGCACCTGCTACCCTTAGGAACTTTTTACTCCACTTATAGTATTAAATGCTGAAGTCCTGGAACTTATAGCACAGTATGTATTTAAAACTGAAGCCAATGTACTTCTCTGAACAATGCTTTATTTTTCCTTTGATTTAGCAAGAATCCTGTGAGTGCTGATTAATGATACACATTGGTTCTGACATTTTCAAATATAACCACAAAACATTTCTCTGAAAGTAACCAAATGACCCAGTAAAGAATCTCCAGAACATTATCTTAAGACAAGCATACAACGAAAGGGTTGCTCATAATATAAAATAATAATAATAAACCTTTATTTGTACTCCACTACCATCTCCCGAAGGACTCGGTGCGGCTTACAAGAGGCCGAGCCCAAATACAACAATAAAACAGCAACAACAACAACAAAGCAATAACAATTAACAACACCCAATGACGCAATTAAAAACAATGCCTGGGCCAATTGTAACGATTAAAATTAAAAGTGCTGAGCATGACAAGGTGGAGTGTTTGGAGGGGGATGGGAATGCAGATAACCTGAATCTCTGATAAAGTGCATTGGGACATAGTGCTAGGAGATTCCTTATTCTGGAAAGGCACACTGGAACAACCACGTTTTCAAGCTCCTCCTAAAGATTGCTAGTGATGGGGCCTGCCTGATGTTCTATTTTCTATTAGATGTCATATCATGACACCTAATAGAAAATCGTTACCACCTTTAATTTTTTGGTCAACACTTATCCTGAGGAAAGTAAAGGGGACATCTGATACATACTGTACTCATTTCAAGGAGAACATCTCTCCAAGAAAGGGTTTTTGAAAGCAGTCTTTAACGATGAAGGTTTGGACAAAAGTCAAAGCTAGCTGGCATGACTGATTACCTTCTACAAAGCTAATATATCTGGAAAAATAAATAAACACAAAACTATTCTTCTTTTCCAAACAAGCTTTTCTAGATGTTTGTTTTGCAGAAGGTATTCACTGTCCAAGTCAACTGTCCTTTATGTTGCGAAAGTGTTACACAAGACTTACCTCTATTATTGCCTTCATAACCAATCCAGCCCCCTTCACAATAGCCATGGAAGGATGCTGTGAAAATCAATTATAAGAGAGCAGGATATCAGTATTTCCTGGATTGGTACTAACTGACCACTCTGAAGGGAGATAATTTACAACAGAAGCACGGGACAAGCTGTCTAATCTACAACAGCAGATGTCATTCTGGCCCCCAGTAAGTTTTGAATACAAGCTTTGACATGCTTTATTTTTCAGTCAGTTTTTATTTCTTTAAAAACTTGAACTCCCAAGAACCACCTAGAACTATTTTTATCAATCTTATTATTTCTTAATGTGAAGCTCACCTGAAAGAGCTTGAAGAGGGTTCTCCCATTAGATGCAACCATCTCCAGTAACATATCAAACTGTTGCCCCTCTGTTGTCTCACTATATGGGGCACAGAGGGCAAAAGTGAGGAAGTCCAGAAGTGAACTAATAACTAGGGCGCCCGTTCCATATTCCTAAAATTAAAAACATTTGACAACTTTTATTATAGTGTTAGCTTTATTTAGAAAGCCTTTGCAGAAAAAAATGGCTCATGCTTTCAATTATAATTGTACATCTAGTGCCATATTCAAGAACCATGTGATCACATCCACATCATGCATCCACAAAAGCCATGCAGAGATAAAATCCTTGCAAATTTTTAAATTACCAAAGTTGAATGACCTCCTTCCTCTCCTGCACTTTCAACACAGTAGTCTTTAGTATTTCACCAATGTAGAAGACTTACCACATGGGAATTAAATTTCTCCAATAAATTTTCCAAGAACTTCTTTGACGAAAGAAGGGATGCTTTGTTTAGCTGCTCTTGCCTCAAGTCATAGTCATCATGCATAGGCTAAAGATAAAGGCAGTGTTTCATCAAAATGGTTTCAAATCCTCAAACAACTTTAGCAGCCTCCTTTCTGAACACTCTATGCTTTAAGGCTATATCAATGAGAGCAGGAAACTCATGATTCTTGGTCACAGCTTGTTTTATTTTTTCCAAGATAATGAAGATTACCTCTCTATTTAGGATCTCACATGGAAAGCCATATATTTTACAAAGTAAAAACATTGTAATTTCTTTCCCCTAAAGCTAGCTTTAAGATACTAACGCCTCTTGAGATGTAACTAAGGCTTTCACGACATCTTATTTCCTTCTCCCACCATTAAGGAATACAGGAGAGCAAAAAATCTTTTTTTAAAACCACTCAGACAAATGATATTGGAGAGGGCTCACAAGACAGCATCTGCTGGATCAGTCAGAACATGTATTGAAATATTAAGATGACCAAGGCAACTCCTCCTTCTATGCAGTTCTATATTAACACAAGAAAGAATTTCTCTAAAAGAATCACTCCTTAAAAATGGATAGCCAACCTAATGTAGTGGTCCAGACTACAGAGATTTGGAAGATCCACGTTCATGACTCTACTGAGCTAAGTAACTCATTGGTTTGCTTAGAGTCAGTCACAGTCTCTCAGCCTGATCCACCTCATGGGGTTGTTTTGAATACAAAAGGCAGGAAAAAAAGGCCTACGTATACTGTCTTGAGCTCACTTAAGGGAAGGTAAGATATAAAAGTAACTAATGCACAACACTCCATGGATAAATACATTTATATATTGGTATTTCAAGTATTCTAATTATTCTGGCCTAGCATACTAAGATTAAAGTACTTACACACATGAGGGCACAAAGCATATCAATGGAAGCATGAGTTACTCCATCATTGTTCCTTTTAAGAGCCTTCACTACCTTCACACCCAAGCGTTCTCGAAATCTTTCAGAATATATAAAAAAACACAGTTAATACCTAAATGGCAGAAATATCAATGACTAGCAGTGCAGGTTCAATTTAAACCAGTCTTCTAGTTTGAGATGTGGACCGGCTAAGATATTAATAAACAGATCTCACATCACCATATATAAATGCTTTAAATAAATAAATAAAGTTGGCATCGTGTAGTAGTGGTTTGAGTGGTGATCAGGGTTTAAATCTTGGCTTGGTCATCGAAAAACACTGGGTGGCCTGGAGTATATCACATTCTCTCAGCCTCAGAAGAAGGCAAAGGCAAATTCCCTCTAAACAAAATTTGCCAAGGTAACAAATTCACTTTAAGGTCACAAGTCAGGAGTGACCCTAAAGGAAAACAAAAGCGACAAGCTATGGAAAATATATTGTAAGCAAAACAAAAATAATACTTGCTTTAAAAGCTGAAACTAAAGATTAATTACAAAAATAGCTGCAATGGGATATTGAGTTTTTAAATTCTATGTGGAAATTAAGTACCACTAAAGGTGAATATCAGTATATAGCCAGGGAAATGAGAGGCTGTAGCATCTATGAATCTAAGTGTTGGCCAGTGATCCAAGAAAATTACTAGTTAGTTTTATGTAAGACCTATATACAGTACATATAATAACTTGCATTCTCTGTTTCTCAGGTGTCCAAGATGATCTCTGATTAAAACATTAAAATCTCATAAAAGGATGAACCACAGAATATCCCATAAAATAACATGTAAGAGTGGCATTCAGACAAATATTATGCAAGGAAAGGTCAATTAAAGTCCACAGATCATCCAAAAATAAAGTCACTAAAGAGAGAGAGAAACATAGCAGTCTAATTGCTATTCAAAGAAAACATTGTATATAAGTATGTATATGTTGGAAAACTTATACACATATCTATGATAACTTAATACTAGCATCTATCTGTTTTAGTTGTATTCAGTGACTACTAATGACTACACAGCCAAGAAAAGACACAAGATTTCTCACCAGCTGAACACTTCTTTACAGATGCAAACACTGAAATGAATGCTTAATAGCATTGGTATATGTCATCTCTATTCATATATAAGTTGACATGTGTAAGTGAATGACTGGCTTGGGGTCCAAAATAATGGATTTTGATATGATCCATGAATAAATAGAGGATCATTATATGGAGAAAGGAAAATTGCCAGCACCATCTCAGGTGGTCAGCAGCTCCTGGCCATCACCATCATTTTTCTACCCAGGTATTCAAAAAGGTGTTCTGCCACTATATTCAGAGATGAGGATAATTCCTTTTTTTGATAAAAGGTACAGAATTAACAAACCACTGCCTTCTTGGAGGAGATAGTGAAGGAAAGAGCTTAGTCCCTCAAAAGAGAACTTAAAAGAAGCACCAGCCCCTCTATCCTTTCAGCACTCTCTTTGAGGGGAAGTGTCAAAGAGCTACTGTCACTTTTTTAATGCCATGGCAGAGATTGTGCTTTTTAAGGTTCTCCCAAAGTGGACTGTTCTCGCCTTTTGTCATTCTACTCAGAGAAAAGGATGATTCTTTGTTTTTTTGCGTAAGATTTAAGGTGCAGTACTTATATGGAATGGTAGATACATTGATCCAAGTTTTTAAAACTGATCTCTTGACTAAATTTTCTAAACTTATACACAAGTATATATAGTAATTTTAATCTAATTTCTTCATAGGAATTGAGAAAGCTACACTTAAATAGCATTCTGAACATTCACTTTTGAAATACAAACCAGTTCAACATGTAAGCAATCTTTGAATTGTCACAATGGATGCCTTTGGCATCAATAAGATGATAAGCATGTTTATTCTGTATAATCAAAATATGAATTCACAACACCTAAACCATCTAGTCCTGTAAACAGGTCAATTCAGCATAGTCTATAACCCTTACATGTACTACATATACAAAATAAACAGCAAATACAAAGGGAATGAAAACCTGAAGGCTATTTCATCAGAAGCATCCTCTTTAAATAATTAAGTAGTCTATACAAATAATACTGAAGATTACATGTCACTGGCATCACTTAATAACTGTTAACAGTAAAGCAGAAATTATAACTGTCACTACAGCATCACTATCACTTTGCAGAAGCCCTACATTTACTACATGGTGAGAAATAAATATGTGTAGAATACCATCAGGCTGTTGTTGAAAGTCAAGTACTTACTTTGGAAGCTGAGTGAAAGCAAGGAATCCGGCTTTAGAAGCAACTAATCTTCTAACAGCTTGGAATTGGCTTTCAAGCTCAGCAGTTGATGCTGTAAGGTCACCCTCTTGTGAGAGCAATGCTGTTATAGCATTATTTATTAGCTTCTCTTTGTTTTCTGAAAATAGGCCCTAGGAAAAAAGATGTACATTGGTGGGTTTTTAATCAGTTAAAAGTTTGATGTTTAAGAATGAAAATACTTTCATTTTAACTCACATCTTGTGTTACTGCATGCAGAACCCCACTGTATGAAATGTTTGAATTGAACCGGAAGACAGCATCTGCGAAATTGCCATCTACAAAAGAAAAAGAATGGATAAATATTTAAGATGAAGCATTATAGGATATCATCACAGCATGGATTGATCATTCTGCAGGAATCTCACCAAGTACTCAGTTCAAAGGATACAAACCCAAAACTTACTGGGAGGTGCTGCCAGGAACCTGAGATGGAGGCTTTCAACTTCCTCATCCACCGGCATACTCAACAAGCCCCAGCGCTGGCCTTTATCTGTAGGTGTCATTTTCACACAGACATCCCTGTTGCCAGAGGCTCTTACTCCATCCAGCAAACTGGCTAACAATGAATCCCTAAGCAAATTGTTTAAAAAGTTAGTTTTCCATCCAACTAAACTAAATATGCTCATGTGCATTGCAATATTTATTATTTATTTATTTAATACACTTGTATACCGCTAATATCTCAGCCTAAGTCGGCGACTCATTGCGGTTTACAACAATTAAAAACAATATACAATTTAAAACAACAACACATAGACAATACAAATTATTGGGCCACCAATAATAATACCATGTATCTCGTCACTAAAATCACAGTCCAGAATTCGTCATCCAAATTAACCAGTCCTTAGTCCATAAAATTCGGTGATAACAAACTAACCGAATGCTTGTTTACACAACCATGTTTTTAATCTCTTCCGAAACACCATCAGCGAAGAGGCTGATCGTATCTCTATAGGGAGGGTGTTCCAAAGCCGAGGGGCCACCACAGAAAAGGCCCTGTCTCTCGTTCCCACCAGCCGCACTTGGGAAGCCGGTGGGATAGAGAGCAGGGACTCTCCAGAAGATCTAAGGGTCCTGGTGGGCTGATAGGCTGAGATACGTTCGGATAGATATGCAGAATTATATGCAGACTAAGTATTTATGGAAACTGCTGTAAATACAGAATGTTTCATAACACAATGTTTCAACTTGATTCATTCCGTAAATGTATACCACTTCACATGTGGTGGGGTGGGAAAAAGATTGTCCTGTAATGTATGTGTTGATTTGATGCTGCACGCTAACATTTGAGGGCTTGAGTAACACTGACATTTGAAAGCTGGATTTCCAGTTAGTTTTCTGGCAACATACAAAGTGTTGGATATAATACTTAAAGCCCCACATGGTTTGGATCAAGGTTACCTACAGGATCATTGTTTCCCATATCATCTATCCCATACACTTCAGTCCTCTGGAGGATGTTTACTCCCTCAGGCCAGAACCCAATTTGCAACCATCACCGAGAGGACCTTTTCATTGGCTGCCCCAAGACTGAGAATGACCAGCCAGAGGAGCTCCAACAGATAAATGAACTGTCAGAATTCAACTGAAAACCTACCTCTTCCAACAGGCCTACCTAGTCAATTTTAAACTGTGAATGTTAATTTTACATGTTATTAATATTGGCGTCATTCTATGTACTCTGCATTTTAATATATGTATTTTATTATATTTATCAGTACATTTAAACCATACTGTACCCCACCTCAACCCGAGAGGAGCGATGGGTAAAAAAATAATTAATAGCTTGTGAGATAATAGGAAGTAAAGGTAAAGGTTTCCCCTGACCTTAAGTCTAGTTGTATCCTACTCTGGAGGCCGGTGCTCATCTCCATTTCTGAGCCGAGGAGCCGGCATTGTCCGTAGACACCTCCAAGGTCATGTGACTGCATGGAGTGCCGTTACCTTCCCGCCAAAGTGGTACCTACTGATCTACTCACATTTGAATGTCTTTGAACTGTTAGGTTGGCAGAATCTGGGCCTAACACCGGGAGCTCACTCTGCTCCCCAGATTCAAATCGCCGACCCTTTGGTCAGCAAGTTCAGCAACTCAGCAGTTTAACTCGCTGCACCAAGTACGTGATTTAATAAAAAGTTTTGGGCAAGGCAGTGGGCAAGGTAAAATAACTTGATTACTTTATCTTCCACATCACTTGTAAAAGGAAAAAAATAATTTGGTATTTTTACACACTTGATTTCACTATTTCTGCAAAAGTAATTCACATCTCATCTTCATATGCTGTGGCAACTTTTCTTCTAGGAAAGTGCTATTGTGTTCTGATTGGAAACTGCCATTCTATCTATCTGTTTAACCATACATCCATTGGAAGCCTTACTTCCAGAATCCCACTTGAATTCTCTTGACTTTTGCAGGACATGCTGTCAAGTTCAAGAATCTACTGCATTCCCTTTCTAGATTCAGCATAGGCATAAGATGTCTGCAAAATGAATCAAATGTAAATGTAGGCACTGTGACCTAGTTACCGCAGTGAAGCTACTTATGTAAGTGCTAACTGCTATGCATAAGTTTACTATGTAAACTAACACTTCAGTAAAGTAATTGGTAGTTCAAGAAGATTTAAAAATACCTCTCTGTCGAAGAATATTTTCGGATTTGTCCCTTGATAAATTCAATGGTAAAAAGCTGTGGGTTTTCAGAATCACACACTAGTGCAAATACCTTTAAAGAAAGGGTACATCAAAGAGGAATTCATACTAATTTTGTACAGTATATAATTAAACAAGTCAAAACTTTCAGCATAACAAAAACATTTTAGTTTTTTTCTTCTTCTATGTTTTCTTATCAGTAAATTTAAACAGGCTATTTCTTCATTCTATTGTTCTTCATATACCAGCTAATTCCCTAAAACAAGTTTTCTTTCCCCTTACCTCTCCTAAGGGTTTCAGTGTTGCAATATTGTATGTGGCTGGGTCACGTTCTACTAAGCAAGTTTCTGTAAGAGCCAATATCCTTTTCACTGGTTCCTTGAAAAAAGAGGGAGAGCGCCATTAAACTGTAATTGCTGTAACTGTAGAAATCAAAAGAAAAAAATCACTAAAACGTTTCTAGTACCAACATTAAAAAAATGCTGGTTATAACTGAGATATCAAATGGCACTAATTTTATTGTGTCTAAGTTATTATTGAACAGTGGGCATAAAACGCAGAAAGATATGTCAAAATGTTAAATTCCCCCAACCCTATAAAATATTTTACATGACTACACTCAGGCTGCTAGGTCTAACTTGGTGTAATAAAATAAACAAGAAGTCTTAAACTCCCTGTTTTGCAGAAGTAAATTGTAGAAGTTTATGACATGGAAGAAAACTGTCATGAGGGTACCATGATAAGGAGTCATCATGAGCTATACTTACAATATGTTACTGACCTTTAAGTTATAACTCTGGACTTGTTTCCCCCCCAGCCCCAAAATTTAAATATGTTCAGATAAATATATCAGAAAACAGTTACAACTAAGACTGCAACCAAAATATTGTACAGAAATCAATACATTTTCATACCATGTTTTACTTCTGATTGTATGTTTGCCTTCATTTTTTTTAAAAAAAATGAGACCATGATCCAAGTATTGCTAGAGCTCATAAAAGTAACACAATGTATCCAGTACAACTTGCTATTCCTTCTTTAAACTGCTGACTACTTTCAATATAAGACAGCATTCTCAAAATGCCTGTGATACATGGAGGGCTACTGTTCTATAAAAAGACATAAACAGTCATGTCTTTGCAAAATAGTTTCTGTTCTCCAGTTACTAGGTATCCAACATTAAAAGATCTGTCAAGATATATTTTTTTAAAAATGAACCTTTATGTATGGCACAAAATTGCAGTGTGCATTCTCTTCAGAAAAAAAATAGTCACATTAAAAAGAAACTTATGAATTAAATATAAAAAAATTGAGCAGAGCCAGTGGAGATGCATAAGAAAGGGAATTTTCCATTTTAAAGTCACAATCAGGGCATTAAAATCATTAGGCCTTACCGAATGCCTAGGAGATATCTTTTGGACCACAAATTCTGCTAAAGATGTAATGGATTCATCATTGCTGTATTTCCCAAAACGAAGACTCAAATACTGTTCAAACTCTAAAGGTTCTTTTCTTATTCTCAAGGAAATGCCAACGTAATTGCCAGCATGTTCTATTGCACTTTTGATAATGTCTTCCCTTTGCTCAGAAGCAAATAAATGCTGCAAATTTGAAGAGACTTTGATAAATGAATTGGCATGAATATATTAACAACACTGATAAACTGGAAAGAATCACAATTCAAAAATGTTAAGGCAATGTATTTGAGTCCCCCCAGGGGTGAGAAAGGTGGTATATAAATACTGTAAATAATATAATCAGTCAATAAGCAAAGCTTTTCTTAAGTGAAGAAATAGCAACAGATAATCAAAATATCAAAGAACAATCACCAGGGAAACAGTGTTCACCTAATTAGCTACAACAGTCATGTTTTCTGATTAAACAGGATAAAAGGACCAAAAATTATATATTTTACTTCAAATACCCTTTTTGGCAGTTAAGACATGAGAAATATAATAATAATAATAATAATAATAATAATAATAATAATAATAATCTTTGTTTATACCCTGCCACCATCTCCCCAATGGGGACTCTGAGCGGCTTACATGGGGCCAAGCCTGAACAACAAACTATAATATAAAAATACAAATTGCAGTAAAATAAACAGCATAACATTAAAATATAACACATCAATATATATAAAACAATATACACAGAATATAGAAAACCAAACATAACGACAGAGAGCAGGCCAAATGTACATAAAATGATTTAAAAACTCCGGGTGAGATAGGGGGCAGAACTAATTGTAAGGGAGAATTTATAGAGAGACAGGAAATAAGCAAACCTTCGCACATGGGGGGGGGGGACGGGACGGGACGGGACTCCTGGGACAAGAACGTTGAGGGAGCAATAGCATAAAATTATGTGGCTACTCTCCGAAAATATACATTACTAAATGCAATTTTAGTCATGACTAAAGTAGACTAACTGGATTATAAGACATATTACTGTAAACTAACAAGGTTTATTCATTTCATTCAATATATTCTAGTTGAGATTAGGGTTGGATTCAGTCTAGAAATGCTAAACACCGCATTTCAAATTTTCTAAACTAACAGTCTAAATCAAAATTCACATTCAGATTGCATTTTGTTTTAGTACTTACTAGTCTACTAAATCCTCCATAAAGTATACAGAAACCTCCTGGATAATCAGATAGATCGACAAATCCTTCAATATTTCGGTAATCATAAGAACACAGTACTTTATTTGTTGCAGGATTAATTTGGTCAAAGCCTCCAGGAGTCACCTCTAGAATTACAGGTGTTCTTGTATCACTCCAATGATGTTTGTAACAGTTGTATCTCTGTAGTTAAAAATAATATATACAGGATCATATCTTAACAGAACAGTTAACATGGAAACCAAAATCTAACAATATTTGGCTGACACAGTTCAACGTTTAAAAATGTGTTTAAATTAAATCATTTTAGTCTTTTTTTTCTTTGCAACTTGTAGATGTGGTCTACAAGTAGATCATATTTGTGTAACCAGCACCAATAGTGCTATCCCAAAATAATTACAAGCTGTGAAATAGCACATGTGTACCCCCCCCAATCAAATTCTACATGAGTTTCCAATTCAGACCTACACAATTGTTTTCTTTTTAAGAAAAATTCAATATACAAAACAGCTCTAAGGAAAGATTAACTAATAATGTCCTATTACTGGAAAATGAGAAATCTAATCCTGAAGTAAATAGTTGTAATAATTAGAAAAACAGAAGAATAGCAGATTTTTATTTCCATTTCCTCCAGTATAAATTTTGCCTAACTAAAACAAGATACAGAACAAAATATTTATCAAAACCTAGAATAAAGTAAGTGTTTTTAACAGAACGTAACTGCATGCAAACTAAGTGAGCTAAAATGGCTACAAATTTTTTGGGTTATGCTTTTGTTTATATTTTGTTTAGGGTATTTTATCACAAACATTAGCAATTGATTCCAGTCCTCTGACTACTGGAGATGCAAGGCAGGAATTATTCCAGCCCAACATAATCTCCCACGCTGTACCAGGAACCTTCACTGCTAGCAACTTTAGCAGATTAGCCGAGTTTATTCTGAATATAGTTCAAGGAAACAAAAGCAAAACCATCCCATATGCCTAGAAAATAAAATATATATCTCATGAATACATATGGGTCAGAAAAGTTATTTTAATATTTATAGCCCATTTATCTATCAATTAAATGAGTCTCAATGCAATTTAAAAACACTGAAACAACATGAAGGTTGGACAGAATAATCTTCCCTTTCCGACTGCAATCCCAGGACATGTGAATTAGGCTTATCATAAAGGAAATAAATGAAAACAGACAGACTGATTGGATAAATTTGTCACTCAGTTTGAGTATGACAAAAATCAAATGAGCTCCTCAGCATGCAGCAGAACCTAAACTTCTAATAAAAATTATTTATGTGGTGAAATGAAAGATACTTGCCCTTCCTGTGATTTTTCCTTCAGCAAAATCAGTTCGGAATCTCTGGAGTGGAAATTGCAAAGTTATGTTAGATGTAGTGGAAATAATTAAATAATTAAAATTGTAGCATGGCTCCTTGAATTTTAGCATACTCCTTGTCTCTAAGGTAGCCTTCAACCAATGAAATAACCTCACTTTCAAAGCAAAGCTAATTTACCAACTGAATAGTATCATTGCTTGAGAAATGTCCACATTTGTGGATTTGATTATTTGTGAGTTTGTGTTGCTTTCTTAACTACATCGAACTCCTCAACCCCCAATCTTTCTCCTGCATCTCCACCAGTCTAGCCAAGAATGCCAGGTCCTCATTCTCTTCTTCTCCTTCCCATCAAGGCCTCATCCAGATTTTAAACTCCTTCCTCCGTTGCTCCCATTGTGTGAGCATAAGGAATAAGTGTGATGAGGAAAAAGGTGGACTGATTGGGAGAAGCTTTTAATTTAAGCTGGAGCTTGTGGTGACATGATGGGCAATGGAGTGTGGGGCATCAGAGTGGGCAGGAGAAGGGACAATGAGAAATTGGAAGAGGAAAATGAGTGAGAGAAGAAGAGACAGATGGGTGAGGAAAGTCTTCAAAGTTATGCTGATGCATGTGAGAAAGGGAATAACTAGCCAGGGCTGTTGGCAGGAAATAACAATGAAGTGTATGTGTGGTTGGTCCTAGAGCAGTGGTTCTCAACCTGTGGGTCCCCAGATGTTTTGGCCTTCTACTCCCAGAAATCCTAACAGCTGGTAAACTGGCTGGGATTTCTGCGAGTTGTAGGCCAAAACACCTGGGGATCCACAGGTTGAGAACCACTGTCCTAGAGGCTTTTTCCCCACATTTTTAAAAACTTTCTTGGTGATCTTGATAACCCCTGAGAATGTAGAGGCCTAACTGTAAATCCAAAGATAATATTCTTTGTGCAAGGTGGCAGAAACAGAAATGGTATCACAGAACTGTTTAGCAAACACTTAAAATGGTGGTATAATAGTAGTTTTCTAGAAAAGCAATGATCAATTTCAGCTTTTGAGTCCAGCACTAAAAAAACTAAAACAAACCAAGCTCTCTGCAGTATCTGAATTCAAACCAAATTTAGTGGGGCTCTAACTGTTCTCACTGAATTTATCTATAACAAAACTGTAATTAAAATTTTTATGCAGTATGTAAGATTTAGAAGAAAAATTATATTTAATACAGTTAGCAATAGAACATGCAAAGCAAAAGAAAATTCAGATCTTTAACGGTTCCTACCAGAGCTTCTGTAAGGAGTTCTGTTCTGTGTTCTGTTGAAAACTTCAGAGTTTCAGACTTCTTTCCACTTCCCTTACGAAATGTAAGATTGAATTCTGTTCCTTGTCCTTTTCCAACAGGGCTAATGCCACAGATATCTCCATAAGGCCACTAAACAAAAAGATCAGAATCTGAGGGGCTGAAGTGAGGTAGCCCACTCTCTCTATATTGAGATATATTGCACGAGTAAAACCCACTATTGATTCTGCCTATTAATTCCTACAATTTTAACTTCAATAATTATTTCTGTGCCATATTTTGAAATCTCAGGTTATTAGCTTTATAAGGCATGAAACAAGAGAGTTTTGCCTCTACTAACATGGTGATAGACATCAGTGATGGAAGCTTCAGAAGGCAATGCAAACAGAGGATTGGGGAAAGCTACCAAGATAATCATGTCTCTGTCCTATCTATCCACACAACACAAAAATGTCACTTTTAAAGTGTATTGTTGCTACTCTTTCACAAACTCTGGAATCACAAGACATAGAGAAAAGCAAATTAACATTTCCAATATGTAGTCTAGCACCAATAGCTACAACTACATATAGATATATTTAATGAATGTATTAGTCAAACTATATCAATAAGCAAGACATGGTGAATTCCCAAATTAACAGTTTATGCCTCCTGACATTAATGGACGTAGATACTATACATTTGTTCTGTATATTACTAGAGAATATGCTCAGTGGCCTAAATTCAACTGAATGGATGAATGAATGAAATACATTCATTCAGCTGATCTATTCTAGCTGAGATTAGCAACTGGATTTAGGCCAACGCAAGTAATAGTTGAACTTCTGCCAACAATTTTTGTCATTATCTAATCCTACCAGTACCTCTTCAAAAATATTTTTATTATTACTAAAAACCAAAGGCAACATCGTTTCTTCTATTATATAATGATGCAAAGAACTCTCTAATTCAGTGTTTACTAATAAAGACTACAATTCCCACCCCCTTTTTAAAACTTAAAATGTTTACCAAAAGGATGGGAAAAATATATCCTTCAATGCATCTGACAATCTGACAATGCAGTTCCAAAATATTTATTGGTCATGTAGCTAAATACAAATCAAGTGAGATAAACTAAACAGAGGGGGCAATACAAAGACTTCCTGACAAAGTCAATGTTCCCTGCCTAAGAAAAGGGACTGAGATACCCTGGATACCAAAAGGTTTTACTGATTCTAAAGGAATTTAAATTTTAGTGTCCTTTGTTTTGATCCCCACAATGCTAAAAATGGGGGAGTGGATTCTTGCCTACACTGAGATCTCTACAGACCAACTGAACAGAAATAACATCTAGTACAAAATGGAAGCCTGTGACTCCAACAACATCACCTTTTTTCATATAGGCAATTTTTGCCTGATGAAGAAGTCAATTAGGTTTTTAAAATCTGCATGAAGTATTTTGTGCATTTTGATTGGCTGATAGTCTTTTCCAGATTTTATATTTAGTTTTATTTCACTTATAACCAACATGGCTATTCTTGAATATGTTTCCAAAATCATTATTTACCTTAGTTCTCTCGGCATTCATTGAATCTAAGAACATTTGCCAACTTATTTTCAATTTGGAGACAGTACATGTTAAGAAAGCCACTGTCTAAACACCATTACCTGATTTGTAACTTCTAGTGTGTTGGGGTTATATGTTGTGATGGCATGCGTTCCAACTGAGAAGACTCTTTTATACCTACAACAATAAAAGAGAATGATTTTAGTTTGAGTGCTTGTCCCAGGTCCTAACAAAAACATAGAATACAGCTTCTGTCTATTACAGGGGGTTATTATATGTACTGGTCTATGCATATACACAGAAGAAACAATTCTGTTTCCCACATTCATTTGGAGACATTTGATGACACTAAATATTTTTTTTCTGTGGAGAACATAAGATGTTATGTATGATATGACTCATAACCCCTGTAACTTTGGCACACTGTCTGAAAAGATAGAAAGAAACTGGAGTGAAAAAAGTAATGTAGAGGTATCAAAAGATAATTATATAAGAATACAATATATATGGTGGATGAACCATGGGATTAATGTTCCATAATAGTGGGATTTCATGTCCTGTGAGGAAAGTGGCTTTACTGACAACAAAAGTACTGTTGGTAGCATCTCTTATGTCAAATAGGGTTTTGTTGAGGACCTAGGCTAAATGTGCCAAACAGTTACTGGGCAGCAGTACTAGTGAGAACTACCAGTGGCAAAGAACCTTTCAGAGACAAGAGCTAGAGCACCATATCTAACATTTGTTAGCATTGTACAGAAGGAAACATTGTAACCCCCTGTTAAATGGCTTCTACCATGAAAACCCTGTTAAATAGCCTCTGTGATGTTAAATAGCCTCTGTGAGTCTGTCTATATATGTTGTGTGTCCATGGCACTGAATGTTTCCTATGTATATGTACATTGTAATCTGCCCTGAGTCCCCTGCAGGTGAAAAGGGCAGAATATAAATACTGTAAATAAATAAATAAATAAATAAATGAGACTCTCGGGTCTTTGGAAGAAGAAAAAAAAGAAACAGAACCCTCAGTGGATGGCACATTAAACTCTTCAAGCAGTTATGGACAGACATAAAAGAAGTAAACGTAAAAAGAGACAGGAATAATGTCAGAATCCTAAATGCAACCATTAAGCAACTTGGGCAGAGGGACTAGTAAAATGACTATAATATCCAATTCAGAGAAATTTTAAAAATGACAAGAAAAGAAGAGAACTTTTCTACACAGTCTAAAAAATTAAAGGGAAATGTAAGCTAAGACTGTGTATGGCATATGACCAGCAGGGAAACAATTGTTTATTTTTATTTTTTTTATCCCACCTTTCTTCTCATATAGGGACTCAAGAAAGCTGACAACACACACAAAAAATGCTCATAATACAATGCAAATATATTAAATTAGAAACATAAAATTACATGACTTAGTACAATTAAAAAGTAGATGGAAACAATACACTGAAGAGCTCTGTAAAGGGATAAGGATAACAGATTCATTTAAGGAAAACTAATTTGAAAATAAATCAACAATTTTAGTAAGTGAAGTGGAAGCTGTATTCAGGACACTTGAGAGAAATAAATTACGAGGAACATATGGCTTATCAACAGAGTTGCTTCAAGCTACACAGACAGATCACCCACTTTCCCTTAAAATATGTCAGCATATATATATATATATATAGGTCCATAGATTGGAAATGTCCAATACACATAAAAGGCGTTAACAATAAACATGTGATGGAGCTCAGTGAAATTGAGGAAAGGCAAGAAACGTCTTTAAGTTATTCAACAAGAGCCTGAAGTGTATACAGTATTAAAAATGTGAACCAGGAAAGAAGAAAAAATAATTTGGTTATTGACTAGAGCCAACAAAAATATCCTAAAAAATTATCTACAGAGAGGAGAAAATCCAAGCTTACAAAGAATGCCAGATGCATACAAATACCATACTTTTCTCCTCCTACAATAATCCAATCTATGTGAATATTCTTAAACAGATCTAGATGAGATATTATGCAGTTCATGTAGGTTGTATATGCAATACTGACCTGAAATAAACTTTGTTAAGTTTGTCATTACATGCAAACTAGAAACTGTTTCAAGTAAACTCCTAAAACTAAACCATAATAAATCAAAGTAGTTATCCTGGCTTGTTTAAAAGTTAAGAATTTTAACTACCAAATCCTGTCCGCAAGCAAACCAGGACTCTACTAAGGCCAACGCATGTACATATGTGGCGGAGGCGAGTGTGTGGTGATGGGTTTTGGCGGCAGAGTGCATGTGTGTGCAGCAGCGGTGGTATATGGCACAGCCAGCATGTGGCTGGATACAGCTAAAGCCCCCCCCCCCCCACAGTCTGAGGGAGTATGAATCAGCCCTCCACGTGAAAGTTTTAGAGACCCCTGACTCAGTGAAAATTACCTGTTTGTTGTTTTTTTTACAAAGAAGACCATGATTTCTCGTATAACTTCTTCTATACCTATTACTAGCATGGCTCTTGAGTACCTCAAGTGATGTAAAGTACTTCCACCATTCAAGTGTGTATGGTCTTCTAGATTTGATTTTGTGCATACCTTCATACTGGCTTTTGACTTATGGGGTCTCTATAAATTTCATAGCATTTTTAAGGCTACGAATAGGGGGCTTTCCATTGTCTTCCTTTGAAATACAGATTACAGCACCAGGTATTTCTTGGCTGTCTTCCATCCAAGCAATAACTAGGTCAGATTTAGCTTTCAAGATCAGACGGTCTAATGCTTTCCATGTATTCAATACAAATACAAATTCATCATGGAACTTAAACATAACACAAATTACAAAGGCAATATAGACAGATACATCAGAACACAAATTTATTTATTTATTTATTTACTCCTTTTGTATACCGCCTATATCAGCCAAAAAGAGGCGACTCTAAGCGGTTTACAGCAAATGCAGGACAGAGATGTAGAAGGTGCACTTCATTCCTTTTTTGCTGCCCACAAGCTCTCTCCTCCCTGACCCACAGATCTTTTACCCTTGGAGGAAACTCAAAAACCCATCTACTGCCCATCACAGAGGCTCTGGGAACTCTGGATTACTTAAAATAATTGTCCCACATCTGGTTTCCGCAGAGAATGCAATGCTTCAGCTGCTCACCCTTGATGCAGGAATTTGCTAGGGCATCCTGAAACAGTACTCTACTATGGAATACTCCTGCCCAGGTTTCCTTCCATCAATGCCCTCTTTCAGCACCCTCAATTTCCATTCCACCCACCAACTGAAAGGGTCAACTAGCATTCCATGGCCATCAACCAGTATCAATCAACACTGGACTGTTTGAGGCATTTTCTTTCATAGGCCTGTGTTACCTTTGCCTATAATTCAAAAAACACTAAAAACAATTTTGCTATGCTCCCAGATGGCAACAAAAATATATTGTATGAAGAATATGATTCCTATAATGTGTAGTCAGAATTCAAATCGAAAATTCATCAACATAATTTCACGATATGGTGTGCAGCCTAAGAAAAACAGCTGAAAAACAATTTCACATTAGAGCAGGCTGTATAGATAATTTAGTAGCAATATTTATAAATTATAAATACTCAAAGGGAGACTGTAGGCTGAATAGTGTATTCTATTCAAGTCTAAAGAAATTTTGAATATAGCATTTTGAGAACTCACAGCTGGATATAAGAAGTAAGTGTAATTTAGCATAATTATCCCTAAACAAAAGAACAAAGTAAAGGAGACTACTTACTTCCCCCTCCATGAATGCTTTGTTGTGTAGAAACAGGCCAAATCTTTATTTTCCCTAATTATATTCATTTTGTGTCAGGACCTGTAACAAAATAAGCTATGTATTAATAAGATGTATTAACTTTAACAAATTATTCTACTAAATACTGAAACATTATGTATACAGAACTATAAATGCAATGCAGTTTACTGAGGAGGCTGGTTATCATTCAAAATGTTTCAAAAAAACTATCAAAGTGACAAGCTAATTTTAAGCAATATATCAAGAGTGTTCTATGAATTTAGTAAACAGTTACAACTGGGTTCACATTTCCAGGAATAAAGTATTAATGGGGACTACCCTGCTTTTGATCAAACTCAACACTTTTACTATATTCCTTTCTTTTAAATACTTATAAAAAGAAAATTGAGCAGATAAGAATAAAATATATACAACATATACTCATGTATAAGTCGACCTCATGTATGAATCAGGGGCAGATTTGGGGGCCAAGAATATAGATTTTATATGAACCATGCATAAAACAAGGATTTTCTGTGGAGAGAGAAAAGAACCAATTCCATTTCAAAGTACTGGCTGCCCGTAGCTGCCACCATTTCCCCAACCAGGCATTCAAAAAGCCAGGAGTAACATTGTGGCAGAGAGAATAGAGTGGGCAATGCTTCATTTAGGTTCTCCCAGGACAGACTAAGCCTTGTCTTTCACCACTCTATGCAGAAAAAAGTACAGTTCATTAAAAAAATTTTTAATAAAGTTTAAATACTCACATTTACCCCCGGGTAAGTTGACCCTGCTTTTTTGGGCTATTCTTTAACAAAAAAATTCTAGACTTAGTCATGAGTCTATAGTTTATGTGGTAAATATCAACATTTGGGAGTGTGTGTTGCAATGACAATCAAACAAAAGGAAAGGCGTTTTGCCAGTTCTTCCTTTGAAACACAGCCTAAAGCACCTAGTATTCACTGGCAGTCTCCAATACAAGTACTAACCAGGATTGACTCTGCTTAGTTTCCAAGATCAGAAATCATATGGTGTCTTTATTTATGTCCCTACTGTGTTGTACGTACAGTCTATGAAGTGCAGATTAATTGAATCAAAACAGTACTTTTTAAATCTTCAAGCCTCTGAGTCTCATTTTAGGAGAAAAAAGACTTATAAAATAAACAAGTACAAGCGGTCCCCAAGTTACAAAAACCTGACTTACAAACTACTCATAGATAAGTGTGAGAAATCTACCCCTAGGAATGGGAAATTATCTTCTGAAAGAGTTATCATGGGGAAAAGGTGTCTCAACTGAAGCTTTCTCACCAATCCTTGTTTGCACAACAAACCAATTTTTTTCAAAATCAAATTATTACATGGCTAGAAAGTGAGGTGACATTTTCTGAACAGCAAAACAAACACGACAGGGGTGTTAACCCTTCCCTATGCTATCCAAAGCTTGTGTGTGTGTGTGTGTGTGTGTGGCTGGAGTTACACTGAAAAAATGTATCTGTTCCAACTTACAAACAAATTCAGCTTAAGAACAAACCAACAGAACCTATCTTATTCGTCACTTGGGACTGCCTGTAAATCAATTTTAAATGGTATTCCAGGGAACCCTACAAGTAAACTAAATATCTGCTTTTCTCAACAGACAAAAACACATTTACTTTTTTAAAAGAGCCTCTCTTTCATTTTCAGCCTTTCCCAAAGGTCTGCAAACGCAGAAGAGTGCCAGGCTTTCTAAACTGCATTCATTTTACAAGCCAGTGACAAGGCCCAACATACCCAAGGGCAATCTTCTTGTTGAACATATCATAGCTATTTCTACACTGGTATTCATGACAGATGTAAAAGGGTTCCGTACATACAATATCATATTCCTTGCAAGTATAATATATGGAAATTAGATGATGCTATAGCCAAGATATATGTACATTGTGCAATAGGAATTATATCAGATTTGCCATCTCGTTACTTGGAAATTAAATATTCTATGTCTGAAAGACACTATTATTGAGACAGAGATTTATTGAGAGAACAAATCTGAGTTTTAACTCACAACAACTGAGCTAACCAGCTGTGATGTAGTGAAACAAGCATGGCACCTGTAAAAAGAGGCAATAATAACAGCTCCAAGAGGAGTGATCATATGAAGAGCAGGAAGCTTCAGGCAAAATAAAAAGTCTTTGGCCTCTGGAACTAAGCTAGAATGTGAAGCAGTGAAAGTTGCTTATTAGTGCACAAGAGGGAAATGTAAATAATATGCTTGCAAGCTCTATAAAACCAGATTGTTCGAGGCCAATTTGCTTATAGTCAGTTATGTCAGAAGAAGCTGCTAGCTGTAACGTCATGAGTGAGAATATTTATTTACAACGAAATGTCATCCTAAAAGATCGAAATTTATATTCTGCAGCAATAGCTTTGCGGAATTAGTGCAATGTATATGCCCGTAATGCACACAATGCTGAACTATGAAGTCTCTGAACAAAATACTGCACAAGGAGGTAGATGCCTTATGTAATGAAATGCTATCAAATTCTGAAATATACTGTAATATACAGTAATGCCTGTTTGAGTTGTGTACTTTCCTCAAGGTGTTGGTGTTGATTTGCCTATTCAACACACTGATGCATTCTTGGAAGCTTAGGGGATCAAAATAGTAAACAATTTCAGCTAGATGCAGATTCAAAAGCATTAAGGCAACAAATCTTCAAAAACTCAGCTAAGGCTCCTTCCACACAGCTGAATAAAATCCCACATTATCTGCTTTGAACTGGAATATATATATGGTAGTGTGGACTCAGGGCCCTTTCTCATAGCCCTATATCCCAGAATATCAAGGCAGAAAATCCTACATTATCTGAGTGTGGATTCAGATAACCCAGTTCAAAGCAGATATTGTGGGATTTTCTGCCTTAATATTCTGGGTTAAATGGCTGTGTGGAAGGGCCCTAAGACAGTGGTTGGGTCCCCAGGTGTTTTGGCCTACAACTCCCAGAAATCCCAGCCAGTTTATCTACTGTTAGGATTTCTGGGAGTTGAAGGCCAAAACATCTGGGGACCCACTCGTTGAGAACCACTGCCCTAAGACATCAGGTGGGGGAATTAGTGGAAAAGAGATTATTATTATTATTATTATTATTATTATTATTATTATTATTTTATCTTTAGTCATATCTTCACCACAGTTTACAATAAAACAATACTGCAAGAATGTTAGCATATCCAAATACGATGAAGTCTACAAATAAGCAAATATTTAAAAGTTGCATAAAAGTAATATAGGAAACACGCTAACAAAAGTTTAAAAAACTGGGAATACGAAGAATTTACTTGGTAATGGAACGATAACAGACTGAATGCTAGGAGAATTTTCCAAAGCCAGTGCACCATTAATGAATATAATAAACCTTTCCCCAGGCTGTGTGAAAGGGCCCTGTATGAAACGTAAGGCCCTTTCACACAACCATATAACCCAGAATATCAAGGCGGATAATCCACAATACCTGATTTGAACTGGGTTATTGGAGGCCACAATGCCATTTAACCCAGTTCAATGTGGATTTTATACAGCTGCCTGGAAGGGGCCTTACAGAGGTTTACTTCAAAAGTATGGGTAGGTGGAAAAAGGTAAAAGTTTTCCCCTGACATTAAGTCCAGCCGTGTCCAACTCTGGGGCTTGGTGCTCAAATCCATTTCTAAGCCTAAGAGCCGGTGTTGTCCGTAGACACCTCCATGGTCATGTGGTCAGCATGACTGCATGGAGTGCCGTTACCATCCCACTGGATCGGTACGTATTGATTTAGTCACATTTGCATGTTTTCGAACTGCTAGGTTGGCAGAAACTGGGGCTAACAGCAGGAGCTCACCCCACTCCCGGGATTTGAACCGGAAATCTTTTGGTCAGCAAGTTCAGCAACTCAGCGGTTTAACCCACTGCGCCACTGGGTTAAATGCCTGAGACGTAAACTTTATTTGCCTAAGCAGAAAACAACTCAAAGGAGCAAGAAAAAATATCTCCAATTACAACCCATAGTTGCTTTCAGGTTAAAAGTCAAGCAATAATTCATCATCTTTATTTGCTTTCCCAACTGTACAATAGGGAACCAAAGCACAATTTCTGCTGCAGTTTTTAATATGGTTTCATACAAAGAAAGAAAAAATGATAATGCAAGGATCTGTTGCTTCAAGTTTCCTATATAGTCATGTATAAATCAAGGAATTTTAGACAAACAAAAACAATTCAAAAACCCTGAGTGAACTTATCCATAGGTACTTTAACTCTTATCAAATAAGTAAAAAAACGAGCTTAGTCCATCCCAGGGAAACCTAAAAAAAATCACTGACCTACTCTATCCTCTCTGCTATGGCACTACTTTTGGCTTTTTTGCCTGAGTGGAAAAATGGCAGAGACAGCTAGAAGCGGCTGGTTCCCATACCCCCGCCCCTCCAAGTCAGCACTGGTGCTTTCCACTCTCCAAGGAATTACCTTCAATTTATCCACAGATCATATCAAAATCCAGATTTTGGCCCCCAAATCTTCCCTGGACTTATCCATCAGGACAATTTATTCATGAGTACAAATGATAACTATACCCATAGCCACAGCACTAATAGAGGGAGAAAAAGGAAGTGGGCAACTGTTGGCCAAAGCTTCAGAGAGCCAAAGCTGAAACTGCACACAGCTCGTATTAAGAAAGAAAGCATTTCCTTGCAATGATTTGCATAGACCCGGAAATTCTATTGTGTTGTAGGTTCTTACTGGGGAGTTTGGGTGTAATACTAAACGAATCAAGCTGCTGGGCTATTCCATTATGCTCCAATTCATGAAGCAACTATGTTCCAGTTTGTGAAATTTCATTCTTCACAGCAAGCACAGCGAAGATAAAATCATAGCATTCCTACTTTTGTGAAACTTAATGCCATTCTCTTCAACATGACCTTTTTATCTGATTTCTTGAACAGAACAGAAAAAGGATCCGCATTGGGACAACCAAGAGGTCCAAACCCTCAGACCAGAAGCTCAAGCAGGGATAAAAGTTTATCACCACACTACATTAGCTCACCAACACAAATATGGGTGAGCACAAAACAGT